GGGATCAGGTCACATAGAGAGCAACAATGATACCACAGATAAGAATGCAAAGACAGCTGACCATAATGAAGAAGCCTCACGTGTTGATAATGTTGATATCGGAAGTTGCAGAGCCATCAACAACGACGACTGTCTGCTTCGAAAAGAGAAAAACGTGCTCGAAATAGAGCTCTCGATTGGCGAACAGGAAGGCTGCCGCAAGGGCTCGTGATCTGGACAGGTGAGACATGGCTGCGTCCCGGAGGGCTGGATGGTGCATGCAGGCAAGCTGGAGATTGCTCCGATCAGGTCACATGCAGTGGCACGCTGGAACAAGGGGCTGGCGGCCCGCAGCAGCCTGTAACTGCCTGCACCTCATTAGCTGAGAGCCTGGAGGTGGCCACTTTTGGCGCTGCCCACCCACTCGGCCGCCTAAAGCCAGGACGAAACGTCGTCATTGGTGGCTAAGGTGCATCTGTGGCTAAATTAGTTACCGCTAGGTGAGTTCACTGGCTTTGACTGACCCTGAGAAACTGTATTCAGAGCAGAAACCAGCGGTCATCGGCCGTACCGCGAAACTCTTTCGGAACCCACTTGGATTCGCACACACGCGGGAATTCCGATTGCCAATCGATTCTTTCTTCCTCTTCTTCCCTCTTCATAGCTTCACCATTCCGCCTCTGGCTGGCCCTGGGAATCCCTCCTCTGTTCCTGACCCGGACCCTGGTACCGCCACCATCCACGGCCACTGCGAACGAGGAGGGGATCGAAAGCAACGGTCAATCGACGACCCCCCTCTCGTAGCCCTCGACGGCGACGCCGAGCAGTTCGAGCTTGCCGACTACAGCGACATCGCGGCTCGCCAGGCCGACGAGAAGCGCAGGGAGCGACAAGAGGAGAAGCGCGCGCGGAAACGGGCTTGGCTCGAAGAACGGGACGAGATGAAGTTCTCCCACAGTATCCAGTTCAATGCTGTTCCGGACTGGAGCAGCCATTACATAGCATATAGCAACCTCAAGAAGCTGTAAGTCACCGGGGAATTCTCGTCACCTACCGCCCTCCTCCTAGAGATGGCCAATTTGAATGCTGACATCACCCAGAATCTACCAGCTTGAGAAGTCTTACCATCATACCCGGTCGGGCGATGGCGAATCGCGACCTTTAATACCAAGCGAAGACCCGGAGGAGATCTTCAGCAAGGCCCTGGGCATCGAGCTAGAGAAGATATGCTCGTTTTACGTGAGCAAGGAGGGAGAGCTCCTCGAAGAGGTCAACCAGCTCCTGCGGGATATCAGCAACTCTGGCGCAGCGGATGGGCTAGCACCTCTACGGCCCTTCACTTCTAACGAAGGGCAACGCGAACCTGGGCGCCCCAGTAGCTCATTTGGCATATCCGAAGACGAGATCGAGGAGGACAGCGCGAGCGAGGATGATGAGAGAACAGGGCTGACGAGGGCGAGGAAGGGCAGCGTGGGCCGACGGCCGAATATGGGCAGCAGTGCCCATAGCCTTGGCGACATGGCGGCCTCCTCTGAGTTTGGGCGATCTGCCCGGAGACAGAGCACCACATTTGACGAAAACGAGCAGTCGGTGTACTTCTCGTCAGAGCTCTACTCGTCCGCCATTGTGATCAAGAAGCGCATCATCAGTCTCTATGTCCAGCTTTGCGAACTCAAGTCGTTCACCCAGCTTAACAACACCGGATTCAGGAAGGTCTTGAAAAAGTTCGACAAGATTCTGGATAAGGAGCTCAAGACCAACTATATGCACGCCAATGTCGACACTGCTTACCCATTCAAGGATGAAACCCGCCGGGTCTTGGAGGAGAACATCGCCAAGATGGAGACGGCGTACACAGATGTCGTCACTGGGGGCGATCGGGAGCTTGCCAAGAAGGATTTGCGATCGCACCTGCGAGAGCACGTCGTCTGGGAGCGAAACACGGTCTGGAGAGATCTGATTGGTATTGAGCGTAGGGGAGAGGCTGCCAGGTTAGGACAGTCTCTCCTTGGCCACGACCCCAATGCGACCCGGACGAGACTCCAAGGCGATGATCTCCACGAGATATCACACAAGGGGCGTTTCAACCTACCGGCTTGGCTGGCCAATACTTCAATGCTCACGCTCTTCATCTGCGTTGGGATATTCTTTGCACTGCTATACGTACCGATCATGCAGAAACCCGAACAACAGAACTGCCTCGCTCTTCTAGTCTTCGTATCCTTGCTCTGGGCAACTGAAGTACGTTTGTCTATACGCCCTTCCAGTGTTCTTAACTAATTCTATATGCAGACAATTCCGCTTTTCGTCACATCACTTCTCATCCCCTTCCTCTCCGTCCTTCTCAATGTGGTACGCGATGAGGGTAGTGGTAAGCACCATCACCGTCTCAACTCCAAGGACGCCACAACCGCCATCTTTGCCGCCATGTGGACGCCCGTCATCATGCTTCTCCTTGGTGGCTTCACCCTGGCAGCTGCTCTGTCGAAGTGTAAGATTGACAAGCGACTCGCCACTCTCATCTTGAGCAAGGCAGGAACACAGCCTCGCACGGTCCTGATTGCCAACATGTTTGTGGCTGCTTTTGCTTCCATGTTGATCAGCAACGTAGCAGCCCCTGTGCTTTGCTACTCTATCATTGAGGTGAGTGCACAAAATCGTTCTACTCTTCTGTTTTATCAGAGTTAGGCGTAAGTTTCTGGTTCTAACGCAAGCTATAGCCCATGCTACGTACCTTGCCATCTGATTCCGACATGACCAAGGCACTCATTATTGGAATTGCCCTTGCATCGAATGTCGGCGGTATGCTCTCTCCCATTGCATCGCCACAGAACGTGATCGCCATGGGCATCATGCAGCCTCCTCCGACCTGGATCCAATGGTTCTTCATCGTCATCCCAGTCGGTGCCATTTCCCTTGTCCTTATCTGGCTGTTACTGCTCATCACGTTCCGGCCTGGACGCGGCATCTCCATTGCACCCATCCGGGCCGTGAAGGAGCAGTTCACTGGTGTTCAATGGTTTGTCTCCTTTGTCACCTTTGCAACAATCGCTCTGTGGTGTGCGAGCCACCAGTTGGAGGCCGTCTTCGGCGACATGGGCGTCATCGCCATCATTCCTATTGTTCTCTTCTTTGGCATCGGCATTCTCACCAAGGAGGACTTCAACAACTTTCCGTGGACCATTATCATCCTGGCTGCTGGAGGTCTGTCTCTTGGTAAGGCCGTCCGATCTTCCGGCTTGCTGCACACCGTCGCAGGTATTGTCACAGCCAAAGTCGAGGGCATGAGCCTATACGGTGTCCTCGTGGTCTTCTCGACCCTGATCTTGGTCATTGCCACCTTCATCAGCCACACTGTCGCGGCTGTCATCTTCCTCCCCCTCGTCTACGACGTGGGTGCGGCTATGGAACTCCCACATCCCAACCTCTTGGTCATGGCTGGTGTGCTCATGTGCAGTGCTGCCATGGGTCTCCCCACCAGTGGTTTCCCCAACATGAGTATGTCTACCCCTTTCCCCTGCCATCCACCGTCCAAGAGCACGATGCTAACCGTGAAATGCAGCCGCTATCATGAAGGAGGATCCAGCCGGGCACAGATACCTGCAGGTCAAGCACTTCATCAGCAGAGGTGTGCCCAGCAGTTTCATCACCCTGGCCGTTGTTGTATCCCTTGGCTATGGAATTATGCAACTTGCCGGTATTGATTAAACCATGTATGGAGCGGCATTGGTTCCCCCGGAACCAGTTGCCCTTTGAATTATAGCTTGTCTAGAATGGACGGTCTCAAACTAGCGAGTTTGGACACGAATATATTGCGCGCATCGAGAATGGCACCTTTGTTCACATGAATAGAAATATGTGTAGGGCCTGGAAATTCATATTTGTTATTAGAAGCTTTAATATGTCTATCAAGATATGGTGGGGGTTTGTTTGCATGCTACATGGTAGACTAGATCAACCAAAAGGAAACTGCCATCAGGTATCAACGTATGCGGCCCACCATTTAGGTGTCAATGTGACGAGCCCTGCATGTAAGCCCCTGCCGGCAATTGGGCTTGGAGATGGGTCAGTTAACTTAAAATGTCCTTTATGGTCGCCTAATGGGTTGGTCACTGGTACTTGGGCATATATGGCAGTAAGTTTAACCGGCATGTAGTTAGTCCTGCAACTCCTCTAGAAATGATGTTTGTTGCTTTTTGTCTCCCACAGAGTAGTGTCAAATCTATGATATCTCGTGAAGTGCGTAATTGCATAGCAAAATAAGTGAATATTATCACCTGTTTGCTTTATCTAGTAGGTAGTGGACTTGGAGAATAGAGATGAGGATATGAATAGAGTGTTGTCTAGGGTAGCTAGTATCTACCTCGACTTTGGGGACCAGCTGAACATGGTAAATCTTACTTCAAGGTCACATCTGTCGATATGGTTAAATGTAGACAAGATCTATTCATTCACAGTAAATGCATATAACTACTTGGATTGTTCTCATATTATTAGGCACCTAGGATTTAAGCCTCGATATTGTGGAAGCTACAGGCTAGTGGTGATCTTGAAGGTGCATCTGGGTCTGACCGACCTGAGACAGGCAAACACACCTCCGGGAATGTCGATTGGAATTGGTTAATCGGTAGTCAGCGGGGCTTATACAGATCAGCATTCGCAGCCAACCATTCGCAGCTTCAGCCGAGGAACGGTGTCGGCGGCCTGAGATGAGAGGTGACAGCAAAGGCTGCAGCGGTGGGACGGGGAGACGGACTAGGCTGCCAGGTACCGGGTACATGCCACCGCCAGTGCAGAGCGGCTGCGGCGCCTTTGCTCCATCTCCCGACCGTGTGACGTCTTCAGCTGGCATGCCAAAGGCCCGGAGCAACAGTCTCTCTCGCCATCGCCGCAAACACGCCCTCAAGCACACGCACCCAATTCTCCCGCGCCTCCCTCCCGGCCCTCCAGCCCTCGTACCGGAAACCTTCTGATGCATCTGATGTCCGCGTAGTTGCATCAGCTCCAAGCTGGCCGGCGCAATGCTTTCAGCATTTACCGCGCGCCCCATCATCGAGCTCCGGCAGCGGGACAAGTCCAAGATCGAGACGATCCTTGCCAACGGTAACCCCCCCGAGCCTCGCCCTCTTGCATTTCTCGGGAGCACTCTTGCTGACAGCTGGTTTGTGAATCGTGCTAGGTGACCGCGTGCTCGTCGGCCTGAATAGCGGCACGCTTCGAATATACCGGCTCAACGAGCCGCCCCCGACCACCAATGGCTCCCACCCGCCCGCGAACGACGGCGACGCCGCCGGCGGCTCTCAGAATGGCGGCGAACCACACTCGAGTGCGCCCGTGAAGCCCACCGACCTCTTGCGCGAGGTCGAGAAGTTCTCCAGCCGGGCGATAGAGCAGCTTGCCATCATAAAGGAGGCCAACATCATCATCTCGCTCTCCAACTACCACATCTCCTTCCACGACCTCCAGACGTACGAGCTCATCGAGACGCTCGGTCGGACGAAGAATGCCTCGTGTTTCGCCGTTACGTCTAATATTGTCAAAGACCCCGATACCGGGATCCCCGAGATTATCAGCCGCCTGGCCGTCGCTGTGAAGAGGCGGCTGCTCCTCTGGAGCTGGCACGAGAGTGAGCTGAGCGACCACGTGGGAGAGGTCACCCTGTCCGACACGATCCGATCAGTGACCTGGGCGAACGCAACCAAGCTGGTCTGCGGCATGAACAGCGGCTACGTGATGGTTGACGTCCTGACGCGGGAGGTGGAGGACATCATCAGTCCGGGTACGCTGGCCGCCAACGGCCAAGGCAGCCGGTTTGGCGCTGTCAGCAGCGCGGGAATGGGCTATATGGGCCTTGGTGGTTATATGCCGAGACCACTGGCTGCCAAGCTGGCCGATGGAGAGATGCTCCTGGCCAAGGACATCAACTCTATGTTTATTAATGACAAGGGCCAGCCCATCGAGAAGAAGAAGCAGGTTCCTTGGCAGGCTGCTCCCGAGTCTGTCGGGTATTCGTACCCATACATCCTCGCCCTTCAGCCGCCGTCCAAGGGTTCTCTCGAGGTTCGGAATCCCGATACCCTCTCACTACTTCAGACCATTTCTCTTCCTGGCGCAGCTCAACTCCATTTCCTGCCCCCAACGGTGAGCCTAGCTCACGCAAAGGGGTTCCACATATCGAGTGAGCGATGCGTTTGGAAACTGGGTGCTACGGACTATGACACCCAGGTCCAGGAGCTGGTCAGTGGTTCCCTGTTCGACGAAGCCATCAGCTTGCTCAACATGTTGGAGGATGCTCTTCTTCAAGATAAGGCAGGGACGCTTCGAGAAGTCAAGATGATGAAGGCGGAGAGACTGTTCAAGGACAAGAAGTACGAAAAGAGTCTCGACTTATTCAATGAAGATGATGTGCACGCACCACCTGAGCGAGTTCTGAAATTATACCCACCCGAGATCTCTGGGGAGTTGTCTGTATGGTACGGCCATAGCCAGGAAGAGGAAGAGGAGAGTGGAGAGACAGAGAACGCGGCGCCGGAGAAAACCAATGGGGATAGCCCTGCCGCGGAATCTCCTGACCCATCGTCGCCTCAGGCTGTCGGCGGGTTTGCCAAGCTGTTTGGGAGCCGTAGGGGGATTCCGGCTGATGCCGCCTCGATTGCCTCTTCAAGGAGGGAGTCGAAGGACGCCGAGGACACCGACGACGCAAACAACTCAGTCAAGAATGAGGATGGGCCTCTCCAAGGGAAGGACTTGACGAATGCCGTGAAGGCTCTGAATAGCTACTTGGCCGGAACCCGAGCTCGCCTGCAGAGACTGATAGACCCGGCAACAGGAAAGCTGAAGCCTGCGTCTAAGACAAGCACTGGGACCGAGATTGACGTCGAGGAGTTTTTACGACTTTCTCAGACGGATGACGAGAAGAAGCAGGAAGCAGAGCTCCAGAAGACATTCCGCATCGTCGACACAGCCCTGTTCCGTGCCTACATGTTCTCATCACCTACGCTCGCGGGCTCATTATTCCGTCTTCCCAACTTCTGCGACCCTGATGTCGTCAACGAGAAGCTTCTGGAGCACAGCCGCTACAACGAGCTTATCGATTTCTTCAAGGGCAAGAAGCTCCACAGAGAGGCCTTGGACCTCCTCAAGAAGTTCGGTACTGCAACTAAGCCAGACCCGGCCGCACCGACGCTGCATGGCCCGGATCGCGCGATATGGTATCTGGAGGGCCTCCCGCCGTCGGAGATCGATCTTATCCTCGAGCATGCCAAGTGGGTGCTAAAAGAGAATCCGGAGTACGCCATGGAGATCTTTACAGGAGACACGGAGAACGCGGAGACGCTGCCACGAGACAAGGTGCTCGCGTTTCTGCGCGAGCAGGGTCCTCAGCTCGAGGCCCAGTACCTCGCCCACGTCATTGAGGAAATGGGGGATATGACCCCGGATTTCCACAACAGACTGGTGGAGCTGTACGTTCAAAACCTGGCCAAGAAGGAGCGAGGCGAGGATTGGGATAAGGAGATGGAGAGATTCATGAAGTTCCTCCGAGAGTCGAGGCAGGTATACAGCTTGACGAAGGCGTTTGGATTGATCCCAAGAGATGGTAAGGGCTCTGAAATCGATGTTGATGAATCCATTAGAGCTAACCAATTCCAGACCCGGCATTTTACGAGGCGCGAGCCATTGTTCTTAGTAACATGGGACAGCACAAGCAAGCACTTGAGATATATGTTGATAGCATGCAAGACTACGCTAAAGCAGAAGAGTAAGACCCAAAGCCCCCTTTACAATGGCTAGGTTTCCTGAAGCTGACACAAACAGTTACTGTAATCGGATTCATCTGTCACAGGAAGCAGCGGCTGTTGAAGATGGGGTTGACGGCTCGTCGTCGAACGATGATGACCTCTCTATTTATCATACACTATTATCGATATATCTCAAACCAGCTCCTCCACAGAAACCCAAGCTCGCACCGGCCCTAGACCTGCTCTCGAAGCATGGGTCTCGCCTCCCCGCAGCGTCAACGCTAGGTCTGATCCCCGACGATTTGCCAGTGGGCGAACTCGAGTCATACTTCAGAGGGCGAATGCGAGCAGCCAACAGTCTTGTCAACGAGTCACGGATTGTTGCTAAATTGCGAGAGGCAGAGGGTATTTCAATTGCAGCGCGGCTCTACCTCGGTGACGAGATAGAGGACGGCCAGGGGGGCCGCCATAGACATGTCGTCATTACCGACGAGAAGCTCTGCGTCGTGTGTCACAGGAGGTTTGGCGGTGGCATGCGGACGGGCGGGAGCGTCGTCGCTGTGCTGCCCGACAACACGGTTGTGCATTATGGTTGTTTGAGCAAGGCGACTGGCCAGAGGACGGAGCGGGTGCAAGCGCCCAGCTGGGGACGGGGGTTCTAAAACTATCCGGCCCTTCTCCTTCTTCTGGCCGTTTTCCTCGACGTGGTTTTGTTTTCTAGCATATGCATCGGTCGGGGTTATTTGTGTTGGTGACAGTTTTATGTTGGTTGGCTTGACTTTTGTTTCTCTCTTCTAATACCCGGTATATAGTGTTCGGTAGAACGTATAAAGGCGATGAATGGAGTAAACGAGGTGCGCATATGCTCTCCTTCGCTTTGGTATCTCGCAGCTCAGTCCTCGCCCTGGACCTCCTCGCCGTAATTTTCCTCCTCTAGTGCTTCGTCGACGCCCTTGGCGGCGGCTGGGTTGCCGTCGGTCGCTCGTGACTTGTCTTGCTCCATTCGATCCGTGAGCTCCTTGTTGATCTGGTCCTGGGCGGAGGTGACGGCCTCGCGCAGAGCACTCAGGTAGGTGGTCTTGTCCTGGACTGAGGATGTGGAGGGTGCCGGGATGCTGTTCGTGATGGCGAAGGGCTCGTTGGAGGGGGAGCTGTAGGAGACGGTGAATTCGGACTTCTTTTCTTGAGCCATGGCGAGAGATTTACTGGGCAGGTAGACAGACGGAAACGGGAGAGAGTTGGAGAATGCGGGTGAGCGAGGATTGGAATGGAAAATTGGAATTGATTTTGGAGGGGTGGATGGATCTGGATGGGAGGATTTTGGCGGGGTTGCAACAGATCAATGCACCTAAAATAATAGTAGGGACTGCTATCAGCTTAACCACCACTTTGAGACGTCAGCGGGCGTCCAGTATCGATTAATTAGCCTGACACGCCGTTCGAGGCACCAAGCTCCTCGTGGGTAGTCCAGGGTTGTCGCGATTTCCACCGCCAACATCCTCCCTTGCTCTGCTGGTGCGCATCCAGACCGGACATCTGCTCGCAGCCGGCATTGCGCGTCGCACACGAATTACGAGCCCTTCCCGCTGCAATGCCCCGAGAATCGCTCACCAATCGCCCCAATATGTAACTTGGCCCCCCCTGTCGGCCGGGCATAGACGACAACCATGTCACGACCTCATCCATCCCACGCCCCAGGCAGCTTCTCCCCATTCCCGGGTGCTTCCTTGTCCAGCACAAACGACAGCAGCAACCGCCACGACAGCGACGACAGCGACGACGACGGCGGGCCTCCACTCCTGCCAGCCAAGTCCCCCCATCGCCAGCTCGAGACCCCCGACATCGATGACTTCTTGGATGCGCCCTCGATAGCCGTCGCCAAGACCCGCCTACAGGCACAGGCGCAGGCACAAGCAGAGGCTCAGGTCGGGGCCGCCGCCGCCGCCCCGATATACGCCCAGTTCACCACCTCCCAGTCCAACGCGAGCACGTCGAGCGTCCACAGCTTCTCCCGCCCGACTGGTGTGAGGGTAGCCACCCACCACGGCTCCGCCGCACCATCGTCCGCCATGAAGAACAACGCGAGGAAGTACTCGGCACACCCGGGCCTGTTCGAGCCCTCGCTGCCATCTACGAGTACCTCGAACCTGTCGCAGGTGGGCCTGAGCCAGAACTCGAGTTCTACGACTGCGCTCTCTGCGAGCCAGATTGCGGCCCAGGCGGCTGTGATATCGCACCAGAACAGCCAGCAACAGCAGCAGCAGCAGCAGCAGCAGCAACAACAGCAACAACAGCATCACCAACTGCAACTGCAGCATGTACGGCACCGGTCTCAGACCGTTCCCTTCCCCGGCGAATCTAATGATGGGTCTAGAAGGGGAAGCGGTAGCAAGGGCCCGGCGAACCCTCCTATGTTGAGTCTGACAGAGGCCAGCGCACCGCGAGATACTGGCTTTGGGGGAGTAGGTGGACATCCTCATCAGAGCGACAGACTCGCCAATTCCTCGCACGCCTCTTCTGCTGCTGCCACAGCCGCCGCTAATATCGTCTTCCCTCGCTCTGGCCATACCTCGCCAAACCATCCTCCTGGCTACACACACCAGTTCCCTGCGGCACCATCGATGCCTCCTCCCCCACCGCCGCCGCCTCCGGAGAAGCTGAGCAAGTCCGAGAAAGCAAAGGCCAAGCTCTTCTCTCGACCTGGGAAGATTAGCACCAAAGGTGAAACCAAGGAGAAACCCCTGCCAAGCCCTGGCAAGATCGGCTCCGCACTGTCCGCTCTCCAGCGTGGTAATTTCAGTACAACCAGCCTCGTCGATCCAGGGAGTCAGTCTCTGTACTTCCATAACAACTCCTCCGCGGCGACGATCAGACCGGGCGACATGTCATTGGAAGGCGGGGGCAAGGAGAAGGAGAAGAAGCATCACTTCCTCACGCGGCAGAAGAACAAGCTCAAGGAAGAGTTCAACCTGCCCCTTTCGTCGGCCGCCAGCAACTCGCGGCCAACAGACCCCAACGCGCCAAACAGCCTGTATAACTTCAATGTCCCGCCGAGTCCAGGCCCAAGCTCCACTAGCTTCACCAAGACTAAAAAAGACAAGAAGCATGCCGAGAGATCAGAGAGTCGCATGGGAGAGGATTCCAGCTTCCCTGGTCAGAGCGAGTGGCCAGGACCTAGCAGCTTGCCCAACATGTCGCAACAGTCAACCATGTACGACCCAGTTGATCCTGGAAAGCTCGGCTTACAGAATCACATGTCACTAGATGATGCTTGGCCGTACCTCAAGGCGAAGCTCCTGATGATATTTGAAGGGGAGGATCTCCGTCTCCCTGTTGAGGACTTTAATCGAGTGGTGCAGATGCACATTCAGTTCTGCATCCGCAGACGTACCCCCAACGACATGTTGGAGGACCTCCGAGAGCTCTTAGCTATAGGATTCTCATCTCTGGATCGAACCCTGCGGAAGACTTCCGAAGATCGCTTCATCCCTACCCTTGTCGAGCTATGGCTCTTCACTTTTACATCTATTCTTCCATATATCCAGGCGGTGTTCCTACCATTAGATCTGGAGGTGTCAGGTTGCGGGACCATCATGACCCCTGAGCAGGCCCGGGATTTCTGGGGAGGCGTCAAGACGGACGGATCAGCCAGACTAAGCCCTGCATCTACGGTATTGGATGTCAGACGTCTCGTCCTCACTGCTTACCGTGACATCGTCATCCTTCCACGCTACGACACCCTCAAGACCATCTTTTCTCGGCTATCGCTGGAATTCCTCCCCTCGTCACTTGGAAGCATGGCACTCTCCTCCTCCAACCCGGAGGCGTTCCTCTCAACCTCCCCGTCGGACTCGTTCTTCTCCATGGCTCGCCCAGGCACCGCCATGTCGCTCGACCCTTCACAGGGCTCATACAACTCGACCAGCACCACCCTCCTGGGCGAGGGTTCCGGTGGCTCGGCCGGTGGGCGCAGCAGAGCCATCAGCAACGTGAGCTATGGGAGCCACGGGAGCGATGGCCTCATGCGGCCCTTCACGCCGTCGAGCGCGCAGGTGCTGGGCAGCGTGCGGGAGCAGAACGTGGAGGACTCGAAGCAGGTGACCGACATGGTGGGGCGCATGCTGCAGTGCATGAGCGTGCTGTCGAGCTTGGGGGGAGTGGGCGACGCAGACGACGAGAGGAATAGGAAGATTGTCGAGCTGTGCAAGATGCTCAAGCTCAACTGGCTGGGTAGGGGAAGGACGGGTCGGAACAGGATGGGAATTGTTGGAGGGAGGGTGAGGAGAGAGGGGACTCGGGAAGAGTTGCGGGTGGCTTAGCATCATCTCAACAGGATTAACGGGATAGCCTCAGTCGTAAGATTTTTTTTGGACATAGCAAAAGAATGGCAAGCACAAAATTAAAGAGCACGATTGAATAGATGGGATATCAAGAGGAAAATTTATCATTAAATTGTCATTAAATGGATGATCTATGGCAACGAGGTCTTACTCTGTTGTACCTAGACTTTATATTGGTTAGCTTCAAATTCATGAGAAAATAATTCAGATAAAATGAATTGATGGACCAAGTGATCAGACATCCAAGGAAGTGTATGCCGTCATCTGTCCCAAGTTTTGGCTCTATGGGACTCGAGTGGAAACTGCGAATAGTGATGGAAATTTCATCATGAAAGGGTGGTATTGCGTGTGAAAATAATCGGAAATAGACTTACATCAAGTCAGTCATGAGGGAGGGCAAGCCCTGCGGTGGTCAGTTGTTCGAGATCGAGTGTAGCACTAGGATATCTTCCAGATGCATGTTAGTTATTGAATGCTTCGATGGTTGGAGGGTAAAAAATGTGATGTTTGCGTGTTGTGATCAGAGAATGATACTGGCAAGTAACAGGCCTCATGCGACTGAGGCCCGGCAATTTTCTTCATGGTCGATTCTGACGGGAAAAGAAGACAATGTTTCATGATTTCATCATTTGGGAAGGGAGAAAGGGCTGTGAGGAGACTGAGGATAGCAAACTTACCAAAATAAAAGCATCCCTCACCAGCTTCCGCACCCAGCTTGGTGAACCATCTGGACTCTCGTCGGTGCTGCGCGCAGGCTGCACGATTAAATTGAACCGGCAACACTCACTCGGATGAGAGAGCAGAGGCTGCGCCGTGCGATGCGCCCGACTGTGAGGGTGGAAGGCCCTCGCTGGGGTGAAAAAGCTGTTGAGAGGATGATGAAGAAAGTTTGGGTTGGAAAAGTTTCGCGGATGAAGATATTGCTAGGCAGTGCGTACAAAACTTTTCTGCGTGATCCGCACGGTGCTTATCTCACGTGACTTACCAAATCTTTGGCAGAATCCCACATTAGCGTCCGAAGGAACCCAGACTAGTGCAGCGCATCAACGAAATGTGCCCGAAACGGGACCGTGCGTCATTAGCTGCCCCTGATAGATGAATACGCAGCGATAGGGGGAGGAGCTGACGGGGAGAAAAAAGCGATGGGAAGAAGCGGGAAAAAATAACGGAAAAGACGTCGAGGCGAGATTCGGCGGCCGATGGGCTGGATGCCGTCCGCGACAGTCGAGACCAGCGCCCTATGCAGTGTGCCGGCGGTGACGGGCGGGCCCAGACAGAAATTGTTGCATATTGCTGATTTCCCGGAAATCGAATGCGCTGGCGTCGCGGCCCCGATAGAGCGGTAGGCGCCGCCTCCCAGCCACCAAACTTTGCCTGACACGACTGGCCCCGTGGCCGGCTGCTTAAAAAGCAGCGCGACTGCGCGTTTAATTTGGGAATTATGCGTCTACCCGAGCCTTGGCAGCATTCTTCAATCCGAGGTTGATGCGGCAAATCGCCCCTCGTTGGCTGGCGACATCGCTATATCCGGCTCTTCTCCTGGGCAAAGGCGTGCCCCCTGTCCGCGCTGCTATCTGGTCTGCCCAGTCCCGTCCCATCGAGTTTCCCACCCAGCGCCTGTCTGACTTGGCCGAGTCCACCCAACGCACTGATCGATCTCCCAAGTTGTCTTGTCCTGTCTGTCTCCCCAAGGCAGATCAGGTAGGGTTGGCGTTTTGCACCGCAACAGTCGCGACCATCACCACCCACGGCAGCCAACCCGTTCCTCGCGGCTGTGCGATCGACGGCGACTCCCGTACAATTGAGTTTTGCTCTTTACACATCCACATCCTGACCGGCTGCCTGCCTCTGGCGGACTCCTTGGGCCGCCCTCTGTCTTAGTGCTGTCGAGGCTCGGGACTCACCAGCGGTGCGCGGGAGTTGGTCCAAGATTCCACCCCCCAAACTTTCGTCGCACTTCCACCCACAGCCTTTGCTTTCCACCATTTCGTCCCCGCGGCCTGCACACAATCAATTGCGTCGTCTTGCATCGCGCTTTTCTTGATTATCTCGCCGTCTCGTCACTTGGCTCCGGCTTCAACGAGCCCTCTCTCTCTCTCCCGTCTCGGCTCTTGTTCCATCACGCCATCATCTTGGTATCACGAAGCCGCACTCAACCACACAACGCTTATACGACTCATGCGCTGCCGCCACTCATAACCACCTGACTCTTCCGTCCGATACGCACCGTACACGGTTGCTTTCTCATCTTTTCAACTTCCTCCTCAGCGTGCCCACCCGCTTGCCTCGCTCTTTCTTTGTCGCGACCCAACAGACATCCGGCCAAGTCTTTCCACGATAGAGTACAGCGGGAAACTCGTTGGCCCTTCGCATAAGAAGCGCATGCAATAGGAGTAGCGGCGCTCGTCGACGTCCACCGAGTGGATAGCCGGCCAAGCCGACCAGGTAACATCAGCGATGATGGCTGCCAGCAGTATGGGGGGACCCAACTTCGGGGGCGGACACCCTGCGGGAATGGGACACCCAGCAGTTGCTGGCCATTCTATGGCCCCCGGCATGCCTCACAACGCCGCACAGCAGGCCCCCGGTGGCATGCCTCACCAGTTCGCCGGAGGGCACTTGGGAGTAGCGACGCCCGGCGGCCAGGTAAACCCGGCCTTGATGGGCGCGATGCCGCCAGGTAATCCCAACGGCCATCCTCTCCAACACATGAGCCCGCAGCAGCAGCAGATGCTCCAGCAGCAACAGTTCCAGCAACAATGTATGTCAACGCACGATCCTCTTCCGGGACGCGTTACCCCCAAACCCGCCATGATTCATCATGCTAACACACATCTCACTAGTTAACCATAATTCTACCACCATGGCTGCCATGCGGCAACATCAACAACTATTACAACAACAGCAGGCGCGGCAAATGATGGCTCAGCAGATGCAACATATGGGACCTGGGGCAGGCGCGATGCCGATGGGCATGCAGTTTAATCAGCAGCTGCATCAGCTAAGAGCGCAAGGTAGACTTCCGGTAAGCACATAAACACGGATCTGCGTAGGCATAAAAAAGAAAATATTTATTGACTGTACATTTAGGCCCAACACCCGCAAACGCAGGCCCTTATGGCTCAACAATACGCCATGCACCAACAGCAGCAGCAGGCGGCTCAGGCGCAAGCACAGGCCCAGGCACAAGCGCAGGCTGCTCAACAACAACAGCAGCAGGCGGCTCAGGCTCAGCAGGCCCAGCAGCAACAAGCTCAGCAGGCTCAACAAGCCCATGCTCAGCAGGCCCAGGCCCAACAACAGCAGGCACAGCACGCCCAGCAGCAAGGCCCTCAGCCGCAGCAAGGCCAACCAGGAGGCCAGCCCAACCCGATGAATGCACAGAACATGCAGAGCATGCAGCAGAACCAAATGGGTGGTGGCCAGAACCAAATGCCTGGGCAGGGCCAGCAGGGCCAGCAAGGACAGCAGGCACAGCAGCAGCAAGCCCAGGCACAGGCGCAACCTCAGCCGCAGCCTCAGCAGCCAGGCCAGCAGCACCACACACCGCAGCCTTCTCAGGCCGGTACCCCTGCCCCAACCGGAGCGCAAACCCCCGCGCAAACCCCTGGATCTACCCCGGCCCAACCGCCAAACCAACCCCCACAGACACAGCAACCTCAGCAGCATCAACCCCAAGCTCAGCCTCAAGCTCAGCAACAGATGGGTCAGCCGCAGATGAATCCAGTAGCAGCAGCACAGCAGATGGCTCTGCAAAATCAGATGTTCCAGCAGCGGAGAGAAGCCATCAGGGCATCGTGCATGACGAAGCTCATGCAGTTCAGCGAGTACCTGAGTGGCATCCCTGTAAGTTTTCCGTCGCTCAGCCCATCCCCAACCACGGTGTACTGATCATTCCTCCCCCAGCCCCAGCGAACAAAGGACGACCTGTCATACTGGAACGCATTCGTCGCCCGATTCTTCTCGCAGAATGGAGTGTTCAGACATTCGCTCCACATCACCGATTCTGATGAGACCACCGACAAGCAGTACGAGATCGCCTTCCCTGCGATCGCCCGCTACTTCCACACGAACTTCAACAGTGGAGTCAAGAATATGCAGTTGATCATGGATAAGGGTACTCAGGATCGTGCTTTACCGGGCGACTGTTACTGTATCGAGAATCCTAGAGCGAGTCTCGTTTATTGGTTTGAGACGGGGTCACATGTACGTTGTTTTCTTTCTTCTCACGTCTCGTTAAACCACTGACCCCTTCCCACAGCTCGTCGCCAGCGGTACCCTTCGCGCGCAATTTGACGCGGAGCAGAAAATCGACCTGTTCGAGTTTGTAACGACTGGTCATGAAGAGTATATCTCCCGGAAACAGGTTATCGATGCTGCTAAGCCCGTTCATAACTGGATGAAGGAGTGGAGGACGGTGAATGCTGAGACGAAGGGATCCCCCGAGCTAAGCAAGAAGGGCAAGGGCCGCTCGCTGAGGTCACCCCAATCACATCCTCCTGAGTTATTGCCGGACTTACCGGAGTCTGCGGTCAACAGCAAGGGAGTAACTGATGCCGTTCATCAGTTTCTTGAGGTATGAGGCCCTTAAGGCCATATAAAATTCGTGTGTTCTGTTTCGATTCTGACTGTACCGTTATATAGATTGTTGAGGTCATGGGACAGATGAACCCCCTGTTTGGCTTCTGTCAAGCAACCGTTGGCATGGGACCATATGCAGCACTCGAGCAATACGTAGCACAGAACATCAACGTGCCAGGCATGAACGGCCAGCCGGTGCCTGTCAACGCCAGGACTCCGAGTTTTGGACAGTTCCAGATGGGCGCCAGTCCCAACCCAGCCCATATGAACCTGCCAGGCTCGCCTCATATCGTTGCCGGCAGCCCGGCCCCAGGTCACATGCAGTCCCCCGCCATGCAGCTCCAAGCTAGCCAACAGGGAACCAGCTCCAGCGGCCCGAGTGCAAACACCTCACCGCAATCAAACAAGCGACGACGACCATCTGGCGTTAAGGCCGAGGATGATGGGTCCAGCGCCCCTACCCCCGGAGCCCAAGTGAACGGCATTCAGCGGAAACCCGCGACACCGCGCATGACTAAGAGAGTTAAGGGCAATCCCTAGAGAGCTGTGCCACTGTCGTGGTTGGGGCAGCCGATAAATACCCCTTTCGATACCACACCGGTCTCAGGAAAACACCGGCGCCTATAGCCATTCTTGTTAGACTGGATTTTCTTTGGACTCTTCATCTTTTTCTATGGGGTCTTGTTTGTTTTTTGGACACTTCATTACTGGGAGTTGAAGCATGTGCGGGCCTGGTGTTTAATGGACGGAATATCGAATCAGGCATTAACCTCGCCTCCTCTTTTGGCATGGCGGCACAATGGTAGTGACGACGGGCTTGATTGAAAAGATTGACGGATTGCATGCGCTCAATGAAACAAAACAAGGCCGGGGTCGAAAATCATTGAGTTCTTTGGAATTTGGGAATTTTTGCTGGTTGTTTTCCTGTTTCTCCTTATTCTTACTTTATTTTTTCCCATCTTGTTCCACATCCCTGTGTGTTTTTTCTCTTGTTTCCCCCATATTTTTTGTTGTGTTCGTCTCTAAAAACATTCCCTGGCTGCCTAGATCTTTGCTTCATGTCGCCACGGCCATGTTTCGGTTTTAGCCGCAGAGAATCGCGGCGTTGCAGCCCAGGGGGCGGAGCAGGCATTCTATTTTCCCCCCATGTTCCTTAATCCGAGCAAAACTGGTGTGGGGGGAAAACATGATACAATTGTTCGTGTACGATTAGCGTCTGTTGGAGAAGTGGGAAGTGCGGTTTGCGAGATGGAAAACCCCACGGGGCTGGAAGAAAGAAGGCTGTGTGTGTGTGTGCGCGCGCTTTTTCCCGCGGAATCCTTGTTTTGTTTTTGGTTCTTTAAGTCAGTTGAAACTCTTCATACGTGGGAAGGGTTATTAGAGCGAAGCTACTACAGATGCATTCAAATGGGCGGTTTTCACCATGATACCCTTCCCCCTACCCCCTTTTGGTTGTCACTGCATGGCTGCGGACGAGGAGGATCGCGAGAATAGGGGGGCAAACCACTCACCTTCGAGACAAAAGGGTGAGAAGGAAGTGAGGAAATGAGGAGGGGGAGGGGGAGGAGGGCAATTGGTACACCAAGGAAAACCAACTCGGCGCAGAAATGTTTCATTTGCAGCTTTCTTGAGTTAATCATCATCTACTTTTTCATTTCCATTTTCATCAAATTCATCTCAGTGTTTCATCATCACATCACTTAAGAGCACGGGCGGGAGGGACAGCTTATTGCCATTGCCATGGTTTTGTCAATTCGCGCTCCAAAAAATATCTTTGCTCTGCTCTGCTCTGTCCTAGCTAATTCCCTTGAAACTCCCTCAAGCAGGAGTTGTCTGTTTCCTTTCGAAGCATCTCTGTTAGCAAAGAGGTTTGTCTGCTTCTATACTGACTTGTTCTGAAACCGGAGAGGCGAAATGCATCACTGGTCGTTGGTGACTGTTTTCCGTTGTTGATTTTTTTTTGTCAAGTTTTTAAAGTCGTTTTGTAATTTTTTTTGTCGATTTCTTTTTGTTTTCTGTTTGTTTCTTAATCATAAGATTAGTCCATGACGATTCTGACTTGAATAATCACCCGGGATTTCTGGTGTTACTCTCCTCCTTTGATGCGTGATGTCCTAGGCCATGATCGACCTGCCGTTCAAAGTCCGGATCATAACCTCCATTTTCTCAGATTCCGCTCAAGTAGTTTCGCAATGTCAAGTCGATCTTCAAACTCTGTAAGTCGTTGTCCTAGTTTCCCCGTAGTTGAGCAATGGCAATGGCAGATGGGGAGGTAGACTTCCTTGGTTTTGATGAAACCTAAGCATTATCGCCCTTGATGGCAATAAACACCTTGTACTGCCCCCGAGCAGCGACGATGAGCTCGCGGACCATTCGCCAGTCCTGCTCCAGCCGGGGCACGAGGTCGACGTAGCCGAAGCAGTGGCTGAAGTCCCAGCCGTAATCGAGCTCCTCGTTGGGCCGGTTGCGGCGCGAGGCCCGGTCCATGGGGACGACGGCGCCGTCAGGGTTGCGCGTGAGGTAGAGGCGCGCGTGGATGAGGCGGGGACACTTGGGGTTGCTGCGAGAGCCGCGGTGGATGAGGTTCATCAGCTTGCTGTGGTGATGGCTGGAAGAAGAAGGCTCCGGGGCCGGGTCCTTGGGCAGGAACTCGCGGAGGCGCTCGACCAGGGCGATGAGACCCATGGTGAGGGGCACGTGGAGGATGTTGGGGCCTTCGAACCAGTGAGGGCTGCCGGCCGGGTTAGCGATGAGCAGGCGGAACTCGAGGTCGGCAGGAGGAGGGACACTTGGGTCCGGGGTGCCAAAGTACTTGGGCTTGCCCGGGGTGGCCCAGACGGCGTAAGGCTGGTCAGGGTCGACGGTGAACAGAGAGCCCATCGTGAAGGTCAGTAAAGTTTGCTTGAGGCTTGGTTTGGGTTGGTTTGGTTTGGAGAGTTCTTGAACTGACGCTGAAGTTTTGGAAGGATGGATTTGATAACTTCTTTTCTAGAGATGAATGGATGGAAGAGGTTGAGAAGATCAAGCTTTGGCAGAAGAGAAAGCTGCCCTTTTAAAGACGCACTGAGGGCTTCAGACAGAAACCGCCCAAGGTGAGAAGAAATCTGAGATTTTATTCAGCATCGGCTGAGCCATTGTTCTTCTGGCCAGAAACACTTGCGTCAATAAGGGTCAAGAAAGTGAACAATGGGAGCGACGCATTGCCTTGGGTACTTGATCATTTTTATTTGATTGTTGGTTATGTAGCTTGCTATTCAGCCTTTTTGATGGAGTATGACTCTCATTCTGGCTGGCAACTATTTATTCAACATCGGCCAATTTTGAGCTTTGCGGGCCACCGTTCTTGGTGCCCAGTACCCTGCCCAGATATTCAAATGTGATGAAGACGTCATTGTCTGATACGTCTGTTAATTCATTCATGCATAATCGTGATGTATTGTGGTTTTCAGTTGGGCTTCCTCCTCCCCTTCTCGATTGTGTTCCTGTTCCCATTATCAGGATTCGGTGAAATGCGGTAGGCAGGCAAACGGATAATTAGACAAGGATCGTGAGATGATATCTATTAGTGTTTTTACAGCGACTCCGGTGTGGGGTTTTCGTGCTTGGCCGTGCTTCCCTTGCCGCGCCATGTGCTCACGGCGGGAATCTTGGCCTCGTACCGCTCCTCCTCGGTGCCGTATGCCCTCGGCGTAAGCTTGATCAGCGTGTGGAGGGGCACGTTCATCCATGGGCTCTTAGCTTGGTCCTTCTTCATGAAGTAGGCATAAACACATCGGAGAACGGCCTGGTGGGTAACAATGAGAATGTCTTCGCTCCGCTCGAGCTCCATAATAACGGGCTCCAGGCGGATGACAACGTCGCGATAGGATTCACCACCCCTGTAACGGTAGTTGTACTTGTCCTCGTCACGGGCAGCAAAGTCCTCGGGGTATCGGTCCTTGATTTCTTGGTACGTCAAGCCATCGCAGACGCCAGAGTCCAGTTCGTCCAAGGCCTTCCATTGCAGTTGGTTATAATGCGACGGGAGGAAGCGAGCTGTCGCGATGGTTCGCTTGAGGGTGGACGTCCACACAGTGAGTGGGCGGTCATCCTGGAGCCCAGGTTAGCAATGGATCAATCGATGAAGAGAATGATGATGCCCCTACCCCTACAGACTGTCGGACTAGCTCGGGAAGCTTCCGAGCATACGCTTCACCTCGTGAGGAAATGAGAGCATCGCCGCCGATTCGGCCATCAAGGTTGTAAAGAGACTCTCCATGCTAAGAATTTTGTTAGAACGCAAGAAGCAACAATCAGATTAGGTGAGTGATGATTCTTACTCTGGATAGCCAAATGGAGCGCGGCCTGATATGTAGGTTCATTAGGTAGTAAACGATGCGGCTCTGGAGATAGTCTTGGATGCGGTTGATGATGACCTGCTTGCTGACGTCCATGAGCTTCAGGTAGGTGTACTCATCCTCGCCGTTGCCCTCATCAATAGTCTGGTAGACCTTCTCGTACATCTTGATACGGTTGCGGAAATCCGAGGCGGCCTGCTCTGGGTCCTGGCCGCGGTAGTCTGGGCTGGTGGATTTGACATCGCGAATGTTGGCCATGATAAGATCCTCATCGTCGCACTTGCTCTCCACGAAGAGCACCTCGATACCGTTGCTAGAGCATGTGTCCATAACCCATCTCCTGCGCTCCTTGGTCGAATTGGTCGCGTCCAGGATCCCAACGACACCGCCAGACCGGAACCACGCCAGCATATCGGCGATGGCGGACTCGGCGGCCACACGACGTTTCCGCTCACCCTCCTCATTGTTCATGTCAAAGAAATCAGCGGTGGGGTGGGGTGCGTCATTGCGACGGTAGTTACCGACGTTGAACACCTGCGCCCGGATGGAGAGCCATTGAAGATACCGTTGGGCTTGAATCAAATTGGACTTGGTCAGCTACGGCCGGTCGTTTCAAGAACCCATTAACGGGCCGTTTAATATGTTGGCCGGGTACATACCTTTTTGTGCGATGAAGCTTTTGCCGCGGGCTGGCAGGCCTACCATGACGACACATATTTTGGTCTCTTCCACCTGAACCCCGACTCCGTTAGTTCTCGACGGCATTGCGACGGCTAAAATGCGTGCCTCCCGGACACTGTGAAGAGCTGGGTGTTTGTGTGAAATGCAAAACAAATTAAATCAATCAATCAATCCGTCACGGGATGGGCAGCCTGTCCGTCACAAGGCTATCAATTGGACAAGACCGAGGCCCAGTGGCAATGAATTCCAGATGGCGAGAGCGACGGGAAGAAGAAAATAATGGAATGGGCCGAGCGAGGCGGTTCCGTAGGTTGTGGGAGAGAAGTAGAAGCAGATGCACGGATGGGTGGTTGATGCCAGGACGTGGTCGCGTGAGCTGCTGGCTGTCACCGCTGGGAGGCGTCGAGTTGTATGCCACGGCCAGGGAAGCAGCAGCAGGCAGAGCAAGCACACGGATCGACAGATGCAGTCTGATTCGCCCAGCGTCGTCTGAACGGGAGTGTGCGTATGTTGCACTTGCCGGCTACACGCAGCGAAGTGGAGGGGCAGGAGAACTTCGGGTTGGCGAGGAAGCTGGCCGGGCTGAAGGGTGTTTGGGGTCTGGGGTCGAGGGTGCCAAAACCGTCAAACGCAGGCTGATGGGTGCATATGAATGGCCGGCTATGGACGAGCAGCATGCATGAGCTGCAGACACCAAGCGCTATCCGCCAGCTGACGAGATGAGTCCAACTGGCAAACAACCGTGCAGATAGATACACGATGCGATGCAATGCAATGCGTGCAGGCAGAAGAAGCAGTCGTCTGGATGTGCACAGGAGTAGATTTGGTGCGGCTGTGGGGAAAAGCTGGAGACGGCAGGAAATGGCTAGATTGAGGAATTCGAGGTTGAGTTAACGGCTTTCACTCCGGAGAGGGGCACCGGCTGAAGCTGCGATGCGATGCGACGGGGTCAGGCTCAGGCTCAGGCCAGTACGACAGAATGACGATGGAGCACCAGCAAACGCCGCTTGTTCGGGACGAGGGCCAATGCCAACGGACGGATGATGCAATGCTGGCGGCAGCGGGTGTGTAATATAAGAAATGTGTGTGTGTATAGGTGCTGCCGAGAGAGTGCGAGTTGATAGCCACTGGCTTGTGCTGGGTTGGGCTCTAGCTCCAGGTGGCCTGGGCGCTGTGCTGTGGTGCTGCGCTGCGCTGAAGCTGTGCCGAGCTGGTGGGATGGATAGCCAAGGTCAGATATGAACCAGAGCGGCGGCACACCAAGGTTTGAAAGCAACGGGAGAGCCAGAGGGGAAAACCCGGAGTCAGGAACCACCAAATAAGATGGATTTGAAGGCCCCGATATCCCACTAGTAAGGGGCAACTCAGACGCCAGCCATGGCCCTATCCCTCCCACGATAGCCAACTCGACCGCCCGCGCGTCTGATCACGAGATGCGTCGAGATTTTTTTCTACAGCCCACGTCCACGGCATAAATAATCTGAGCCGGGGGCCTTATGTGAAGAGCACGCTGTTCTTACTAAAAACACACGCCACGCCACGCCCCCAGGCCAGGTTCCGGGGAACGAGGAGTCGGGTTGATTGGTACCGGGCTGGCGAGGTAAGGATTCATCAGACCAGCCATAGCAGTAGCACTACAACCACATGCATGGCTGGCTGCTGAGAGGGGACTGACTGGTGCGCAACTTGGCTCTATGCCAGCCCGGTCCAGCCCAGGCCAGCATTCCATCCGCTTGTGTGCCAGCGATTCCCCAGCTCACCTCCTCCCCTCGTTCAAACTCGTCTTCCTCTTTGCCGAGGTGGAGGTGGCCAGCGGAGCGAGACGAGTCAAAGAGGGCGGTTTTGTGGGGTTACGACACCAAGCGGCCTTCCGGCCGGCAATCCCCGATTCCTCCCGTGACCGATTCTCAGAGCTGGATTTGCCTTGATCCAAAGAGTCGGTCGGGGGAGCTGCAGTCCTGTCGATCCGCGGCAGATGCGACGTAGTAGCGACCGTACGTCAAGCTTTGCGTAGGTGCTGTTTCGTGAGGCCAATACACAGCGTTCTTCTCTTCTTTTTTGCCTTTTTCTTCTTCTCCCTTCTTGTCCTCTTCCTCGTCATTCCTCACATTTTGCTGTGGAAAAAAACGGCCCCGTTGTGAGACAGCTGGTCCATCTCCAGAGCCAGCGCCGCATCGTAAGCCGAGAAGCTCTGCCCCATAGCCCGGCTCCATCCCCAGTTATTGCCTTGCATTGCATACTGTAGCACAGGCTCAGCAAGCATGCAGAAACGCAGCAGACTCCTCCGAGTCTGTCCGACACACGAGAAATTCTTGGGTTTGGAGTTGCGGTCGCCACAATCATTCCCTTTCCCGCTTGCACCTGACGCGACAAAACAGCTCTCGAGACGATGCCATTGAGCATATCCTGTGCTGTTTCATTGCTTCCCCAGTTCCCCAAAATAATCACTTGATTTGCCCTTTCCCCCAGATACGGCACAGGGGAAAACTTCCCGTTTGGTACCAATCCCTCTAGTGCCATGGCAAGTTTTCCGCTGGTCACTTGACCTCCTCGAATCATAAATGGCTTCACACCGCTCTTGCGGCCCAGCCCGGTTTTTCAAAGGACCGTCCCTCTCACCAATTATACCTCCCCCGCCGTTCATGCAGGCACAGGATATTTGCAGAGCCAATCATGGAGCTGTGAAGCTCGCGGGAGGAATAAACTGGCTTATCGGAGCAAGGAGCTGATGTCAGGGTGGGGGTAAAAGGGAAAAGTCGCATCTTCGTACGGAGTAAAAGCACGCAACAAGCAAGAAGCAAAAAAAGAGACGTCCATCATATGATGGCTTCGCAATCACTCACCTTGCCAAAGCTGTAGGTGTTTGCGCGCACACGGCCTTGCGGAGCCGAGGGCGCTCCCGCTACAACACCTCTCATGGCCGCGCTCACCAGCAGCAGCTGGTAATAAGTCTCGGTATATTTGGGGTCGGTTCTCCAAAATGGTGCTCGCTGACAGCAACGCCAAGTAAGAGAGCTGGAGGTAGGGGCTAGATCTGATCAATGCCAGATTTCGCGGACCCTAGTCTGCCGCAGCGAGGGGCAGTCGGTGGCTTGCGTATTCGTCCACCTTGCTCTGCAGACAGAGGCAGAGGGGGCGGTATGAGCTGGGATACGGGCGCAGAGAGCCGGTCGCTAGATTCTTGCAAGACGCAACAGGCCCGCTACTCTTTTCTGGTGATGTTGTAAGTCTAAGGTCAAGCTGTTCTCGCGGTTGGGCCTGAGTTGTCGCTAGGATGGGCTGTTGAGGGCGATAAGCCTCCGACGATAAGACTGGAGCACGCACGTCTTATGTATACGTCTTATCAATCGGCGCTTCATCCCGCCGCAGATGTCGTGGGTGCAGGCCATTCTTTTGTAATTACCTCAGGTGGTTCTACCTATGGTCTACCTATTAGCCCATGTGCTATTTAAGCGCCTCACATTCGTTTGCCGCCAAAGACAGCCGGTCTGGGTTCGTTGTGCGGTGCCCACGGCACCTAAGTAGGTAGGCGCCTTAAAAGGGCCTAACTACTATCGTGGACCACAGACAGAAGTCTGTCTCAAAGCTCCCAAAAAGATCATTAAAACTTGGCATAACAGCCACCAAAAACTTTTCATCAGCATTCCAATACGTCTTTCCCCTCGGATCCTTGAACGAGCCATGGACATTCGTCTCGTTCGTGATCCCATCATGTGGGTCAGTTCCTCGAATAGAACCTCATCTCGCCGCCCCGGATGTCGAAGACGGCAAGCACGTTCTGGAGAAAGACATCCCCCAGGATATACGGCCCAGATCCCCCGCCCGTGATTCCAATCGCGCAGTACCCCGTCAACGGGTCCACGAGATGCTTGTAGATCAGGTCTGCCGGGTTGATCCAGAACTCGACGCCGTCGATCACCACCGCGAGCGAGGGCGGCACAGCGTTGCAGTCGACATAGTACGAGTCCTATTGGTACAAGTAGACTGCCTTCGGCTCAAATGCCGCAGCGATCGTCTCCGCCAGGGCTAGTTCCCGTTGTGTCAGTTTCTCAAATTCGCAAACCATTGAACGCTCTAGGCTAGGTACTCACGAGGTGGGAGGTGCATCATTGTTGTTCCCGTGTCGATGATGTACGGATACTTGGCCTCGTCCGTCGTTGTGCCCCATTTAAGTCCGTCAGGGATTATGGTGTAGAATGAGCGACTCCATGCCGCACCCTCTCTTTCGCTCAGCTTGGCCTGTTTCATTCCCCAACTGTCAGTTTCTCGGCGCGTATAGTAGCATGGCAGAACATATTGATCCTCACAATGATGATATCCGCGGACGCAGTTACGTTCTCGTCATAGTGGATTGGAGGAAGTCCTCCCCATGCCAACACCCCGTCAGACGAGTTTCGCATAATAGCCACGCTAAACAACGGTTCGAGTTCCCCCTCAGCTGCTGCTGTGGTCAAGAAGGGCGGGTAGGTCATGATATTCCAAGCCCCCTCGTCGCCAATTTTGCCGTAGTATGCACTCGTCAACGCAGAGTACGCCAGGCCCAGGATGCCAGAGGTCACATTGTTGCCGTGCCAGTACGTGTGATTTGCAAGCCCGACCTGCTGCCTAGTGACCGTCACCCCGCCACAGGAGATGTCGCTGTAGCCCATGGGTCCGTATACTTTCTCCCCTGATCCGTAGTGAAGATAGAAATGGAGCTCCTCGATGGCGCCGTGGCGGAACCTCTCGATGTGCGGCTTTCTAAGCCCGCAGGAAGACTGGTCGTGGGTCTTGCCAGATCGATCCTGGCACACGAAACCGCTCTGGGCATTCCAGGTATCCGAGCTCCCGGTGTCGAAGATCAACCAGACGGGCGTGTCGTCCCACTTGCATTCGATGGCATATTGAGTAGAGAATCCCCCAACTGCAGTGATGTTTGAGTCGGGCTCGCCCACTCTCGACCGTGCTTCGAGAGAAGCGCGCCGGATGAGGGAGGCGGCTGAGCGTTCCTCGTCAGTACCTTTGACGCGGCGAAGTCGAGACACCTTGGAGGTCGGTTTATCGGGCACCAGGATAGGATCCTTGGATACTTGCTTGAAAGAAAACCCATTCATGGGCATCGAAATGTCCCAACCCGGGTTGGCCACCACGGCTGCCCAGGCGGTGGTCACCAGGCTCAGAGCGATGGCCACGCCCACGAGGACACGCTTGAGTCCCATAGCTTAACTTTTCGATGGAACTGGAAGCCTTTATCCTATTAGAAGCTAAATCATTTGTCGGACGAAAGTTAGAGACGATTCGGCGCACGAAAGATATTTCCACCGGCTGGTTAAGGGGTGGGGAGACAGAAGGAAAGGAGAATCGCCAGAGGTGCGAGCTGAAGGGAAAGTGAGCGGCTGCCGAACACACGAAACCGCACAGTCTCGCAGCTGTTACCACTGATAAGCGAGCCCGACAACTGATTGCCGATGGAAGACATCCCATCTCGGAATCCAATGCAACTGATCCTTACACAAGCCTTAAACATCTCCGATCCAAGACCAACTTGCAAAATGCGGCTGGAGTCTAGATAACTGGTCCGAATCTCCATCTGTTTGAACAACCAAAGTCTCTCTACTCCTCTTCCATCCATGCCGCCATGCCGCTCGGGTCGTATCCAGTCGGCTTACAGCAGACAATTCGACCTATCAACAGATGATCGCTAGTAATGCAACTCTCATTTGCTCCTCCAGGCTTACTTCCTCCCTTCCTATTCCTTCTTGTCTCAATCTTTTCCCCTGCTTTGTAGGCAACCAAAATTCTCCGAGGTATCATAATCACCATAATAATAATTCAACATGTCACAGATGGCAACTTCAAAGACACGGTGGTTTCCTTAAGCCCGGGCTCCTTGTCACACCTTCTACACCACGCAAACAACCGGCTAGCTTTCCGAAACGGATGTAACCATCTCACCCGTCGACGGCAGTCTATCTAGAAATTAGATCGCGATGGGCGGATCCCGACTCGGGGGAAGTAGGGTACAGATGATGCACTATTACCTCGATCCAGGTTTGCCCATGAAGCCAAGTTGGTAACCCCATGACCATGGGACAATCCGGCAAAAACACACGCCTAGAACACGGGATATTCGGACTCGGCCCTTCTACTCATCATTTTGCTCGAGAACAAGGAGCAGATCTCTACAATTCCTGAGGACTGAAAATCGCCTTTGGTTACTTAGAACCTTGGCCACAGGCATTTCCAGTTCCGCTATATCATACAAGATCTGAACCCCCCCCCCTATTCCAATCTCGGCCTTCCCAGGTCCATCTCTCGACCACCTCCTCACTAATTTGAGGATTTTTTTTGCTCCAAGTCGTTCAATTTTTACCGTTTTCGTCGTCCTCGGCGAAGGGATCGAGGCCCTCGAGGTTTCTTATTACCAACCATGCCCTCGTCTGTCAGTCTTTCTCGAATGCTCTCCCGGGGCTTGTCCTCCCCCATGCCTGACTTCTGAGGGCCATAGAAAATCATCCTCTCAAGATGTTTGCTATACTCTGACTAGTATGACGCAGGCTTTCGCGGCCAGATCCGGGATCGATCTTACATTAAACGTCTATGCACCAACAGATCATCCCAATGACGGTAAGATAGGATATCAGTTCCTCTCTATCAAGGCATGTTATCAGGTTCTCAACCCATCAAAGTATTTTCTTAGGCACCGACATTCTCCTTCACAATGAGTACGGCTGGCATTGGCAATCACTTTAGCAAGTATAAAGTCATTTCTTCATCAGTATTTACACATCCAATATTTAACTATCATCGAATCATGAATTAAATTGGAATTTCGTGTCTCGTTTCCCTTCGGCCAACCCTTCTTTCTCTCTCGCTCATCGCCATACCCAGCCCATGCTCATGTAGTCGAACCCATCGCTCAACGCCATATTCGGTTCCCTCTCCTCAGCGCCTTTTCTCCAATCTTCTCCTGGCCACATCTTCTCGCATATTGTAGTGCCACCCACTCTGTCCCTTCTCTGCTCCTAGTCTGCCAAATGTACCGCCATAACAAAGTCGAAGCAAGGCGACACCCAGCAGGGTCCGAGGAACAGCAGTGGTGACATCGCGGTCGACCAAAAAAAAAAATCCTTCGTAAGCGTCTGCACTGAAATACACGTAGGCAGCACATTGATGAGATTCGGGTGCCCTGAGAACGAAAAAAAAAGCCGAGGTCGCAGAGGTGTATTTCGTAGATGAGGCCGCATCACCCGCATATGTAAGAATGGCGAGAGATTCTGAACCGATCGGATAAGCCTTAGGATAACAGATAAACTCTGGCTGCGCTTGATCGATGGTGGAGGACTCAAATTTCAAAATGATTCAAATATTAGTATGTCGTCGGCGCGCAAGCGCCTATCTTCATACGCCTTTGCGGGCGATAATTGGAAATAAGATACCATATCAGAGAGAAGTGTCGTGAGATTGCCTTTAAACGCCAGTGCCATGCCCCTGCAACGCTTCTTTAAACAGATATATACTCGCTTTCGTCGTCCAGGGAGGAATACAGTCCGTCATCAAGTTGAGCGCCCGCGCCCCCAGAAATGTCGTTTGTCCATCACTAGGTCTCAAACCTAGGCTGCCGAACCATTATGTCTTTTGCTTCTTTTTCTGAGCAACTTCTGCACTGTCCGTTCCATCATCTTGATCCTCGTCGTCTGTGTAGTCCGCCTCCGGCGCCCCTCTCTTGTTGCCCTGCTTGTCGTCTTGTGGCTTCTCGGCGCGTTCGGTAGCGCCATGGGGATTGAGCAGGAAATTGATATCGGGTGCTGCTGTATCAAAGATATTGTCATCGACCTCCAATATACCAACTCCCTCATCCTTTCCGTCACATTCGTCACACACACCGATGAAGGGATGGTCCTCTGTGTACACGCCACGCTCACATGCACCGAATCTGCCTGCGTTCTTAGCTTGAAGGCAAGATAGCTCCTGTGTGAGATCATCCCACGGCTCCTTCTTCTCTTGACACTCGCTGCAATGGCCTACGAAAATAAGTTTCCGGCACATTCTCAGACAACGTATAGTGTCCGTCCGTCAGACAGAAGCAAAATGTCAAGTTGTCGTCGTGTACCAAAGAGTGAAGGTCGTTCTGGGTGCTTCGGTTGCTCGAATCTTTTACTTCGAGAGGCTGCTGGGAACCTTTGTTTCGACTCGGGGTAGAACCAGGCAAGAGGAAATTTGAGTAGTTGGTGTCTCTGAGCACCACGGACGAATGGCTACTCATTCGTCTAAAGCAGCAGGCTGACAATACAAAGTCGTAAGGGTTGACGGAAACAAGATTGAAAAAGAAAGTTAATCGTAACAGCGTGAATGCGTAAATGCAGACTTAAAATGAGCCTCGATTTACGTCTCTGTATAGAAGATTGGTAATCTTTCGCTATCCAAGTCAGAATGAGGCTCGATTCAGGACGAGAATAGTTTCCATGCAAGAGGAAGGGCAGGATGTAAAGGGGCAATGTGTGGAGGAAGGTCAGTCGCCAGAGCGCGAGCCCTATCTTGTCTTACCAGATGTTAGTCGTAGACTTGACTTCACGCAACAAACCAACACAAAGCCGGCCGATCCAATTCATTCATTCTCTTATTTCGCCGTGCTCGACTGTGAAAGGAGGAGAGAGTGCACGCTTCCGATTTGAGCGATTGACCCTTGCGCACTCTGGTCGTGCGTTGCGGCGCATCAATATCACTGGTCGTCGGAGACTCCGCCCAGATCCGCGCAGCCTTGACTTTGACTTTGACGCACTCTATCAGGATCCGGGGTACTTGTTCGGCGCTGCCAATCTGGTAGGCAGCCGGCGCGGCGGGTGGTAAGCAGCGTCTGAGGCGGCTTATAGTCGACGGCGACAATATCCAGGAGGGAGAGAAGACAACCCCCGATCCTCGTTCCAGATGGACAATGGATGGGTGGGTGGATGGATGGACGGATGTATGGCGCTGGAGATGGAGAAGAGGGAAATTCTGTATGCACGGCAGAGACACTGCGAGAAAGTGGGAGGGATGTCTCTCGCTTCCAGCAAGAAAAGGCAGCAGGTAGAAGGTACAAAGGCGCCGGACACTGGGCCAGCACCCGCCTGCATGACACTACGATCCAAGTGAATCAGATGATGGTTACCTTGCCTGTAATTGCTACCTACATAATTTACCCTGCCTGTCGCGTCTGCGGCGCCCAATGCCATGCCCTGCCCTTCGTTTCCCTTTGCTTTTGCCATGCTCCAGCAGTGGGTTGGAGACATGATTGGCACGCCACGGCGAGCAGCAAAATTCAATTCGCCTGGGCCAGGATGGCCGGGCGAGCGATATGCTTTCGTCCCGCCCCGCCTAGCAGGCAGCACAATGCTATGGATATCAACAAGTCGTTGGCTCCAGCCTGCGAGGCCGTCAGTTATCACATTCCGCCGCACAGAATGTACCAGTTTGTCGCACCCTGCAGACATGAGATGCAATGGCACAGTCACTGGACCCGCCCACGTACACCCACACTCGGCCTGCTGCATTGTATCGTATGTCGTATACATTATAGATAGTTTTCTCCTCCGGGGCTTCGAGGAGAGAAGTAAGTCCGCATACCAGATGGACGTGAGCTCGATCATGGATAGATAGCCTGAGAGCAGCGCTAGCAGGGGGGAACATCGTGGTGCGTCAAGAGACAACTGCCGGCGATTGATTAATAGCAGCACAACCTGCTAATCGAAGCCAAAGTACTAACCTGGGTAAGTGCTTAAGCCGGGTACTTTCATCTCGTCCCATCCCGCATCCACCCACCAGCGCATCACCCAACAACCTCGAGCACCACAACCTTGGCTTGAGAACGACTCAGGATAGCATCATCGCCCAGGCTAGCGGCGACTCTCCTCTCGGCCAAACTGCGCGACCCATGCACTGCTGGCGACCGCATCTTCCCCCCAAAACCTCGCCCATGTCTCTCTCGCAATCCGGCCCAGTCAGACTCAATTGGCCTGGCATGTGGGATCCTACCAGAAGCGAACGGGCCGCCTCCGCAGCTAATTGGAAAACAGTGGACGCTTTACGAGGCCCGACCCAGCGGCATCCTGCATCCAGCGTAGTGCCACGGCGGCTAGCGATTGAAATTGACCATTCAGGGGATAACCAGACGCGAGCCAGGGCGTCCTACCAGTCTTGAAATCCATCCTTCCTTCCTTGATATATTCCTTGCTTTCCTCGCACCCTATTCGCGATTCCAATCTGCCTCTAGTAAACCACACTGTATACTACTATCTACCTAAAGATATGTACGTTTCGGGTCGTGGCAAGAGACAGTGATATCCATGTCGAGCTGAGAAAAGAAGTGGGCACACGTTCCTCCGCCGCTTCATGATCCATCCCCATCATATCTCATGCCAATCTCACCTTCCCATGCAGACAAAAGAAAGTTTTCTGGGGAGGTAGCCCGCCCATGCAATCATGTGAGAGGAATAACGTCGGCGAATGTCTCAATGCGCCCCATGGAAAAAGAAAATATCTACACATCTACGTAAGGTAGTACTAAAGGAGTAAACTGCTCCGAGACCGTCTACAGGTTCCAGCATGGTTCTATTGAAAGGCGATTGGATATTGATTTGTATCGTCCCTGCTACCGTGCCATTATTCTCCTTGGAAAGAAGCAAGTCGTCGGATTTCCTTGTTATCTCTACACAGTCCCCCACTCAACTCCTTCAACCATCCCCTTAGTTCGCTTTGTGTCCCAGTTAATCGGCCCTTGCGTCCTCAAAAGAATGGCCCTGTAGGGAGACCAACTGAGACCCAACTCGCACCGACCACACCGAGTAGATAACGAACCTTGAGGAAAATATTAATTCCCACGTAAAAAGTATCCGTAAGCCTTCGGGCAACTTGACCTCCCACACCGCAACCCAGATCCAAAGTTAAAGCATGGCCATAGCTCAGATCAATAGATCACATAGTCACAACAAAGGCACTATGAATGGTTCCCGAAGCAAGCCGCGTCCTATTTCCGGCTCCTTTGTTGCCTCCTCAAAGCTTAACTTGCCTTCTGTTGTCTGATCCAGCCTCTGGGCTGGTTCCGCGTTGCAAAGCCTCCGTGGCAGGAGGCACTGAGAACTTGAACACTTCCCACCCCCGTTCCATCTACAAGATATTCCAATCATACATGATCTTATTCAAGCGCCCATGGCAATTTCCTCGGCCGTGGATAATCCAAAAGAAGAAGAACGATGTTATGTTCAGAAAAAAAAGGCACGGATGCGGCATCCTCGCCTACATCCCAAGGTTTCTCACAGCCCATCCAAGAAAATGTTTATCAACAGCCTCAAAACTTAAGAAATGGGTATAGAAACCTTCTTGAAAGGTTTATAAACATGTCCCTCTCCGTCCCCTTGCGTCCATAATCTTCTTCCCAACCCATCCCCCTTTCTCAGACAAAACCTCTGAATACAACCGCATTGTTATCAACAAAGACCCCAGGTTACCGCAGTCAAAGGAGTATCCTACCAAGCCATTACCACCATAAAAACATCTATTAACCTCTCCCAAGTCACTCTTTGGTCTTGACATCTTAATCCCCCAACGCTCATTCATAAATAAAAAAAAAACACCCAGCTACCGGCACACACAAACCATGTCCGCCAACCGGGCCGTCTGGCGCCACGGCCCCTCGTCCCGCAGAAGACGAGCAGCCGCCGCCGACACAAATATGTACGACGACGAGGAATCGCTGGCGGGCACCTACCGGTGCGTCGTCGAGACGTTCAACGTCCACTGCGAGGACTGCAGGCGATACCTGGGGAAGGGAGTCTCCCGGAACCCGTGCGATGGGTGCAAGTATAACCAGAGCAACTGGGCCTGCGATACGTGGTTCCTGTCGGAGAGGCAGGATAGTTTCGTCTCTGCATGGCGTTGCTACTATTGCGTTTCGGACGCCTTGCAGATACTGATGACATCGTGAGACCAGCGAAGGGTGAAGGGGCTTTACAGTCCAACCTCTCAAAGCGTGCTTAACTTATTCTGTTTCAATATATCTTATCGGCGGACAGCGTTGTGGTATTTTCTTGGATTTTCTCTCTTGCTGCGTTGGACAATTAGCACGAGCTTGTTCCGGGTCCTGTCGAAAACAACGTGTGAATAGCAGAGTTGAATGATATGATACGATTCACTTCTTTCGTGCCGTTGAATTAGATTTGTGATTATTTGCTACGTGAAGTATAGGGGATGCCTACTATGCACTAAAAATGCTTCCCCTTTACCCTCCTAGAACTCCTTTCCAAACCCAGCTTCCACCAAACACCTCGCAATTCTCGTTTGCAATTTGGAAAATAAGTAGGAAATCAGCTAGCCTTCGGAAGATGAACATGGAGAAATGAATACGCTTCACAGCCCCTTTCAACCAGCCCTTTTGAAGCTGCACACTCCGTAAAGAGCTCAGAGACTAAACCCATCGGATGAAGTAATGAGTAGGTATGGACAAGAGTCGTTCGGCAGGTGTCAATTGAGAATGTTTGTAGATCGTTTCGCCTTCAGGCAAAAATGCAAAGCTTCAACATGCAAACATAGTTCAAGAGGACCAGAGGCCTGGATTCACGACACCACCAAGAAGCGAGTGAGGGTCAAGCCTGCGCCAGACGCAGGCTGGCAGGTTGGAGGTTAGTGGGCGATGGTGAATCTCCATATCACACACACAGGCGAACGCACACAACTGCTTCCTTGAGCAGGCTTTCCGTTTCGTGGCGAACGCCGCTTGTGAGCACCTCTCAGGTCACTCAGCAACCCTGGGCATCCAAAGGACGAGATTCAAATGACGGAGTACGCGTCTGTCAACAGCCTGGTATCCATGTGAGGAACCTAGCGATAACGCCGAAAAATGCACCGAGAGAAGTCGGTATAGAGTAAGTATACGGTCATCAGTGACAGAAAAAAAAGAAAAGTTAACGCCATGCGCTTCGGCGAGAGGAGAAATGGAGACGATGGTACGATGTTGGAATTGTGACAAGGCGCCGGGCGCTGCCAAGGTCGTGCTTTTGTTTTCAAATCAAGCGAAGTAGCATCAGTCAAATCAGGCATCTCGAATGGTGCTTCGGCTTCCACTGGAAGGTGGATTAGAAACTCGATCAGGGTTACCCAATAATGAGAGAGCACAAGATCGTCATCATGAGACATCACTAAGATCCAGGGGCGGGCGCTCCAGCAGGCGCTCCCTGGCCGCCTTGTTGTTGCTGCTGGTACATTAGAGACTGGTACCAGAGTGCCACATAGTTCTGGTATCCGCCATCTGCCAAAGTGTTAGTATACCAAACGGTGGAAGAAAGATTTCACGTCAAAGTCTCACATTGGGCGTAGGGGTCAGCGCCATCACCGGAGGGGGCTTGGGATGGTGGGTTAGTAGAATGGCTGGGAGCTTGTCGAGAAGAGTTGTCCCTTCGGTCATGGTCCTGGCGAGGGCCACGGCCGCCGCCGGAGCTTGATTTCTGCTTCTATGAGGGTCGTTAGCTGGACATGGACCATAACTGTAAACAAGAGCTTCGGTGAGACTTACCACTGCCTCAACCTTCTCGTCGATGGCCTGCTTGGCACGCGCAATACTATCGCGGGTACCGATAAGAGCAATCTCCCTCTGAACCTCGTCCGGACCAGACGATTGAGCCACGTTGATTTTACAGCCAGTCGCGCTCTGCATCTCCCGAATCGTTTCACCTCCTTTACCTATAATCATGCCCACGGCCTCGGACGGCACGTAGATGGCATCGTTAATCTTGTCAGGTCCATTAGTAGCACCCATCCCGGGCCCATCTCGGCGGGGTGTGTCATTGCGGCTCCCCGGTGCGGGCTTGACACTTGGTGGTGCTTCTCCTCGGCTATCGCTGTCCACAATCTCCAGGATGAAGTCCTTGGCCTTGGCGGCAGCCTCTCGAGTTCCGATAAGGTTGACAGGCCTCAAGCCGTTGACGCTCTTCGATTCCCCGACAATGTTAATGTGGCATCCAGATCGCTCTTGGAGATCACGAATAGTTTCGCCTCCTCGGCCGATAATGAGGCCAACGGTACGATCCGGTACCATGATCTGCATATGGTCTTCACCGTCACGGAGGGCGGCCGCGCCGCCCTTACTCGGATCGCGGGGCTTCTCGTGGGCGCGGTTGAGGGGTCCCATACCGCTATCCTCGATGATACGGTTGATCGCTGTCTTGACTTCGGCACGAGCATGTCTCGGGCCGGTAATTTTGCACTGCCGGAAGGGTCCATTGTCGCTTGCCGGAAGGAACTGGACACGGCAGTTGGTGTCACCCTCGATACGCCTAAGGTTCTCTCCCTGACGGCCGATAATCAAACCAACCAGGCTGGATTCGATCTGAATTGTTTCTGACTGGTCATCCCCACCCCGAATAGGCGATCGCTCACGACCGCTGCCTCGGGGCGAAAAGGGTCGACCGCCCCTGGGTCCAGGAGAGTAAGAGCGTTCGCGGGCGTATTCTCGGCCATGTCCCCCTCGGCGATCATCTCGGTACATATTGTCGCCATGGTCACCTCGATGAGGGGATCGCGATCTTGACCTGCCATAGGGTCGCTCTGTATTTCTGGCATCGGCATTATAGACAATCGGACGGTCGTACGGGGTAGCGCCCTTCTCTGCGGCAGAGGCTCGAATCTTGGACAGTGCATCGTTGAAGTTCATGGTGCCCGAATTTACAGGTCGAATGGCACTGAGATCTAGGTTCCCGCTCGAGGCTGGCGCCGGGAGACCAAGGCCAGGATGTCCATATCCAGGAGCACCCGGTGGCGGCGGCGCTTGGTACAGGCCAGGCTGTGTCGATGAAGAGGGAGGAGGGTATGGGGCATTGCCAACATTTGGAGGAGTCTGCGTCGGCGTCGCCCCAGCTGGGGGTCTTTGCTGGGCTGAGGCAAAGGATTGGTCAGTTGGCCATTAAAAAAATTCGGTCAGGCGAACCCGAACCATCAGGGTCGTCACGAAACTTACCAAGGGCCGCGAGAATGCTCTGAATCTTGCTTGGATCCGCGTCCATGTTCACGTAATAGTATGAGAAAGGAAGGACCACGTCCAAGGGCTGCTGATGTTTGGAGTCTGGCAACGAGCGACGGCCGACAGTCGGTGAGGAGAGCAGGTCGCGCAAACTTCAGAGGGTCGGCAAATGCACAGGATCGTGGGCAGTAGAGGAATTAATCAAGGAGTAAATTAAGCGACCGTGGCAAGGTGGAAGGGGAGGAAGGGAAGAGGCCCGGCAACGCGATTCCTTGTTGGATGGGAGATGACAATAATGACACAATCTATGTACCAAAATTTCGCTGATTTTCGCTGATGGATGGCAGCAGCGCTCGACCGGCGCGATGGAAGGCAAGACCGTCAGTCTGCGGACCTCAGAGAACGAGTCGTGGAAATGCGCAAGGAAAACAACACAGGAGGAACGGTGCTCGCGAATGGTTATAAGAAAGTCAGGCCTTGAGTCCCTTTTTTTTTTTCCTGCCTAGGTGTGCAGATTCCGTCGCACAAACAGCACTGGGGCGCCTTGGATGGATAATTTACGTGAGGGAGAGAAGAGGTCCCTGCTTTTTATTAGACCCGTTTCGTGGATCGTTGGATTGGATTGGACGGCGGCCGGTACGTACCTCACCACCACGAATCGGCCTACCGACCCTACCCGCTGTAGCAGGCGCAACAGGACCCAACCGAGCAGCCTGGGCAGCACGCGCTGCACACCACCCACCACAGGACAGACGCCTCCATGCTACCGTAACGCGGTGCTACAGGTGGGGTTCGTCGCCCGAAAAGCAGATCCCAGGCCAAAGAAGGTGACAATTTTTTTCTTTTCTCCTGCATGTCATGGATACGATTTTTCCTGTTCAGGCAAGGTGGTCCCGCTGCCTTAAGCTGACTTAGCCTCACCTCTACGCTCGAAACTGCCCGAAGGAGCCTCCGATTCTCCCGCCTCATGTTCATTTCAAACAAATTGAATCCACAAATAAATTGTCATCATGCTCTACCAGCCTCAAAAAGGGTATTGACCAGCAAATTCCCACTTGGCTAACTTGGTGGACTCGGCCACCGATGCCACTATTCACCCTAGCATAACAGTTTCCATCAGTCATAGAAACCAACTACCGGGTCCCTGCGCAATTGCGAAAGAGACCCTGAGTTTCGGAACCTCGCCCGAAGGCATCATCAAGGCAAGGCCATCCGCTGACACGATGGCGCGAGTATTGCTTGCACGTGTCCCGTATGCCCGTCTTTCTCCCGGGCCTCCTTTGCCGTGTCTGTCACATCTGTGAACTTGCTACCTAACCCCTCAAACGGCATGTTATCCAGTCCAACAGAATAAGGTTCATATATATGGATAAAGAGAAAGCCAATTTGTTTACTCCTACCTTCCTACTAACAGTATATGCACTGTCTCAATATTAACAACATACCACAAGCTCACAAACCTTCCAGGACAACTCTTCGGCACTCGGACCGTCCGTCAAAAGCTGAACTTTATGATACTGGTCGGTTAACTACGAAGGCATCCGGTGGAAGCAAATCTGCCAATCTCCCGTTTCCCCATCATGCAATACTACCTACAAGTGCATGAAAGCCGTAGTGTTGACTATATATGTACACGTACCCATGCCGGTTCGTTGGCCCCGGGCACGCTCCTCGACTCGCCCGGCTTCTATAGCTTCCAGAACCCGGTCCTGCCAGACCCACGTCCCTTGATATTGGATCTGATAATGTACCAAGCAAGGCTGCCTTGCCCCTACAGCTGAGGAGGGCATAGAAGGAGGGTCTGCGTGACATTCTGACCCTTCCGTTGTCGGCTGACTGACTGGGCACTTCGGGACATTAAGTAAGAGAAATCAAAACCGGGAAGGACAATCGCCAATAAATTTCTATAGCAAGAAACGCGGTTCCGCCCGCTCTTTAATCCCACGTGCCCTGCCAAGCCTCCCTCCCTCAAGAAGAGGGAAGAATGCTGGGAGGGGGTTCGAGAGGCAAGAGCCATAACAGCTTCATGTGTTCCTCGTTAGAACCAGGCCGAAACTAAATAGAGGGGTATAAAGTGTGTTTTCATTATTCAAGATTCATACAGCAAAGATTCATACAACAGAGGGCAAATCCCCCCTTTCGTTAATAGTAATACAAGTGTCCCAAGACGTGCAAAGTTCAAAATATCGATCCAACGCCAATCATCCCAGCCCAGGACTGCCAGCCTTCAGCGTCGAGAATGGCAGGATCGACCATCATCTCACCAGCCGACTGAGCAGAGTCAGCCGTGAAGTCATTCATAGCCTGGTGGTGGAGCTGCACCGGAGCCTCCCATTGATGCTGAACCGCCACCTCCTGAAGTATCTTGGACGTCGTGGGATCATACAACAACGCCTCCTCGGCACCGCAGCGCGAGATGCTCGAGGAGCACTGCTGGCGGTAGAGGGCAGTCTTCGTGATCAAGTCATTCAGGGGCTTCCACAGAGGGTCTGCCGACGCCTCCTTTGGCAGTATGTCGAACACGGCCTTGGTGGCGATCCAAGCCCTCTCGGGCACCGGCCCCCACGGCTGGCGGTACAGATGGCGGAGGATGATGCCCATTGTGTGCCAGGGGACGTGGCCGTGAACATGCCACCTCCAGTCCTCGTAGTCCCTCCCTGTTTTGAGTGTCAGCACTGATTCAACCACGCTGAGCGATGCTGCAAAGATCTGGCTCTGGAGAATGATGTCTGAGACTGTGCCGGCCTTTTCCCCCGCCAGTCTTCGGTCTCGAAGGCCCTCAAGCAAGATGACGACTTCGATCTTGGAAAACACCAGTGTGACCAGTGTCCGAATATAAGTATCGAATGGGACATCAGGCCTTAGTTTCTGGAGATACTGGGTTTCAATCCTAGTGCGGAAGGTATTGATGATATCGAGACGTAGTTGAAGCGGCTTGTCCGGCGCAGGTTCGAGCTTGCGCATCGCACGCCAGATCTCGCATCGAATCAGGCACAAGGTCACCTCCCCTGACTTGAACTCCACAGGCTGCGTCGGCGCATCCATCAGAACCAGATCGGTGCTGTCTATCGGCAACGGCATCTTCGTGTCGAACAGGGCCTCCGTGACGAACAGATCAGGAGGGATGTCCGGGTCCCGCGAGCAAGAGTCCGTGAAGCAGATGTGCCACCACAGTCGACGGCGCATCTCGGCCTCGAACAACGACATCTTCTCGTCGTGGGACCCGTCCTTGTGGAGCTTCATTGATATCGCGAGCCGGAGGACCAGCCCAGTAATTGGCCGGGCCAGCTCAGCACAGCCAATGTGCGGGAGGATGGCGACGTAAAGCACCAATGCTCTCAATACAGTAATATCCTTGGTCATCATATAGTTTGCACGCATGAGAGCTTGCTCGGCGGTCTTTTTGAACTCAGGGAGCATCTCAGATTTCGGGCGGCCAAAGTGGGCTTCCACCTGGTCAGAGTCCATCGATGCCATGGCCCCGAAAGAGATAGCAGCAACCAGTGCCTGATTCGCCGAGCTGAGCGTATTCACCGGTCTTCGCTGGAGAGACTGGAATAGAGTATTGACATCTGGGAGGTGAAGTATCTTTGTAAACGGGTCCACCTTGCGGATATAAGTGTCCCATATGAGTGGCATCTGAGAGGTTGAAGGATAGACGTCGTCCACAGGTGAGGATATAGAGGCGAATCCCAACGAGGTTTGCGGACTAGAAGATGCTCGGCTTCCTGTTCCTCCATACAAAGCCCCCGCTTCATCATTGCCCTCCTCAACATCCTCAACAGCGCGAAAGATGTTGTCAACTTCGTCGCAAAAGACCGTCCAGAAACGACGGCCGATATGAAGCGCTCCGTCCTTGGCGACAACCAGGCGTCCGAAATCCTCGCCCAGATCATCTTCTGAGATAGCCTGGAGGCCGTCAACCGGGGCCGGCCAGGCCTCGCCAGTCGACGGCGGCGTAGAGGCTGTTGCTGACGCGGAGCTTGACCTGGGCGTCACTTGGAAGGAAAAGTTTTCCCCAAGCCCCTGCTCCCTGGCTCCCTCCTCGACTTGGGCAGACATCTCGGTCACGACGGCCTCCAGCCGCCTCAGCCTGCTGATCAGCTCATCCTGCCTCTGGGCGCGGTTGCCGCTGTCGTCCTTGGCGGGTCTGCGCCGGGGGAGCCGGCCGGTGACTGGGTAATGGCACTCAATCCCGTTCCGCATACAATTCTTGCAAGTTGGGTCAACGCGGTCGCAGCGGACTTTGCGCCTGCGGCACGTCACGCAGGACCAGATACGGAGACCAGCGGCGTCTCGGGCCAGGAGGCCCTCTGGGCCCTCGGACTCCATCGTGTGAGGGGCGACTAGGTGATCCGGGATCAGTCCAGGGCCGAGATGGGCGATTCCCGTGCTTGTTTGCTTGGCTTTATCTCTCAGACAGAGAAGTTCGCAGGCGATGCTTGGCCGTGAAAGGATTTAGTAATTTCCATTGACAGACGTCACTTCAGACCTCGCTATATGCTCGAGAGCCTCGACTCTAGACTCGGCAGTTGGAGGCTCGGTCTCGGACGTCGCCCTTACTACCCCTTTCGGAAGATAGTGGGACGCCCGGGCGTGATGGCCGGGCTGCATAGTCTCGAGTTGCTCAAAACCGTGAATGGGCTGAATTGATATAAGTTCGGCCGAAGAGCACTCTTTGGTTGATGGGTGAATGCCAGGCTATGTCCTCGCCTTCACTGACTTTGCATCCAAAACCACTGAGAGCGAACATCATGGCCGAAACGACCGATCCCGACCTCGAATCCTATTTAAATGGCATTCCGCACGACCATGGCGTGCCACAAAACCTGGATCATCGAACAATCTCAATTCTAACGTCTATCTCATTCAAAACCGATCACAATGTCTAAAACAGTCGTCATCCTCGGGGCCGGTTGGGCTGGCCTTCCGCTCGCCCACAAACTTCTCAAGTACACCGTTCCCAAGCTGTCTCAGTTGAAAGTCATCCTTGTCACGCCAAATTCTCATTTCTTCTGGAATGTCGCCGCTACGAGAGGAATGATCCCTGGAGAAATTTCTAATGAGGAGCTTTTTCTTCCTATTGCGCCTGCTTTCGCCAGCTACAGTCAGGATAACTTCGAGCTGGTGCTTGGTAAAGCGGAGGGGCTTGATATTGAAGGCAGCAAAGTGGCTGTTTGTATGACTGAGGATGGCAGCCATAGAGATATCGCCTACGACGAGGTAGTCGTCGCCTCCGGATCCAGCATGCGAGGTGGAATACCACTTAAACACGTGGGGGCACAAGATCAGATGGCCGCCAGCTGGAAGGCCCTCCAGGAGAAGGTCGCTAATGCAAGATCCATTCTCATCTCGGGAGGTGGCCCAACTGGTGTGGAGGTTGCTGGGGAGCTTGCTGCTCGTTACAAGGAGAAAGACATCACGCTGGTATTGAGCGGCAGCAAACCGGTGACAAGCGCAATCACATCGGTCCAGGACATTGTAGACAAAGACTTACAAAAGCTGGGGGTGAAGCTTATCCGCAACGCCCGTGTCGCCAACACAACGACCTCGAGCGATGGAAAACAGACAGAAGTGTCGCTCTCCAATAACCAGACGAGTTCGGTCGATCTTTACCTACCTCTGCATGGTTCTGTCCCCAACACATCGTTCCTGCCGCACTCCCTTCTCGATGAATCTGGCAATCTGAAACTCGATTCATACATGCGCGCCTCGGGAGCCAAAAACGTGTGGGGAATCGGCGACGTTGGCGATCTGGAACCGAAGCAGCTCACGGTAACGGACAACCAGATCGTGTATCTCGCCGGGGCGCTGGATGCTGCGCTGACGGGATCTGGCAAGGTGGCTGAGTACAAACCGATGGAGAAGACAATGATCTTCGTCTCATTGGGACGGCGATTCGCAAGCGGACAGATTGGAGGGTGGAGACTGTTCGGATGGATGGTCAATCTAGTCAAGGGGAGGAAGCTCTTTGTTGACACGGCGAAAGGGTATGTGGACGGCAAGCACCTGAGACACGCGGCGATGTAGGTGGTGGGCCCTGTAGCACTACCTCGGGCCCTTGTAGGAAGCCGCCGTCAGGGGATTTAGCTCACGGTTGCGCACCGGAAGGTGGGGTGGCAGCACATGCTGCCCTATAATACGAGGCGCCCTGGCCCTGGAGCCCTGGAGAAGGGTACCTGCGCCGCTGCTGATGTCAGGTGGGCATCGCATGGCATGATGCAGCGAGGCAGGTTGGACAGTGCCTGCATGTCTTCGCTGGCATGGAGTGTTGAAAGAAGCATTAATCTAGACTTATGATCTATAATGAGAGCAGATGGTATATTGTCGCCAGATCCAATAACCTCCTGCACGCTGCTCTCACAAACAACAGGCGGCAAGTCCAATGGGTGGCCGTGGAGGTACTTAACGCCATACACATGCCTGCCACGACACGCGTGTTCGTATTTACAATGCCCAGACACCACCTGCAGCGCTTTGCCTCATAGTACATATTTTTGCAGACAGACTGACACGAACGGGTTGGTCGGATCGCTCGTCTAGCCCGAGTTGAGCTGCGGGATGGGAATTATTGGACTATTAAATATTACGCGGCCACCTGCCCAATCAATCCCTTCCTAACTGGAGTAGACCTGCACTGCCATCATTGATCCGTAACCTCCGATCCTGACGGACTGACAATAATCGTACGGCTAGAACGTCTTGCTTTCGCCCTTGACTTTTTTCCTTAGCCATCGCCTTTGTTTGCCCTCGCCGCCTCGCGGGACTTGCACCCTATGCCATGATTCACAACCTCATGCTTCTCGTATAAGCGCACTCGCTAGACTTCAAGACCATCACTTCCGTCCATTCGTACCTACCAACCAACCAGCATTCATACGTACACAGACACTCAGCCACTCCTTCGCTTGTTGGTTGCGACAATCGTTTCGAACCCCGATACACAACACATACATCCCCCAACTACTCAACTTGCGCCGTCCCGTTCAATCGAGCCTCAATGTGCACTCACACGGTCCTCGAATACAAATGCAAGCACCGCGTCCCTAGGGGCAGCACAAGATGCTATCGCGATGATTGCCCTGGTAAGAGGGAGGAGGTGATCACGCGCGTCGACGATTGCCCCCAATGCGAGCTCCACGTCGCGGTGCGCTCTGCAAGATGGTAGGTTCGAACTGGATTGGATGATGGATTTACCTTCTGGCCACCGCACAAGGAGAGTAGCTAACGTCGGTCGATTGACTAGGTGCCCCATGGGCTGCTGCAACTGCTGCCGCGGACGCTGTACAGTAATGTAAAACGATCAGACCCGTGGTGGGCTGGTTCTGTCATGAAAGGCGAGAGGCAGGGGCTGGCCAAAGCTTTGACCCAAGAAGGCCTAGCTGGGATCACTCCGGGGTAACATATGAGGGTCGCATCGCGCCTAAGGGTGTCGACCTGATCCCCAGTCGTGGGCAGTGAGCATCCGTTCAGTTTGGGTGGAGGAACATCAATTGAAAGGCTGGAGAGCCTCTTTGGCAGCGTGAACGAGGGACGCCAAACGACGAACTGCCTATCCGCTTATCTACCAATCCGCGGCTATGGCTCACCTATCCCTATCCTTGAAGCGATCCACGTGCGACGATTTTATCCATGGACAACGGCGAGGTCTTTGTATGCCAATACGGCCAAATGATGTCAAGAAAGAAAGAAAAAATGAAAATGAAACTGCAGCAATCTTGGGTTTTTGTTTAGGCGAATATGGTGGGCGGCCTTTGATTTTAGAGGGAACGGCAAATGGGAATTCTTTGATTTTTCTTTTTTCTTTGTTTTAACTTCTTGTGCCACATTCTCCTGAGCTACCTACTGAGCGAAGTTGTACGAACGAGAGCATGTATGTCCAAAACGCTATCAACGGACGCCAGGCCTGAGAAAAAGTATCGTCAGCCAAAAATCCTGTCAAGTGTAGAGGAGTGTGTGAAAATCCAAGGTCATATCCTCATCTATCCTTGATCTTTTATTAACAGGCCCGTCCCCTGACGACTACTCATTCCAATGTCCTGATGCTATTCACTTCTATCCGAGTTTAAGACTCATTATCCTACTTGCCTGCACAGGTGGGTAGTGGAAAGGCCAGGCAAGCCAGCAGCGTCACAAGTCTTGCATGTTGTCACAGAACATGGAATGCACACTTGAATTGTCTCCATACATTTCATACACTTTCCTCGACAACACTTACATTGATGTATTCCGAGACTATTGCCATTAATACATTGCAACATTCACATATTTGCAGAGTCAAGCTTAGACACGGCGCTGTGTCCGTGTTCTCGATTACCTTAGGTCTGCTTAATGGCCTTTGCGCGCTTAAAATTGAATCCCAAACTCTCCCCATGACGGTAGAATCTATGGCTACCAAAGAAAGAAACAATTTCGAACACGTCCACTCCGAATTGCCCAAATCCACTTCGCCCTCAGGGGCCGTGATTGAATACTCAGGCCTTGTAATAGAGAGCGCAGTGTGCACATCATCTTATGAACATCAGCCGTGGGAGCTTCGTCTAGTTCTTGGGCCGCGAGTTGAGCTGTAGACTCTTTGATGGATCATATGGCGCAAGAGTCTTTCATGCTAACAGATCCTCCAAGCCCGCAGTATATCTCCACAATCTCACTGCTGCGCCCATATAGAGCTCTACCTACTTATAGTATCACATTCAGTTCGTCTCAAATTAGCTTAAAGAACTTATTTGCCTTGATTCTCTCCACCAGATTATTTGGATGCCCTTCCTGCGTAACAACAGCACCGGCCTGGCGACTTAAGACTCTAATTTCCTCATAAGCTTGTTATCTCGAGATTTACACAGCACACTATTGCATGATGAGCCCTTCTCCGCATGAAAGAATGCCTATATTGACGTATTTCTACCATTATCCGAAATGTAAGCAAAGTGGCATGGGGTTGGGGGATTAGATGCGTGTGGCTCCCAGCACTGATTGACCGCCCCGAGCCAATGGACCTTCCATGTTCCAGACGTCCCCATTGACTTAGCGCGCCTTCCCCGCCAAATAGTACCTGCGCAGGCAGAGCTACCGAACCACCAGCGGTCCTACAGGGATGCAGGTGCCTGCAAGCTACTGGGGTCGGAGGGCATCCATTGGAGGTTCAGGCCAAGGATGACGATGGATGGATCCCAACGTTACCTCCATCCTTTTCCACCAGCCAGTACACAATCTCTCTCCACTTTCCCACCCAACAGCCCATCGTACATACGGCGCACATACATCAATTGCAGACGTCCATACCTGCTCTTCTAGCTTCCTGATCGTCCTGCGCCAACCTTCTCCCCCGCCTGCACTCGCCTGTTGTGGGATATCACAGGCGCCCGGTCCGCCATGGCGAAGAAAGCTCGTCAACGAATTAGCTATGGTGAGACAGACTCCTACACGCCAATTGCCTGCCTGCCTACTGCCTGGCGATTATCCCGCTGATGTAGTATCTCGCGTGGCCCAGAGCATGCCCCGCATGGGACACGAGCTCCGGCTTTCCCTCGCTACATGCAAGCATTCAACATGCCCAGGAGGGGGCTTCTTGCATATTGTAACACCAGCAGTCCATTTACTAACATGCGTGGGAAGTTCTCGAGAGCGCCAAGAGCTCGGCGGGCGGCCACCGTCTGGGTGTCAATGGCCTCGCGGTCGATCGCGACAACAACATCCTGTGAGCTCTCGGCACCACACCCAGCGCAAGCCATACCCGATCTACGCTAACCGATCGCTTTAACTGTGCAGCTTCTCTGGTGGTCGAGACGGCATAGTGTGCGCTTGGGACCTCAACCTTGATCTCAACAATCCCCCGAGCAAATCGACCGACGATGCCGATGCGAACAAGGAAAAGACCTCCTCCAAGCTCCGAGCGCAAACCCAGGCGCACATGGGCTGGATCAACGACATTGCCTGGGCCCAGAACGGCTCGGCCTTGGTAACGGCGTCGTCTGATCTTACTGTCAAAGTTTGGAGACCACATTCGGCTGAGACTACCGAAGCGCAACCCATAGGTGCGCATGCCGACTATGTCATGCGCCTTGCTACCCCTCCAGCCGACATGAATGCCAATTGGGTAGCATCCGGTGGCCTTGATCGCAAAATATGTCTCTGGGACTTGAACGGCAAGGGTCAAACGCTCGAGATTGATGTGCAAGGAGAAGAGATTCCGGCCAAGGGTTCCGTATACTCTCTGAGTGTCGGCCGTAACATCATTGCGTGCGGTGGCCCCGAGAAAACTGTGCGCTTATATGACCCAAGATCGGGTGAGAAGGTCTCCAAGCTCGTCGGCCACCTTGACAATATCCGTGCCATTCTGATTGACGACGCCGGTGACACCATTCTGAGTGCCAGCTCTGACAAGACGATCAAGTTGTGGAGTGTGAAGAATGGCCGTTGCATTTACACATACACAATGCATGAGGATAGTGTTTGGTCCTTGTATTCTGACGACCCGCGCCTCGGCGTTTTCTACAGCGCCGATCGCTCGGGTCTTGTAGCCAAGACCGATGTGCGAGGTAGCTGGGACGATATGGATGACGGGCTAAGTCTTGCGGTTATCCAGGAGCATTCATCGGTTTTCAAGGTTGTTGCCGCTGGTGGACACATTTGGACAGGCACTGAACACTCATCTATCCACCGATGGGCTGATGTTGATACAAGCGACAAGACACAGTTCTCGGATGCCTTCAAACGTGATCGCGCTACCTCGGCTGCGTCCAAGAGGCCACGAGAGTCCTCTATTTCCTCTGCCGCTGAACCAAGCCCCAAAACGGAGACAGCACCATCTCAGTCCATTCTCAGGATTTCAAACACAGCCTCGTTTCCCATGCGGCCAGCAGTTGGCGTTGATTCAAATGCCAATGGGGAGAATATTACAAGGAAAATGTCCGAGATCGTCATTGAACAGCCAGACTTTGAGCCGAAGCCGATTCATTCTGTGCCCACCGAAACAATTGAAGGTCAATTTGGCCTCCTTAAGCACAAGCTACTAAACGACAGAAGGAGAGTCCTTACTCTAGATACCGCAGGCGAAGTCATGATGTGGGATCTAATAAAGGTGAGTTGGTGTTGTATCCGGCCGTGAGAAGGTTTGTTAACAATGTTTTGCAGTGTGTACCGATCCAGAGCTTTGGGAAGCAGCCTCTCGAAGATGTGGAAAGAGTTGTCAATACTCGTGAGGCTGTAGCGCCCTGGTGCTCCGTCGATTCAAGTTCCGGAAATCTTTCAGTAGTCCTAGAGCCGTACAATTGCTTTGACGCCGAGGTATATGCCGATGAGCTAGAGCTCGAGGAGCCCGTCGAGTTCAGAGAAGACCAGAGAAGTAGGATCCATACCACTGTCGCCTCTTCCGACGCTGAAGCATACTAACCATCTTTGCAGTCAGTCTCGGGAAGTGGATCCTTCGCTACCTATTCGCCAATCTCATTGATGCTGAAATCAAACAAGACGAAGAGTATAGGCGGGCACTGGATGAGGGCAATGAGACGAAACGCGTAGCTGCTCGAGCAAACGCACCAACCTCAATTGAAATACCCCGACCCAATCTACAACTCGATACATCTGACAAAGTATCGACTCCCCGAGCCACGGGAGCGCACCTTGTACCGACTACGCCAGGGCTTGCAATAGGTCTTGCTACCCCTGCTCCGCTTACAAGCCTTCCAAACGTTCCAGAGGGTGTAGTCTCAACCCCCTTGAGTCCATTGGAAAAGCGCCAATCCCACGCAAGCCGCCAGTCGACAGATAATGACTATTTCACAAGCACAATTGGGCCTGCTGATGGGGGAGCAAAGCCCGCTGTTACTACACCAGCTGCCACACCGGCCGCGGAGACACCCGATCCTAAGACTCCTGCAGAAGGTCCGAAAGGGAAGGATAAAGCAGTGGAGAACGGCAAAAGCACTCCATTTGGGAAATTCCGGATGTTTGGGTCGAAGAAGCTCAACAGATCAGCCTCGCAAACGGCGCCGGAGAAACCTGCAATCGTGGACGAGAAGGCCGAAGAGTCAGAGTCTTCATCAAACCACGAAAAGGAAGTAGACGACAGCTTCTATGGCGTCATCCAGAAGATACGCAATGACTACGACAGACAAGCAACCGAGCAGCCAGACAAGCCAGTCGAAACGGGCGTAACCCCCAGCCTACCGGGCGATACTCCTGTACTCAAGCTGCCTCCCAACACCAAGGTCATCATCCAGGAGGAAACTTCTGGTGGAAGTGCGAATATATATCAAGGCACAGTCGAAACTGTTGGGAATGATGCGGAAACTATTGAGCAGAAAGCTCCCATGTGGCTTGGGCATTTACTTCTACAAAACCAGGTCCCATACAAGGATCCTGTGAAAGTCTCATTTGTACTGCATCCTCTGGGAGACCTGCCCGCAATTGCAACTGCGGATGGCAACAATAGACTAAATGCAAACAGAATGCTGAGAGTCAAGAAGATTCTGGCATATGTGGCTGAGCGAATTGAGAAACTTCCAGAGGAGCCGGAGCCGGATGCCCTTAAGCCTGAGGAATATCTGGAACTGTACTGTAACGACCAGGTAAGATCTCCCTTCCTCCAAGGTGCGAATGAGACTGTCGCTAACCCTCTAAACTATAGGTGCTTGACCCGTTGATGAGCCTAGCAACTTTGCGAACCCACGTATGGAAAGGCGGCAATGACATTGTGCTACATTATAAATCAAACGGCCGCAAGGAGATTCAGATTGCGCCTCCACAACCGGAAGAGCCAGCTGAGGGAACTGAAACAACGGCACAGGATGCACCAACAGGTAGCGAGAACGATGATACAACCCCCAACCAATCGACAGCCTGAGGCTGAATACCGGTCGTTGGTATCTATTTTATGAGATGGGGATAGCCCGCCTTCCCCTTTCGTGGCGTTTCTTGTCAATAATGTACATATGAACCGTAGCAGCCTCTTTCTAGCTGGCTGTATATAGCGTGGTTGTCTGTCTAAGTTTATATATTACACCTGATAAATAGTAGTAGCAACAAGCGGAATGAATAAAAGGCGTGATTAGTACAGTGGACTGTAAAGCCATAACGGGTCGTTGCTCAATTGCTTTGGCGAAGCATGTCGTATCCTTGCCGGGAGTTCGTGCCTTCACACACCTCATGATGCTTTCATAACACAGCCGTCATGGTATTAATGACCCATTGATAACTTCCCAGGAAGATGGCGCCACCGATCGAAATCCAGGTTACTCGGGGCACCACGCCCGCGAAGAACGGCCGCACCCCCTCGGTCCGAGCAATCTGCGAGAAGACCTGGGAGACCGACACACGCTGCTCGGAGAGCATGACCCGCGTCTTGAGGACGTCCAGCGGCGTCGTCAACGCGGCCGATATACCCCCCGCGATGCTCCCGTACAGCGCGCTCTCGAGCGCCGGGACGTCTGTGAGCCCTCGACCCCTTCCCTCACCCTGCTGCCGCCGCCTCCTCCCCCACGCCTTCATGGCCTCCCACAGCGGGAACTGGATCATGGTGAAGGGCACCTCGCGGAAGACGGTGATCCCCCAGCCGCGGTACATCTCACGCCAGACGGCGACCAACCCCCCGCTGGAGTGGTACTTGCCCAGGATGGCGGCGAGGGCTCGCCGGCTCGAGCCGCCGTGCAGACCCGCCTGGGCGCGCTGCTTGACGACCTCGGTGGGCACGCGGACGGCGCAGGCGGCAACCTCTCCCGCGCTGCCCGCGAGCATGTGCACGAGGGGGCTGTCCGCGCTTAGGGGTGTGCGGCGGGCGAGGAGGGCCTTGACGGACTCGTAGGTGCAGAAGAAGAAGGCTGCTCCGGGCGCGGAGCCCACGACGGCGGAGCCGATGCCGCGGTAGATTCCGGAGAAGCCGCCGGAGGGGAAGAAGCCGGCCGAGGACTGGAGGCGGGTCTTGAGGGTGTCGAGGGGGAAGAGGGAGAGGTCGACTGTCGTGCCTGCGAGGCCGCCCGCGAGGAGGGCGGTTTGGAAGGACGGTTCTGTGGAGGGCATGGCTGCGCGCGGGGGAGCGGCGGAGGGGACGCCTTCGCTTTCGATTGGGGAGGGTTTGTCGGGCTTCGGCGTGTTAAGTGAGCATGGAGATTGCAATTGGGTGATTCTTCGGAGCTTTGGCACGGAGGAGAGGTTGATCGAGCGGTTGCGGATGGGAGGGGTTGGGCCAGAGGCCGCGATAGCTTGGAGCTCTGGTTGCTCAGGTCGCGTGAGGGCATAATGAAATTTTGGGGCCGAGCTGTGGTAATGGTTATCGATAAGCGGGTGGTCTCCGAAGGTCGGACCCCGAGCTCTCTCGGAGCTCTGTACGACGTCCTACCCTATATACCATCGTGTTGGCGCACAATCTTGTCCATCCGACAATTTTTAAATATGTTTTGGTAGATCTAATGTGTATTCTTCGAGTCTATATAGCTTCTAGTATTTGTTAATCTGGGTTTTCGGTGAGTACTTGCTGTTGTGGGGATATGAGCTGTTTGGTGCATTTCAACTCAATTGGAAGGCAAGCATCACCACACTCGACACAGGATAACCACAACTCAAATGACCAACGAACAATTATAGAAATTACTAGGTACGTAAAATAAGATGTACAACACAGCAGGGGTCAGCATGCCCCATTCCCACGGGCCTGCTTCACATACTATCCCGCATGCTAGTCCCCGCCTTGGCCGTCTCCTCTGCAGCGCGCTTGGTCTGTTCCTGCAGCTTCGCAGTCTCGCCGGGGCTGGACGGCGTGTGGTCGCGGTCCGCCCGGATGGCCTCCTCGCTGTCCGACGCCAGCTCTGGCTTCCAGTGGCCCTTGCCCTGCTTCTGCTTGGCGAGCGAGTCGGCCTTGTGCTTATCGTAGTCGGCGCCTGGAGTCAAGCAGGTTAGCAATCAATGGAAGATTCTTGTACGGCCGCCTCCAATTGATGGCAAAGAGTGTCGGATTGAACTGGACTTACCGCTGGCTGACTCCTTCAGACCGAGGTAGCTACTCGTCGTGAAGGAAAAGTTTCGGCCCACGGCGACAGGTCCCATTACCGCGCTGCGGAGGGACTGGCTGGTGATGATTGCTCGGGCTGACATGGTGAATTGGGTGAGTTGTCGTATTCTGAGCCACAGACGGTTGATTTGACGACAATTGGCCAGGGGTCAATTCAATCAATCGGTATATATAGGAGAAGATATCGGTCCAAAGGGTGAAGAGGAGGATGACGCCGTGTGAAACCAGAGCCATATATCGGTCCATGTCTTCTTGACGTCACCACTGGTCATCGCCCCAGGAGCGATGGCGATGGCGATGGCTTCCATATACGTTAAGGACACTACCCAGTTTTACCTCGGCGAGATCCATTTATAAGAGACCCATTTGCAACAGCATTGCTAAGCACATTTACTACCCTAAGAGTGGGAAAGTTAACAGAGTTCCATCGAGATCCCCGCACAACGAAGGTTTCCCTAGCGAGGTCTCATCACAGAGCAATGCTGGCTATCACACCACATCACCTGTACATGGCAAACTATTGAGAGACATGCAATGCGACAGAGCTCATTCAATGGAACCAAGAAATGCTTGAACAAATCGTGTTATTCTCGTCTGGCAAACCCTGGGTATTCCAGAGGCCAAATACAAGCGCCTAAAAAACATCATACATGACCTGTAATTCCGCTTCCTGCAACAATGTGCAAAAACACCAGGGCAACCAAAGGCCCGCGATATTTCCCAATGCAACCGTCCCACGTCTCCCAAGATCATGTGTCATTTCCCAAAAACCGCCCACTCCGTATGCTTGTAGCAGAGAATATCTTCCCCAGACGAGACAAACCAATCCCTCTCATAACTGCCCGAGGGGAATCCTGAAAAATGAAAAAAGTAAAAAATAATACGCAAAGAGAATAATAAACGGAGGACAAATATGTGCTGGTGGTGGCCAATCACCCTTGGAACATGGTACAAAGTGAGGCGAGAGATTGGCTTCCACCAGTCGCTCACCTCATTTTGCCAAGGGAAAGGGCGCAGAACCTCTCAAAATTCGACCAACTCCAGATGATCCCAAATAAACCAGGCTCCAGCTCCCAAGTATGCGCAATCAAGACAACGCTCACCACTGCCCCAAGCTCTTTCCCTGAAATGACACAACAGGTTATCCGTTGACCAACCCAATAAAAAAAGCACTCCTTCTATGTTGTGTTCTTTCTCTCTTTGATGATTTCATGAAGCCATGATGCAAAATAAAGAGAAGATATTTTGGTAGTTTTTTTCCCGGTAAGCAAACATCGCCACTCATTTCCGTGATAATAATAAGTCATGGCTGGTATTCCGAATTTCCCCAGACCGCCCAGGTGACACCGACGCAAAAAAGCATCAATAACTTTATAAAAAAGTGCAAGAACCGTAATTAAAACGCCCAAAGGTGGTCGTCCAGCTTCGTCTTTAGGAGCGGACACCAATTCCCAAAAGAATATGTTTTTTGTAGAACGAGAACGAAAATGGTATCGATCTGTCTTGTGACGCGCCAGTTGTATCCTCGTATAAAAATCCTTTGTCGGTAAACAGGGGTATTGTCGAATTAGTTGTTGTACAGATAGGTTGTTTTCATAAAAATTGTGCAATGAGCCAACAGAAGGTCCACCTGCTTCAAGCAGATGGACCGAAGAAGATTAAAATTTAAAAAAATTTCATGAGGAGTACCAGCCCGCCGAGAAGATCGTTGCCAAAATGCCAAGTTCAACCTTTAGGGGTTGGTGACCGCCAAGACGACAGCTGCAGACGGGTCATCTTACAGGGTCATGGATGCGGAGATTGCATCGATGACCATGGAAGATTCGGAGAGCACACGACGGTTTTACCATCGTCGGCCCATGGACTGCTGCATCTTGGCGGGAGACACCGATGAAGGAGGGCTTGACATGGTGATGCCAGTGGCCGGGTTGATGATGGGAATGGCATTGCGGCCGCGGGTGGCTGCAGGCTGGTGGAGCTTCAGGCTGGGCTGGCTGTAGGTGGGGGGAGGAACAAAGGGAGGAGAGGCCGAGTTGAGCAAGAAGCCGGGAGCAACACTCTGGGGTTGTTGCGTGGGAGAGGATTGAGGAGAGTTGCTCGCCAGCGAAGATCGCTCAGAGGAACTCGAGATAGAGACCAACTGAGGCGATGACCTGTTAGACGCTGATCTAGAGCTGCAGGGCGAACCGAAGGGAGTACTCACGTCAACCTCGGTCAGGAGACCAGGGCAGAACTCCATATCGTCTTCGAGATCGAACGAGCGGCTGGTCTCGAACTTCATGCGGAAGGCTGAGAGAGCGGCGGAGTCGTTGAGCTCCTTCATGCTGCGCACACCTCGGAATTGCCTTTGGGTGTTCTGGGTCATGGAGAGACGAGGAGCTCGACGATTGCGGCCTCCGTGGTTGTGAGTGGGAGCTCCGGGGTGCGCAGAGTGCGCATTGTGCATGCTATAGTACGACATGGTCTAATTGTGTGATGTGTATGCGCAATTAAACCAAAACACGGGAGTGCTTTGGCTGGTGTTGGAGTAGTTGCTTTGTGTTGAGTTCGCCGTTGGTCTGCGCCGTTGTTGCTGTGCGGGATATTACAGCAAACAAACAAAAACAAAAAAGGCCGGTCTAGGAAGCGAAGCGAAGGCGAGAGAGAGCAAGAAGGATCCAAAGGAGATTCGTTGGTCTGGAAGAGTTGCAATGGTCGTTTAAGATGCTGATGCGAGAAGGAAGAGCGGTGTTGGTGGGAGGTGTTTGTATGTGTGCGAGACGAGAGAGTTGTGCGTGGGTGGGTGGGTTCAAAGAGGTAGGTAGGAGGCGTATGTAAAGAAGCAGGAGCTGGGAAGGAAGAGGGAGGTGTCTAATGTGGACGGGCGGGAGAGGACTTGAATTCGGGGGATGACAGGCAGCGGGTTTTGTTGGTTGGGGCCCTGGGAGATGGGCACACCGCTGGCGAATGGGGTGCCGCAAACGGGGGGCCCACTTCCTTCGCCACCGCCGGGTTACTGGTCTAACTCGCTGAGCGCTAGACTGCATTCGGCCCCAGGAACGTCCTAGAGGCGCCACGGAGCAATTTTTGGGTGTGTTTACGCATATGTAGTGTGTACCTGATGGGCTGCCGCACAGTGTAAGCAGCGCATACAAGGACAGTGCCGCACCCACGCTACAGGCTACCCTGGCCGGGACCAAGCCAAACCGGGCCAGAACCAGCTGGCTTCGTCCAGGAGGGACAAGACAGACGGAAACAGGGCAAGACAGTCAACAAACAGCGCCATGGGTGCAGACCGTCCTGTCAGCGCCCTCTGGTCTGTCCTCCGTCCAGCGCGGAACCAGTGCTCAAATTAGAAGACCCCCTCCTAAAAATTGATCCGTCTCCGAAGGCAATGGAAGGAAGCTTCTCTTGCCTATCCGGCCCCTCACTTGGCTGCAGGTCGTCGTTCAAAATAGTAGCATCGAACCTGTTCGCTTCCGTGCGTCGTGGTTGGGCAGCGTCCTTGGGGAACCATCCAAGCAGGTCAGGCAATAAGGTGGTTGGAATGAAGCGCTCCCACCTCCCTCCCGCCAGCTCACTCGCCTTGCTACCCACAAGGGCACTCCAGAGTATGATCAGGGGAGTACAAGTGTACATACGAGACTCGATGTTTGGCCAAGAACGGGGTCGCCCCCCCATGGTGCGGCCAATCTCCTTGTCGCACATGACCTGAACGCATCTCCACCTGTACACAGAAAGTAGTTGATCATGCACCCATTGTTTGACATTCCACTCCTGCCACCAGGCGAGTCCGGCGCTTGCCCTGTGGTGATCTCTCGTTGTTCTCCAATGTTCTGCAAAAGGCACGAACTCGCATCAGGCCAAGGGCGGTTGTTCGAAGACTTCCGCGATGGCCGATAGCGCAAGAAATAGACCATGGGCTGAACCGAGAAGCTGCTCGACCTCTGGCTTTGCTTTGCCCCCAGGAATCTTCCACTCTCTCCCCTCACATTCCATAAGTCACACCGGTACCGTGAATCATTTGCCCATGTCTGATTTGTTGACTTTGTTGACTCTCACTGTGGGCGGCCCCTGTTGTGGAGCATCGTGCAGAAAGAAACATACACTGTCCCATCTGTCGTTCAGGTGGTAGACTCCTGGGCCTTGGTAATCTCTTGGGTCATGCAATCCATTACTTCGAGCAGGTACTTCGGGAGGTACCTGTGCGCCCGCGGGTTCTGCAGCGCTCCCCTCTACTCGAATTGGATTTGGAGGGTATTGGATGGTTCACCACGCACAATGTGGTTCCCTGGCACCCATGCAAAAGGGAGAGCCACCAACAAGGCGCGTAAATTTTAGCCCGCCTCTCGCCAGTGGCTCAGTGGGTGGGCTGGGGCGAGAAGGAGGGCGGCTATCTGCTGTGATTGGGCTCAGGGCTGGCCGCTGGGGGGATCAGGCAAGCCCGGCCTGCATCGAGGTAGGCTGTGATCGCATTGCACTGTGGGCGGGTGTGGTGTGGTGGTGTGAGCTATCACCCGCGAAGGTACCCAGGTCACCTGCCTGGCGGGGCTCCGCACTGCCCGCTTACAAGCATATTTCTCAAGCGGTATTTCGCATCGGTATCGGGGCGGTCGTCTCCTGAGGCAGGGCTCCCCGGATTGGTAGGTGGCTCTGCCGCTGGCCGATAGTCGAGGAAATATAGTCTTTGGTGAGATGAATCAATTTGCCGCAGCGATAGTACGCGGTAAACTGGGCAATCTGGAGTGATATATGATACCTTTGACTAACTACCCGCAATAAGAGGTTGTGTCGTGCAGTCACTTCCCACATTTCAGATCCCTGAGGGTTAGTAGCCTGCTGCCGGCACCGCACGACGGTCAGTCTTGGTGAGAGTGTAAGTCGATAATTAATGAATCAATGCATCTGGAATGCACCGGGAGTATGCAGTAATTGTGCTTTGGGATGGGGAAGATTAGTGCTTTTTTTTTCTTCTCTTTTTTGTCCTGCTGCCTCCAACGTTCCTGCCCGAAAGTGTAAAGATGGAGCACCTAAAAAATGAAATCGCCCGCAAAAAATGTAGCTCACCAATGACTAACTGAGAGTCGCTTTTCAACCACATCTCATCGATTTCTTCTAAGAGGGAAGCAACAACACTAGCACAACCATGTCTGGCACAGTGGTCACCTCAATCGGCCTCACCTCCCTGCCCTTGCTCTCGGTGGGCAAGGTCCGGGAGCTCTACAAGATCGACGAGTCAACGCTGCTCTTCTCCAGCACGGACCGCATCTCGGCGTACGATGTCATCCTGAAGAACGGCGTGCCCAACAAGGGCTTCATCCTCACCCAGCTCACGGCCCATTGGATCTCCGTGCTTACCGATAAGCTGCCGTCCCTCAAGACGCACCTGCTTAGCCTCGAGCCCCCCAACGGCCTGACCCCGGCCGACGCCGACAAGGTACGCGGCCGTAGCATGCAGGTCCGCAAGCTCAAGATTTTCCCCATCGAAGTCATCATCCGTACGTTGGTTCCCCCTCTATTACTCGGCATTTGGATCGGCATATGCGGCTCATATGTCGTTGGCCAACCCACCAGCGCACCAAGCTTTGAGTCGGGATAATAAGCTGACTTCGAGCTTCACCTACTGTGCATGTAAGCAGGCTAACTCATCGTCCCAGGTGGCTACATTACTGGCTCGGCTTGGAAGGAATACCAGAAATCCGGCACGGTCCACGGCATTCCCCAGCCCGCCGGCCTGGAGCAGTGCTCTGTCTTCCCTGGAGGCCCTATCTACACACCCAGCACCAAGGCTGAGCAGGGCGAGCACGACGAGAACATCTCGCCAGAGCAAGCTGCCGCTGTGCTGGGCGAGTACGCGAGCCGCATAGAGGAGCTCGCCCTGACCGTGTACAAGGCTGGCGCCGAGTACGCACTGGAGCGGGGCATCATCATCGCCGACACCAAGTTTGAGTTTGGGTTGGACGAGGAGACGGACGAGGTTGTGCTTGTGGACGAGATCCTGACACCGGACTCGTCTCGGTTCTGGCCCGCCGACGCCTACCAGACCGGGCGGGACCAGGACAGCTTCGACAAGCAGTTCTTGAGGAACTGGCTGACCAAGGAGGGTCTCAAAGGCAAGGAGGGCGTGGCCATGCCCGCCGATATTGCTGAGACCACTGGCGCCAAGTACCAGGAGGTGTTTGAGCGCCTGACCGGTAAGAAGATAGAAGATGTTGTTAAGACATCTTAGTCTCAAACAGAAGTGACAAAAAAAGGCGTGAGGACGAAAGATTGATGTGACACCCTTTCACGGAGATGGGCCATCGTACAAGCACACTTGGGTAGGTTTCGGTTGTTTCTACTGCCCGTCAAAAAGAAGGAAAAAATTTACATTGAGCGAATACTAAACCGTACTCGAGGCACTCTTGTGTGATATTTCCATGATTTTGTGTTGCATATTGTACGTCTAATATCAAATTTTATGTAGCGCTGTCTACCGTCTCATCTGTCAACCACGAGTCCTTGAGGTCGCAGCCCTGAAGCCCATTATGGCTTTACCCCAAATCACTCTCGCCCCCAAAAATGCAATTCTCTATTATCTGTTTACTTTAGAATGTTACTAGGAATGCCATTTCACTGATGAAGCCCCCGAACCGGCTTCTCCTCTGGCATCAAGTGAAACTCGGCTTTAACCAGTCTTGACTGTCTCATACTGGCTCTTGGCCCGGATCCGAGCCCCAAACTTGAAGAGGACCCAGGGCACAGGGAGGAGGGCGAGGGCGATGAAACCCAGCAGGCTCGTCGCCCAGCTAATTCCGAGCCGCTGGTACACTGCTCGAAGGGAGGCCCTCGGTTAGCACGCCATTGTCTCACATATCTCGAATCAGGGACTTTGTGTGAGAAGGTCAAGCGGGAAACGTACTCTGGATCGTGAATAGTGGGAACACTCCGGCGAACCCATACCTCGCCAGCGTGTTGGCGCTGGCGGCGCTGGCGACGACGCTCCCGTGGTAGGTGTCGGAGGTGTACTGTATGGTGCTGACGAAGACGCACAGGTTCCCCCACGCGAAGGGGATGATGGCGGCGGCGGGACTGGCCCACGAGATGTCCTCGCGGGCGGTCCAGGCGAACCAGAATAGGCCGAGGGGCAGGCCGACGCTGCCGATCATGGCCGGGTAGAGGCGGTGCTCGGGCGGCACCTGGTGCGGCGGATATTTGGAGGATTGCTTCCGGTATATGAGGGCGTCGCAGAGGATGACGGTGACGAGGCCGAGGACGCAGCCGATGACGATGGAGAGGAAGACGAGGCCAGACTGTTCGAGGGAGAAGCGGTACACCCGCCCGAAGGTGTAGGGGACGGCGGCGAAGAAGCTGAAGAGGGTGCCGAACTCGGCGGAGACGTAGAGGGCGATAAAGCCGACGATGGGCTCGAGGAGGAGCATGCGGACGGGGCGGATGAGGGCGATGAGGACGAACATCTTGAGGCGGTCGCCCAGGGCTGGGGATTTGGGGACTGGCTCGCCCCTTTTCTTCGCCAGGCGTCGTTTGAGGATTGGGTGGTATGTCTCCTGGGTGGTCAGTGTGATGGCGATGCAGAGGACGGCGAGGAAGAGCTGTGTCCATTGCGTCCATCTCCAACTCTTTCTTGTCACAGCGAAGGAACCAATGACTGGGCTGTGACGGGATGATTAGCAAAAGGGACAACGGAGTAAGGTAAGTGTTCACTTCTTTCATACCCTAATCCAGGCCCTAGGAAGGGCATCAGGATGAATACAGCGGAGGCCGGGCCGCGAGTTCGTGGAGGGAAGATGTCGGATAGGGACCCGGCAGCCGTGGCCAAGACAGGAGCCCAGCAGAACCCAGACATGAAGCGTAGGAAGCACAGTGCCCCAAAGTTGTTCGTGAAGCCGGCACCCAATGCAAATACACCACCTAGAGGCACCGAGCCCAGATAGACGGGATGTCTCCCCCACGTTTCGGAGAGAGGACCGCCTACAACAGGGCCGAATCCAAGGGCAACGACGTAGAGTGTCAGCGGGAGGATGGCAACCGTGCTAGAGACGTTGAATTCTTCCATGAGTTGTGTGCGAGCTGGACTGCTAATGGACGTCGATATGGAACTGGGCCCAAGCACTGATCAGAACTCGCTACAACCATAGCAGGGAAAAGAAAACAGAACCCGGAGAGCGTTCTGGTGATTGCAATCTTACGCTAGAAGAGCTGCCAATGAAAGGCTGGAAATATGCAGGACTTTCTTACTTGCAGGCCAGTTCCATGGGTTATGGGGATCCTTCATCCACTCCTCCTCGCTCATATTGAGAACTCCTGCAGCCTCGGGAACCCCCTCATTCGCTTCCTTCAAGGAAGGTTGAATATCCGGCGACTCTTCATTCGCCGTAACCGACCCAGTCGGGGTCATGTCGCTGTCTCGAGTGCCCATGATCCAACACTAGAATGTGAGTATATACCAACCCAACTCTGATTGAATAACGCAATGAAATTAATTTATTTCCATCGTACAGTTCTGGGAGCGAACATCTCTTTTATTTGTTTAATTCTCCACTTACCAGTGCGGCTCTCGTTAAGCGTAATATGGTGGTGTATCATTGACCGGACTCATTATGTCAAGCTCCCCGTCGCTGGAGCTCGCGACGCGAAACGCGAAAGATGACAAGCACCTCAGTGCTGACGAATATGAGAAGAGTCACTGATCAATGAATTCTTTGAAACTTTGCACCATTCTTAGCGGGAATTTCAATCAACGAAAATGCATTCACAACTCAAAAATGATATACATCATTCGATTGGAGAGGTGGCTCATATCACGGTATTTGATTCATAATATTAAAATGACAAACTTGCCCGATCCCTGGATAAACCCCCTGTGGTGATTTCCTTCATTATTACATACATACATACAACGACGCCCACTAAATCTAGTTCCCGAGCGTCGTGAGGAAAACAGCGAAACCCGAGCTTGCTGCCCCTTGGGAATTGTGAATATGGCTGGCTAAAAGACAAGAAGATATGTATGGAGACTTATTATCCCTACACGCCCTAACCACCAGTAGCACCCGTGACAGATGCCTCTAGTACTTTTCGTAACTCGACTCGTGGGAATCCGGGCCCCTTTATAAAGCATACAGAAACACGTGCAAGATTTAGTGTTAGGAGGGGGATACTCAGTCGTAAGACCAAAGGCTCTCGCTGATATGTCCGCGCGGCGAAAAAGTCGATGAAGCTGAGCGACTCTGGGGTAACTGGGTATATCGGTGCGGGGGCTAGATTAACATTATACATGTTTGGGTTTACCTGCGAGCTTTCAATCCGAACCTCTATGGTGTCACTGTCGAGTATTTGGGCACCGAGATTATGCAACAGGTCGGTAACACCAAGCACTGTCAGGTAATCTGGTGGGAAAGATTCATTCCCAGATTCCTCCCAAGTCGGAAGCAGCTCTGGTGAAGAGGAGGGCGGGTTCATGAGATGATAGGGGAAGGCTGCTTCCTTGCCATCGCGCGTCCCCCAGTTGACACCCGACGCTCGGTACATGTATGGTCTCCCAGGCCCGAGAAGCCAGCGGAAGCCAGCCATGTGTTGTTCTTTAGTTCTGTAACGGAAAGTGTTCTTGAAGCCTCTATTGACTTCATCCTGTGGGGAGTGCTTGAGAATGAAGTATCCATAGGAGAGAGTCGTCTCAATAAGTCGGAGAGGGAATCCGCCAAGTGCCTGAAGAAGATTTTGGGTCTCTATTGAGGGAAGCCTGAAGGGATCTTGAATGTGCAAAGGAGGGGTCGTCGAGGTGTCCCAGCCATTGCCAAAGATCTGGGGTGGGAGAGAGGGGGAGCTGCTCGAGTAGGTGGATGTGGGCGGTGAGAAGGATTCACTGGCTGGTTGGATGGAGAATAGAAACCCGGGACTATGTTCCACCGAGGACATGTCTGAATCCAAGAGAGTCGGGGGGGTATGGTTGCTAAAAGCTATCAAAGAGCTTTCAGTATGCGTGTGAGTTGTTGGTAGGCTGACAGCAGAAGACGACTCGTCAGGAGGGGCCGGTTCCTCGGCCACTGAAGCCGAGTCGCCTTCGTCAATTGCTTTCAGAGGGTTCCCCGTCATGATTGAGTCTTGGTCGATATCCACTACTTCTTTGGCCAATTGGAGGACTTTAGTGATGGACTCGCGAAGGTTGGCTACCAGTCCGGGATGCTGCACAACAATAGACTCTGTCTGCAGCATCTGGTCAAAGACCCCCATAAAGACACAGCTCATCTCTTCAATGACCTGTTCTAGGCGGTGCAAGCGGTGTTGTTGCGCCTGTTCAGCTACCTGCTTCCTCCTGCGAAATGCATTCTGTGCCTCACGATTCTTCTGCCGCCGTGTCTGCTGGCAAGGTAAGCAGTTGGTCGGCGAGGGATCTCCCATGAGATGTCTGCTACGTAAGGGCAACATGGAATGGAACGTACCATGGCAGTGATCTCGTCGGGGTCAGCAGCATCTGCGGTCGCCTTTCTGCGGGCACCTCGCGGCTTTGGAGTTCGTGGTGGGGGGGCCATGGTGACAAGTCCTGAGCCTGGTACGCGCCAAGGATCCCGGACTGTAGGCAGTTATGCTTCGGCCAGAACCAATACTTGAAGGAGGAGAACCAGAACTGGGCCGGACAGCCGAATTGTGTGGTTGTATGTATTATAAATATGACTTGCTCCCGTAGACGGGATCGTCAACCAGTCCCAGCCAGTTCCAGGAAAACAGGGTCAACAAGAACAGCTTTCCGCCCAGTCCGTGCAGGCAGCTAGCAATTCTACAATTCATCAAACGGCTTGGCAGGCACTCACGTCGCTTTGCCTGGCTTTCCCGGTAAGTAGGGAGTCAGTTGGGGGTAATGAGAGCAGCCACACCTCGCGCCTCGCTTCGAGTTGTCTTGTGCTGGGGACTGACTAAGCCACTGAAATGCACCATCGGAGCACTTATATAACGGCCCCGAGAACAGATCTGAGCATTAATCCCGCCTATTCTGCACATGTAATTGGGTGCTCAACAACCCAACAGGCTGACCGAGGCGGAGACGTTTTATAGTACGGTCATAATGATGAGGCGCCGTGTCCTCTTCTTCCTGCTGCCACTGAGCGAAAGGCTTTATGTGCTCAAGGTAATGCAGGTATCACGCTCTCACAGGGCAGGCACAAGTGACTGTAGTACTTGCCTAACTTGTGCAGAGTAGACGGCTGACAAATATGTCCCCACACCACATGTCCACTGCAATTTCTCCAACAGATATCATCACCTGGCCTTTGGTTGCGTTCCCTGCTTCATGAAGCCCTTTCCGCTTGAATTTACAACTGGCCTGGCCCCGATATGTCAATCCATCTCATCTTTCAAGGTGATTTCCACATGCGGACATTCAAATGGAGGCTATGGCGGGCCGCTTTGCATATTCATGCATGGCCCCGTCCCTGTGCTTGGGTGAGATTTGATCTTCCGTAGATATGGATGTTCTGCCAGTGTCTTCTTTCTGCACTGCATTGAGCGGTCGCTCGCAACTCATAGTAACTAATTGCCGTTTCTTCGGCTATCATCATTAAACTAGTTACTCCCTTTTCTATTTCCCTCATTTGCGACAATATCAGAAGGACAGCCACTTTCATCCGGTCTGATATGCTATATGCCAGGGGCATTCCAGATCTGCTGATCTGGACATTCATCCCATCTGACCTGACCCCAGATGTGAATGCACGTCATGGTTGCTCACTTGAAATTCCCTCCCAAGCAAGCATGTCACATCGAATTGAGTTTACTGGTACTTGGCGCATCATCTGCATCTTTAATGTATGACTTACCCTTACTATAGGAAACGGCTGACCACACCTTCGCCGTTTACTGTGCACAGCACTGAAATGCTATTGCATTCTATCTATTCATGACCCATTCTCACGGGTCCTGCCATCTAAGACAGGGCTGAGACAGAACAATGAGTACATTGTATGCAAGGGCAATGAGCTGAATATGTCACCAAACGCACTCCATTGTTTTGACTCATCTGTCAGGATAGGATGGAGCCCCCATGACTTCAAAGTATCAAATGTCTTGGGCAGATTCGGTCCTTGGCATCGTCATAGTGTGCTATACATATCATCATGCTTGGCAGTCACGGGAATCAGATAATGATCGACTTGCCTCCAGCATCCAAACTCTCCATCACTAACCTATCGTCCGATTCAAAGATCCATACTTGGGGAAAAATCACAGGTTTCCTTGAGCAATCTGAGAGCATCACAACACCGTATACTGATCATTTGGTATACTCAAATGCATGTTCAGAGGACAAAAAAGGCAGGTGTCTGCTTCAAGACACTGCTTCTTATTGAATTTCTTACGTTTACCGACCCAGATTTTACATAACTCAGGTATACTCAACAAGCCGCGAGGATCATGATGAAAATGAACTTCTCCTATATAAGGGGAACGAAATGAACTTGCCATGTATATGTTACCCTGCCGAGTTGTCTCCAGATAGTTCTCTCTTTTATGGTCTGTATCGAAGACATCTAGCTTTGAAATATTCTTAACGCATATCAATATGCGGTTTCTCTCATTTACTCTTGGCCTTCTAGGGTCAGCCATCACTGCTTCGGCGACGATGATCCCAAACACCAGTGTCTTTCGCGATGACGGCTTCACCGCGGTGAACCCCGGAAGCTTCAAGGACCTGGTTGTCACCGATCAGAACACACTGAATGGCACTCGCACGGGAGATACTCTCGTCGTACCCTTGGCACAGGCAAAAACTGTCGCCCCCACACTCCCTCTACAGTTCGTCAATAATTTTGGCAGTGCCGTCAACGCGTACATCTCAGGATTGGACTCCAAGGGGGCTGTTGTATTTGTTGCCGCGGATGGTAGCTTGATCTACCCCAGCTCTGGCGGTTCCGGTGTCCCTGTGAAGATCACCCAGAACATCAAGATCCCAGTCGCCGCAGGCAAGACTCTCAGCATGACCCTTCCCATTTCCCTCACATCTGGTAGAATCTACTACTCTGTTGGTGAACTTTACTTTGGCATCGTCAGCACCGGTAACGGCGATGGCCTTGTTCAGCCAGCACCCAACAACCCCTCGGACCCCAGTGCTGCTATCAACTGGGGCTTTGTTGAACTTACCCTGACAAGTGCTGGGGTACTCTATGCCAACATTAGCTATGTTGACTTCCTAGGGCTGCCCTTGGGTATGAAGCTTACTGTCAACGGAGGCGACACCCAGACAGCTTATGGAGTTGCCGCCGGCGCCGTCACCAGTGTCTGCAACGACTTGGCCACCCAGAAGTCAAAGGACGGCCGTCCATGGACCGCTCTCTGCCAGGCCAACTCAAAGGGTCCCGTCCGTGTTCTCTCCCCCACTCTATACACCGACCTCGACTCCTCAAGCTTCCAGACCTACTGGGACTCGTACATCAGCCAAGTCTGGTCCAAGTACACTTCCACCAACCTCGTTATCGACACCCAGAACTCGGCCGGCAAGGTCAACTGCAGGGTTTCCGGCAGCACCCTGACGTGCGCCGGCGACAACCGCGGCTACAGCAAGCCCACCGCCCGCGACATCTGGGGCTGCAACAGCGGGCCCTTCGGCAAGCAGGCGGGCGACAACGCCGTCCACCTCGCTGTTATCCCGCGCCTCTGCGCCGCCTTTGTCCGGTCGACCCTGCTGCTCTCGGGTGGCAACGTCCAGCCCAGCCTCGGGCAGGCCAACTACTACACTGTGAGCCCGACTAACCACTACAGCCGCGTTGTGCACACAAAGGAGGTTGATGGGAAGGGATACGCCTTTGCCTATGACGATGTTAACCCCACTGGTACTGAGAATGCGTCGGGGACTGTGGCTCATGGCAGCCCCAAGACCCTGACTGTGTATATTGGAAGCCCTCCTTGAGTTTGGTTGAAGTGAATTTTGGGGATGAAGGGTGGTTGAATCCCAGTAGTAGTTTGTTTGTATATAGGCGATTGGAGGAAGTTTCTGTTCATATATAAGTAGCTCAGTACATATCAAGTGTTGTGAAGAGACTGTCTATTTTTCGGTAACATTGACATGTAAAAGTCTATGAGGGCGACAGAATATGACCTAGCTCCAAACTGAGACGTTGGGAATCCACTACGAGTTGTGCTCGTAACTCTGCGAAGCTCGACAGCAACAACCACGAACTAGCTTTTTAAACCTTGTGGGCATTACTCCCTCTGTTTGATTTTGACATTGCACATTCTCAACATCTTCTTCAGCAACTTCGCGTACTCGTCATTCTCATCCCCAGCCTTATGTTTGGGGAAATGTCTCTGCTGAGCAACACTATTATTTGTCCCAGGTCAGTTTCTGATATCTCGAACTCTTAGGTAACAAGGCAGTTCCAGAGGACTTACAGATTCAAGCGCCACTCCTCGAGCTTCCAGGCTGTTTCCTCGCCGTCGAATTCTTTGTCGAGTTGCTCCTGCGACTTGAGCGTTACTTCAGCCCACTCGAAGTCATCATCTACCGATTACATATGGTCAGTTTTACAAAGCCCAATGGCAAGACAGAGGAGGGTAATTACAAGAGTCTTCAGCCTCGTCCCCGTCATCTGCCGCCTCATCATCTTCCACATCTTCTTCTTCTTCCTCGTCTTCTTCCTCTTCCTCTTCCTCGTCGTCCTCATCCTCGTCGCCCTTGGCCTTGGTCAATTGCTTCCCCTGGAGGTGTGGCAGAAGGCTTGGAGCCTCATTTTTTATCCATTGGCCCTTGCTAATCGCGGCAGAGAAGTTCGGAACCCATTCGCTGTCAACACAGTGATCATCGATTGTAATGTACCAAGTATTCAACCCTGTGTCTATCCTCTCCGGGCCATAGCCATGGTGGGGATCCGGCTGGACAATGTGGTACATGCTGTTCTTGATGTGGCTTGGGGCTTTGATTCTCCTGGATTTTTTACTTGTCTACGAAAAGTTTTCACCCAATGCAATGGCTATGGAAAAACAAATATTACTGCAACAGCCCCTCATCCGTTGGTTGTGGGCTGGTAGTTGTCGGTTGTTGGTTGCTGTGTGAGACCCGGCCAATAAGAGCACAGGCTGTGGGTAGCAAGGAATATGAGCTTAGGCAAACAGCTCCGCTATCTGCATTTTCTGGATATGCGCATATCGAGGGATTGTTCGAGTGCGCCAAGGCAAGGGTATCGACCTTTGATGGTTCCAGGATACTTCCACTAGGTACCACCAACATGTGGGGTGGAGGGGCATTGCTGACCTCCCCGAGAGATAATACCAGAGAGGGAGGCGTTGGGGGATCCAATAGCGCCATGGCGAGGGTCACTGCTGGCGATGGGTGGGTGGGCTGCGGATGGCTGGCGAGCACCAGGGCCAGACAGAGTTGAGGGCTGCATGGCGACCGGAAGCCCACCGATTGACCTCTTGGTTCGGCAGGTGTGCCATATCGTGCTGGCAGCCGAATGCTACCTCGTACGTGCCGTCGAAGGATCAGAGCCCGTCCGCTCATTTCCTGCAAGGCCGGCATCATCACAACATTGAAAGGCCAGCAGGTTCTGGGCGATCAATGCAGCCCCCAGGGCAGGGCGTCAGGCGTCTCGCCCGCCCTCCTGATCCACACAGTGATTGCCTTTCGCTTGCTCCATTTCGGGGTCCCCAGGGTCACACTTCGTTCTCAGGTGGGAGCAGACCATCCGCCCCGCCCTCTATCGTCATCGCTCTCGCAGGTGGTGGACTGAGTGTTTTGCCCTGCGCAAGCCTCGCCCCTCGCCCTTGAGATTCACACAGCCATGATCCGGGCGAAACCGACCCGGCTCCATCCCTTCGGTCGCCTTGCGTCGTGCCACTCCGGAAAGCCTTATGCGCAAGCTGCTGTTCTCGGAAACCGCTGTCGGGGTCTGGGTGCCACTCTGAATTCGCTCACATTCCAGGCAGCGCTCGCTCGCATGCGACACAGTGTGGCACTCTCTCTTCAACAAACTCGGAGGCCCTGGCAACGGTCTCCAGAATCCTTCGGCAGCGAGTCCATGCCAGGGCGCTCACAGCATCTAGACCTCCGAGTCCCGCGGGAAGTGAAACGGTCCTGCCTGCATGTAATCCCTACCTTACCCTATGGCTCACGGTGGTCCCCAGCCCATCCGAGAGTTTCCCGCCATCAGCCCCTAGGGACGATAGGCCGAGAATAATCAGTTCTGAACGGGTGTAAAGATAGTCGCTGCTGGTTGGCAGGGAAATCTATTCTGGGCAGTCAACGTGGTCTAGTCTTGCTCATCACTTCGTCGTGACCTGCAACTAAGCAACCTTCAGGGAGCCCTCCCATCCAATACACACCCAAGATGTGCCATTGATGTACCGTTGCTTACGCACTGTGGCACATTGTCTCTCCAGTCGTCGCTTGGTTGCGTCCTTTTCCCCACACCAAGATAAAGGGCGGGTCTCACCGCTTATTGCCCGATCTAGTGCTCCTTTGGTCGTGCCCAATGCCATTGATTGTTGGCTGTGCTGACGCTAGATACACCCAGCCACTTATCGTGCGTTTTTCATGCACTGTGCTTATCTGGCCACTGAACTGATCTGCCCAGAGCTTGGACTGTAACATCGTTGGGGTGCACCAAAGTTGCCAAAGATACTCTATGGGTTCCACGAGGGCGATGTATTTCGAAGATCGGGGTCTTTTGCCACTGGCGATCGGCATTCGGTATGGATGTATTACGTTCCACTGCACGCCTTGTTTATGACCCCATATCCATGCTTATCAGCGGCACGGATGCGTTACGTGGGTATGGTGAGTTTGACTGTCCAACCACCAAAGGGACTATGTAGACTCGAGCGGCAAAGTATCGATGTATCTCCCCCAAAGCAACGAGGGACCGTATAATGCCTTGAATACGCCACCTGAGCGATTTCCCTGGCTTCCTTGACGCTCGTTGTCTGGTTATCGAGGAGCTTATTGGTAACTACCGGCTAAAGCGTCAGTATAATCATCTCTTCGGACGAGTTGGTCCCATACTGTGACGCAGCGAAAGGACGGTCTGTTTCCTAAGAGTATATTCAAGCATTGAGGTTGTCGAAAAGTTCTAATTGTTCTATAGCAATCAAGCCGCTAGGTAGCGCATTGTTGATGAATTCACAGTACAGAGTTTCTGGCGCTCATACTCTATTGGCCGTGTAACATGAATGCTTCATACCATGGTTCCGAGCCTCGACAAACGTAGAATAAATCCCAGTCTGATGATAGTTCAGCAATTCATTCTCAAGTTCATGAGTTAGCTAGTGGGACGATGAAGGAAAACCTGTATCTTGGCCAACCGCCAAGCGATGCCTTGGATCGAGCCTCCGGCCCAAGTTCATCAGAAAGAGGCCCCCAAAATGATGCCTATGCATCAATTCCTGTAGGGGTTCTTACGAGCTGCAAAATGTTCAGAGGATCCTATGCTGAATCGTCACATTATGAGATGGTCATTACTGTGCTCTAGGTGTTAGCTTGGAATATCTGACCCATGATCAGTTGTCGTGGTCGTGGTCGTCGTAAAAGAACCCACATGGTGGCTCAATGACTATTTGGGAGCAGATGGAATCTTCAACCAACGGTGAGAAGACCGTAGCGCGAGAACTGGCCAATTGCTGAGCATCTGTATCCCCAGATAATCATTGAGATTGCGTGGTATTTAGTTACTAAAATCACAACCGAGTTCCCGGAGTTAATTAAATTATGGAATTTATCCCTGGGGCATTGCGCCGCGTACATCACAGCATATTCAGCAGCTGCATCTGCTGGGTCTGACCCTGTATTGCGAAGATGACCAGGTGCTAGATGATTATTCCTTGTCCCCAAGAATTGAAGTGCTTCATCCAGGACCTGGCCCTCTTTGCAATAGAGGGATAGACCCCGCAGGTGTAGCTGCTGAATCTGCTGTGATGCAAGCGGCGTGGTTACCGCGAGGAGCCCTCGGATTATTTAGAGGCTTGAATACTTGATATAGTCGATTTGGAGCTGCTTTGGGTCTTCTCTGATGGCTATCTTCATGTCTTCAAGGACCTGGTCATTTGCTCTGATCAGGCCCTCGCTGGTTGGGATAACAACGTCAGACACTGATATTATTGTTTGGAGAGGTGGATGTGGTTGGTGATGATGGGCATCCCGTCTGAGGGGCCATATGGCCAGTTTATATACCTCTGGCCAGCCCTTGTTAGAGTTTTTGGGGATGCTGCTGCCTGCGCCTAGGCTGTGTGTGCGATTATTTAAGTTTTTACAGTGTTGAAGGTTTGGGTATAGACCAGATGTAATTTCGGTTAAGAAAAGTGTGTAGTAAAGCCATGTTGATGTGTGGCTTGATCTTGGGATACGCCCCTTGCTTATGGCGATGAACAAAAAGTAGACTTTTCCTGTGATGTTGATGCCTATGCCAGGCAAATGGGTGACAGGAGAAATGATACACCCAATGGAAGAGTGGTTCTACTATCAAGATGGATCAAGAAATTCAGTAGTATATAATGAAATCAAGTGATGGTATTTGTTGTATTATTTCTTTAGTATGTATTATTGGCATTCAATAATCTAATAATATTGGTCGCAAACTCGAGAATAAACAGCTTGATGTTTGAGTGTCGCGATTTCAATGCCACTCACTTGCCAGGCGACGTGTGTTAAGTTTTTGACCTTCTTAGTGTGGAAGGTTTGGGTATAGACATGTTTAAAAAAAGATCTATGATGAAGGCACGTGTGTGGCCTAATCTTGGACAAAAGCACCTCGAAAAATTAGGTGGCTGTGCCCTGCCGAAAAGCGAAGGAACCGCGCGAAGTCTTCTAGAAGGGGGCTGGGCCAAGCGATTTCACCAGATTGCCCCAGTGACGTTGCCAGGCAGAGATCGGCGGGCTGAGAACCAGGATTGTAGCGAGCCGGCCTATGGACGCTCAAGCTCTCATAAAATTACCGTACTTTAGCTCAGTGTGTGGTCAGACGTCTCGTTGGCAGTGCCCGAGGCTGAGGGTTGCCCGTGATGATGAACGGCGTGACGTAGATTGGAGGTCGTTTTGGATGATTGTGCTATTGCCGTTTTGGGGGGTAATCGCGCGAAGACCTCAGGATGCGAATTATTTTAAATATCTGGTGTTTGGCTTCGAGATGGAAGCTGTCGATTCAATGAGAATTAATATCCTATGTTCATCAATTCTTTAAATTCAATTTGACATTTTGTGCAAGTAAAGCCAATCCATTACACACGTCCCCTTCAATGCGCATTTGAAAGCGCTTTTCCAAACCAAAAAAAACTACAATGTGTATTCGCACACTCTGCTGCTGCCTCTGCCGAAGGCACAAGAAGAAGAAGCAGGCCGAGAAAGAAAAGGCCATGCGCCAACAATACGGGCCCCGACCTGTCCAGCCCGGCACGGGATATCACCACAACTACTACTACCAGAACGGGTACTACTCCCAGGGGCAGTCGGCGCCTTACAAGAGCAGCTACAACAACCGGAACAAGAAGAAGAACAAGAAGACGAAGCATAAACACTACGACGATCGGTACGACATGGACTTTGGTGGAGGCGATGACAGTGGTTGTGGGTGTTCCGGAGGTGACGGAGGTGGTGGAGATGGTGGTGGTGGTGGAGGAGGAGACGGCGGCGGCGGTGGAGGAGCCGCGTAACTGTCGTTTGATTTTTCCTTTGCTATAGACTACGAATAGCGATATAGAATTTGATTCCCTTGTGTGTTGATGTCCATCGTCTTTATCAGTGATTGATGTGGTTGCATTTCGACCCCAGCTTTAGTGAACTCCACGCCATCGCTGCGATGTCGGTGCATTAGCTTGGAGATATGCACCCGTGGCTGGAATGGAGTCCCGAGGTCCCCGGCCCGGGAGAAGCGGGCGGGATATTAGTGCGTTGCGGCAACATCCTTCGCCTGGCTCGTCTTAACTTGCGATAGGGACGCAAAGGAGGAAATCGGCCATGACTGTGTACAGTTTCCACTTTCAGGTCGGCGCAAGCAGGTCCCTGGGAACCGTGGCCACGCTCGCCACGGCCTGCTGCCTCTCCGTCTACTGTCTATATGTCCGGCCTGCGCTTCGGCACGAGAACAAGACCGCCGCTACCATCTTAGCCAAGACCCGGCGGAGGAGCCTGGCGACGGGGAGACATGAGCTGGAGCCGGAGCCGTACCCCCAGGATGTGTTCCCGGGAGGACGAGAGGTTGAGACGCCATATGGAACCATAAAAGTATTTGAATGGGGGCCGGAGAGCGGCGAAAAGGTGGTCCTTGTCCATGGGATTGGCACGCCCTGTATTGCTCTGGGCGACATGGCCAAGCAATTCGTCGCAAAGGGATGTAGGGTCCTCCTCTTCGGTGAGTTGCTTTGATTGAACTTGCCCAAACAGCATTTTCTAAGCTTTTCTCTCGACAGACTTGTTTGGAAGAGGTTATTCGGACGCTCCCGGGGATCTCCCCTATGATGACCGCCTGTACACATCCCAGATCCTCCTCGCACTGGCATCATCCCCCCTCTCATGGACCGGAACGGAGAGTTTCCATCTCGTAGGCTATTCCCTTGGCGCCGCCCTGTCCGCCGCCTTCGCCGCCTACTTCCCCCACATGCTGCGGTCCGCCACCCTCGTCTGCCCTGGCGGGCTGATCCGTCCCTCCCACGTCAGCTGGAAGAGCAAGCTCATATACTCGGAGGGCCTGCTGCCCGCGTGGCTGTCTCATTACCTTGCCCGGTGGAGGCTGGAGCCACGTCACCACGGACCGAGCGCTGATGTACCTGTGGATGTGGACAATGATGCGGATATAGATTTTGACAAGGTGCCACTCTCGCAGGCTCACGGCGGGAGCGGTGCCAGGGTCGGAGATGTCATGCGGTGGCAGATGGAGAGGAACGACGCGTTTGTGGGCGCATATATAAGCACGTTGAATAACGCACCCATCTATGGTCATCACGAGGGGGTGTGGAAGCGGCTGGCTGAACGGTTAGCCGAGAGAAGGGTAGAAACAGGTCGCCCAAGCGGCTTGCCGGGTGGAAAGGTGTGTCTGGTCCTCGCCACCAGGGATCCAGTTGTCGTCATGGACGAGTGGCTTGAGGATTCTCGGAAAGTTTTGGGAGAAGAAGGCGTTGACATTCAAATCCTCCCTGGGGGGCACGAGATCGCTATCACCAAGGGCAAGGAGGTTGCGGATGTTGCGATGAGATCGTGGCCTCAGTGACGGTCGAGTTGCGCGCCGCCATTCACTGCAATTAGAAGAATAGATATAATTTAGATTTGAGAGGAACGAATAGTGGATGTCATTGTGTGGATTAGACAATTGCACACTGACAATATCGCCATGAATAGATAAGTCACCTTCCCAACGCCTAGATAATGAGTCTATGCAACACCGAACAGACCCCACGTGATTCATAAATCTGTATATGCCCCAGTATGATGATGCAGGAATCAAGGAAATAAATTGAAATAAACCAAAGCCAGAACATATCAGAAGGGGGACGTTTCGTCGCCCTATCATTTGTCCAGGCCACGAGCCTTGACAAACCGATTAATTTGCTCCTTAGTCAACTTATCTTGATAATGTTCATGGCATTCGTAGAAAGATATGATCTCTTGCGTTGCGTCCACCATGGCTGTGATGTCTACCCGGCTGTCTGACAGCCAGGAGGCGAACTGCTGCAGCCGGGAAATCCGGGTGTCCTGGGGCTTGTCCTTAGGGATCTCAGAACTGGTAGGAATAGAACCAGCTGAGCCGGCAGCAAAATTGACTCGGGCTTGCGCTTGGCTGAGCGCGGCCTGGGCAGCTGCCAACCCTACGGCAGCACCATTATTCTGTCCAGGTATGCCTGGGCTGGGACGCAGCACCAGTGCCAGGAGGATTGCGACGAGGCCAATAATGTGTGGACTTGTCGTAAGGGGTAGATCGGTCATGTAGGAGTCGTTGATGACAGACTTTGCCAGTGTCGCATCTTCATCCGTCATGGACAACTCGCTCCTGAGGGATGTCAGGGTACGATATGGTTGGTGGATGAGTAGCTGGGAGCTCATTTCGCTGATGAGAAAGAATTCGCACTCGCCGACCTTGGAGGTGTCGAGACTGATGAATTCAGACCATAATGCTCGCGCCTCGGTGACAATCATTCGGATGTGTTGTGGTGCTTCTTCCATCTTACAGGCGAGGTAGACGGCTGTCGTGACAACGAGGTATGGGTTTGTCCGGCGGATCTCGACCTTGGTGTAGAAACGCTTGAGGTAGACTTGGGCAGTTGCGATGCATTGTTGCCGGACCGATATCTTCTTGCTGAGCTTGATAATCTCTATCCTCGAGGGGTTAATTGCTTGGATGGGTGAAATGGGACGGGGTACAGAACGTACGTTGATTGAAGTAGATATAGAGGTGCCTAATCTGGGGCAAGGGGAACATGCGAACGAGTTCGGCATTTTCCTCTTCCAGTTTCTGGCGAGTCGACTCCAGCTGCTCCTTGGTGAATTGCCAGTGACGTCTCTGAGTTGATTCCCAATAGTTGGCCGACATGGCTGCTTAGCGCACCAGGCACAAGCCCAGCACGAGGGCGTTGGAGAGAGCGATGCGATGTCTGGACATGAAGTCGACGAGTCGGCTGGAAGCGTGCGGCAGGGCTGGAAAATCCTACATCGGTGGATGCAGGCGTTCCCCAAGTGCAAAGGCGGGCTGGAGGCCGGAGACGATCGGGCGACCTGCGCGCAGCGTTGTTCAATGTCGCTTCTCGCGGTTATAGATGCGTGCGCATTCTGGAGGCGACGGAGGTTGAGGCGGGTAGCTGTGGCATAACATTCCAGCCCTTTTCCGCTGTGGCTGAGGCAGATCTGGGTAAATCCCAGAAGGGGCAAAGCTGCGGGGGCATAGAGCAGGGGACGGGTGATTGCCTATCAGCGGGCTCTGATTGCTCTGGAATCGGCAGCCACAGCCGCTAACAAACTTCATCCAGGTGCCACACCTCACTGACTGCCCGGCCTTGGCCTCGGTCAAGTTACGACATTGCACATCATCAAGCTCTGAGCTGCCCCCTCCCCTCCAACACCCAAAAATCTCGCGAAGCAAGCGAAGCAGAACCAAGGAACCGCCCGAAACACGAATCGAGCCCCCGGCGACCCGACAAAAGGTACTTCGACCCATGTCGACGATGTTACAACAATAGCTCTAGCTCTCGCCGACTCTTCCGTCCCGTCCACCAGCAGCTACGGCACCCTCGAGAAATGCGAAAGCTATGAGCCCAACCAGTGTGGTCTCCGAACTGGGCCGTGGCCTAGAGGAGTCGCAGAATCAGCGGGATGCTCGAATTGAGGAGCTGTGGTTCCGGCTCGACCCTGGAAGGACCGGCGAGCTGGATTTCAAGGCTCTTCGAGAGGGCTTCCGCAGGATTGATCATCGTACGGCGCCCTCCCTCTCACCCTCAAAGGTCGCGGTATCTGGGTACAGAAAGCTAAAATGCGAACCGCCATGTAGCACTGAAAAATGCAGACCAGATGCTGAAGAAGATTCTGGCTGAGGTTGATACCAATGGAGATGGGAGAATCCAGTACGAAGGTATGTGTCACCCTCGCCCGTCGCACACGATGTCTTCATCTTGGAACGGATGGTTTCTGACACCAAGGCATCTCGATAGAGTTTCATACATTTGTTGATCGCGCCGATCGTCAATTGTACAAGCTCTTCAGATCGATTGATAAAGATGGCAATGGGAAGTTGGACGAAAAGGAGCTACAGACAGCTTTTCGCGGCGCGGGGCTCACAGTCTCGAATCGCCGCCTGGCCGAATTCTTCAAGCACATGGACGACAACGATGATGGGTTTGTCTCGTTTGACGAATGGCGGTAAGTCCATTTCTATCTTTTCACCAGTCTGTTTCATTTTTCCCTTGGTCCTTCATTTTTGCGGTCGCACAGTCAGCTGTGACGTATGTGTGTACAGAATGGACATGGGTTGGAGATCGCGATATCATGTGCCCCGAGATCTTCAACTTGGAGCATGATGCAGCCTTATGACATTCAGCCTACAAGAACTCGATTGTCTATCATGGAATTCACTCAACATCATGTGTCGAACCTCAGCTGACGCGGGGCTAATAGGCACTTCTTACTGTTCATGCCGGCGCAAGAGCATGATTCCCACCTTGATGCCATGCTTTCTTTCTATAACTCGGTGACATTTGTTACACCTGAAGGTGACTCGGTGGTGAGCGAGGAGACGCTAGAAGGCTTAGGTACGGCAGGTCCTCCATGTTCCTCGCGCTCTCTCCTTCATTCTATTCTTGGCTCCATTCTTCGCGTTGCCTTCCCCGGTGGATACACGCCGAGCCCACAGGAGCCAGCTTCAAGACCCGCAGCAACAGGAGTAGCAAACTCAGAGTTGGCTGCATCATCCTTGTTAGGGAATGAGACGAAGGCTATTGATGGGAGAAGACACGTCGCACCTGGCGCTGGTGCCGCCCCAGTCGGGCAGAAGCAGCATGAGCGGGAGGCAGTGGGAGAGCGCATCGTCAGCGATGACACCCAGGCCACTCATCAAGAGTCATCATCCACCGCCTCAGCTGTCAAAACTAGGAGAAAGTTTGAACTGACAGAGTTTATCCCCGATCCAGGTTACTTCCTTGCGGGTGCGGTCGCCGGTGGCGTTTCTCGCACAGCCACTGCTCCTCTCGACCGACTCAAGGTATACCTCCTTGTGAATACTGGGACCGGGAGCGCCAATGCTGCCAAAGCCATCAACAGTGTCGCATCAGGTCGACCACTTGGTTTGGTGAAGAATGCGCTTCGACCCTTTAGTGATGCTATCCGCGACCTATTCCGCTCTGGGGGGATTAAGGGGTTCTTCGCAGGTGAGCGATGAGCGAATACTCAATGTGCTTCATTTCGTCTGGAAAATAAATCTGACGGCTTGGTGTGTTAGGAAATGGATTGAATGTGATTAAGATTATGCCCGAAACCGCCATCAAGTTTGGCTCCTATGAGGCGGCCAAGCGCACGCTGGCCAACCTTGAGGGCCATGGCGACCCCAAGAGACTAAGCTCAGTTTCCAAGTTTAGTGCTGGGGGGGTGGCCGGAATGATCGCACAGTACGTCTAAATCCAAGTATGATTCAAGCCTTCATTTGTACCCAGACTGACCGTCAACAGGTTCTGCGTTTACCCCTTGGATACCCTGAAATTTCGTCTGCAGTGCGAAACCGTCAAGGATGGCCTCACCGGCAGCGCATTAGTGCGGCAAACAGCAGTCAAGATGTATAGGGATGGCGGCCTTCGTGCGTGCTATCGGGGCGTGACTATGGGCCTTGTCGGCATGTTCCCATACAGCGCTATCGACATGGGAATGTTCGAGTTTCTGAAGAACACATACCGCACCACGTATGCGAAGTACACAGGATGTCACGAGGATGATGCGGCACCTGGAAATATCGCCATGGGCATGATAGGCGCGACTTCAGGCGCCATTGGCGCCTCGCTTGTGTATCCACTCAACGTGGTTCGGACACGATTACAGACGCAGGGAACTGCGATGCACTCAGCAACATATACAGGCATATGGGACGTGACCCGGAAGACAATTCAGCGTGAAGGCTACCGTGGGCTGTACAAAGGTCTGACACCAAACCTTCTCAAGGTTGCGCCGGCGCTGAGCATAACCTGGGTTGTGTATGAGAATACGAAAAAGGCTCTTGGATTGAGCTAAACCAACCAGCATCACTAGGATACACAATACATGATAGAGGAAGGATATACCATGGTGAGCTGCCGAGAGACAATGGCATACCGTTAGAGGACCGTTAGAAGAAGGAACAGGATGCAGATTCACCTGCATATCAAAGTTCCGATGGGGTCACATGTGCTTTAAATTTTTAGCGAATTGATCGGTCGGTCGGTCATTGGGAATATGTTCTGCGGAACTCAAAGCATCTACCTACCTATATAGATGCGAAAATACATACCTCAGGGAGGAGCGGGGGATTAGATGTAATTGTACTGGAATAGAAAGATCATGACATGGGCAGCCGAGCAAAGTCAGAAGTTGACTGACACTGGTGATGACTGCTGTAATGACTGTCGAGAGTAGTAGGTCTCAAGAATCCAATCATTCATAGGGCTGTGATGACTCACGGAATGTTTCTTTACGCTTTGGAGGTGTGACATGACATGCAGATAATCGCTCCGATGCACTCTGGCTGGGGCCAAGTCGTCATCTATAGCGCAGATGAGGGCACAGAGTCATCATGGCGCTGACGACGACGGGTACCCTCTCCATGCAAATCGGTGCTTGTTCTGCATCTCCAGAACGTTATTCCCTGCCACATTCCCTGTTGGGGAAGAGGACCAGCATCATCCTGGCATTTAGCGCCATCGTCTGCGCCGTTGCCAGACCGTTTTCGGGGCCAGTTTCTCGGTCCCTCACTCTGGTTCATTACTGGAAACCCGTGCTGGGCTGGCCGTTGCGCAAGATCGCTCTCCAGGCACTTTTGTCGCCCACCTTTTAGGCCATTTACGGTGTAATCGGCATGGGTGACTTTTATCTTCCAGAACGGACGAGGGTCTGTCCCACATGGTTGGTCAACCGCCAACGTCCCTCCCCCTCACCCCATCCCACCCTTTGCATCCTGGAGCACCCAGACCGCAACCCATTGACGACGCCTCGAGGCCATGCAACCTGGAAGGCTGAACCGACAGGGTTCGGTCACCGAACTGATGCACAGGTGCGGGGCGATAGCGACAACGGCCGATAAACGAACGGAGGATCCAGCTTGACGACTTTTCCTCCACCACATGCCGCAGTCCATCCTTCTCCTCTCCTCATCCTCCTCTCTTGCCGTAGTCTTGATCGATTGCCTTTCTTCTTGTTCGCTGTGATCTAGTTCAGGCTAATTGATCCTGTGGTTTTCACACCGCGGACAGAAGAGGTGTCTCAGAGTAACTGGGTCTTGTGAACGGACTCCCTCGCATTATAGTCCTGGTTGGTTTATTGAGTCTTGGACGCGGTAACAGACCCTCTTCGGGACCACGACCCGGGGCTCTCTGCTCAAGATACCCAACCTGAGGACTACTTGGGCTGGTAGATTCGGGACCAATCAGACGACGACGGGTACAGGTGGCGGACGCACATACGGTCAACAGCGTCGAGTGCCACAATAATGCCTGTGCCATACTCGGACAACCTCTATTCGGCAGATGATGACTTGAGTGACGCGGACCACAACCACACTGAGCTCTCTCCTACCGATGGCTACTTCCACGCGTCCTCGCCGTTTGACGTAGCGTCACCGCCTCAGACGGCCACCGCAGATTACCAACCGGGGCACCTCAATGTCCCCATAGTCCCTAATGTTATGGTCGAGGATCCCACTCTGCGCGAGCAGGACCCGGACGCCAAGGCACGTGAAGCAGCAGAAGAACGCAGGTTAAATCCGTCCGCCTCTCACCAGAGCTCTCCCCATGTGGCGAGCGCCCCATCTCCCTCTCAGCCGTCCAGAGGATATCCCTCCTTGCCAATTCATCGCCACAGACAATCTGTAGAAGAGCAGTATAATACTTCGAACCCGGGAAGTGGGCACATATACTCCCCCTCGTCCGCATCACACTCTAGACACCAATCTCATATCCCCCTGATTCATCACGGCGAAGCCCCTCCGGCATACTCACCGTCTAGCCCGACATCACCACATACAGCCGGTGGATATCAAACGTTTGGATCCGCATTCCAGCCTGCCGATACAATGGGCAATCCAGCAGAAGAGCACGCTTCCCTCCTCCATCGTGACCCGGAGTCCATGGGGGGACCAGCCGCGGGCAGCTGGCGACAGTCTTGGTGGTCCAGGGCGAGAGAGGCATGGAGACGTCGACAATCCAGAGATGTACGGAAAGTGGTTACGGGACTTCTTGGATTTCTCGTTATACTGGCCATTCTTCTTGTTATTTTGAGTGCGGTTGACTCTGGCAATCAAGTAAGCCCCACTACTTCTTATATGCCGACCCTTCATTCTCTGCGAGTCTCAATGCTAACGAATTAACTTTCCCCATAGAAAAGACCTGGTATAGATCCCTCTAGGCCCGGTGACGGTAATATTAAGCCCCCTATAGACGACGATTTGAGATGGCAGCCAAGCAAGGAGTGTTACAATAAGCCGTACCGCTTTGTTTCCTTTGGCACCGAGTTTGAATTCGACCCGAATCAGAAGCTGGTGATTATCCAGAGATCGGAAGACGTGGAAAATTATGGGTCTGACGATTGGTCGCCCCATGTGACTGGGGAGGTTGTGATCAAACCCATCGAGTTCCCTTACAAGGGCGAGGTGGACATCGAAGTTCTGACAAACCACCAAGGGCTCCCCATTTTTGCCGACGCCGAGCGAAACACCGGCAGGGTGGAAATGGTGACCCCAAGGAAGGTCAAGCGAGATGGTCTGGACCGTCCACCTTGTATCCAGATCCGGATCACTATCAGGATACCGGGCGGCTCGTCTGTCGCAGCAGCAGATGTTTCCCTTACGCATCTGGACTTGAACATCCTCGAGGGACTGAAGCTGAATGTTGCTGGGGACACGCGGCTCAAGACGATAGCGGGGAACATCAGAACGCCCACGACCGAAGAGAAGGATGAGTTGACAAAGCCATCGTACCAGCTCAACTCCCGCGAAATATACGTCAGCACCATGAGCGGCAACATCGATGGATCGTACCCCCTATATGACAGGCTCAAGGTCGAGAGCGTGTCGGGCGATGTCTCCATCAAGGTTGAGCCCAAGCCGATCGACCCCAAGGACCCCAAGCCGGCCGAGCTATCAGTCTCAACCATGTCGGGCAACCTCGTCGTCAAGGAACCGATCAAGGCGGCCCTCGCATCCCCTGACTCGAGCAACTTCCCCTCCCGCGACTACTCCGTGGCCGTCGAGACAAAGTCCGGCGACGTCACCGCCGACCTCGCCTTCACCTCGTACGGCCGCTTCTACTCCATCTCGGGCAACCTCAACGTCGACCTCTGGCCCCTCCTCCACGACGCCCAGCAGTCCACCATCATCGGGCCCGAGGTCGCCACGGACACAAAGGGCGGCGACACGACCCTCGACCTCCACGAACCCCACTGGGCCGCCACGGGTTCCGCCGCCAGGCTGCCCGTCTACCCATCCTCGCCCTCCTGGATAGGCTACCCGCCCCTCATCGGCGGACCCTCCTCCGACGAGGAGGAGGGTGACTCCGACCCGGACTCCAATCAGGCCTCCGGCACCCACAGCGCCCGGCCCCTGACGCTCTACTCCTCGCACAGCTCCGTCTCCGGCGACATCCACCTGCGCTACCCCTCCGCCTGGGAGGGCTACCTCAAGGCCCAGACCGTGTCGGGGAACCAGCGCTTCCACGGCGAGGGGCTCGAGGTCACCCGCAGGGGGAAGCTCCCCATGGCCATCCTCGAGGGCTACAGGGGCCGCGACGGCCACTCCGACCTCCGCGTCGAGAGCATCTCGGGCAACCAGGATTTCGTGGTGGGCGAGAACTGAGGTTTCCTTTGGGATACTTTGCTGCCTTGTCTTCTGAGGGCGTGAAAAGGATAGGCGGAAAGTAAATGATGAAGGAGAAGTCTTGAAGGGGGGCAAAGACGATGAGAAATGATGAATGATACGAGCTTACAAGCCATACGGCACGCTGGGGAAAACTGGACTTCCTTTTCTTCACTGCTAGGCTACGAATTAAACCGCATAATATTTTGGAAAGGGGGGGGAGAAGGCGTTTGTTCACTGTTATCAAGTGGTGTTTTCTTTTTCTTGTCCAGTATTTCTTTTTGGAAGCTTTTATAAACAGTAAACGTCACGATGAATTGTACATACATACATTCGCTTAGTATTCATGCTATATTCCCCCATCGCAATACAGAAATCGCCACGAAGTTGCAAATTGGCCTCCGCAAAGAAAAACACCGGACCGCTTGTCTCGTGTTTGTACCGGGGGTTTCCTCGACTCAGTACATCAGGTTCTTCCATCCCATACAAGACCGCCGAAGAGAACAAAAATGCTCAGAGGGTATCCATCCAATCATATCTTAAAAAAGTAAATAAACAAAAAAAGGTCATTAGTAGTCATGCATCGTTGGTATATCGCCCCTTGCCGTTCATATACGCACTGACTCCGTCCCTGGATTAGCCTCATGAAGAGCTAACTGGTTAAAAAAAATAGATTAAAAAAAAAGAGAAGTACAAATATCCCAATCTGGAAGTTTTGTTAATTCTCGATGGCCCACGGGAGATCCCTATTTCCGACTTCTGTGCACGTCAGATAGGAGATCTCTGCCGCCTTGCTTGAGCCACTCAGCTCCAGCTCAAGGCCGCTGTTCATCAGCGGGCGAACGATGTCTCGGGCCATGGACTTGAGCTCTTCTATGCGTTTCTCGAAACGCCGAAGATTGTCTCGAGTGTACATTTCTGGTGTGAGTTTCAGGAATTTCTTGCACTCATCGTGGTTCAAATATGTGACTGGCTGTGAAGAACCCAAGGTGCGATAGGCACGTCCGATGGATGTAAGGGGAGGAATAGAAGGGGGGAGAGGTGCACGGCCATCTCGGGACGGCCGACGGTCGAGAGGAGGAGGTTGAGGTGCGGTGTTATCTGCAATCCATTGGCGGAATAGACTGACGGCGAGCCAGTCTAAATAATTCGTTTGTGGGGTGACTCGCTCGCCCCGTCCTGTTGTGAGGCCGAGACGGAAGAGCCGACCTTCGACTCGGCTTACGGTTTCTTCAAGCTCGTCGACTTTGTCCTCGATAATATCCAGCACGACTTCCGGCAGCGCTGTGCGTAAGCTCCGCTCACCAGCTGGCCATTGGCCGACGACATGGATCAGGGCTTCTTGAAATATGACCTTGCTCTTCGCCAAGTACCCAAGCCGTAAGTATGAGATGGGATATTTAGCTATTTGCCTCCATAGCCTTGACTGGAATTGGAGAAGATGGTGATCGACTCTGGGGCCAACAACCCCAAGCGCGTCGTATTGGTCGGCTAGATTCAGGAGGCTTTTGCATTGAACGTACGCATCGGCTACGTTGATGCCGTCTAGGACAGGCGGATAATTGTACATGGTGCGGAAGAGGTTGTCGTAATCGCGCATGAGATCTTGTTCAGCCTTGGTTACGAGGCCGGACGAGGATGATGATGAGGAATTATGGTGGCCGTTCGTACTAGACCCCAGATTTGCGACTGAGCGGAAAAAGTCTCGGTTTGATGATACTGACGCCGACTGTGAATGGCTTCCTTTTGATCTTGACATGGCGCGGCTCGATGGCCGCATTGTATCATCTCCGGGTCCAAATATAGAGGGAACCTTTGTTCTGGGCGCATCTCTCGATTCGTCTTGCTGCACCAGCATGGGGATATCGTTGTCGTCTTTACCCATGTCCAGGACATACTTCCACCGCTTCCTTGGCGTGCGCTTGCTATCTCCCCTCTCCGTGTCGCTGTCGATGAGAGAACCGGTGGGGGTGTCGTGCTCTCCTATCCTTGCCAGCTCATTGCCCCCAGCAAGCAGTGGACGTGCCTTGGACCATTGCTCGGAGGTGCTGGCCTCGAAGAAACCACTGCACCTGGTCAGAGTATGGCGGTGCAGCAGATATCTGTTCTCGACCGAACCGCCCGTCACCCGAATGACAATCTCCACGTCGCCGCTCTGAGAGAAGACCGGGAACTCATTTTGAGGAATATAGGAGGCGCCGCCGACGTGGGAACGGTTGTATCGTTTCGTGCGTGACAGGGACGGGCGGGAGACGACGGACGACGGACCACGGTAGGAGACTGAGCTCGAAGTTTCTGGCTGGGAGACCATTTGGCGCAACAAGTCTGAGGTCCACTACATCAGAAGAGGGAGAGGTGGTTGCGGCAGCGAAATGTCGTGGGCTGGCTCGCGCAATCTAATAGGTGAGTAAAGCGGGCATGAATGATGGATGAGGTGCGTTTGCGGTCTTGCGGATTGGGGGGCAACAACTGGGTTGTGGTGGGGAAAGTAAACAAGGCAGCCTGGTTCGTTCTCGAGTCTGGGACACAGGTGTGGGCAAACTGTATTAATGAGTTATGCAATTGGACAGACACGTCGCGCAGGCAAGGCTATGCGGTGCAGCAAGGTCGAGACAAGACACGCGCGCACAAGAGGAATATCCAGGAAAGATTAGAGATGGAAGAAAGATCCGGCATCTGGGATGGGCAACGTGACGTCCGAAGCTCGGCTGGCCACGGACAAATCACACCCCAGTGAATGAAGACAAAGAACCTCCATATCTCCAACGACCCCTGTCCAGCGTGAGAGTGCGTGCTTGTCCTATGATCTTGCCAGCAGTCTAGGAGCTGGTAGCCCACACGAGAGGTATCTTACCAATTGTCTCGCAGGACCTTGCGCCCCTGGGGGGTGCGTGACTGACCTAGAATAGCAGCCGAGGAATTTTCCGCCTCTGTCACTGTAGACAGCCCGGCTCTACATGCCTTCCATTCTGTTGGTTCTTGCTTCAGTGGCAGCTTGTCAAGCTCCGCCGGATTGGTGTGGGATCACCATAGCTAGGCACACTACGATCGATAGGCTTAGGTGCTGCACTAAGCTACGCTGGAAATCTGGAAATCTGCCTTGCGAGCCCAAGTTTTGCCGCAAGTGCTGTGCAGGTTTTTAGATCCATGGGGACGGGCAGACCCTGGCCAACGACTGGCCATCACATGTCGGCGGCTCCAAGCGACTTGCATGGCGGCGGCGGCAGATTGGTTGGCGGAGAAGGAGGGGCGCTGAGACGTTGAGCTCGCCGGGTTCCGCTGTCTCGGGGGCAGGTGACTGGATGTCTAACGTTTGGACCCTTGGAGCCAAGACAGGCGAGGAGCCCTGTGATGTTAGAGACTTAGAGTGTGTGCGTTGCTCCCTTCCGGCTCTGAGACGCCCGGGACAAACCGCGCATGCTCCCGTGAACTGGTGAAACAGGCTTCAGACGCAGGCACGCAGATGATGGAGAATAATGGCTATAAATTCGCAACAGGCCAGGGCCGTACGAACGCAGAGAACGCCGGATCTGTCAATCGGAGGTGTTTGGTGTCTGGCTGGAGATAACGATTGATAGGTCAGGAGGTACAACGGCGCTGGGTAGAGAGACGGAAAGGATCGTCCCCTGATGGGGGCACCGATCCTGATGGTTGCTCGTTTTCAAGGACCAGGACTCTGGCTGGTGGCAATTGAATCCATTCGTGGGTGAAGCCTCGTGCTGTCTGTGGCTCTGAGCCAGGGTCTTGTGGGTGGCTCCGGGTGTTTTAGCTGGTTACGTACCCGAGTGCCAGGTGAGTGACACGGAGATTGAAGCGCCGGATGAAAGCTTCTGGTAAGGGTGATAATCAAGGAACTACATATGGGAGAAGAGCAGATTACAGGAATAAATGTTAGGACAGCCATTGCCAATCTTTCTTTGTTGGCCATACGCCATACCACGACTCATTGAAGGAAGGTGATAATGATAACGTCGGTTAATAGTAGGTACCGGCAATTAGGCACTCAAGCGCCACCAACAGCTCCTTCAAGCCCCTACAGCGACCTGCCACAGCCACTAATGACCTCATCCCCGCCACAGCTGGAGCTTAGCTCTCCAGTAAATTTTCGCGGCTGGCACTGGCACACCGAGCTCGGTCCTCCACCAAGCTCTCTTAGCTGGGAAAGGCAACCTTCCGCACCGAGTAGCCTGCCTCGCCGATTGTATGGCTTCGCGATCACGGTGCCTGTAGTCTAGGCACCTCTCCAGGGAATGGGAACGCCGGCCCAGATCGCCCAGGTCTTCCACAGCGTCCCCAAGCCTGTGTCCATAATCGAATTCAAGGATGCTCTCGACGCGATATGTCGCCCCAGATTCCCTGCGGCTGTCTGGGGCCGGACTCGCTGGCCTGGTGCGTCCATGTGATGTCGGTCGTGATACTGATTACCCTCATGGCTAACAGGACTGTAGCCCTAGCAATTAGTGGCGGCGTCGACTCTATGGCGCTCGCGTTCCTCTTTTCCAAGTTCCAAAAGATGTTCCCCAATTACACGATTGCCGACTACCCGTCGAGCCGTGCTCATGCTATCGTGGTTGACCATGGCTTGCGAGAAGGGAGCGACTTAGAGTCCATGAAAGTCCTCCGTCAGCTCAACAGGCTGGGCCTTAATGGCATACGCAATGTTTTGAAGTGGAAGGACGTGCGCGAGGCTGGCATGGAACCCCATGACTTGTCCAATATCGAGAGCGAGGCACGTACCAGACGATACCAACAGTTAGGAATGACCTGCCGACAGCGTTTCGTCTCCAGCATCTTCCTAGCTCACCATCGCGATGACCAGTATGAAACAGTACTGATGCGCCTGTTGTCAGGACACGGATATCGGGGCTTGCAGGGAATGAGAGAAGCAAATGACATACCAGAATGCTACGGCATGCACAATACCCACAAAAGCGGTTTGCTCGACGACCAAAAGTCTCCCCATCCTTATCTCAGCTTCAAGCCATCAGTAAAGGTGTTGCGTTCGCTCCGACACCGTCTGAAAGATGATAAGAGGGGCGAGGAAGATCAAGTACCTATCGCCTGGAAATCGATCGATTCTATGCATTTTCACGGCTACATTCCTCACGAAAGAGAGCCCGGTGTTCCATACTTGACCCCGTTGCAGTGTGAAGATGGCGGCGTTACTGTCTACCGACCCCTTCTCGAGTTTGGCAAGGATAGGCTCATCGCGACATGCGAAGCGAACGATGTCTCATGGTTTGAGGATAAGACAAATTCCGACAAGACCTTGACCATGCGCAATGCTGTCAGACATATGGTGCAACATCACATATTGCCAGCCGCCCTGCAGAAACCGGCTATCTTATCCTTAGCCAGAAGTGCAAAACGCCGAGTAGATCTAGAAGACTCGGAGGCTAATCGGTTACTGATACGAGAGGCCATAATACGCGAGTTCGATCCTTGTTCCGGCACTCTAATTATTCAACCACCTACGTTGGACCGAAAGAGACGGCCGCGGAACAGGCTGTATGATCGCGCCCGGGCTGAGGCAAGAAAGCCGCGGCAGAAACTCATTGCCGCATTGGCGATCCGGAAGATGATTGATTTCATTACACCAAACGAGAATTTGCCTCCGATCGGGAACCTTGACAACGTCGTTCTCCTTCTCTTTCCCGAGCTTGGCCCTGCGCGAACCGCTTCTCCGCCGACATCATTCTCTCTTGGCGGTGTGCTCTTTGACCCAATCAAAGGGTCGTCACCCGCCAAATGGTTTCTCTCACGTGCCCCTTATCCGTCCAAGCAACCTGTTCCTGAGGAATGGATAGATTGGAGAGAGGGTATCACTGCCACCAGGAGGTTCGAAAAGGACCCGAATTGGTCGGGATGGCGAAGATTTCCTACTGCAAGGCTATGGGATGGCCGATATTGGATACAAATCCAGAGCCTATTGCCGGACAGATTCTACATAAGGCCGTTCGTTCCCGAGCATGCCAAACCTTTCCGTGCCGCTCTGACGCCGGACCAGCGGGAGAGACTGGAGGCCATTCTAAAACATTATGCGCCCGGAAAGGTGCGATTTACACTACCGGGGATCTACATGGCGGAGATGGAAGGGAAATTCCCCCATGCACCCGTCAAGAAGCTCACGTTGGTCGCTCTGCCAACTCTCAACATCCATCTTCCCGGCTCGAAAAAGTGGCTCAAGTATGAAGTAAGCTATAAGAAAATAGATCTGTCTCTATTGGGGCGTAGACGGCGGGGAGCAAAGAAAAGGCTCATTGGGTTTCAACCCACCTGCTCTCAGTCGAGGCGAGTGCGAAACAAAAGGCGGCAGGCCCGGGTGGGCATCAGCCAGAAAAATCCGAGATTTAAGGATGAGCCTACTGCAAGCTATGAAGGCGGAGGGCCATCTGAGGTAGCTTAGGGGTCTGTATAGTATCACGGCCGGTGAGGCGGTTGCAACTGCACCCCTCGATCAGTAGCTGCATATCAATGACTAGAAACAAGGCGGACGCCGACTGAGGCTGGCGTCGCCACACACCGTGGAACTCGCCGAGCCAAAAGCTGGTTTGCTTCACGGATTGTTTGGATGAATAATGTACCACCAATTCGTCAGCAGCATGAATCATTTCTGCTTGCGGGCTCGCCCGATCAACGAGCGAGAATTTTCCCTCGTATGTGTCTTGCCACTGGAGGGCTCAGCCACACCAAACTGCATACGTGACTCGTAGCAAATTCACCCAAACCGGGATATTTTTCAGCTGGCAAAGATTCGGTGGCCACTCAAAAACCAGCCCCCTAAAAAAAAGGGAGAGACTTTCTGATTTGATGAGCCCTGACTCCTTATAGGTCTTACACATGGTCACTGGTCAGCGTTGTCTTCCTTGTGCACAACTACATCCTGGACGATGAGCATCACATGCCCTCTCTCGGTCTCGCGATTTAATAAACCAGGGTAAAGGGCCCAATGACAAAATGAGATGAGATTCTTATCCAATTTTCCCCTCGTCTTACAGTCTGAAGTGTCCGATATCATGTGCCAGCCACCCAATCTGGGGCCAACTTCCAACCGCCCTCCTTTCTGGAACAGGAAATAAACAACAAAGAAAACTCTGCCTTGGTCAACAAGGGCGAAAAAACGAAGAGATGGATGAAATAAAACCGGAGCCAAAGGCAAACAGAAACGCGGTACCACTGCAGCGGCCCACGCGCTGGGTCCGCTCCTTCAAAGTGTTCGTATCGGCGTTCACGGTCGTGCCTGCCTTTCCCTTGCCCATGTCCGACCTCAACATTCTCAATGGGCCGCACTTCCTCCTCCACCACTATCCGACTCTCCAAAAAAGAGGAAGAAGAAGAGAAAGCAAAGCGGAATCACCTCTGCAGAAAAAATCGACCTCTCTCTGTTCTGGGGATTGGTATGCTGGTATTACCTTTTTTTGAAAACGTATTGGGGTATAGCTGAAAGGAACCACCGTGAACGACCATCAACCCTGGTATCGAGCCATATCAAACCAACTATATTTCCTGTCCCGATCAAAAAACAAACAGGTCACCTGCATTTTTCGCGTCTTGTGCACCGGGGCAAGGTGTTCTCCGTGGAATGCAGCGAACAGCAGGAGACGTCACATCAAAACAACGGCAACGTATCATCGTTAAGAAAAACAGAGAGGAAAAGAAAACCCTGTCTCACCTCACAACCACCACCCGGTGTCACACTTGAGGGAGCAGCTCTTCACTTGGGTGTGTGTATGCCATCAACTTCAATTATGATACACCACCCTTCGTTCCCTTCGCCCTCTGCAGGTTTGGCTGGTGATGGCTACCCCTCCCTCCCGGCGCTCGACGTGAGACGTCTTTGGGAGTTCGTCCCGCCACCATCTCGGCTTCTCGATTTCGCTCCACCCTTCGGACTCTGTCTTCATGGACTTGTTGATCAGCCCTTTCTCTAGAAGAAAGTTGATTACATAGAAGTCAGGTCTTCGACGAAGCCTCTCCCAGTTCGCCCCCTGGTAGTGCTGTGCAATGTGCTCCATGCGGCGCTGGAAGTTTCTTCTCCGATCTTCTTGGGTTACTGACTTGGTGAAGAATTCGACCCCCTTGCCATCGCAGAACCAGCAGGTCGATTTCGGGGGATAGTCATACTTGAAATGTACTTCCGCTATATGATCAACCCACCCTTCGATATCATTAAGAGCAAACGTTTCGTCGCATTTCCAGTGCTTTTCGGAATATTTCCCCAACTCGCATGGGAGCCGTGCTGTATCCGCAAGGGGTTGTACTCCATCTGTCTCTTCATACCGCGAGCCGTGATCGGTTTCGGTTGGTAGGCTTTGGGCGGAAGTTTGAGCAAAGGTCATGGCCAGAGCCTGAGCGCCGACTGAAACAGAGGCGCCGTCTTCCCAACCCGAAGAAGACGTGGCTTGTGTGAATGCAGATGTATTTTCGCTGAATACAGACTTTTCTTCAGCTGTGCTTGTGGATGACGAATCGTCTGAAGGGCAATAGGGCATCGGTTCAGGGGAAACAGGGCGAGGGGTGGTTGGATCTACGGCGTGAGATCCTAATTGCTGCCGATCCGGAATCAAATTGATAAGGCTGTAGATGCCTGCCGGATCTACGAATCCCTGCTGCGGCGCCGTTGGAGTCGAGGCTGCCGACTGAGACACCATGGTGGAAACTAGGTGCCTGTCTCGAGTCACGACTCTTTCGGGTAGCACTCAAGGACGCGGCCGGACTTATGATGGTGTTATATACGAATATTCGGCTCAGGGGGTTTGGTACGATGTTGGAGGGGATAGGATTGTTGTGATGTTGAGTTGGAATAGTCCGTTGGGCGGGAGTTGGGATTCGGCTGTGCGTGCTACGTCTCCGACTTTTTTCGTCAGTCTCGTGAAGGAACAGCAACGATTAGGCGGAGACGGTGGCATGGCAAACTTACAGGTTCCTCTGGACCTGGTTTGAGACTTCCCCGTGGGGTTTGGGTTGGTTATCTAAGCTCCAGGCTTCGACCTACCCAGAATGTGAAGGAGCTGATGTTCGTCCAGATATACTCTTGCGTGAGTGTTGAATCTCTTCAGTCACACTGGAGAGAGCGATGGGGAGCTTTTGAGGGGCGTGAACAGCATTCACTGTAAAGTAGCGGGAGCTGTCCCCTTGGGCCGCACGACATGCGGCCGCTTTGATCCTGGTTGGCTTAATGGCTACGACACGCACGCCCAGTGGCACGATCGACGGCGGCGACCGTGGCTGTCGTCCCAGGAAGAACAGGAAGGGCGGGAAAGATCCAGAGTACAACGTCACCGGGCGATTATTTCGGGTACCCAGCACGCGACTCTTCTCTATTGGGCGCTTGAAGAATAGAAGGATATCATGACAATTCTTCTTGGGTCGTTTTATTTTCTTTCAGAATTGGGGAGGGGTGTCTAATCGCTGTATATAGGTACCCCGCTGACATGCATCAGCTCACACATCGGCCTCCTAAAGATAAAAAATGTGGTGAAATGCACTGCATGGGGATCGACGACCGCTGTCTCCCTTGCCGCTCGCCTTTTAGACTTACATACACATTACCGATCCCGAATGAAACCCCAAAGGCATTATGACGGCATACGAGTTGGGGTATTCCATCGTATACGCAGGCGATGGATTGAAATTGAAAAAAATACGAGAACTGGAGCGACTACGAAGCACTTTCCTGTTCCTAACCAGAGCGGAAAAGCGTCAGATTCTGGTGGACACATTCGTGCGAGCCGCCACCGGTACTGCCTGGTGACGCTTCGGCCCGCGTCGAGCGACAACGAGGAACAATTCACGGCGCCAACAGAGAGGGGGAAAGGACGATTTACAGACAGGAACCCTGTCAAGCTGAGATACCTTTCTATTCCCCCACTTTAACACATCAGGGAGGGGTCTTTGCTAACAGTTTAAACAGCTTAGAACCATGCTCGTGGTGAGGACCCCTGCTGCTCAAATGCTCTGTTGGCTGTACGAATAATTATAGATCGAAGTGTAAAAACGACAGAAACCCCCACTAAGACATCATGGGGGCTGCTGCCTGCAAAGCCTAGTGGCTGGGTTGAATTCGCTGACAGCATGATTTATCCGGCTCGCACTGCCGTGGGCTCAACTGAAACAGGCTCACGGATTACATGTGATGAGTAAGTATCTGTATTGCGTGTACAGTCAAGGTAGGCATGCGAGCTCAAGAGGTGAGTCTATCTAGGCGCATGGTGACGTATCAAGACCTGCCGTTAAATAATGTTTAAGCACTTTGGTGTTCCTATCCTTTGGCCAACCTGAAACAATAGTGTGCCTAGATCATGAATTAAAATTCAAATTCTCTACCTGCTCTATGGTATTCTGAGGGCCTTTCTATCATGTGATGTAATATCTTCTTCTGTTGTTCAAGACTGGGTGGAAGAATCAGTCCCGAGAGGCTGGTGTGATTGTGCCGGACCTTGGTTTGGCTTGCTGGACAAGGTGATGTTTGTTTCTCAACCTGAGATTACTTATACCGGTTGGGTTAAAACGGCCAGTGCTTGAGGCTGTATGAGGACGCCAGCCAAAACGGTGCTCCCCAAGCTATTATTCCTGCGAATGAATCGTGGGCTTTACCCTTTCGACTGATTGCAAAACACGGGTAATGTTTTCTATGGCCTGAAATGGGCCCTTGAATATATGAGTTTATGGTTCCACCATCCCCTTCATTCTTCCGGGCTGCAAAGAACCCGAGCTTTGGTGATGACGTTTCGGTACTGCAGGTGGCCGCCGCTCTCGTCGCCCTGCTTGATCAGACCCGGGAACGCGACGCAGGAGATGTCCCTCTCCGCGAGGGTGTCCTCGTCCTCGCCGCCAATGTCCTCCATGGTGCTGGGCTCGAAGAGGGTGCGCTGGTGGGGCACGATGGTCGGGGTGTGGACGCGCAGGATGGCCTTTTGGACGGCGAGGAGGCGGGCAAGCTCGATGGAGTTGTTGACGAGGACGCGGAGTGCGTTGTCGCGGTTCTCTGATGTGGTGGTGCTAGAGGAGGATGATGATGACGAAGATGTCTGGGTGGTTATGGCGTCGAGGAGACGGTTGATGCGGGAGATGACTTGCTCAACGCATGCGGAAGTCTCTTCGGAGAGACGGTGGGGAGCCTCGCGGCGTATGAGAGAGAGAGTAGAGGCTCGCCATTGGTTTACAGCTTCATCGGCCGCAGCTGGTTGAGAGTGCTTGTCAGCATGAGGGTTTCTCGTGAACGGTGAGTGTGCCGTTCTTTGGCGTGGGTGGGACTTACTGAATGATAAAAGGAGCTGCTCCATCTCACGGAAGCTATTCCGTTGCTCCTTGGACATACCAACGTAGTATGTATCAAATACCATCTCGACGAGGATGCTAGAAACTATTGACTGGAGGAGGTGCACCTTGGACGTGTGGACGAGTTCCTCAAACATGGGCACGAGGTCGCCAAGCTCCGTCATTGTTGCCTCGTCGGCTTTGCCTAAATCTGATTTTTCGCTCAGCATCTAGCCTCCCATGCTGAAGGATATAATTTCCCAATGGCAATGGAAGATACTTACCCATCTTGGCTTTTCGAAAATTCACAATGACCCAATTCTGCAGCCCATTGCCCAGCTTGGTCATGCCCTCCCCGAACACCTCGTCGCTCGTCTGATCGTCCGTCCGGGTGCTGGTGCTCACAAACTCCTTGAGGCCGCGCACCTGGCCGCGCAGGCCCCTGATCTCGTCGTCGCGCTGCTTGAGCTCGCGGCGCAGCACCTCCCAGCCCTTGCGCAGCTCCTCGCGCTCCAGCTCGCGGACCTCGGCCTCGGTGCGCAGGAGCCTCAGCTCGGTGTCGGTGCGCAGGAACTGCTGGTTCAGCGCGCTGTACTTGGCCTGCCAGAAGGTCGTCATCTCGCTCTCGTTCTGGCTCAGCTTGTCGAGCTCCTTCTGGAACTCGTGCTCCATGATGCCCATCTCCTTCTCCAGGTGGGCGATGCGCTCGTCCTTCTCCTTGAGGGCTGCAGCCGACGCCGCATCGCGGTGGTCTCGGAGCTGCTGCTGTGGTTGCTTGCCCTTCAGGGTCATGCTCCGCCGGTTGGGGTTGCTGCTGCCGCTGCCCAGCGTCGGGCTGCTCCCGCTGGCGGCGCCGCCGTCCTTGTCCTTGGCCTCCTTGTCCTTCTCCTTGCGGTCCGACAGCGTGACGCCCCCGCTGCCGTCGAGGGAGTCGTCGTGGCTGGGCGAGGGCGGGCTGATGACGGCGGCTCGGGGCGGCACGGTGGGCATGCTGTTGCTGGTCGCGGAGGTGCCATCCTTCATGCTGGCGTCCTTGTCCTTGTCCTTGTCCTTGTCCTTTGAGCCGGCGCGCTGCCGCGTTGTGTGATGCGAGTGAGGACCAGCACGCAGTACGTGGGCGCCGCCTCCACGCCGCCTGTCAGGCGGGTTCATTGAGTGACCTTCGAGGCTGGGGGATTATCCGCCGTCCACTGTCGGGTTGTTGGAGGAGGTGGTTTGATGTGGGGTTCGATATCGGGGCAGTGACTGCGGCTGAGCAGGTCGACTATCGTAGTGGGTTCTAGGTTCGGTCTGGGAGGCTGTTCATCCGGGTCAGGTCGAGATGAAGGCGGGGAGAAGCCGTAGATGATGACGGCTCGGCATGGTGGCTGCGGTCTGCAATGCGGTGGCCGTGGGCGAGAGGGACGGGAAGCTCGTACTGTCCTCTGTACTCGGTTGCTGGTGGCGATGGACGTGGTGGTGAAGGGGCAGCGAGCCTCTGCCTGCCTGGAACACGCTGTTGATTCTCTCTCCCTGGGTCCCTGGGCCGGTCCCCTCTGATCTCCAACTCCACCCGTGTGCGTCGTAGTCGTTGTTGCGGTTGGTGTTGTGCTCGCGGCCGGGCGGGGCTCTCGTCTCACGCAGGTCACCTCAACTCAGGTAGCTCATGCAGCCCGTATCGAGGTCAGCTGATTGGGACTAAGGCCGTGGAGAGCACACGCGAGGTGCAACTATCATCATGTGGAAAGACGGGATTCCGCAGAGCCTTTTGCTGCTGCCTAGAGTCGAGGTCCAGTCAGATCTGCAAGGGCAATTGGCCGTATGCAACATGGATGCATCGCAAATGGACCTGATAAGCCCCGGGATAATTTCCTACCTGGTCTAGCTACTGCCCGTCACCCACCTCGCCGCTCCTAAGCCGGCATTGAGTTCAGCATGGACTTCCTCAACAGAAGGCATTATTAAGGCTGATGTAAAAGAGTGAGAGTGAATATGTAGGTAATTAATTGGATACCTTTGCTTGTTGGACTCGCACGACCTTGTTCATTGGTAGCTGTGGTGGCTCTCAGTCTCAGACCACCTCATCCCTGTGCTCACATGTACCCAGAATCCACCATCTAGATCGAGATTGTACAATTGGAATACGTGTAAGCCTGAAATGGTTCATATGATTTGCTTGTAGTTCACGAAATATGAAATTGCCGACAGTATAGCAGGTTCCAAAGCTTGCTGACTTTTGCCTGCCTCTCCTACACCCCAAGGCGGGATGTGGTTTCAGATGTCTTTTGGAATGCTTCTTTTGTGATCTAACGTACGAAACAGTTTTAGCTCCATTGGATAGATATATTTTGTGATCATTTATTCGAAGAAAACCAAAGGGAATGTAAAACTCCATGACGAAACTATCTTATATTTGGTGCTGCTTGATAATACTATGGATTAATGCATTTCGTTCATGAAGCAGAGTTGTTCTAAATATGCATTCGACTTGTGCTTTTCATTATTATACTCTACATTCGAGAGATACGTGCTCGTTTCATAAATTGAGTTTGCGAACGGCCTGGTACAGCTTCAGATATGCCAAGTTATATAGATCTCCGAACGGGGAAGATATCAACATCAACAAACCACAATATATTTATACCCAACTCGAAACCAAGTCTAAAACTCAACCTCAGCCTCAACCTCATACGCCTCCCCCAGCTCCCCCTCAACCTTCTTCGCCCCCATCTTGCACAACGTGACCCTCTCCACCGGCATGTCCTCCACCCAGGTGTGCCCGTCATACTTGGCCATCAGGTCCCTCGCGTCCATAGCCACCCTCTTCAACCTCCTGTCCCCGATGTAGATCGTGTTCACCACCGTCGCATGCAGCAGCAGCGGCCTCTCCTCCTGGGCCATCACTTCGGCCTCCTGGAACCGGCCCCTCACGAGCTCGCAGAACCGCCGCAGCAGGCCGCCCGGGTCCAGCGGCGGCGCGTACACCACCGACGTCCTCGACGGGGACTGCATCGCCCCGAGCCCCTGGAGCGTGACCGTCAGCCCCGGGCCGCTCTCCGCCTCCTGTCCCGTCGTCGTCCTGGCCGTGTTGTTGCTGTTAACGCTCGACGACGCCGCCGCCGCCCGCGCATGGTCCAGGATCTCCCTGAGCCTGAGCCCCCTGAGAAGGTCCGCCGCCCGCCCGAGCGCCTCGTCGCCCTTGAGCGTCATGACCCCGAGGGTGAGGTGCATAGTCCCCAGCGGCCGGACGGCCTGCGGGTGCACGTTGAAGCTGTTGGGGTCCGTCACGTCCGCTCGGAAGGACGACAGGGTGCGCGCCAGCTGCGGGCCCGACAGCGGGATGCACACGAAGTGCGTCGGGGCTGGCCGGGGCGGCATCTCTTTTCTGATAGGGCACTGACCAAGTTTAGGGTCCAATGATAACGAGATGGCCCAGCCGAGTTAATAGGCCTAGGGTATCGAGGGATTGAGTAGTTGTCCGCTCGGCCAAGACCAAGGGGGACTATCTTGAATGATAACCTGTGTGTTCCGTTGTATTCTACCTTCTCCTAAGATCCTGGTGCGAGTCCCTCTAACCCTCGAGTTAGCAGCTGAAAAGATGCAAATGTAACTACATCCCGGACACAAAACAATGCTACAACGTCCATCGCTTCACGAGCCTCGAAAGCAACGTGCAGAAAGCATCGTCATCTGGGCCACGCGAGCATCCAAAAAGGAAACCACGTAACATCGCACCTACAAACGGAGGCAAAAAGCGACAAAGCCATGCAACAACGAGGGGCTTGGGATCTAGCAAAGGTAAATCTACCTACATCAAGGCAACAAAGTTGGATGGGCGAGAGCTCGTGTTGATGGAGGCTCACGTGATTGTAACGCCTGAGCAAACAGACTACAACTGGCGGCGTGTTTCGTAATTATGATGCAACCAGTTCCGGATTGGAGGTTTTTGGGGGCGGGACATTGATAGGTGGACATTCTTGTCTATTTCGAGGGACGGGACGGGAGTTTGACATCAGTGTCAGCTCGCCAACGCAGCTTGGACCCCACCCAGGCCAGCTTCTCTGCTGGTAAGTTGGTAGATGCGATGGGCGCTGTTATCCAGACCAGTTCTCCATCAACCTTCTTCTTGATGGTGGCTCGGGGATATGGCTGAGCCCATCGTGCTGTTCTCGTATTATGGCTTTGATTTAAGATAAACTCGAGTTAAGAATAGAATTCGTGATTGCGTCATACCCATGCCTGCCCTTGGTTGAAGCCCGGGAAGTTGGTCACATCTTAGAGCATCTCGCAAAACATCACGCCGCGTCGCATTCACATTCACCGCTGCCCATATGAATCTATGTCTTATATTTGTCTTTGGAAAAGGACTGATTGGTACTACACTCCCGCTCTCCTTCCCTTGGGGCTTGCCGGGTATGCAGCAAAAAAACAAAATGAACAGAGAAAAACAAAATCCGACGTGGTCGGTTGCATGCTGCGATTCCGCGAGCAGAGCGCATGCGCGCATCTTAGCTTTTTGAATTCCAATACTCCATGGCTTTAACCCTGCCGTGGCCGTTATTTCCCTACCCTAGCCTTCCTCTCCAAGCTGAGACGGCGAAAAAGAAGAAAAGAAGATTAAATAAATCGTTGGTTATGCGACATGTGTCGTGGCCAGATATGTTCAAACGGGGTTGGGTTGGGTTGGGTGGAAAGGCTCCTGAAACCCGGCCTCGAGAGTTGGAACGGTGATGGCTGGAGATGGATGTGTAGGATACACGACCTTCCGCTGTCGTTCCCTCCTTGACCGTGTTGCGTGGGCCATTTCCTCGTTGGCTTGCGGGCTCGGCTCATCCAGGTAAAACGGGAGGCGTAATCCCAGGGCACTCGGTATCGCCCAATAAAAGGCGCTGCCTTGTTACGAGTCGAATTGCTCATAGTACTTCCTGAGGACCGTTTCCACTTCCTTGTAATCTTCCTTGACAGTTTGAATCGCCTTGGTTAGACGCTCCAGGCATAGATCCTCGTCGGGCTCCGATGATCCGTCGATATTCTCTAGCTTTCCATATCTTTGGATATGTTCGCAGCCATCTCGTACCTTTGTCAGGCCGATAGTTGCGGATGAGCCTTTCAAGAAGTGTCCCAAGGAAGACAGCTCCTCAAGGTTCTTCTCGGCACTAGATGTCCGGGAATGGAACATGTTAGATAATTATCCCCATCTTGATAATGGCATCGTTGTTCTCAACCATCGCCAGCTGTCCTTGAAAACGCATGGTGGCCGTCTTTTATAAAAAGGAAGCTATGGAGGGTGGGCAATTTTCAATGTTGTGGTGTGATGGGGCGGCACTGGCATGAAGCTGAACGATTACTCACAGCGCGGTATCCATGGCAGCGAAAGTTTCCTCGGCTTGGTCAAAGAAGCCGAAAACAATGGAGGTGCTAAACTCATGGTCGTCTGGCTCGTCCATCTCCAGAATCTGGTTGAAGGTGTTCAAGTCCACAAGACTGCTGTCCAGAACATCCTCGGGCTAGTAGATTGCATTTTGGTTAGCTTCATTAATTTGGTACGCGGAGGGGAGAGTAGAAGCCAGGCGCCGAGGCTTGCAGGCTGGTGGAGGGATGGAAGGATGGGGAAATGGGCTGGAGAGGGGAAGCAGGGCAGGGAAGGGCAGTCATATACCAACCTGGTCTTCAACAGGCGCCATGGTAGCAGTGCGAGCTCGCAAATGTGAAGCTGTCACGATGGAAACGGCGTGGAGGGGTTGGTTTAATGCGGTGAAAAGAGCTCGAAATCGAGGCCAGTACGTACGTACAAAGCCGAGGGGTCGCCGGTGGGCACTGAGGGTGCGGGATGGGTAATGAGGTAATCCCACCGATGAAGGACGCCGTCAAGGGGACACAGTAATAAACTGGGGCCTCGAGTCCAGAAGAAGCAAGGATAAGAAAAATAAGAGGGCAGCCCGCGACGTCTCTCTTTAGGTCTCTGGGAGAAGGGAGGGGAGGGGTGTGTGAATACTTTAGGTACCTTAACCAGCAGTGAATGGAGAACGGCAAGCTCAAGATCAGTCGCCCTTTTGGGGTGCGATGTGGAGTGCCTGCCGAGAAGAGCAACCACCTGATGGAAAGCCGTCGGGGCCAATGCTGGGCTTCCCGGGGTCATCGATCCATGCAGACCTCCGTCCTTTCGGTTGGGATACCTGCTGCATTTGCAATCCCGCACGTAACTCAGGTTACTCAGGTACCTATCGACTGATCCCACCTGTGGCCCTAAACACTGACGTATAGTGGGGTATTGTTGGGCGATTGATGTGAAGAGGAACGGCCTTTGAAGCACCCACGTACCGTACTTACTAACCCAGCCGCGAGCTAGGCGACTAGTACAGTACAGTACGGTACAGTACTTACAAACGTCGGTAGGTGACTGAGGCGAAATACTACTATGCTACCTGGCTATCTACATTGCGACACGGGTCCATTCATATTGGCATAGCAGCAGGATCTGCGGCGTTGTGCTACCGGAGATCCTAAGTGCTGTGCGCTGATTATCGAGGCTGGGATAAATTGGTTGGTGATCATGCTGTGTAAGCCGCTTCATCTCCCGCGTGCCGTATGAAATCACTGATTAACCTTTTGTGGAGGCAGGGAACTGTTAGCGCCAGGTTGGCAGCCAGAAAGAAAAAGAAAAGAAATGCATGGAAAAAGGGCCTTATATCCGACCAGCATCTGTTAGCAACCAGTTAGCTGCCTCCGTAAGCAAAACGGTGCAGCGGCCAACTAGGAAAACGGAATGAAGCAAAGTTACCAAGTCTCTGATAATCCATGCATGTAATCCAAGCTGAACCTACCAGGTTCCGCCAGGAATAAGCAACAACTTGCATGTCCTGGTTGTTGCAAGATAGAAGGATAGTTGCAAAGGCCAAGAGAAGGCGGTGGGGTAATATGTCCAATCCTGGAGCATGACCTGGCTAATCACCTCGGAAGTGGACTCATAACACCAGCATGTATAGCTCACCATTTCTAATCTACGATTCATCCAACCACCCATCCGTTGTGCGCATCTCTGTCAGGACGTGGGATATGCTGACGGTCCATCTACGAACAAGCCATGGCAAGGGACTAACGGTAGTCTGGGGGCAGGGCTTGACTTTACATCATTGCATTCAGCCACGACGGGTCTAATATGATGAGATGTGTCGCTAAAGATACTGACTGTGGTTAGAAACGCTCAAAGCAGCTCCGAGGTGGGGTCCCGGTGGTTTCTAACGTGGTTGGGTCTCCCGAGGTGAGTGAACTTTCGGGTATGTGCAGACAGAGCTAAGACAGATGTGGGAAAAGACTGGCATGTCGAGGGTGACTGCATGAGAGTGTGACAAGCAAGTTGCGTCCAGAGAGGAATCCAACAGGTATCTTTGAGCCTGGACTCCATCCTCGTGAGAAGGGAAACCTGCGTGGCCAACTTGCTGGAGGCAGATCCGTAATAAAGAGCTAGGGTTGGAAAAAAGGGGGCGCGCTGGGGACGTGGTAGGCAGGGTAGAGGGGGCCAATAATGGAATGCTAGCCAACCTCAGCAAGCCTCAAGTCGCCAGCGTCGTTTAGGTAGGTTGGTAATATTCATTTGCTTGTCATTTCGCGCTGCAGGTACTATTAGGTCCAAGGCTCGAGAAGTACTTACATTATTAGTCTGTGGGAACTAGCAACTAGGGCTATGATACAGGGTGGAGGGAAAAGAAAAGCTTTCTTGGTATGGCTAGCCTGCCTGGAGCTGGACGTGATAACAACAACAGGCCCTGGGGCGGGATGATCTCCCACGGCATCCACGGGGAAGCAGAAGGATTGTACTTTAGCCAGAGGTAGGAATGGACAGCAACGGGTCATGAGACCCAGTGGCGTCTACCTATCCTGCTGCCAGCCGGACTGGAAGAGAGAACCCATCAAGAGCATGTTGTTGGCCCAGCCGGTCTCTACCAGGGGCCCACGCGGCAATACCTGAGCAGACTTTCGTGGTGGACGCAGTCGTCGGCGGAAGTTGTTCCCGGGGTCGCGGTTCGCTTGAGGAGGAGGAGGTGTAGAATCCTGAGGAAGCTCCTAATTACGTGGCTCGCAAAATGTGGGCAAGCCAGCGGCTGATGCAGGCTCGCACGCAGAACTTACGACCTTCGTGCCAAGCAGGAGCTAGTGGGAATGCCAGTGGGGAGCAGTGTGGCCGGCGGTGGGGATGAATGCGTGGAACAATTGAGAAACCATCAGATACTGCTCCCAAAAGGCCTAATGAGAGCCCTGGTAGGTCATCCGTAGCTAGGTGCTTTTCTTCCGCCAGGGCTGAGGTCGGGTGGGTTGTTGGTGCGAGTTGGTTGGCCGGTGTGCCTGTGAGGTTACGACTAGGCTTGTTGTCCCCAGCCATTACGTCGTTGTGCTGCAAGTTGGACACACGGGCCAGGTAATTCGAGCAGGCAGTTGCATCATTGCAGCCCCTCCATTGGAAGCACCCCACCCCTCCTTCTTGTCCGCACCTGCCGCTCCAGGTTGCTCCCAATGGCCGCTGGGCAAGCGCCGCCATGTATGTACTGTACCTGCCGCTCAACCAACTGAAGTCCAACTGCGGCAGGTAGGTGCGGCCGAAAGGAGATGAGCGATAACCGCTTACAATCCAACTTGGTGAAATCTTCTCTCTAGGGTTTCCCCTACAGAGCCCTTGCCCATCTCGCGTGTATTACCGTGTAAAACTATGAGTGCATAAGCAACTCCACGCGTGCTGATAGCTGCACCGTCTTAGACCGGCCGGCTATTCACTGACGACAGGGGCCGATATCTAGGAGTGCTCTAGCTTGAGCAACCTAAGATGAACGGCGGTCGGTCATCTCAATGCACCGTCGCTGCAAGCCCCCAGCTGATTTTCCCCCCCACCGCCGAGGCGTCAAGCAACCGCCTAAGTATTGTTGCCATTGCCGTTCGTTATATCAGTCGAGACTCTTGAGAGTCGCGCCGGTCTGCTAAGTCTAGCGATGATCGGCGGTACCAGTCTCAATAGACGCTACTTCTTGAGAAGGGGTCTCTCCATAGGTAGATGTATATGAATTCTCCGGGGTCAAACATACCATGTATGTGACTTTGTACTTCGTATTTTAATGCCAAAAGCAACGAATCGCTCGAATCGATATTTTTCCGCCTTCAGACATCGGAACTTCCCGAAAGGCGCTATATTAATTGACAGCTGGGCTATATCGCTAGTATTTACTGAGGCGAGGATTTCATGAACGCCCCTGCCAGACCATCGTTCTACGTGCGGAGTATCCAAAACTCAAGGTAAAAGTGCCGCAACGGCGGGCTGCGCAGAGCTCTCTCATAATAATGATATTATTATCACGTCACACTTGGCCTTAAGCTGATCTACAGCTCCGGGGACATCTCAAAGTTTGCAACTCTAACCAGGCACCCCAGGACTAAAATATGGGCTCATGGCATACGGAACTTTGACCCCATTACGCTATCTATGAAATGGATGAATGCAAAATGATAGGTCGGATAGCTGTAACCAGATAAAGGGGGGGGGGTTTTGTGGAACTCAGCCTTCACCGTGACCTGAACGGGAAATGTATGGCCTGTTTCTCTGGTATAAGACGGGGCGATCCGTTATAGCCGTCGGACGTAACAGCGAATGCTTGGCTTTCAGATGTCTCGTGAGCAGAGGAACATCGGACGAACCTCATGTAGGAATTACGGATCACTTCATTGCTCTGCATCCCCGAAGGATGAGATACGACGTTAATTAGGTGAGATTTATGAGCTCAATATTTACCATTCCCACGTTGTATTTTCCCATTGAGTCTGTAGCCATCCTGATGGCAAACCGCTCACATGGATGAGGTGATGTGATTAAGTTACCAAAACCCAGGTTGAGAACAAAGACGACAGTCAGAAAAGAGAAATTGGATATGAAAACAAGGCGGGGCTAAAACATGACTTTGGTGGCTACGCTGAGCAACCAAGCGGCATCTTGCCAGGGCCCCTGATCCGTGACGGGTGGTGGGATCTTTTCCTCTGGAACATTTGAGATGCCCTCGAAGTGGCGAGCTGACCACCCTGAGTGCCCAGGCGCAGGCGATAGGTCCTCCAGTGACCCATAGTCATCCTCCTCGTCTTCGGAATCTTCATCATTCTCCTCTACAGAGAAGAGAGACCATCCAATCATATTGCTGATCCATGAGCCCGTTCCAGACTGGCCATGTCGAACTAATCTTCTGACAGCAGCCTCGTCGTCTTGCACGGTGTCTTGCTCCAGCTCCTCCAGTTTCTCGTCGAGATTGACAAAGTCAGGTTCTACCATGTCTACACCCCCGCGAGCTGCAAAGTACGAATCGCCTTCGACGTGCTCTAACGGCGTAATATAACTGTCCCGGAAATCCACGATGCTGTGCGACCTGCTTCCATGGCGGCTGTGGAAACGGCTTCCATAAGGGGAGGCATCGTCTTCTAAGATCCCGACACTGGGACGTCTGCTTCCAAGATGGTGGTTGCTACGCTCCATGACCAATTCTTGGTCAAAGGCATCATCTTCATCATCCTGTGCGCCCTGGAGGCTCGTGGAACTCTGCCTGGACACAAGCCAGGACTGTCCCTTGAACTCACGCGACTCGGAGGTCATGAGGGCTCCCGTCCGGAGTAACCAGTCGCTGTCAGTGCGGCCATTCGTGTCCTCGTGACCTCCCCTTCTCCGACGGGGTGTGGCCGAGCCGTGGCCACGGGAAGACCTTCGACCCTGGGCTGATCCGAGATGCGTAGTAGATTTACTCTTCGAGAAGGCCATGCTTGGCTCGGACGGGGTTCGTTGCTGTGAGCGGGAGCGAGGTGTGGCAGGGGAGCGGGAGAGAAGGCGAGGAGTGGTAGGCGCCGACTTGCCCTGGATGTAGGACGTTCTTCGCGACATGGTGGTAAAGGCGGCCTGGGAGTCCACGAGAGCTTGGTCATCGTGATCCAGGGGCAGCTTCGTAGTCAACGGGGCGAGTGTGAGGCGGTTGAGGGAGGTCGAGGAGGCCTTGCGACGAGCGCGTTCGGCGTGAGGGTCGTAGGCGAGATCCATTGTGCTGTAGTTGTTTGCTATGTTCTCTATGTGGGCTCAATCCAACTGTAATGATTCGAGATCGAGTTCGGCCAGGATGGATGGAGGACGCTGGCGATGAGATGCGGATGACGGCGCTTTCTATATACAGTTGATTGGAATTGAATGGCGGAGAGGCCGTCTCGACCGTCTCGACCCCGGAATCAAACGAAGAGAGGACGATGAACCAGAATCGGTTAGCAGCTGCATGACAGCGACGCTACCCCACTTTTTGTTTGGCCTCGGGACGCTGAGCTGAGGATCGACATTGCCTCCATCGCGGTAACTGGGTAGAAAGCGTGGCCGCTTTTTTCCTCGGTGGTATGACCTGCAGCAACCGGTCGCCGGGAAAGGTTGCAGTCGGAAAGTAAAGTGTGATCCAGGAGGGAAAAGAAGGAACAGTAAAATTCTACCCTTGGCGTAACCTTGTCACCACTTAGCCGTCCAGGCGCCACTTTTCGTATGAGGCGACCGCCGCGAAAAGCACCTGAGTTCAAGGTGCTTGTGACGGAATTCAATACAATCTGGGAAAGTTTTTGGCTGCAGAACGGGCCGACGAAACAATCCGGTTTCGCCCATGCAGTTCGTACCCGATGGCTGTGCCAATATGCAGCTCCCGGTATTTGAAACAGGTTCTTTCATGTGATTATTGCAGAATGGTGATATCATCCTACCTTCATGAACAGAGGGGAGAACCATTATGAACATTGAGGCAATGGCCGCTCTCACACAGCTAATACCTACAGGCAACCCGACTAGGCTAGTAGAGACAGACTGAGACAAAGGCCGACGAGCTCAGGTTTGACCATTTCCCAAGTCAAGTTTTGGACCCCTATGAGCAACTCCACCGTGGGTGATCCTCCGGCCGGCTCCGAGGTGTCGCAGTTATGGATGCCGCGCCGCGCCGAGTACGCCGTTTCTTCTGCAGGTCTCATTATCGCCACCCTTGTATCTATGTAGATGAGGATGAGGTGAAAGGGTGGTTAGACGGCCCGTTACCTCTAATCGCTGTGTCCGACTGGCTGCCAGTGGATAGAGGCTGAGGGTCATCTGAAACAGACGAATGCTGGTAGGGAACAGGAGAGCGCAAGGGACGGATATGGTGAATGAGTGACATCTTAGGAGTGTGTAAGCCTACAATAATTTCGCGGGCTCAACTCGTCCTGCGCTGTAGATTCTCTCTTTGAAATTGAAGCTGTTCGCTCTGAAACTTCAACGCTGGAAGAGCCTGAATTTGGTGTTCAGCGAGCTTTACAGCGGCACTGGCACTAAACCCCTTCAGCACCCACATTGGTTGCAACCTCTAGCCCCTCTATCCACTGCCCTTTAGTGAGTATGTGGCGTTGGCCGACGACTGAACCATGTGCGTCGGGTTTTGAGGTACTTGGCCCCAGGCAGGCTCGAGGTTCCCTCAACCTGATCTTCCACGGGTTTATCGTGAAGTGCCCCGCAAAAGCTACTTCGACGAACCCTGGCCCTCAAGTATCTCCACGCATTCTGCCCGCCGAGAGAAAAAAGAAAAAATCCTTAGGCTCCATGTAACCCAACATCACTTCGGCTGAGAGACAAGAAAGACTCACCGGTCAGGCCACTAGTTGCACATGCCACAGCCATCCTGGAACGACCAAAGCGGGAATCCATTCCATCCAGCATATGACTGAGCGGGCAACGGTGCCTGTGGGAGAATAACCCGACGGGGCATCTGGGAAGAAGAAAACACCCTTGTCAACTGGATCTACCTTGTCTTTTCTCAAACTCGCAGTCAGCCAACCAACGATGCGCAACCTTCGCAATCTTCAGTTTGGCCGCTGGAGGCATCCCGACATCACGTCGGCTTGCTGGGACCCTGAGAAGGACGAGCTCCTATGTACCGTCGGGCCGACAGAGCACAGCTCGACTATTGAGCTCCTGAGAGTCTCGGACAAGCAAGATGTGTACGAAAATCAGCGTTAGATCCTTTGTTAGCTTCGCTTTTTGATGACCTATGAAATATGTGCTGACGATCGACCCAAAGTTCTCACCAGACAGTTGCAAGCTGGGAGGCGCCGAGCCCAAACCCAGACCTGCTGGTCGATAGGGTGATCAGTCTCCAGTATCTGAGTGGGACAGCGACTACATGCCTCGTTTTAGAAGGAGGCGATATCATTACGGTCCAGGAAGATCAGTTCTCTTCAAATGGTCCTCATATCGAAATTGTAGGCTCCATCGATGCTGGCATCGCAGCCGCAAAATGGTCTCCGGATGAGGAGTTATTGGCCATCGTCACCAAGGCGAACGCTCTGCTTTTCATGGGCTCGACTTTTGACCCGGTCGCCGAAGTTGCCATGACCGTCGAGGATCTCAAGGCTTCAAGGCACGTATCAGTTGGATGGGGTAAGAAGGAAACCCAGTTCCAGGGCCGAGGAGCCAAAGCGATGCGCGACCCTACGATCCCCGAAAAGGTTGACAGTGGAGTTTTAAGCCCGAATGACGATGGCGCCATCAACATCAGCTGGAGGGGCGACGGAGCTTTTGTTGCCATCAACGCAATCCAAGAAAGTGAGGACAGCAAGCGTCGAGTAATCAGGGTTTATTCTCGCGAGGGCGAGCTTGACAGCGCCAGTGAGCCGGTGGATGGGTTGGAGAGCACTTTGAGCTGGAGACCGTCTGGGAATCTCATCGCAGGTATCCAGCGGTTTGATGACCATATCGATGTTGTTTTCTTTGAGAGAAATGGCCTTCGCCATGGCCAGTTTCGCCTTCGCTCTCCCGAAAAGCCAGTAGTATCCAGCTCAGCCATCCGTCTTGAGTGGAACTCCGACTCAACTGCGCTAGCTGCGATGTTGGACGGCTTAGTCCAAATCTGGACCACGGGGAATTATCACTGGTATTTGAAGCAGGAGATTCCAACGGAGCCCTCTACTGCCTCTGTAGTTTGGCATTCAGAGAAAGCCCTGCGTTTCGCTATTGTGACTACCGAGAACTTGAGCATCGTCGAAAAGATATTCTATACGGCCCGGGGCTCGTCCTGTCCGCCATTTGATAACGGAGCTGTTGCAGTCATTGATGGTGAGACTATCAAGTTGACACCTCTCAGAGGAGCGAATGTACCGCCCCCTATGGCTCTTTATGAATTGAAGGTTGAGTCTGCTGCAGTGGATGTGGCATTTGGGCGAAGAAATCAGAGTTTTGCCATCTTACATCGAAAAGGTGTAGATGTTTACGACTGGCCCGAATCGGATGGACGATGGATCAAGCCGCAACTTAAAGTCAAGGTTCCATTTGGTCCAGCAAACATCCCAGAAGACAATGTCGGCCTGCGAATTTGCTGTTCCTCGGAGGGACGGTTCAAACTGATGAGCTACCAGGATGATCTAGGGAATCTGCAGCTTAGTGTCAAGGCCGATGCTGAAGATGCACACCTCGATTTCCTCAATGAAGATCAGCTATTTGTGAGTACAACGACTTACGAGGACGATTCCTCTATCGAAGGTTATGGTCAGGACCGCACAGGGAAGATCCACCGTCTTCTGTCGACCGGAAGCGAGCTCCTACCCGTCCAGTTCCAAACCCAGCTACCTTGGTTCGAAGTTGCCAAGGTCAGCGACTCCATTATTGCATTTGGCCTGTCAAGAGGTGGCCATCTTTACGCGAATTCACGCCTCCTAGCCAAGAACTGTACCTCTTTTGTTGTCACACCCGACCACCTTATCTTTACTACCAATAATCATTTAGTCAAATTTGTTCACTTGGCTGAAGATGTCGAGGGTTGGTGTTTCCCGAAGCTAAATTGGATTCGCCGCATGTTGTTAACGACTTTATAGAACTAGAAGTTTGTGGAGATGATCCTGAAAAGGATGAGCGGTGTCGTAACGTAGAGCGCGGCTCCCGACTTGTCACAGCCATTCCCACTACCATGAGCATCGTTCTTCAGATGCCCAGAGGCAACCTGGAAACCATTTACCCTCGAGCTATGGTGGTTGCTGGTATTCGCAATCTCATTGATCAGCTGAAGTACGCGGAAGCATTTACATACTGTCGTACTCAGCGAGTGGACATGAATATTCTATATGATCATAAACCTGAACAGTTTCTTGCCAATGTGGGCGTGTTCTTAGATCAACTTAGGGAGGCCTCGTACATTGACCTCTTCTTGTCCTCGCTTCGGTAAGTGTAGAAAGTCATATCACCTAAACAAATCCAAGACTAACATCGTCTTGCAGCCAGGAAGACGTTACGGAAACAATGTATCCTGACACCAAACGTGGCAAGATTCAGGAGAGAACATTCTTGAACCCCGAGCCCCAACCCTCTTCCGAGCTAGCACCAACGACCTCGAAGGTAAACACAGTCTGTGACGCTATCCTCAAGGGTCTTCAGACCCAAACGCCAACCAGCATTCAGAACACTATTACCGCTCACGTCTGCAAAGACCCTCCCGCCCTGGAAGATGCCCTGCGCTTGGTGGCTGGGCTGATGGAAGAGGGAGAGAAGCCTGCCGAGCGCGCCGTCGAACATGTTTGCTTCATTGTCGACGTCAACCGCGTCTATGACAACGCCCTAGGTCTCTATAATCTTGAACTTGCACTTCTGGTCGCGCAACAGTCACAGCGTGACCCAAGAGAGTATCTTCCATTTATCCAGGATCTCCATAAACAATCCGACTTGCGCCGCAAATTTATCATCGACGACCACCTCTCCCGCCGTACAAAGGCGCTCAGCCACCTCCACGCCCTGGATGTCTTTGAAGAACTAAGCAATTACACAGTCAAACACATCCTGTACCAGGATGCCCTGAAGCTCTACCGCTACGACCAAGATCGTCTAAGTCAAATCACCACCCTCTACGCCGCCCACCTCGAATCCACATCCGCTTTCAGAGAAGCCGGCCTCGCTTACGAGTCGCTTCAAAACTACGCAAAAGCCACAAGCTGCTACCGCGCGGCCGGCGCAACATGCTGGCAGGAGTGCCTGGTCAGCGCGCAGCTGCAGACACCGCCCATGTCCGAGGACGCCCTGGCCGAGACCGCCACCGCCCTGGCCGACGCCCTCTGGGAAGACAAGAACTACGCCGCCGCAGCCAGCATCCACTTAGACTACCTCTCCTCGCTGGAGCAGGCCATCCGGTGCCTCTGCAAGGGCTACCACTTCGCCGAGGCCATCCGCCTCGTCCTCCAAAAGTCCCGCCCGGAGCTCCTCACCACCGCCGTCGACACCGGCATCGCCGAAGCCCTCGGCAGCACCACCGAGTTCCTCGCCGACTGCAAGGCCCAGCTCAACGCCCAGGTGCCCCGCATCGCCGAGCTGCGCCGCAAGGCCGCCGAGGACCCCTTGGCCTTCTACGAGGGTGAGCGCGCCGGCGGCGCAGACATCCCCGACGACGTCTCCATCGCCGCGAGCTCCCGCGTGAGCACGAGCGCCAGCCTGTTCACGCGGTACACCGGCAAGGCCGGGAGCGTGGGCACCGCGGGTACGGGCGTCAGCCGCGCGACGAGCAAGAACCGCCGCCGGGAGGAGAAGAAGCGCGCCCGCGGCCGCAAGGGCACCGTCTACGAGGAGGAGTACCTCGTCAACAGCGTCAGGCGGCTGGTCGAGCGCGTCATGGCCGCCAAGCCCGAGGTCGAGCGCCTCGTCTTCGCCCTGGTCCGGAGAGGGATGGCGGAGCGCGCCCGCGCCGCCGAGGCCCTCCTGTCGGACGTGATCGCGGCGTGCGAGCGGTCCGTGGACGAGGTGTTCCCCAAGCCACCCCCTGGCAGCGGCGAGCAGCAGGAGACACCCGATCAGCAGGGAGAGGGGGGCGGGTTCCCCGGTGACGACTGGAAGGCTACGGGCGGGGCGGCCGTGCTGCAGGAGTTTGTGCAAAGCCAGGCCAAGCTGCAGCAGCCGCCTCTCGTGACGGCCATGAAGAAGTTATCGCTACTTGGAGCATAGCTTGGTCAGGTCACAAGTTTTTAGTGGTTGCTCGCTTATTTAGATCAAGTCTTTAGAAAAATAAGCCTAGATATATCTCCCCCCTGATAGTCAGGGGCCGAATATATAAAGTGTTTCCCATTCCAAGCAATAACCTAGCTAAGTTTCCCGTCCCCCGCGCTTTGTAAAAACGAATATGTGCGCCCCCCACGATGGAGCCAAGGGCCATGTATAATCAGTGTCCGTCTCATATACATACAAGCATGTCTTAACCAGGGTAATATATCATGTCAAAAAAATAAACAACCGTTACCGCCGTTCCTATTTCGCTTCCTGCGCTGCCGTCCCATCGGGCGTCCCAGCCGCCGGCGGCTCTTCGCCCCCGCCTTCTGCCTGTTGTGCCCTGTCTTCCTCCTCTTCATACTCCTCGTACTCCTCATATTCTTCTCCCTCCTCGGGGATGTAGCCATTCTGGCGCTCCCATACCTCGCGGCGTATCCTCTCGTCCTTGAGTAATCTCTGTCTTTCCACCTCTTCAAAGCCGCCCGACTTCTTCAGCTTGCCCTCCTTCACGAAATCTTTAATTTCACGGTGGAGCGGATTGCCCTTTCGGCTCGCCAGCTCCTTCTGTCGAAGCTTCTCGGCGCGCTCAATGGCCTCGAGCCTGTCCTCGTGGTTTGGCTGGAGAGCGCGGACCTCGCCGAGGACACCCTCCTTCGCAGCGTTTTGGTCTAGGCTGTTGCCGAGGCTGTTGAGACCTCTGGAGAACTGGCGCGCCGAGCCGGCGCTGGCGTTGGTGCCGTTGTCCTTCATCTGCTCCTTCGTCGCTTGCTCAACAAGCACAAAGGTCTCGGAGGCCTTCTCGAGATCGTCGCGTAGATCTACTAGCAGGTCCTCCATAAGGCGGAGCTCATCTCGGCCCTGGCAGACATCCTCAAGCTCCTTCTCCCAGATCTTAGTCCAGATGGGCTTCTCTTGGATCATGTAGTCCTCCATCTTCTTGAGCTCCTTGGTCAGGCCGCCAATTTCCTTGGAGACACCTTCCAGCTGCCTGGGCAGTGGCCGCACGCCGCGGTGCACAACATCCTTCCGTAGATCCTCGACCAAGTCCTGGAGATCATCGACCTTGCCAACCAGGCGGTCCGAGTCGGAGTTGAGTTGCTTCCGGCCACTTGCGACGTATGAGTATCCAGCATCGCCTTCCATGTCGGGAATAACGGCTTTGGCAGCCACTTCCTTGACATTCGCAGCCTTCTGTCGAAGCGCCGACATGGAGGTCTGGACCTCTGATTGGAAATTGGCATAAGTTTGGCGGATAACAGCGAGATCCCGGCGGAGGCTCTGCAATTCGCCTTGCTGGCCAGCTGGGAGTCTCTTGCCCAAGCCCAGAGGCGAGCGCATGCCGTCGAGGCCGCTGGAGACGACGGGCGGGGCGGATGCCATTCTCGCCAACTCCTTGGACGTTTCTTGCTGGATGTCGGAAACTCGTTGGAGTGCAGTTCCTTGGTCATCCACGTTCTGCTTAACTTCACGAACAATCTTTGTCAACGCTGATATCCCATCATCAAAGTGTCGTTTAACCTCATCCAACTGTTCAACGTTTAGAACAAGGACTGTGCGATCCTTGATGTCCGCCAAGTCTTCCAGCTCGTGCCGCACGCCAGATACGGGGTCCTGGATGTAAATCTCAGGCAAGTCTGCACCATTCTGTTGCGTGCTCCATGAAAACTTCTCAATAAATGCGAGTTGCAGGCGACCAAGGGAGAGCTCTTCGCGGCCTTCTGGCAAGACGAACTTCTTTACTTTTGACTTGTACTGAAGGAAGAGGGTCAGTTCACGAGTAGGCGTCGGCGGGGGAGAGACCTGGAAATAGGACTCGCTGGGCTTCGTTTCTCGTTGCGGGGTCTGGATTGTCTCCTCCTTCTTCTTGGGTATTTCCGGTTCAACTTTTGCTTCCTCAGGGGTATCAGGTTCGAAGAAGGGTGGGTCGGTTAATGGGCCTGACAAGGTGGCGGTCGACATATGCTTATCTTGGGGGCTCTCAGCCGGCGCCGGACTCTCGGCTGGTGGAGGAAGCTGGGGGGATTGCTCCTCTGATACTTGGCTGGGAACTCTGACTGGAGAGACTTCTTGCGCAATACCGTTTCTTGGCTGCGCTGATGGATTGCGACTGTGTCGAATCGAGTGTCTGGATTGAACTGCACGCAAGGACTCCCTGGCAGCTTCTCTCTGGCCTCGATTGGGGACGGGGCCATTCTGCGATGGGAGCATGGGCATCCCAGTCGATCCTCCCAAGTGTTTTGATATTTGATACTGGGAATATCGTCGCGATGCACGTCGCTCAAGATCTCCCCCCTTTTGCAGCGCTGCCAGAGCACTGGATGTATTATCCGGAGGGGTGGGCGGCGGCGGCGGAAATGAATCGACATTAACATCGGTCTTGACTGGAAACGTTGGGATTGTTGATGAATCTGTGGGATATGGGGGCAACACCGGGATATTTTGCATTGTGTTGCTCGACAACGACGACTGCTCTGAAGCTACTGTTTCCTGAGACGGATCTCGCACTGAGTTGAATCGACGTGCAGGCGATGTGTTCCGGATTGGAGGCATAGATTCGCTTCGAGGCTCTGGCTTGTATCCATTTTCTATTCCCTCCTCGAGCAAGTTGGTCAATCCACTTGCGCCACTTGCCACGGTGCTGACGCTCGTGGTCCTCTCGGGGATAGCGGCGGAACCAGTACTCTCACGATCTCTCATCTGTTTTTGTCGAAGTTTGTGTTGCTTTCGCTTGAGTCCGTGTAGTAAGTTGATGATGATGTCTCGTATCCTCGGCAGATATTTCTCCAGGTTCTCAGAGCTTGCTTCCTGGCTCAGTGTCGTCTCGAGTATGTGGCGGAGGAGGTCCGGGACGTTTCCCAAGTCGGAAACATCGACATTAATGGCCGTGAAGGCACGGCATGCCATATTAAATTCATATCCCAATCGCACGTAAACATCAGAGACTTCGGTATCGGTTGCTTGCCCGCGAGACCACTGGGTCAGGGTTTCGAGAAGCTGTTTCGTAGCAACTAGTAAGTGGGTGACGCTCTTCTCTATTTGTGACAACGGCATGTTCGATCCGCTTCCAGAGCCCTAAATATAGTCAAGCAAAGTCAGAAGGCCATCCTACGCCAGATGCGATGAGGGCTTGAGAGGGGGAGCACGGGTTCCCCACGACGCGGCTGAGGCTGGGAACTATCGCCCACCGGCCTCAGCCAAACCCAAGCTCTGTGATTAAACGCACCTCTCTGTTCACCCGCTTTGCGCTACCCGATTGTCCTGACCTGGAGATCCTCCCTCCTTGAATGTTTGGCGAGATAGAACGAACGGGTATATTTGGTGGCGGACCAGGCTCAGCGCCGGGGGATCGGCGCTGGAATCCGCGCACCACGGTTTGAGGCTGCATCGCGGCGAAGACACGAGACGAAGCGCCTCAGATTGTGATAATAATAATAACGATTTGTCTGTGTTGAGTCGGCAGCCCGGCGGGCAGGCGTATGCGATGTCGAGCTGGGTCGCGGTCGGGGCTAAGTGGCAGAAAGGAGTCAAGTCGCAATTAGAAATTAGTCGGCTCCCCGTGTTCAGCTGCTACAGTCAAAGGACAGGCATGGTCTAAACATTCAACTGGTAGAATGAGCGGTGTCGAATATCACGGCCAACAAGGAGCGCAAGCAAAGTGCAGAGAACAAACGCCGGAATGAAGGTGTGTGTAGCTGGCTGGATGGATGATGGGTGACGAGGCCGGCGTTGAGGTTGGATGAGAGGTGCCACTCAGACAACCGATCGCAACATTTCGACTGGCTGATTGCAGAGAGGAGCCACAGGTGGCTGAAGCGGAAGGTCATTGGGCAGGGACAGTCACAAGCGGTTTAGATAGTCGGGTCCACCCACTTGGATTATGGGGCAAGGATCCATCCACTATCATCCACTATCATCCATCTGCGGGTGCCTGGAACATCCCTATTTACAGCGCCCTCAGCCCCAAAGGCCAGAGCATGCTGACACTGCTCCCACCACCACACCGTCACCACCGACATGGTACAACGGAAGGATTGATGCACTGGGATAGGGGATGGATATTTAATTTTTGGTTTGTGCGACCAAATAACCTCCAACCTCCCCTGACTGGTGCTCCAAGACACAAGGGTCGAGTTCGCCCACCCGTGAGTCCGGTTGACGTTGGATCCTCCGCATTGCCCACCTGGCTTGCTTTGTCCGCTATGTCTTCCTGCTGCATCTTCTGAGACAGGAGCAGCCACGCTTATGCCTGGCTTTCCCCAAGCAGGCTCTAGAGAAGCAGCATTGACGCTGGACCCGGCCTTTGCCGTCTTCTCACGTCACAAGCCATCGATCAGTTGTCTGGTGCACATGTGATACAGCAACTGAGACTCTGAGTTGGCTCGTATTGCCTGTCCCTGATTTGCTGTCATGCAAAAGAACCCACCGCCACAGCGCACTATACGAGCCATTGCAAAGGCTGGCTGACTCTGACTGGACAGATCCGTCTATAAATATTCAATGGCAGCTGAGTCTATATGTGCCCACCCAGGAGCAATTATAGGCTAAGCTGCGTCCCATCAGATAGGGCTGAGTTTAAATGGCAGCTGTGTCAATAGTGCAGCCACTTAGGCGTTCCTCCCTTTCGTTGTTGCAACCAAGAGATTTGCCAACATAACCCGATGCTTGCAGACCACCATCGGCGGGAATCGGTCGACGCGTGGCTTTTCAGCCTCATGGAGCATGACAGCCATTCTGCCCATTGAACTCTAACTGGGCCCGACCCCAGGGAGCTATGATACCTAGCCACAAGCCGGGTCTCTCGGAATGCGAATACGTATTACCAGTAAGCATTCTAGCATAGATCGGATCCCACCCTGCTTAGCCATTGTCATAAGGCACGTAGGAGCCCAAGCATGTGGGAAGGGGCCGTCGTATTTCAACGACATTCCTTCCTCTCGCTCCTTCATGATCAGCTTTCTCTCGGCTGATCAATACATCCAGTGTATGCTGACTCTCCGAATGCCACCATCCTGTCAAGTTCCTATTTGTAGCTCGCATTGTGATGTCCAAAAGCAATGTCAAGGTTGCAGTGGTTGGAGGTGGACCAGCAGGCAAGCCACACTCCTCTCTTCCGTGTCTCGTCCTTCATGCATGCGCATTCCATACTGACCCCAAACCCACCGCATAGGATGCATGCTGGCTAGACTCCTGCACTTGGAAGGGATCGATGCTACAGTCTTTGAGGGAGAAGCGGCTCCCAACTACCGGAGTCAGGGCGGGACCCTTGATCTCCACACCGATACTGGCCTGGCTGCCATGAAAGCTGCCCAGCTCTGGGACGAATTTCTGAAGTATGCTCGCTATGACGGGCAGTATCTGGCAATCGTCGACAAGGACCTGGACCACTTGTTTGTGCGCCATCCTGGCAACGGGAAAGAGATCGCGGGAGAGAGTCCCGAGATTGACCGGTCCAGGCTCCGTCAGATACTGACCGAATCGGTTCCTGAGGGAATGATCCGCTGGGGACGTCGGTTGAAGAAGGTGGAAGGCAAGACGCTCATCTTTGAGAATTCGACAGAAACGGGATTCGATCTGATTGTTGGTGCTGATGGGGCCTGGAGTAAGGCTCGCCAGGCCGTTGATCCCACCTTACAACCTCAATACGTTGGTGTCGGCATGTATCACCTCACCATCCCCGACGCCGAAGAGACTGCGCCCGAAACCTGCAAACTAGTAAATCGAGGCAGCCTCTTTGCTCACAGTGAAGGACAGCGACTTACGGTCCAGCAGATGGGCGATGGAAGTCTGGATGTCCACGTCACCTTCCGTCGAGATGACCCGGATTGGATGAAGGAAGAAAAGTGCGGGATCGATTCGACAAATCTCGAACAAGTCAAGAAGGAGCTTCTGCAAAAAGATTTCAGTGGGTGGTGCCCTGAGCTTAAAGATGCGATAAGCAGTGCCGAGGGTCCCTGCGTACCACGATCTCATCACATTCTCCCGATCGGAACGCATTGGGAGCATGTTGACGGGTTGACACTCATAGGGGATGCAGCCCATCTCATGACACCTTACGCGGGCGAGGGCGTCAACCTAGCTCTGGAGGACGCGATGCTGCTAGCAAAGGCAATCGCCAACGCTTCCAACGGCCCGAACACGCTCGACGAAGAGGTCCGCCTATTTGAGAACAACATGTTCGTCCGGGCCAAGAAAGTACAGCAACTCTCCGACAATCTCTGTAAGGATTGGCTGTTCACGCCCGGTGCTCCGAGATCAGTAATAGCCCGGGCATTGAGTAGGCATATCAACTACCATCTACCTGCCATTTTCCATCCACTCAGCCTCATGGGCCTTTCTTCATACTTCTTTCTCAGACATCTTGTCAAATAAGGGGTTGGCAGGCGTTTCACACACGGCGCACCGGTGTTGCTTTCTGGTCTCCAGGTTTTAGACGTTGATGGTTCTGGCATAGGGACTGCCCCGTTCACTCCCGACCGTTATGCTTATGAGACTGCAATGGGGCATCGTGACATCACATCTGGTGAGATGGCCGAGTTGGTTATGGCGTCAGGTTAAGGCTACCTTAGCATTCATTCCTGGTGGAGCAATCCTCCTGGGTTCGAGTCCCAGTCTCATCAATAACTTCTTATGAATCTTGTTTCATAATTGGGTTATGTTGTCTTTTTTTTAGGATGGTTTGAGTTGTCTTTTTGAGTCCTGTTTTCAAAAGCAAGAAGAACCCTGTAACTCAAGTCATATGATGCACATCTTTGCACAAGAACATATTCAGATTTACAACAAATATCTTCACTATGCTATTTATGTGATGCAGCTCCACAGCCTTGAACTGGGTCAGGCGGATATTATGATGTCTCAGGACAGTCTCCAAATAGAGGCTAAACCGGGGCCCCGTAGATAGCTTAGTAAGTCGGAGACAGATTAGCATACATATGAACATAGCCACGCGACCTACATACTTGACCTTGATCTGACAGCATGAAATTAGAATAGCATGCGAATTATCGCTCCAGCCTCAGGATGGACAATTCCCAGGCGCCTCTGATCTCCAATAACCGCCGGGACAGCGAGGGCGAGTTCGAGGATGAGGATCTCGCGAGCGAGATCGGCATCGCACAGCCAAAGAGCGACCGGCCGGGGATATTCGTGCTTGCTCTCACATTCGCAGCCGGCATCAGCGGGCTCCTCTTTGGATGTATGCCTACCTAGTGATCTGAATGTCTCTTGCAGCGGAGAATGCTAATGTTCCTGATCAGATGACACCGGTGTGATTTCCGCGACCCTCGTTTCCGTCGGTACATCGCTCTCCGACCGCAACCTGACGTCCCTGGACAAGTCGATCATCACATCTTCGACGTCCCTCTTCGCCCTGCTCATATCTCCGTTCTCTTCCGTTCTCGCCGACAAGCTGGGCCGCAAACGAGTGATGATATACGCGGATATTCTCTTCCTTGGCGGCGCCCTCATCCAGGCCATGTCCAAGTCTGTCCTCGTCATGACCATCGGGCGATGCATTGTCGGATCCGCGGTAGGGGCTGCAAGCTTCGTTGTGCCATTGTACATCGCCGAATTGGCACCTGCGTCGCACCGCGGAAGGCTTGTGACGCTGAACTCTGTCTTCATCACAGGTGGGCAAGTAGTTGCCTACGTCGTGGGCTGGCTATTCTCGGCCTTTGGCTCCAAAGCGACAGGATGGAGGTGGATGGTCGGTCTAGGTGGCGTCCCTGCCGCCATCCAGCTTGCCGTAGTCTTGTTCATGCCCGAAACCCCAAGATGGCTGATTAAGGAGGGGAGGATGAACGACGCGAGACATGTCATTCAGAAAGTCAATGGCTCGTCGTCCTCCTTCGACATTGATGAGGTGATGAGGGAGATTGAACTCGAGGCCCGTGAAGAGGAGCTTGCCCAGAACTCCCGTCCAGGTGACAGATCATTCCTGGCAGGGTGGAAGCTCTTGTTCAGTGAGGGGAAGCATCGCCGTGCCCTCGCAATTGCATGTGGTCTACAGGGGCTCCAGCAGCTGTGCGGTTTTGTATGTCTTGTCCCGCCCACCTTACTACTACGATCATTGCCCTTGGAGCCCTTTCATACTGACTAGTGATGTGTTTCTAGAACTCACTAATGTACTTCTCCGCTACCATCTTCACAATCGTCGGCTTCAGCAGCCCTACACTGACTTCACTTACGGTTGCCGTAACCAACTTCATCTTTACGATAGTTGCCCTCGGCCTCATTGACCGCATTGGACGGCGACGCATCCTCTTATACACAATCCCAATCATGACGATAGGACTGCTTCTGTCGGCATTCGGGTTCTCGTTCATCGATCTCAGCGCATCGACCACTATCCAACGAGCCGAAGGAACGGGATCTGCCGGTCACGGAGGTATCGCGGCCACGATAATCCTAATCAGCATCATGCTTTACGTCGCATCGTACGCCGTCGGCCTCGGAAACGTCCCTTGGATGCAGAGCGAGCTGTTCCCCCTATCGGTGCGGTCGAAGGGCAGCGGCCTCGCAACAGCGACCAACTGGGGCGCCAACTTCGTCGTCGGGCTGACGTTCCTCCCGCTGATGGATCTGCTGTCGCCGAGCTGGACGTTTGTCCTGTACGCCATCGTCTGCGTCGCCGGGTACGCGATGATATGGCGGATCTACCCCGAAACGGCGGGACTGAGCTTGGAGGCGGCAACGGCGCTGCTGGAGCACGGCTGGGGCGTTAGGTAGTAGAGTAGAATAGACTGTGCCTGGAACTTTAACTGGTATCGAAATAAACTTAGAGCTTGTCCAACGAATTAAGCAATTAGCACCCCCGTGACGCTGGCTAGGAACGCCAGGGACGAGGGCGGCATTAGTCGCTCGGGAATTAATAATGCTTCCAAGGGATTAGCAAACACGGTTCAAATTAGTAATGGGGGGCTTAGATCCGCGTGGCCTTTATTCCGTGCATTGTGGGCGGATTGCTGTGTTTGTGCCTTGGCCTGCATGTTGTGGCGGGATGTTTTTAAAGCCGAACGGGTTGTGGCCGGATTCGAAATCCGTTTCGTTTTTGCGACGAGACGCGAAAGCAGCGAACAACGTGGGAAGCTGTGGCCTGACGTCATGCCGGATTACCTAGGTAACATCACTGCAGAATCGGTTCCGGCCGCTGGGCCACTAATCACTCCCTAATTGATCAATCCGAATCGCTTGCATCCGCGCCGGCGGAGAGCTGCCAACCTAGGAATCCTACAAGTCAGCTAATGAGAGCTTCTGTGCAGACAGGGCCGTGACCACTCGATCTTGATCAGATCTTTTTTTTTTCTTCACGCCGCGATACCTGGCCGACGGTAACCTTCTTTTCCCGCGCCTCGGAATGCAGAAGATTAAATTCCGACGCAGCTGCTCTAGGCCGTATTTCCACAGGCCAAAAGCCGAAAGGACCCACTGGCATGATCTGAGTGGACAGTTCACCCCTAGCGGCCTGGACGATGCGCAGTTGCCGTCTTGCCGGGCCCGTTTGCAAGGATGAACCGTTATCCCTGCCCGCTTGCTCGTGTAGAATTTTCTGTCCAGTGACCAACTGCTACCCTTTGTCCAGCAGTGCGTCAGCGCCCCGCCGCTGTCTGCCGGGGAGATAGGCTCTTATCAAACAGGACCGGGGCGCCCGACCAGCTGCGCAAACTCGGCATTTCGCGTCGCCCCTCGAACCGCCCTATGACGGCTTCATCAACTCAATTGCGCCCGCGGCTATTGTCGCATCACGGCCGGCGTAGCCCTCCAGATGCCACGCACAGATCCTCCCTTCATTGCAAAGATCTGCCCATTGCTGCGCAGATGCCTCTCGGCGCCTGGAGTTAATCCTCAATTGCCACCGAAACCCGGCTGGGATCCGCAACAGGCGCCAGCTCGGGGCCAGGTAATTTGTAAGGACGTCTACATGGGGGCAACCGGAGCTATGTACAGAATGTGGAAGAATTCTACACCTTCATGACTCAAAGGACATTAAATATTGGCGGCATCCCTGACTCCCCGAATTTTGAAACCAAGCAACCTTCACTTGCACCGGCCTTGGGTATCAATGGTTATTACCAGCTCCTGAGAATATCGTGTAACCCATCTCCTCGCCCCACCAGATCCATTCAGTTATTTGCAATTGCCAGGCAAAAAAGTCTTCATCAATTCCCTGGGGCCTACTTCTAGCCTCTGGTAGTTAGTTCTTGTTTACGGCCGGGATTCGCTCTGCTGCTCCCAACGAGTCATAGCTCCAAACCTTGCTCCCCACCCACCTTCCATCCTCCTGCTCCAGCTCTTATTAAAAACACCAAGCCCTACAACTCTCTCTTTGCACAATTCTCCCCTGGATCTCACCTATTGCTAGTCCAGTCCAGCTGGTGCCCACATTGAGCCGTCATACAGGCCAGCTTATACACCCGTGTATATATCCTACTCAGTAATTGGATCAAGCATACTTCAGACCAATACCTCGTTGCCCATCATGGCTATAGACGAGGCAGATCGTGAGATCATAGAAGCCGAGCGCAATGCTTCCCCCCAGCGGTTCCCCCGACGCAGCGATGAGATCGAGCGTGTGTTAACGACATCGTCTGTCTCAACTTCCGCCTCCTCGCACGCCAATGTCGCCATGCGCCGCAACAACATGAGCCGAGTCTCAACGCAGAATGACCTCGAGCGCCATCCAACAGCGCTGAGTCGCATCCAGACTGGCCGCAGCCAGCACCATTCGACCGTCGGTGCCGGTCTGCACAGCCGAACCAGCACGCGCGCCTCCAGGAAGCCCTTGCCCAACTTCGGCGCAGGCAAGCCCTTTCCTCCTCCGTTGCCAGAGCAGGAGGAGTACGTTGTCGAGTTTGACGGACCTGATGACCCCCTCCACGCACAGAACTGGCCCCTGAGGAAGAAGGTCTTGACGGCGGCCATGCTAGGATACACCACCATGACCTCGGCATTTACATCCTCCATCTTCTCTAGCGCCACCGCAGCTGTCGCGGTCCAGTACGGTGTCAGTTCCGAGGTTGGTCTGCTCGGAACCTCTTTCTACGTGCTGGGTTTCGCGACCGGTCCAACCCTCTGGGCGCCGCTGTCCGAGTTGAAGGGACGACGACTGCCCCTCGTTCTGGCCATGTTCGGTTTCACCATCTTCTCGATCGCATGCGGTACCGCCAAGGATATTCAAACGATTCTGATTTGCCGATTCTTCAGTGGTTTCTTTGGCGCCTGCCCACTTGCTGTTGTCGCCGCCGTGTTCTCCGATATGTTTAACAATCAGACGCGAGGAATAGCAATCACTCTGTTCTCCATGGCCGTTTTCACCGGTCCTCTGCTTGCCCCCTTTATTGGAGGGTTTATCGTCGAATCTCACCTTGGCTGGCGATGGACCGAATATCTGCCCTCCATTATGGGTGCTGTCGCGTTCCTTCTCGACTTCTTCTTCCTCGAGGAGACGTATCCTCCCGTCATTCTTGTCTCCAAGGCTGCTGACCTCCGTCGTCGCACCAAGAACTGGGGCATCCACGCCAAGCAGGAGGAAATCGAAATCGACTTCAAGGAGCTGGTCCAGAAGAACTTTTCGCGTCCTCTCCGTCTTCTCTTCACCGAGCCTATTATCCTCCTCCTGTCCATCTACATGAGTTTCATCTATGGCCTTCTCTATCTCTTCCTTACCGCCTACCCTCTTGTCTTCATGGGTGTGCATGGTTTCAGCTCGGGACAGTCCGGTCTGACCTTTTTCGGCATGATTCTCGGCCAGCTGATTGCAGGCGCATTCGTCCTTGCCCAGCAGCCCTGGTACACGCGCAAGCTGAACGCGAACAACGGTATTCCTGTGCCTGAGTGGCGTCTCCCCAGTGTCATGGCAGGTGGAGTGTCCTTTGCCATTGGCATTTTCTGGTTCGGATGGTAAGTGTTTTCCAGGTCTTCTCAAACCAGCTTTATACTAACAAGCATTCGTAGGACCGGTTACAAGAAAGATATCCACTGGATTGCTCCCGCTCTCAGTGGTCTCTGCACAGGCTTCGGTCTCATGTCCATCTTCCTTCAGGCACTCAACTACCTTGTCGACGCATACCTCATGTTCGCCGCCTCCGCCATCGCCGGAAACACCTTTTTGCGATCTCTGTGCGGAGCTGTCTTCCCATTGTTTGCCCGTCAGATGTTCGATGGCATGGGTATCCAGTTTGCCGCCACGCTCCTGGGTTGCGTAGCAGTCGTTCTCGCCCCCATTCCTTTCATCTTCTACAAGTATGGTGCCGCCATCCGAAAGAAGAGCAAGATCGCGCCCACCGACTTTTTCGTCCCTCCCGCCCCCGCTGCTGAAGAGGAGGAAGACAGCACACCGGAGAAGGAGGGTGCGCACCATGCCGCGGCAGCTTGCGCCCCCCGAAAGGAGAACGGGTCGACGACCAAGGAGACAGCATAGATCTTCTCACCTACTTCATCCACGTATTGTGGATACAAAACTGAACAACAGACACAACACAAATAAAAGCGACACGATGAATATCCGGAAATCAAGTGTTTTGAATGTCTTCTTGCATAATCTGGGTGTTCGTATTGGTCATGGGCGGCAGCAATATATCGGATTTCAATGCCTGGGGGGATTAGCGATGCCTGTTTGTTCATTGTTCATTGATACCTCAAAATTTTCTTGTTTTCTTTTTCCTTATATTACGACCAAAAGACGGTTCAACTGGACCAGATAGCTACATACATACATACCTTGATAGTAATCTAATATGTCACACATCCAAGCCGACTCGCAACACTATCACTGGGTGACGTGGAACGAAACATACTATGTACTGATCATCAGTCCTTGGCAGTTTCCCACTGAGAGCAAGGACTGTAAGCACTAAACGCCCCAACCCCCAGGTTCCGTATACGGCCCGTCTGATTACCCACAAGGCGAATCGTGCGCAGGGTTGTACAGTCTGAGCATACGCAGGGCCGAAGCAGGGTTCAATTGCACTGCTTACCACTATCAATCCCTATGTGCCGGGGTGGGCACGCACCCATCGTATAGCGGAACGTTAACTGTTCAGCCGTTGTGATAGCATTCTGGTGGAAATCTGGGATAGGCACCATGTCAAATCATTTCGGGGTGCGATCGGCTCGCCTTCTTAAATAGAGCCACGAGGTCACAATATGCTTTGCTAGGTTCGGGTCCAACAATATGACATTCTGATTCCCTTACTTATCCAGCCCTGCTCTCTTATGACCTGCCAAGGTGCTAGCCAGCTTATACCACCTTATTCCTCATACATAATGAGCTCCTGGCTAATTAGCCCCGGGAGGAGATTGGTCTGCTCTCCTGCCTGATACATTGATGATAGACAAGACTTGGCTCCAAGCTCTATATTCTCAATCCCGCACTGCCTTTGTTCAATAAGTCTCTGAATCCAGAAATTCCAACGCTGCGGACTGTACCCAGTCAGGGGCGAGGCAGTAATGCCAGCTTGAAGGGCCAATTCACCAATACCAGACAAGTATGGGTAGTCAGCAGCATTAGTCTTGGTCAAGCTAGCTGCTGATGCTTGGCTGCTGCTTAAGATAGCAAGGCCATATCCAGAATTCTGGCACAAGTCCATAAGAGCATCAAGCAGACCCTCAAGTGATAATAGTATCTCTGGGGTTTCTGAATCTGCAACAAGCGATCGTGGTATCTCCAAGGTCTTCTGGAATAGTGATACTGCACATAGAGCAGAGCCATCGTAAAATCCAGCAGCTAGGAGCCGTACCAGGAGACCTGCCATATTCTCTCGTTGCTCCATACTATAGTCTTTCTGATAATAACACTCGGTAAATTCATCAATAAGACATGTAGAGAGAAGGGGCAGACCGGACCAAAGTGTATAGCCATCCGAGAAGGTAATGATACCAGTACCCTTTGAATCATCATCTTGGTTACTGGATTGTACTGAACGCTGTAGGGTCCCAAGGGCTCTGAAAGTGACAAGGTCACGTATAATGCTATCTTGATAATACTCGTAGATAATACCATCTTAGTAAAGCTGATATGTAGTAATATTCTTGCCTGCTTGGATAAGAGTATACTAAATATTACGAAGCGCGGATTTATAGAACTCTTTTAGTCGGCTGTTGAGTATATATTGTATATTGATCGTTTTAAGTTGAGAGTTAATAGTCCTACATAGGGTGTCCTATTGGCCCTGTTGGATGATATCATCAATCTGGGCTTTGCGAAAGTCGGACCATGCTTGAGGAGAATCCATCATTGGATTTAGAGTGAAAATAGTTGAGATGAGATTGACAACTGATGCCTGAAGTACTTGGTTGAATATCCAGAAACTGTCTGTTTACAGCTGGGGGTGACCATCTTAAATAAGACCTACACAAGTGCACTGCCCCTTTGGCTCGCATAATCTGGTGGTGGTTGTTGGTGGCGAATACATTGTTGTCAGCCCAGTCTCGACCAACAGCGTCCGATGGCCCTGCATAGTTATTTTTACCAAGCCTCATTTTGGCGCTTGAGTTATAGGTCTAGCTACTGATAACTGTATGGGCCTTCATCCTTCCGCTTTCCACTTGTTGTCGGGATAGCTAATCTACTGTTGGTTAAAAACATGGCTGCAGAAATCCAAGTTGAGATAAAATTACCGAAAAGTCACAGGAAGAAGATGTCTAAAGCACTTATTCTTGCCATCGTTCATAGCACTCTTATGTTGTTTCACCTAACAACAGCAACAGCAGCAACAGCAACAGCAACAGCCACAATAACGACGCAAATTTCGGAAGAACATCCTCTCTCTTTTCCTAGAAATGAAGCTTAGCATCGCTATTCTTGCCACGGGCCTCAGGCTTGTTAGTAGGGCCGCAGCCTTTGTATCAGCAACCGATCCCAAAATCGGTACCGGTATTAAAGAGGGTGTAAGTCATATTAGTGTCTCACTAAAGGCTAATTGTGTCTTCTCATCGGTGGCGCTTGTCTAGTCCATAGTGCGTGATGCATTATAGAGCTCGCTGATTAATCGCGTTGTATAGGTCTGTGACCTAGCAAGGAACAAATGTATTATCCAGGACTGTTATATAAAGGGTGGAACGCGCGTGGCGAGTGGTTCAAGGGCCCAACGTTGGGACCGAGGTCCTTGTTCAATGGCTTGTGATGCAGACGGCCCAGTAAGCAATCAATTCACACAGAACAAGCCTTGGGACTCTCCACCACTAATTTGCTACGATATATCTCAGTGCAAAGAGCCAAGAGGTTGCAATCATAACTTCAACGTGAATCCGGCTGATCCTCACTGTCTGTTCAAAACCCAAAACTCCCTCACCCGAGCCCCAGTCTGCGAAGCCAGCCCAGGACGCAACCAAAAATGTTCGACGTAACCTATGCACCGGCAGAAGAGTTAGGAGGCATTGAGGACCAGATACTGTAAACTGGTTAATTTCCCTTTAAAAAAAGGGTTCAACCCAGCACAGCAATACATACAATTTAATACCATCCCCAGCATCTCAATATAGTTCATAGAGAGGTCAAAGGCTCATCCACGGCATATTCAATAATAAGGGCTACGCTTATTGCCTAACAATAGAGTAAGCAATAGCTAGCAAAACTCAATATGCATACAAGTAAAGGATTTTCCCAGCATCATGGCTTTTACAACGGCATAACTCCCTTGCCAAACTCACTCTAATACCTCACTTGCCTCTCTTTTTATATATCTGAAAGGAATAAAGAATAAGGAAAGTGGAAAGTGGAAGATCAGGCTTAATAGGGCGACGCTCACCCTAAAAGCGGCGCTGCTCAGGAACCCTTCCGACACCAGGGTGGCATTGTCATGGGTTGTTCTTAGCTACAGGACAGGCATCACACATCACACACATCTTTCGATCCACCAAATCCCATCAGGCAACATACCCTAACCAACTCTATACCAAAAGCTGAAGAGGTACAACCCGCCATGACCGAGCAAGAAAAGCCCCCCTCCGCCACCTACGACGCCGGATGCCACTGCGGCAACGTCAGCTTCTCCTTCACGCTGTCGCCCCCGCTCCCGGAGTACGAGGTCATGAACTGCGGCTGCTCCATCTGCCGCAGGGCCGGATACCTGCTCGTCTGTGCGTTTTTCCATCTCCAGCAAGGGCGAGAGAGATCATTGCATTGAGTTTCTGACCCGTGAACGTGTGTTAGACCCGACGTATGAGAACTTGACCTGGCACAAGGGCTCCAAGGAGCGCTGCTCCGTTTACCAAGTGCGTCCTCCCAGTAGTTTCAATGTCACTTTTTTATCGTTTTGAATACTAGCTGACGTTGATGGTGTCTAGTTTAACACCAAGACCAAGGATCAGCTGTTCTGCCCCAAGTGCGGTGCGAGCATCGGCATCGACTTCAAGAACGCCACGCCGCAAAAGTACGGCATCAGTGTGAGTTCCCCTGTTTCTCATATCCGAGGTTTGGGGAAACTAGTTATCGGTCTTCATTGAGAATAACATGACCTACCGCATTTCTTAGGCTCGAACCATCAACGATATCGACCTGCATTCATTGAAGTACAAAGTGATGGATGGGGTGAAGCTCATGGCCCCTCACACCGATCTATCTGGCGTAGAATGCAAAGAATGAAGCTTCTACAGTTGAGGCATGGTAAATAAGCATAGGCAATTTGATCCAATTGACTATAGAAATTAAGCTAAGACTACTCTCGTCAAAGTCGTGATTCATGCTCATTCTCCCAGCTCGGCATTCCATACTTAGGTAAGTAGACGTAGAAAATAGGAAGGGACTGTAGGATAATCCGCGTTCAAGCAAATTCAAATAGGAAAGAGAGAAAAGAGATGTCATATTAGGTTCCAGTGACCTCTTCACACCTCTGTCTCCACATCAGGCTCCCTACCATCCAACGCCCCCCAGGTCTTGACCTTCCTGACGGCGAATTTGGCTTCGTTCTTGGCAAACTGGGCGTTCCTCAACGGTCTCCATTGCATCAGGCCACGGTGCTTTCGGTGCAAGTCCCGGCTCCGCTCCTTGTAGTCCTTGTACATGGCGATGGGGTTCTTGGAGCTCTTCTTGGAGGAGCTGGTCGCATCGGTGCCATGGCTGGCCAGAGATGCTCGATCGTTGGAGTTGTTGTCCGCCGAGTCTCGAGAACCGTGGGTCTCAGCATCCTTCAACCCCAGGTCAGGTTCGTCGCTGTCATCATCATCGTACTCATCCTCGTCAAACTGGTCGTCCTCCTCGGTATCGGCTGTGCTTTCTTTTCTGGCCGCCAATTCACTTGGATCTTGGCCGAAAGCTCCACTCCAGTCAGTTCCATCCTTGGCCAGCCACTTTTCCTTCTCCTTCTCATCTGCCTGCGCCAGCACGTCCCGACCCTGGGTCAAGGACTCGTCGTGGAGTTTCTGGATGGCTGGCGGGACCTCCGTGAGGACCTCTTGCTGCCGCACACCCTCAGCGTAGCATGCCTCCCAGGTCTCGATTGTCTCTCGTGTATCGTTGCCACTGACAAATCGAATGTGGTCCGTGTCTGTTCCTGGAGAGAACCGGCCACGGAACTTGATCCGCCCAATTTCCTCAATCTCGGTATCTGGAATATCTTTGTACGTCTCAGATGTAATGTAGTTTTGCGAGTATCGTACGTTGTTGCTACACTTGACCAGGGGAATGTCGAAATCCTTTTCTTCCCCATCAGTCAGCTCCAGGAGCCACAGAGCTGCCACAGCATCAGCTCCTCTCTTGGTACTACTAGGATGAAGCTCAAAGAAGATGGGCGATCGGTATCGGTGACGGACAGGTAACCGGACCTTTTGGCCGGTTTCCTCGTTCCCGCCCTCGAGTTTGAATGAGATGCCTCCTTCCTCAGACTGCATCGAGGATTTCTTGATGTCAGCAGAGGATCCTCCCGTACGTAGACGGAGGCGTGCATTGCGATTGTAGTTGGTAATTGTGATCTTGTCCGACAAGAACTCAAAGGTGCCAATGTCCCAGCCAAGCTGAGGCGGTGGGAGACGAAGATCTACAGATCGGAACAGCAGCGAGATACGGATCCTGCCGAATCCGATTCCGCCATCCAGTGGGTACCAACGAGTCACCTCACTGGCCGTCTGCAGGATATCTGAAATCTTAAGAGGAACGACTCCAATAAGGGGGTCATGCTGCCTGTTCCGTGAATCTCGCACGGCAACTGTGACAATAGCCGATCGCCAATCTCGGATGAACTTCTCAGTTCCTGCATTGAAGATTGGCTGGGAGGACACCACCTTGGTACGTGTCTTGTAGACAAGATCGTCGTTGATGAGGATGGTGGCATAAGAGCTCGGGAGAGACTTGCCCTGCTCCTCTTTGACTTCTCCTGCTTCGGGTCGGGCTGGCTCGTACTCCTTTCCTTTCCTCTTTCCTTGTGAGCCTTTGACATTGGCAAGCTCTAGTCCCACAATCTGATGGACAACGACGCTGAGAATACCAGACGGCCACAGTGGATCGGGAGGGGTGTGAGTGACAGCATCCTCCTCTTGAGTCTCAACCGCCCCCCTCTCATCTTGCAGCTCTGGCTTGTCGGCAAGCTCCTTGGGCAAGTTAACGTCCCTGCCAGATGTTCGAAGAGCCTTACGGAACTGAGTCTTTCCGAAAAATCCAACCTCCCAGTGGAGCTCTCCAGGCATGCTGCTTTCAGCAGTGAGGCCCTGAAGCTTGGAGGTCTGAGGGAACATCTTGCCAGGGTGCTGGATCAGCTTCTGGATGCTCAATTCGACCTTGCCGACCACATCGTCAGCCGAGGAGCGGTCGCTGTCCCACAACTCCATTGAGAGTTGTTCATCTGCCTTGATAAGATCACTCGTCACCAAGAGGCCGCAGCTCTCTTCGAAGATGGGGTTCAGATTATCTTGGATGACACGGGTACAGAACTGGGGCTTGGAAAACTTGCTCCAGGTGACGGTGATGTATGGGTCGGAACCACCTCCTTTGCTGCCTCGCTGATCTTGCTTGCTGAGACCGACTGCCTTGTGGATACGGATGAAAATGACCCCGAGAGCAAGTGTCTCCTTCTTGATGTCATCTCCCTGGAGCATCTTGCTGATATCCAAAGTCAAGCTCTTGGGCGCCACGTACATTGACGCCGCTGCTGCAATAGCCCAGTTGACAAAATTGGAGATGAGTGGCAGGTTCAAAATGTTTACACCTTTCTCAATCATGGGGGTGCAGCCTGCCTGCACCTTGGGGACTCCCATAAGTGTAATAGTAGCAGTCTTCAGAAACGGCGGGTCAGGGGTCAGTTGGAGTCGGACTCGAGCCGTGGCGACAAGTCCAATGAGCTCGACCCAGATCGGTAGAGGAACTCCGAACAAGCCTTTGACACCCAGATAGAAAACCAGCTGCATACCCATGTTCCGAGCCTTGGAAGCAATATCTTGACCGGAAGGTTTGGCATGATAGGCGACTGATACTTCCAGGTTGTAAAATGAGCCAGCCTGCTCAACAGCAGCAAGCTCATCGGCATCCATGATAGCTTCGTTCTGTTTGTGAATTTCGTCCTTGATGTCCTGGACATGCGAGTCCGGGAGAGCTCTCATATTCAGGATGCGAAGGGGGTTGTTGCCCTGTGAGATGTCGGCAACTCGGATATTCTCAACAACACCAGGGACAGAGGCGGCCATGACATCCTCCAAGCTGTTTCAGTCAGCAACAGTTCAATAAGGTTTTGAACCCCATGGGGAGGAAGAACTCACGTATCAGCCACGCCAGCAAACATTTCAGGATTGATCAGTCCCCAGACAACGCCGAGAGCAGTATTCAACCACTCAACCGATTCGGGGATCAGATTCACAGTAGCCGTCTCTCCACGGTCTTGCTCACTTGCCCACTCGTTATCCCTACCCTGGCGGATCAAATCTTTGACCCATAGAAATACGCCAGATGAGACACAGAAGGCCAAGGGAATCAATCCCCAGAGCGATCCACCGAAGAATTTGCCAAAGAAGATGATGGCGGCAAAAATACCAACAGCCAGAATGTTCCCTCGCTGCTCAAGGTGGGCAAACATGGGCTCGTAGCTGACTGAGGGTGTCTTGTAAAACAGGATTGATGTCTTTTCACTGCGGATGGGGACGTCAGACGTCGACCCTTCCTGCACAGGATCAGGCGGCGCCGTAATATCCTGGGCATATCGGTATTCTTCCCCAGACTGGTCTGATGATACCTTGACAGTGGTTGGCTTTCCCAAGTTCTCATTGGGCACAGACATCTATTGCCGGGTTAGCCTCGCATCTGCGACCGGGCCATGGGCTGCTACTTACTTGCGGGTTTTCGACAGCCTCCTTGAAATCAAGCTTGACATCGCGGATTTCCACATCTTTGCCAGTCACTGGATCGCGAACAGTGCGACCGTGCTCCTTTTTGGGTCGAGCCTCATTGGTGTGAGGCGTCACCTCTGACGAGCTCTTCTTGTTCTTCTTCAATTGAGCATCTATTTCCTCGTCCCGCTGCTTCTTCTCCGAATCCAGCTGTGCCATAAACTGCTGGATGTTGGGGACCTTGTTAAGGGCACTGTAGTGCTGCCCGCCCGAAGGCGCGACATGCTGGTCGAACTCCATGGTAAGGTACGGGATGGTCAAGGAAACAAATGGCGGTTTACAGGAGGAGGTAAGATGACGATTACATATAATACACAACTGCCTTTCATCCCCATGGGCGAGGAGCTTGAAGGTGCAGGGTCAATGGGGGAGTTGGGGAGAGCAAGAGCCGAGAGAGCCTGAGGGACAGACGCATGCGTTCTTGTACTAACTTGATGCCTAGCATGATTGAGTGCTCTTACGGGTGCCGGTTTTGGTGGAAGCGCGGCTTGATGATATCAAGCTTTGGGTTCGATGACGTAGTGGCTGTTTAGTTGGCGGACAATCACGATCTCGACTTGGTTGTGATCGCTCTCCACCTCCACCCACCCACCAGGGAACACCCACGCACGCACGACCTTAATTGCTGTGTCCACACTGCTCCGACGCTGCTCTGCTTCCTGCCTCGTCGCGTAGCTTTCCAGCCCATCCCTACACCCGCCGGACCTTCCTGGCCTTGGCCTGTGAGGCTGGGATCCGGGCGTAGGGTAGCAGCGATCGGAGCACCCTAGACCCGATCGCCATTACCCTCATGGATTATTAGCAACATTAGCGGCGAAAATCCTGGAAATGGCGACTATTGATAGAATAGTAAGTGGGTGTCTGTGAAGATAAGGAACCATGGTGCGATTTCTGATTATCGATACAAGATGCCGTGGAGCAACATGTGGAATTGAGTGCAGATGATGAACATCACCGTTCACTAACGCAGGTTCAAGATCACAATTTCGACTATGGTAGTCGAATCGCCATACTTATTAGCTGCTCACTACCAGGAGGTTTATAGGCCAACGGCACTGTATGTTTATATTACTATTACACCTAGAGTGTCTCTACGTGTGCTCAATAATGGATACAACTATAGCCATGGTTGCAGTGTCATGTCCCATGACGACGAATGCCATTTTTGGAGTGCTACAGGTATCAGGTTTAGGCACAATTGGTCACCAAGACTTTGATGTCTGTTAGCACATGTATGCGATGTCTCGAAATCAGGTCTCGGTACCACGCATAAAACAAATCAGCATGTGCTTGCACTTGAAGCACCCACGTCTTCAGTCTTGGGAAAAAGACTTGGAGATTGGGCGGGCTCAGCTCTGACCATTGCCTGACACCTAAACATATATATATATATATATATACATGCCCAAGCCTTAATTTAACAGCTCACAAAGTCTCTTCCTTGCCGAGGTATGTGTCCTTCAATTGGGCTAAAGCTATGGCCTTTCCTTAGAAGAATCTCGACATTCCAACTGCAACCAATCGCGAGAATGCCCGCTCTCAGCTCATCGCAATGGCACTTCTCATTACACGAAAGTCTAAATAAGACCACCCCTCTTTCTCTCGTGGAGTCGGTGTAATCTTTGTGGCACATGAGTTCTCTTTGGATGAAAAAGTGCATTAAAATGCATTAACGATGAGCTTTCAGCGATTGATGATCTTCTGCTGTATAAGGTGCTAAAACCCTAATCCGCTCAACTGCATATTGTTTGATTTCTGGAGTATGGCTATATTCTCATTTTCGCTTCCACTGGACACCTAACAAGATCTTGCTTCCGTAGTCTTAATCTTTCTTCTAGTCCAGTATCTCGTCTCTGACGTTGCACGTATACCTGCAATAGGCAAAGCTGCCGGTTCCATCATTTGGGCTAGATACGCAAAAAAAGGCGCCGACACTTGCAAAGTTGAACTTCGACCCTTCGCTATTCAAGGTTGGAGCATCTGCAGAATACCTAGCATTGGTATAAAGTATTTCAGGTTGAAAAAAGGGCAATATCCTAGCCTGTAGCAGTCTCGTAGTCCAGATTGGTATCGCTCAATCCCGGAAATCTAGAATAGCAAGTAGCTGAAATAAAATATGGTATACCAGAGCTCTTTTCATATAAGCCGGAGACCTTATTCTGTTATTAATACAATATCAAACTAAATAATATATAACAATATATTATCCTACTGTTATTATTTGAAATATTGTTAATAACAGAATAAGGTCTCCGGCTTATATGAAAAGAGCTCTGGTATACCATGTTTTATTTCAGCTACTTGGATGAGTGCTAGCGCACGATCATGCTTGAGTCTACGGACACATCGAGGTTGTGTCAATAGATGCAACTCAATCTTGGCCATTCAAAGCGTCGGCGCCCTGATTCGCGATGATTTTGGTCACTGTACCAGCGTTGTTGAAGTATGGAAAATCACCCTCACAGCGATGGAGAGTGTTGTAAGTGAGAGACCTCAAAACATTACAGATGCGTCCGTTCTTTTTCTCCGGGCTCCTAGGACCTATATCCCTACAATTTTACCTTAAGAGCCGGGCCGGATCGCATAACTCAGAATGATCAACCGATCCTAGCTAGCGATGTGATGGCACTCTGACAAAATGAGAACATTTAACCCTTCTTCGGACATATCTGGGCATTTCAGATAGTATGTGCATAATCCAATTCCCAGATGTGAATCTTCTGGAGGGGGATATAGGGGGGTTGATGATTGTTTGTTCATTCCAAGTGACCATCCTATCTTCCATTCGTTTCCAAATGGTGAAGTTCTCAGGCATCGTTTTGTTCTCTCGAAAACTCTTCCACTTACTGCTTCCGGGGGGGATAAGATACGAATACGTATTGGGAGTCGCCCTTGGCATCGTAGTGTTTAAGCGACTAGACACGCCCGTTGCGCGTTACGGAATGCTCCATACTGAGGAAGTCAGTATGATTTTTCGTTAGTGTTGGATTGACTAGAATAGAGTCCTTAGGTTGTAGAGGAGTTTTTTTTAGCTGATACCTGGATGCTTCTCGATTACATCGACCATCACAGAAAGAAGGCTTCCAATTTGCAACTTGGGATCTCCGTACATCTCGTATGTTTGCCTCTATTGCAATGTTTGAAAATCGCAGTTCGAACCCGGATCCAAGAAGATTAGGATATGTAATTACGGTTTCAGTTCATAACTCAGTGTAAGTCGCCATGCTGCTGATGAGCGACCCTTTCATTCTCCCGGGGTATGTGAGATTAAACAAATGGTAACATTGGATTACCAAGCATAGTCTGATATCCCATCCTGCGATTCCCAAGGTTCGGAAGGTGGACGAATCTCGGTGGACGATGATCAATCATACCAACTTCGATAGTTCTTAGCGTGATGCCTCGATGTGCATCACTACATATCTCCTTCACACGGTACAAGCTTCCTTAGAAGCCCCAAAATGGCTACCACGGAGCCACAGCGAACTTCTTTGAGACGCCTGTATCAAAATTTGGATGCAAAGAAAGGGTCGATGCCAGACCTGGACATCCTTCTTACCCTGGGCCAGCCGAGAATAAGGCGCGCAGGTGTTCATAATACCACGTACGAGGAATTTCTTGTGAATTTGATCATCTATAACAAAGACCTAAACGCGGTCAAATATGATCATGATCATTTCATAATATTTTTAAGGGCTGATGCTTCGAGTGTTGTTAGAGTTGAAACCATCAGGTGCTAGCGAGAGGCTGTCAAAAACTGGCATCACAAACATACTTAGACAGCAAATAACTGCGGAATAGCCAGACAAAAATGCTTCCCATTTGGTAATCTACAGGTAGAAGAAAATATTTGCTAAATTTAATCAATCACAATAATTTATTATTAACATTTCAAGTTATTGTCTCGATATCGTGTAAAGCTGAGATGTGCAAACATCTTTGCTGTCCCTATATTTCTGACACCCACTGGGCTGGGAGTAGTTAAATTTTAGCGGTCGTCCACTGTGGCAGCTCCTCCCTGAACGCAGTATTTTCACCACACATGAACATTGGATTAAAGTGAGCTCAACCTTCACCGACAGCTCACTATTTCTACGTACATTAGAGGCTCAAGTGTTACACAAAGTTGGGACGTTAGAAGGCCCTCATCTTTCTTGCCGCGGTACAAATGCAGCCACCCGCATCTTCACCCAGTGCCAACACACTACCACCTGGCGCATCTCTCCTAAAAAAGCGAGTTGCGCGCGATCCAATATATGATTTGTTTTGGGAGCAACGTGGACCGCATCGCAACCAGGCTGCCGCAATCCCAGCCTCTGGAGCAACGATGCCGCCATCCCGCCCGCTTGAGGTGGTGACACGAGAGAAGCCGAAGCCGGCTGGGATAGTAGGCGCGTCGCCGAATCTGAGTCGCGACATACACAGGGCCCAAACCGCTGTTGTACCACCAGTGCAGCCATTGCCGCCGCAACAACCAATCATTAAGGCTGAGAAGGATGTCGGGGCAAGGAAATCGTTCAAAGAGTCTCCAGTACCGTTGCCCGTGGTCCCCGGGATGGCACCGCCGACATCGAAGGCTTCACCACTTCCACCTACCCAGAAAATCCAGATCCTATTACCGTCAAGGCCTGATTCGTCAGATGGTGCGGCGACTGAGAGCGCGGTAGAGCCACCTGTGGTGACACCCCGAGGCCGCGGACGGCCCAAAGGTTGGAGGCCTGGCATGTCGTATGCATCAATGCGAGGCGACAAAGTACCTGAAGGAGTCACTGCTACAGCAAGGCGAGGAGCTACGCGCCAGTCCAGGCCGGATCCTGGCTTTGGAGTCATCAAGCGTAGGGGAAGACCGCCCAAGCAGCCCTCCCCGCCACCCAGAGCGGTGTACCACGAACTGAACGTGGCCTTTATCGCGTTCCTATGCGAGTGGAAAGGGTGCAAAGCCGAACTTCACAACCTTGAGACGCTACGGAAACACGTCGAGGTGGTGCACGTTAGGCCGCAGCGGCAAGTGGGAGGAAGCGTCCGGGGGCTGTGCCAGTGGGGGAGGTGCGGTGATGCTGTCAAGGTGGAGGGGGTGGAGAGGGAGTCCTTTGACAGCGTTACGGAGCTGAGGATGCACATCGGGGAGAGACACCTGGTGCCGTTTGGGTGGCACGTAGGGGACGGGCCTCGTAACCGCAGTGGCGCGGCCGCGTTCGCCTGCGCGGATGCCACGGAGGAGGAGATACCCGGGTATCTCAAGGATGTACAGGGGAACCAAGTTACTCCATCCATCAAGGACCAACAGGTCGAGGACTACCTCACGTGGAGGGCCAACAGACAGAGGCTAAGGGAGCTGCTCCTGAAAAGAGAGGAGAACCTCCCATCTGAGGAGTCTGATTTGTCGGATGGGGCACGAGAGGAGTGAACTGAACTTTCGATTTTGCATACATATACGTTTTCCAAGAATCAGCGCAGGTAGGAAGAAGCACATGGCACCGGCGTTTATCGTTCAGGCAAGGAACGGCATTTTGTTTTTCTGATTTTTTTTTAGGGGGTTGCTTTAGACATGATATCCCCGCGAGTCTGCTTGAAAAGTGGTGGATGCCTTTTATTTAAAGTTTCCGTGCTGATCCTATAGCTGCTTGCCTGTTTGTTTTGTGCTCCGAGCTACAATGCCATTGGTTGGCACAATGCCACTGGTTGGCGGATATTGATACTACATAAGATCAGAAGAACTACCTATTGCCTGCAGGAGCAGGTCTAGCTTTTGATACGATCGCTAATCAATACGAGGTAAATGTATGTCCCTCGGCCCGTGATGTGAATTCAAGGTATGGGCCTGGCTGTTAAGTTGTTGCAACGCTGGCATTGCCCCGACGATTCTACAACCGAGACAAAGGGGCTGAACTACCCGAGATATCATAGTAGGTATGTGAGTATCTCAGAGACCCTGCCTAGATGTCAATCGCTGTGTAAGACTACATGAGACAAAGGGCTGGACTTGGGCGTTAACCCTTTTTGATACTGCCAATTTCCTACCGAGATCGAAGTGAATCAACTCGACAAATTTCCATGCCTATTGAGATAAATGTAAACGTCCCAATAGTTCGTTGAAATTATCCGTAGAAAACACGTTATCTGGAGCTATATCGGGATTTGGATCTGATAAATTGGTGGGGCTATAGACTGGAGTTGGCAAAGGGTAATTTATCAGTGGCATGATGGGACGAGGTGGACCTCAATGGATGGATCGAGGACATCACCTATGAGATGATAATCGTGGGGCAATTGCGCCGGCTATGTGACCGTCCTGCATCTTCATGCATACGGGTCTACGACAGGATGGGCATTGACGCGTAATTAAAGAGGTCCTCGGCGATATCAGTGCAGTCGAGATCTGAAGCTAAGGGGAGGTATAGAGAGAAGCCTGGTTGAAACCGAGAACGAAGTGAGGCCAAGCCTGACAGGGATGTTTTGATTTCAAATCCAGATGTGGGTGGGCTCAGCCTCCCCATCCGAACTCGCCGGGCTGCTATAGTAATCGGGATTGTACCAAGACGAGGGAGCGAGCTGGGAGCATGGTGATGCTGGCACAGCTTTGTGCTGTTTCAGCAGCTGCGCAGGCAGACATTTACGGCATGGACCCCAACAGGGAACAAGGGCTGCGTTAACTCAGTTTGGCAGCATCACTGTGCATATCGTACTCGCTCCGGAGAGGATGGGTCCCCATATGCAAGCAAGGCCTCCTCAATAACGTCATATGGGGACCAAGACTGTCGATGCCATCGGGTTCGGATCGAGGAGCCCTGGCTATTTGAGCCGAATACTAATTGGAATAGCCAGACTTAACCGCATACCGCAGGCAGCACACAGAGGGCACTTACAGAATCTGTGGGCAATGGGAAGTGGGCGAACCCACTCCGGGCCAGGAATGATATACAAATGACCGTCCGTAGAGAGAAAGTACCATGAACCAGTGGCTGCAGTTGAGCAGGCAGATATAAGACAAAGGGCATGGACGGCAACCATACGACTTCCTGCCGTCTGAGGAATGCCGCCCCCAACGTCCCCAACGTTTCAAGAAGTAGAAGAAAACCCTGGTCAGTTCGCTGGCCTCGACCCAAGCGTGCGTTGTTGTGTTTTCATCAACCAACACATCGAGTTTAATTGGCATCGTTCAGCACCCAACCGACACCGCTCAAACCACGCAACCCCTCAGGTCAGCAATTTCTACAGCGGTCATCAAAAGGTCAGGCGGCGCGAAGGCTTGGAAGGGCAGGTATTTTAGTCTCCGCGTGTGTGAAGAATAGGCGACCCATCCTGTCGGTCTGACTGGGCGAGGAGTACCGCAATTGGACCCATGTGTTGGACCACCCAAGTCCGCACAGCGATCGCTTGAAACGTCCGAGTCCTCGAAAAGGGCACGTTTCCCACCGCCGAAGCAGTGGGATCAGGCTATCGCACGTGCGCGGGAGAGAAGCGGTCGGGCAGGCTGGACGGATATAGGACCGTCCACGACCAGCCTGTTGCTCCCCTTGGTTCCAGCCAGAGATTATTATACGAGGCTGGTTGAAGTGAATTGTAGGTGCTCCCTTGCTTCGGTGCCGGTAAGCGACCGCCAGCCAATGCTTACCTCGCCTTGGCCCAGCAGCCTCCAGTTGGTGTTAGTGCCCTCAGTCAGCACCTAGCTCGGGTCGGTATTAGGCGGCGTCGCACCACCACAGGCTCCCTCCGCCATCACCCAGCACCCACCGGAATCACTGAGACTAGCCCCAGCGGCCCCCAGCCCCAGCCCCCAGCCCCGCCGGCTGCGCTACATCCCAGTCGTGGCAGAGAAGCCGCAGGAATTATGCCTCAGGCATCACCCCGTAAGGAGGACCCGCTGCCTCTCAGCAACTCGCCCCACCTGCTTTCTCAGCAGCTCCTCCAGTCGCCGTCTCCAGCTTCCCACGACCACGACTCGTCGAACACCAGCGGCACAGTGGACACGACTGACGCTACTTCCACCACCACTCCTAATTCTGTCTCAACGTCGCCGTCATCACCGTATTCCAACAGCAATCTCCCGTCCCCATACGCCATCGCATCTCCCAGTCGAAGACCTAGCGCCAACTTCCTGCGCCGAACATGGCATCGGCTGCGTGATCACTCCTCCGATACTTCAACCAACCGTACCGACGTCGTCCATCCGTCCTCCACCATGGGTTCCAAGCATTCCAACGGCAATTCTGGCGGTGGTCAGGTCAGCCATCGTCTGCGCAACTTCTTCAGGATAAATAGCAGCAATAACAGTAATAATGCTGGCGACAAGGATAAGGGGAACGAGAAGGATAAAGACAAGGACAAAGACAGGAGTACTGATGGTGACAACAACTCCGGCTCCGGCCCCACGAGGCCATTCCGTCCCGCCAAGTTCTTCAGTAGCACAGTTGGCCGTCTGCGATCACACACCGCCACCAGTGACGGCACCCAGCAGGAAGCTCTCAGTCCTACCGCCCATGCCAATCCGTACTTTGCTCACCAGGGCATGCCTGGGCTCCGCCATCACAACACCGGATCAGTCCCCCCAAGTCCCCCTGACACACCGACGCTGAAGATCTCGGGTCCCGATGGTGCACCGAACGGCAAGACTGCAACCGCAGAGACAAAGGAGCAACTTGCACGGAGACTAAGAAGGGTCGCAAGTGCCCCCAACGCCCAGGGTCTGTTTGCCAGTGGCAACAGCAAGAAGGCTGGGGCCGCCGCTGACCAGGACAATGACCAACGGCCAGCCACGGCGGAACTTGGCAAGGACCCTTTGATTCAGGACCCTAACAACCCAGGCGCATTGGCAATGGTCGACGCGAAATCCCAGGCCGACAAGAGCAACACGCTTGGCCTACCTACCGAGGACGATGTGCTATCCGCCCTACCGCTCCCTAACCAAGGATTGGCTTTCCGTCGCACCTATAGCTCAAACTCAATTAAAGTCAGAACAGTCGAAGTTAGCCCCTCGAGCTTTGATAAGGTGAAGCTTATCGGCAAGGGCGATGTCGGAAAGGTGTACCTTGTCCGAGAGAAGAAGAGCAACCGCCTCTATGCGATGAAGGGTGAGTTTCCGGCGGAGATTTCAGTCATCTTTCGCAGTGATAGGATACTGACCGTGCCATTTTAGTGTTAAGTAAGAAAGAGATGATCAAGCGAAACAAGATCAAGCGAGCCCTTGCCGAACAGGAAATTCTAGCGACGAGCAACCATCCATTCATTGTGACCTTATATCACTCTTTCCAGTCTGAGGACTATCTGTACCTGTGTATGGAATACTGCAGTGGCGGGGAGTTCTTCCGTGCCCTGCAAACGCGACCCGGAAAGTGTATTCCTGAGGATGACGCCCGCTTTTACGCTGCTGAGGTGACGGCGGCATTGGAGTATCTGCATCTTATGGGCTTCATTTACCGTGATTTGAAGCCAGAGAGTACGAGACTCCTCTCCCTTTCTGTGTAGGGCGAAATGGCTGCTAACTGGTGATATTATAGACATCCTCCTCCACCAGTCTGGACACATCATGTTGTCTGACTTTGATCTTTCGAAGCAGTCTGATCCCGGTGGCAAGCCGACCATGATTGTTGGCAAGAACGGCGCGAGAACAGATTCGCTGCCTACCATTGACACCAGATCGTGTATCGCAAACTTCCGTACCAACTCGTTTGTTGGTACCGAGGAATACATCGCTCCCGAGGTCATCAAGGGCAGTGGCCACACCAGCGCAGTAGACTGGTGGACTCTGGGCATTTTGATATATGAAATGCTTTACGGCACCACCCCTTTCAAGGGGAAGAATCGCAACGCCACTTTTGCCAATATCCTTAGGGAGGATATTCCTTTCCCAGACCACTCTGGCGCGCCCCAGATATCAAAGTGAGTAATTTTGCACTCGGGTTCTTTGGCCCATCAGTCGTTCTTTTCATCCTTGACGCTAACCCTGCTTTAGTCTCTGTAAATCCCTGATCAGGAAACTACTAATCAAGGACGAGAACAGGAGATTAGGTGCTCGTGCGGGAGCATCCGATATCAAAGCGCACCCGTTCTTCCGCACAACGCAGTGGGCCCTCATCCGTCATATGAAGCCTCCCATCGTTCCTCAACCACCCCGAGGCAACGAGACGCCTAATTTCCGCAACGTCAAGGAGAGCGAAAGTGTCGATATTAGCGGGTCAAAACAGACCCCTGGCGTTCCTCTCGATAGCGGGCTGGCTACTCCTGGCGGCGAAATTGCGGATCCTTTCCTCGAGTTCAACAGCGTCACCTTACATCATGACGGAGACGATGAAGCCAACTACCAACATCATAACCCCAGCGTTCATGGGTAGCATACCTATCGCCGCTTAGAGCTACTCCGATATTAGGCTAAACTGCATGGCCGCTCGCACAGGAAGCAGGGATGCGATGAGATATGCCTTTGCATTTTGATTGTTGTTTTTGTCTTGTTATTCTGCTTACAAGAATTGGAGTGTGAGAGGCCAAAGAACATACCCATGGCCTTCTTTTGCGTTTTCTTTCGAAAAAAAGAAGTCTTGTGTATCCACAAGACGGAAGCTGACACTTCGCCATTTGCAGAGCCTGAATGTTTGTTGCGGTATTTGCCTCGTTCGTACATTATTTAAAACATGGCGTCGTACACAGGGTCTGGCGTTTTAGAGAGAGTGGCCAAAGGGAAGAGAGAGTGCGATCAATGTCTTATGTAAAGCTTACTTTATTTACTTACACACACACCCCATTCGCGGTGACTGACATTCACTCCAAACACCACACTTGCTTTTACGGATAAAGGGTCTGATCTACAAATAGAACAAGGATATTCTCTGGTATTATTTCCCGATTAACGCTCTCATGTGCGCTGGTGAAATGAAGCAGTCGCGCCATCCACATGACAACAGGCGTCCACATTGGCAGTCATGTGCTGATGTCTAGCGTTGCACGAGCCGTGCTTGGCTTGCCATCACACCCACCCCAATAATACCTGGGTGTGGTCGCTGGGTGTGGTATGTATGCTTAACATTCTTCATATGATCTGCTCGGCTGGCGGATGCCTTGTCCCGCTTCGGGGCATGATCAAGCAAGAAGGCATCATGAGCCCGCCCCTATCGCTGTCGCTATGCGACACAATACCCCCCTACTGCTATAAGAAGCATGGCTAGCTGGGGGCAGCTCTGGACGGGTTTGTCTTGTGTGTCCAACCTGGTTTTATGTCTTATTTTTAAATCATTACCATGGCTAAGCAGACGAAGGCTAGCAAGGCACCCGTTCACGGCCTAGACACCACGGGGCGCAGTTTCCACCCGACCGGGTTCCGCGGCAGCCTCGCGGAGGAGGAGGAGGAGGGACGGGCTGCGACGACGACGACGACGACGGAGAGTCCCGGGTACGTGCTGGAGTGGAACGGGTATACGTGCCGGCGGCGGGGGCTGGAGGACGGGAGGGCGCTGCGGACGGAGATTGTGAGGACGAGCGGGGTGGGGGAGCGGTTGATCGTCGTGAGGGGGCTGGAGGGGCAGAGGCAGCAGGTTTTTCAGACGCTGAATGAGCTGGCGGGGATCGGGAAGCATCTGCTGGAGAGCCATCTTGGGGCGAGGGGTTATAATCATGGTACGGGGAGGGGTGGGAGGAGACGTGGGCGGGAGATAAGGGGGAGGTGGTGGTCGTGGGAGTACCCGGAGATGGGGCTGGGACGGGTGGTGGCATATAATAGCAGGATGGCAGGGACTGGAGGAGCATCAGTAGTAGCTGGGGGCTCTCAGGAGGTGTCGTTCTGTAGGGTTTCGCTTTGGGTCACTACTGCGCTCTCGATTGTGCTTTTGGATGGGCCGGCAAAGGAGGGTGATGGGAGACGGCAGATGGCGAATCGTACGCCTCCACGGCTGAAACACCAGGACGCGGCCACGACCATGTCTAATCTACGATCACCTCCCTCGCACGATGATGGAGGAGGTTTGGAGAACGGCCCTGGCGCAGGAACTCTGGAAAGGGAGCTATGGAACTCCATGGGCCAGGACTCATTCTTGGAGGAGACGCTCGGGGAGCTGGCGTACTCGCACTGGCTGAGATTCCTCGAGACTGTGGGCCCCAGCTCGAACAGGAGGGAGAGCTGGCTCCTCTGGGACGCCCTCAAGAGCCTGGAGCGGAACCTGGACGACTCGAAGAGCACCGCGCTGCGGATCGAGACCCCGCCCGGATCCCCCATCTCCTCTGGCCACCCGAGCGAGAGCACCCTACCCTCGCCCGACGACTGGAAAGACTTGATTTCCCGGACCCAACATCGGCTGTACCTGCTTCAGCAGCCGCAGGCCTCGCCGCAGCAGCAGCAACTTCGCTTGGAGCAGCCCGACAAGGACATCAACGAGCGAGCTCTGGATCGCATCGCCTACATAGGTGGGCTCCTCCTCCCCGTGACGGTGGTCTCGAGCGTGCTGGCCATCGAGGGCTCCTACGGGCCGGAGGGCGACAAGTTCTGGGTGTTCTGGGTGGTGAGCGTCATAGCCTCGGTGGCGGCCATTCTAATCATCTACGTCGAGCGACTGAGGAGGCTGCGGGTGTGGTTCGAGATCGCGGCCGACGGCGTGATGGAGACGGGGGGCGCCTTTGCGGACGGGGATTTCCTGTGGTGGGGAGGAGATGACGAGAAAGAAGACGAGAATGTCTGCGTGGTGCGGGATGAGGACGGGGTCAAGGCGTGGAAGAGAGGCGAGCTCGGCTGGGGAGGCGCGGTCAAGAAGGCGAGTGGCTATTATCGATGGAGGGGAGACAGGCGGCTGAGATTCGATATGCCAAAGCCATGGATAGGAACATAGATGATTGGGGTGTGTTGTTCGCCGTGGACGAAGAAAACCACGGATAGGAAAGCAAATGATTGGTTATGTTTAGGAATAATTTCCGAGAATGTCTAGGCAGCAGCCTCGTTGGCACAGATGTATGTCTGGATTATTGGTATAAGAGCCGTCATCAATCTCAGCTTGAGCTCAAAATGTCATTGAAACTAAAGACAGATTCATCGCTACCACATCATTCTTATCTTGCATTCTTCACATCTTCACATCGCTAGTTCAGTATGGCAATCGCAGTGGTGTATTCCGCTGAAACCACCATCAACAACTTCTTCCTCAAAGCATCCGCAACTCGTGGCGAATGCGAAGCTCGAGCAGCTGAGCTAACCGGCGGCAAGGTAATCCCGGTCACCATACAAGGTGACTCCAGTTACACGGTCTATGCTGGCCCTGAGCTGGAATATGTCGTTCAGTTTCGACTGAAGTCGCTTGAGCTCAAAACCACGACTTCGGACCTGGCGAGCAGGATCTACGGCACTCTTGCGCCTACCGTCACCTTTAAGGGGCAGATTGGAGATGAGGCTCCTGAGAAAGAACCGTTGTACATCTATGTCATGAACCGGATCAAGGGCGTCTCTTACCTGGGCTATATATTGGCGAGTAAAAATCACGAGAACTCTCTAGCTGCGTTTGCTGCCCGCAAAAATCTCATGACGGGCGTTGCCAAGTACGTGTATTTGGCAGTCCTGTTTAGGAGAGCCTCGAAACTAAACATAATCTAGGTTTCACGGTCTTTCGTGGAATACTCCTCAGGTCGTCGACCGTGAATACCGAGACGAACTGAAAGACAGATATTCCTCACAGCTGGAACTTCTGCACAAGACTCTACCAGAGCGATTCCATCCCGCAATTCAATCCTGCAGAGACGCCATGGAGTCCATCATGTCTCTACCAATGGTCCTCTTACACAAGGATTTTGGTACATTCCACATAATGGTCAACGAGGAATCATGCCACTTCGTTGGCGCCGTAGACTGGGCCGAGGCCGTAATCTGTCCCTTCGGTTCAAATCTCCATTTCCTGCAGCAGCTAAGGGGCAAACTTCACTATGAGAATGGGTGGTCTCGGTACGACGACTACGACGACTTGCAAGAGACGTTCTGGTCCGTCTTCCTGAAGGAGGTTGGGGGTTTGCCCGAGGAAACCTTGCAGACGATTAAGCTTGCGAGAATCATGGGGCTGCTTCTCGCCGAAGGGTTCACTGGCTGCCTAGAGAACGGCACTGGGCCTGTGCCTATTCAGGATGACGAGGTTGGGCGGTATCAGATGCTGTCTCTGGACGGATTTCTTCTTGATGAGGCCACAAAGTTTGATTGATATGTGACACTAGATGGCTGGTTTCCTGTTTCCTTTCTCTCGTTTTAGGTTCTATCTTTTGCTTCCCAAGTTGATTCTTCTTTCCATATCAATTGATTTAATTCGGTGCCTAATGAGTATTAACCTACCGAGGTTGTTTTCGGGAATCTAAGGGGTAGAACTAATGACGCTTCAACAGCCTCGAAGTCTAATGCATCTTCAAACAGAGAAGGTAGGCCAGTTTGCCTCACGATTGTCCAAATACCGAATCTTTTATGTTTCTAGGTTTGAGAGATATGGCAGATGCTGGGTGGGATGTATTGACAATATTATGGTGTAAACCAATGTATCTAATATAAAAGTACATAGCGTGTATACATCGCAATCGTGGTTGTAACATGACCCGTATTAATTATACTCCATCGACCTTCTTATTTCTTCGAACAATGTGGCCCTTTATGGCCTCCTTGCCATCCATCCAGGGGCGCAGACACTCGGGAATCTTGACAGTCATAGTCTCTTCATCCCACCCATTCTCCAAGATGGCAGCAATCACTCTGGGGACGGCAAGGGCAGTGCCATTGGCAGTGTAGGGGAAACCCATCTTTCCGCCCTCGATACGAGTTCGGGTGGCAAGTCGTCGAGACTGATAGTCCGTGCAGAGACTGGCGGATGTGACCTCGCCCCAGCCGCCCAACTTCGATACACGGCTAGGGAACCACGCTTCCATATCGACCTTGCGGGTAGCAGAGGCGCCGAGGTCAGTTGCGGGCATGGACAGAATACGAGCGGGCAAGCCGAGGGACTGGATGATCTCTGTCTGCATATCGAGCATCTCCTCGAACACATCGGTGGCCAGATCCTCGTCAGGGGCCGTCCAGGCAAACATCTCAACCTTTGTAAACTCATGGACACGGTAGAGACCCTTGGTGTCGGCACCACGAGCACCAGCCTCAGCACGGTAGCAGCGAGACACGGCGACTCGCTTCATGGGGAGCTCGTCGGTTTGAATAGTGGACGCGGCCTTCATACCAGCGAGCGAAATCTCAGAAGTGCCTGTGAGACAGAGTTCAGGGACGTCCCTATCTGCGTCGCTTTGGGCCTGGGCGATGGTGTAGACCTGCTGCTCGCCGTTTTGGTCTCTCGGCTGGAAGCCACATGCGGCCCCGATGTGGCTGTAGACAATGCTGGGAGGCGACACCTGGAGCCAGCCGTGGCGAGACACCACGGCGAGGGCGTACTGGACCAGCGCCTGTTCCAGCTGTGCTGCCTCACCTACAAGATAGTACCATCCCCAGCCAGAAGCAGTAGCTGCGGAAGCAAAGTCTAGTATGCCTAGGTCAGTGCCGATCTGGACGTGCGACGGGCCGTCCCTGATTGGTGTGGAAACGTCCAAGTCGCCATGCTCATGAGGTGAATAATTGATGTAGCTCAGCAGGGCCGGCTCCGTCCCCCTGGGAGTGTCGTCACTCGTCAGATTAGGAATTTCGAGGGCCAGCTCCTCGATTGTGGCCAGAATCTGCTCCTCCTGCTCGGAGATGCCAGCAAGCTCACTCTTGAGTTTCCGGGCCTCTTCCTGGATCTCCTCACGAGTCATCTTCTTGACCGCCTGGAGATCCTCATCGTTATTGCTAGTAGCTGGATTGGCCATCTGCTTGCGCAATAGGTTGGACCTCTCACGATTAGTACGGCTACTGCGCGTGAGGTTCTGCCACTGCTCATGGAGCTCTACAATGCGCGAGGCGTTGCCCGCCTGGCGCTTGTAGTTGCGCTCCAGGCATGTGGTCTCGTACAGCTCTGGATTCTGCCGGATGTGGCGGATGTCAATGATGGGCTTGGGGGCCGATGTAGGCCGCCTCGAAGCAGGTGTGGTGGTGGTGTTACTTGTGGCCTCCACCGCATATCCTCTCTTGAGGACGGATTGGACGTTGAGCTTGGTGCCGTGACAGCGCAGGCACTGGATAGCTGTCCTCCTCATGACGGCCGTGATGATGACTATACGCCTAGTAATGTGCGTGAGAGGCGGCCACGACCATGGTCCGGACCGGCTTTTTATCAGTTTTATACAACTTGGCAGCAGAGAGAGCTCATGGTAAAACGAGTGGATGGGAGACGTCTGCTTCAGGATTAATTAGTGGGTGGAGCCGGAAAGCTTGATTGACCAGTGGATTTAGCCGAACTCGGCCTTAGCGGACTCGCAGTAACAGTCCTGATTACAGCGCTGTTAGTGGACGCTTTTTGCTTCTATTGCAACATATATCTGAAGCATATGGCAGTCTCCTCATTCACATTCTGGAAGTGCAAGCAAGTAGTTGAACAGGGTATCTTGGACATATATACTCTCGCTCTAAATACAAAATACCAATCTCAGACCGCCCCCCAAGCTCCCAGCGTCCAATTCATGTGATGCCCTCCGCTACCCCTGATCAACCCTCCTGCCCCCATACTCTGTCGTTGCTGGGCCTTGAAATCTACTTCGTTTGGCTTGGAGGCCCCGAGAGACCCTTGTTGCTGCCAGAGTTCGCGGTCAATGGTTGCCATGGCAGATACCTTCAACTGGCACATGAGGCTTGCTCCCGCCCATGGACCCAATGAATGGAGCGCCCGAAGCTTTCCTTTAACCGGCTGAGAGTGGTAGCGATACCGATCAATTTTGGCCTCGACGGAATCGTACTCAGGCTCGGCATTTGCTGGGTTGAGAGCGAACTCAACCCGGCTAGCTAGATCAGGCGGGGAGGTCTCGCCAGGTGAGGAATCCTTTGCACCTCGCCCTTGAAGCTTCTGGTTGTGCTTCTCAGCCCCTTTACCGGACACAGGCTCCCATCCTCTTCGGTCGATCATGCTTGAGACCTCATCCACGATCCTCTCTTTCAGCCCCAAAATGGCTGAACACCCGCCCGTGAAGATGATTCGGGACATGCAAATGGCCCTCACATCTATGGGAAGCTGGAGAAGATGTTGGTACACTAGGAGGTGGACCGGAAGTTCATGGTCGTCGAAGCTCGCGGCCGGAGCTGAGGGGTCAAGGAAAGCATCGTCGCATACGTTGCCCAGGCTCTCAAAGGCCACATCCACAGTTCGAGGGGGGACCGTTGAGTTGAATGGGACTTGGGTAGTGCCAGTGGACGGCGTGGCGTTGGTTGGTGTTTCCACATCAGACTCGTCTTGTTCTTCCACCGTCTCTAGCTGGGCTGAATCCCTTTGAGAGAGCCTAGACGCAGAGGGCCGACACCATATTAGTCGGCACATGATGTCTTCGGCTTCCTCGAAACTGATAACACGGTCTGCATTGTCTTGCTGGGGCTCGTCCGTGACGAGGGGAAGCAGGAGCTTGCTATAGAGCTCATCCAACAGATGCCTCCCTCCACGAACAGTACGCGTAGTTTTGACTTCACGATACTCATAGACACTAGTAATGACTGTCTCTGACCAACCCATGTTGATAATGAGAGCTGAACGCGTGCCTGCCGCCACGGTAGACATCGTGGCTGAGGACAGTAAAGACACCATTGGTGTCTGAAATCTGTCAAATACCGTGTCAAGCACCGCTGAAACGAGGGGGAGTGGTAGGTCAGAATCCAAAACCAGGGCCGTCCTCCTCGGCCTTGAATCAAGAAGAAGGTGCCTAGAAACAAAGGATATCAGCGTGGGTATCATGAGTTGAACTCTCGGCATGCATACTTGGTGAATGCGTCTCTCAGTAGCCGGTCAAGCTTATCTCTAACGAGACCAATGTCCACCTCTCTCAGGTCATATCGCCAGATCTCATGCTCTGCAGCCCATGCCTGCCCCGGCTTCCGCGCCAGAGTCTGCCATGCCCTGAAGTCGCCTGCTCGCCTCTGCTGCTCAGGGCCACACTGCACCGTCGCCTTAGGTAGTGAGTCGCCCGCGAAGCCAGCTCGAATGAACCGCGAGCCTATCTCAACGACAATGATCTCATCGTCGGCTCTAACAGTAGACGGTGAGCCGTATACCGAGGCGATGTTCCGCGGAGGCGTATGGGGGCTGGATGGCCCAGGCGGCCCCTGTGAAGGCCCTGAGCGGATGTTGGCCACGCTCCTGTGCGGTAGAGTCGTCGGGCCCGCACCGGAAGCCATGCCTGAATCTTTTTCTTGCTTTCCTCCAAGTGCTACCGTAGCAGGTTGTTCATTTGAGTTGTGTTGTGGCTGGTGAGTTTATTTGTGCCGCATTTCAATGCCAGACCTGGCTCGTGTGCTCCCCCAGCGGAACAATTGCTGCATGGATTGATGGATTTGATTGCATTGAGGGCCAGCGATGCAGATACAGAGGCGGCAGTGTGGCTAGTGCCCGCTTTCAGTGGCTGCTCCCGCTAACCTGGGCCTCGATCGGTGTGTTGGAACGCCGATCCGCCGACCAAAGTCAACAGTGCCCCGTAACCGCAGCGACAGCCCCACCTGCCGTCGACCGTCATTCAAGAACTGCCAATTCGTCCAATGCTGGACATACGGAAGCTACACTCAATGGCATTAATAGGGATGATTTAGAGCCAATCCTCTGCCAATCATCCTTCATCATCAAGGGGAAGAGTATTGTCTCCCGTGGCGAACCACCAGCGCCGCCATGGGGATCAAAGGGTAAGATTTCACTGCTGCAATTCACGGTATAAATGTCTAACAGCATCACACAGCATATACGCCCAGCTTGGCCAGGCAGATCGTGTCGCCCTCGCAAAGCTTGCAGCTGAATCCTACCGAGAGTCGGATCGACCCTTGAGACTCGCCATCGATTTTGCGATATGGCAATATCAAACACAGGCCGCCCAAGGTGGCCACAACCCAGCGATCCGAACCCTATTTTATCGGCTTGTCAGACTCAAGGCCACCACCATCAATCCAGTCTTCGTCTTCGATGGGCCTGAGAAACCTAGATTCAAAAGAAATAAGCGTTCTGGGAGGGGAAACGGTGTTGCCACAGCCCAGGCCAAGAAGCTGATGCGTCTCTTTGGCTTCGCTACGCATGATGCGCCTGGGGAAGCCGAAGCAGAATGCGCCCTGCTCCAAAAACGCGGCATCGTAGATGCTGTGTTGAGTGAAGATGTCGACACAATCATGTTTGGGTGTACAAGGACGTTGCGCAATTGGTCGGGAGAGAGCAAGGGGACCACGGCACCGACTCACGTTACGCTCTACGACGTTCATGATATGAAACTGGCCGACCTCGGCCTGAACCGGGAAGGCATGGTCTTGGTGGCTCTGATGAGCGGCGGAGATTACCTGCCTGACGGTATTCCGGGCTGTGGTGTCAAGGTGGCTTGTGAGGCGGCCAAGGCTGGATTTGGGGCGAGTATATGCCGGTTGAAGGCATCCGACACAGAGGCGATACAGGTCTGGAGGGAGGAGCTCATCCATGAACTAAAGACCAACGACAGCAAACATTTCCGGACTAAGCATAAAGCCCTCTCGATCCCAGATGATTTCCCCAACCTAGAAGTTTTAGGATACTACACACACCCTGTCGTCTCTCCAGCCGCTGGCTTGGAAAAGGTGAAAAGAAAACTAGCGGAGCCAGGAGATTTTCATCTAGAAGAACTCAGAGAGTTCACTCGAGACGAGTTCGGTTGGGACTTTCGCATTGGGGCCCTGAAATTCATCCGCGTCTTGGGGAATGCTCTCCTTGTTCACAAGCTGCAGAACAAGCAACCAGGGGCTCAAGACCTGGTGAAGAAGGTCAGCGGCCGCAGAACGCATTTCAGCGCCGATGCAGAGCCCGAACTCAGGGTTGCGTATGTTCCCGCAGAGGTAGTTCCTATCGATCTCTCGGCCGAAGTGGATGAGATTATTTCATATTCCAGAGATGGGCTCGCGACGAATAGTGATGATGAGTTCGAGGCTCCTACGGGTGCTGAAATGACTGCTCAAGCGGCAGCGCTAAATGTTTATGATGTTCAAAAGCCCGAACTTGCCTGGATCTTGGAAGAGTTTACCAGTCGGGCCGTACCTACAGCTGTAAAGGCCTGGCAGGACGCTGAAGAAGCCAAAGCTGCTCGCAAAGCTTCCAAGACGAAGAAATCAGCAAAACCCAAACGCACGAAGGGCGGAGGGATGCCTCAAGGAGCTCTCGACAAATTTGTTCAGGTCAAGAAGCAGACCCCTGGTACTGTGCTATCGAAGAAATCAACTCCTGATATGGAACATACGCCAGAGCCAGTCGCAGATCTGGAGCCGGAAACACGTCTTCCACCAGTTCGCGACCTTCGTCAAAAGCCATCTCCTCTCTCAGCGCCAAGTAAGCAACCCAAGTCGACGAAGACAAGCTCTACGGCCGACAACCGGAAAGTCACCCGTTCACAGCTTACGCCCACTAGGACTCCCAAATTCAAAACGTTTCCGGAGACGATTGACCTATTGTCCAGCCCAGTCCCCACAGAGCCTTCGCCCCGTGCCTCTCCAACCACAAGCTCTTGGCCACGTCCCGTTGGCCATACGCAAGTATCTAATCCAGTATGCTCGGGTATTACCAACAATCCGGTTTCGCAAAGGGTGAAAATCCCAGCACAGGCGACAAAGACCAAGCGTACTAAACAGTCACAAATTTCGACAGCTCTCACAAAACCTACCTCTCTGAAACAGTCATCAATGACGATGTATACAACTCAGCAGGTGGCGACAAAGAAAGGCCAACTGAAAAGCGGCAACTCACCAGGCGTCTCTGTACAGGACGCTACCAAGCTAGCTTCTTCGGATGGGGATGAGTCGTGGCTTCTTGAGAATGATTTCCCAACACTGGCGTCATTGATGGCCATGCCTCCTCAACAACTAAAGACGACGAGATCTCCAGACATACAGATGGCGAGTCCTAAGAGTTATGCAATGGAGGATACCCTTTGGGACAACCAATCCCAAGGCACGGATAAGCCTTTGGCGTCTGTTACGGGTGCTACAAAGTTTTGGAAAGATCTTGAGCTCGATGATAGTGACTGGGACGAGTTTGAGCCTCAAAAGACGAGCTATTCCAGTGGCAGAGGCGTGGCCCCTAAGGTAGCGAGGCACGGCGATGTGTCCGTTGTGGATTTGACACAAGAAGATTGACGATCCTCGGTTGGAAACCGGAGGACTATGCCCCTGATGGGTACATGATGATATGAATAGGATATGATACCCTCAATAATTATTGTATAAGAAAATTTAGCGCTTGGGATTATTTTCTTTGCTCGTCTAAAAGTAGGTGGGTTTCGGACAATGTTAAATAAGATTGTATAGAAAATGGACAACCATATAATAATAAACTGCTCCCCAAGTCTTCGATTGAACCATAACTTAGGTGTAAACTCAAACATCAGTCAATGAGTACGGATCTTTGCCCCCCCGTCATGAGTGTTCGCGATGCTACAGACAGTCATATAGAGTTGGCAATATCCTGATATCATTATTTTCCGAATCGGCGCCCCAAGATCCAGGACGCATATCTAATAGTAGTTCCCTAAGGTATCCAGTCTTTTCCCCAGCGCCCCAGCCAAATGTGCAACCGAGCAACGATACCCCGTTGACTCGAGACAATCTATTATACATTTTTTCCATGTTTGTGATTCTTTACTCTATCCAACAGGAAGGAAGGAATTAATGGCGATTTTTCACGCATCCTCCATCTTCAGGTCCGGGTCAACCTCCAACCCCAGATCCCGCTCCTCGGTGAACTTCCTGCCCAGGAGCTCGTCGGGGAGGTACGTCTGGCTGACCTTCCCGTCCAGATAGTTGGGCGGGTACTTGTACTCGGCGCCGCAGCCCATCTCGCGCATCAGCCGCGTGGGCGCGTTGCGCAGGTGGAGGGGCACGGGCAGGCTGGCGACTCCCGGCTCGCGGAGGGCGGAGAAGGCGTTGTTGAGGGCGCGGTAGGCCCTGGTGCTCTTGGGGGCGGCGCAGAGGGCGATGGCGCAGTGGGCGAGGGGGATGCGGGCCTCGGGCATGCCGATCTGCTGGGTGGCCGTGTACGCCGCCGTGGCGAGGGGCAGGAGGGTGTTGTCCGCGAGGCCGACGTCCTCGGAGGCGATGACGACCATGCGCCGGGCAATGAAGAGGGGGTCCTCGCCGGACTGGAGCATGCGGGCGAGGTAGTAGAGCGCGGCGTCGGCGTCGGAGCCCCGTACGGACTTGTGGAAGGCGGAGATGTTGTCGTAGTGCTGGTCGCCGCCGCGGTCGTAGACGAGGGTCTTGGTCAGGGAGGCTTTGATGTCCTCCTTGGTGATGTCGTGCCGTGATTTCGTCAACGAGAGGGCGAGCTCGAGGAGGTTCAGTGCTGTGCGGGCGTCACCGTCGCTGAATCTGGCCAAGTACCTGACCATCTCTTCGTCTATCAGAGGAGTAGGGGGATACGAGTCCTCTTCCATCTTGATCGCCCGTTGCAATATCCGTACAATATCTTCCGTATCTAACGGCTTGAGAGTAAACGTCCTACAGCGCGATAGAAGTGCGTGTGTGACTTTGAACGAAGGGTTCTCGGTTGTGGCACCGATAAGAGTGACCGTTCCAGCTTCAACAGGCTTTAGAAATACATCTTGTTGGGTCTTGTTGAACCGGTGAATCTCGTCGCAGAAGACAATCGTTCTGCGACCCGTGAGTACCGAGTCGTTGGCAGCCTCGGAGAATATCTTCTTGCACTCGGATACGCCTGTGCTCGTAGCATTCAACTCGACGAAGCGGCTTCCGACCACCTGGGCAATACAGCGTGCAATAGTCGTCTTCCCAGTTCCCGAACCGCCCCAGAGAATCATCGACGGTACGTTATTCGACTCGATGAGCGATCGCAATACGCCGTTCGGTCCCACGAGCTCCTGTCCGCACACCTCGTCTAATGACTGTGGCCTCATCCTCTCCGCCAGCGGGGCAGCCTTGTGTGTCCTCGATTTCTTCGCCGTTCTCTCCTCCTCCTTCACTCGAGGGGCATTTTCGTCCCCAACCTCGGCCGGAGCCTGGCTCTTAGCCCCAGGTGCCGGCCCTGGAGTGGGAGAAGTAGACCCGGGGCCCTCATCGTAGGTCCTCTTCTTGGAGGTGAAGGCCTGTATCGTCCCGTTCACCAATGGGGTCAAGGCCTTGCCGTCTGCATTCTGTCGCTTCGGCGCGGGCGTCGAGAAAAACGACGACGGTTTCCGTTTCTGCGCTGGCTGCGAGGAGCTGTTCTGCGAGTGCTCCGGGGGGGGCGACCCCTTCTCGACGACGAATTTCGTGCAGTCGGAGTCCAGATGGCTGTTGATGTCCTGCTGCTTGACTGGTTTGTTGCAGATCGGGCAGTCGACCTCCATACTCGAAGCAAGAATTGACCTAAAAGCAAGCTATTGTTGAAAGCAAATCGGTTCGAAAAGAATCAGCGGAGGCGGGGTATCGTCGACAGTAAATCAAAATGCATGCTTTTCGTTGAGAGAGGCAGGCAGGCAGGTTGGCATACGCAGGACTCGAATTAACCATCGATTGGGAGACGCGTTTAGACCATAAATTTTTAGTGTGTTTAATTAATAAGAGCTGCGATGACGCGCGCTGTAGCATTCGCGGGGGACCCCGTATCAAGCAAGCGTTAGCGCTCATCGGTGCATCTTTAGCCCATCCCCAGCCAGTCACACAGTTCAGTTCAATTGGAATCAAGGTCTCAAGATGCTCGTAATACCATCAATTCACAAATACTAGCACTGTTTCTAATAAACCCATCCTTTCCTACTCAGTATTCCCGTTCCTATTATCCATCTCCTTGACTCGAATCCATCCACAAGCCCCTTGGGCATCAGAGACACCGATAGTTTGATCACTTATATAAATTGATAGAGATGGCTCGCTTCATGCTCTTAGAGCTACTGGCCCATCTAAGCTAACTGCACCTATTATCCGGTGCCTCACGTCCTTATACTGGCGTGTATCCCTTCTAACCCCGATCCCCCTTCAAAGAGGACTTGCCTTGAACCAAATGATAAATGCTGTCGAAAAGGATGCAAACTGCGACGACGCTGTCCCCATGCTTCCTAAACTCCGTTCCTATGCTTCCCTCGTAAAAATGCCCCCACCGTATCCTCCAATCCTCCAACGTGGCCATGCCGATTATCCATGGCAAAGGCAATATGCCAAATCCCGCGTGTTGTTCTCTGACGATTCGCAACCCTAAGCAGATGTCTTCAGTGACCGCACTTTGGGAGAGGCGAGCCCAGTCTCGGCTTTCCTCTTCCCCAGAATCGGCTCCGGGCTCCGTCTCGGTGGATCATCCCGATCTTTGGTAGCTTCCGCATGGCACGAGGCGTGGTAGGCGCGGTTGCCCACCAGGACTGTGTCGAGCCACACCCACTCTTGTGCTGTATCAAGCCACTTGTTCTCGAACTTGTCCTGGCAGATGGGGCAGACGTTGTTGATACCCTTGCTTGCATCCGGAACAGGGATATACTTGGGTTTGGCAGCCTCAGCGGCAGCCTTTGAGGCCTGGGTACTGCTGTCCTGGGGCGCAACGATATGATCCACGTCCACAACCTCCCGAGACTTGACCCAGTTGTGTTTATCCTCATACCAACTCCGGTGAGTTCCCCTCTTCTCGGCTTCTGTGCTGCGTCGATGCACCTGGAAGTGCCAATCCATGTGTGCCATCTTCTTCTTCTTTCCCTCTTCATCCGTTTTGAATCGTCGTCCACACTGAGAGCAGGGAGGGCCCAGCTCATCGTATAGCCGGGAAACGTTTTCTGGACGGAACCTAAGCAGTCTGTTAGAGCGTGTTCGATCCGCAGGGGCATTTCAGCTTCACTTACTGTTGCTTCAGCGATGCTGAATTAATGCCAGGTCTACTATTCGCCGGCGCCCATCCAGATGAAGGCCTATGGGCAGCTAGTAAGCTGGCAATGTTCAAGGGGATAACAGGCGCTGCGGGTGCGGGAGGGTTGGCGGGTGTAGGTGCAGCCGCAGGTGGGAGCAAGCCAGCAGCTCTCAGTTGGTCCATCAGAGAAGATGGACTTGGTTTGGGTGCCTGGCTCTGTGCCGGAGCAGGCATATTTGGTACTACCGGTACAGATGCTGGCCTCACCGGTTCAGCCTGAGCAGGCGGCGGCGAGCGGATGGCTGCACTTGAAAAAGGAGGATTAGGAGTAGATGACTGGGAAGACTGCCTGGCCATCAAGGCCGCCATTGCCCCCGGGCCCAGTAGAGAATCCAACGTCACAGACGGCTTAGCAGATGCCGCGGGAGCTGGGGGTACTGGTGAGGGAGCTACGGGGAATTGTGAAGGCTGTTGATTTGGTACATGTTGTGGTGGGATTGGCGTGTGAGAAGGGGTGTTCTGGGCCGATGTGGCCTTCTTCAACGTCACAGTAGCAAGTTCAGTTACTTGATTCTTAATGAGCCCCAACTGATCTGGTGGTAGACTCGTGCTCTGCACTATGTGCTGGAGGTCCAGAAGCGCCTTTAACCTGGTTTGGACACTAGCATCCTGAGGATTCTGTGCAAACTCTGCCCTCATTGCGACAATCAGGTTCTGAATATCATTTTTCAATGTGTCTATGTTTACTCCAACTGGCTGGGTAGTCCCAGCAGCCCCATATGCATCAGCCGGTGGCTGAAAAGGCATAACGTTAGAGCCAAACCCCTGTGGTGCAGAGTGTGGAGGATAAGGAGCAGCCTGCAGTCGGTTAGTCTTGCATTCAGAACCATAAGGCCGTCTGCTGAATCTCACCTGAGGCTGGCCTGGATGCCCAGGATAGCCTGGGGGCGGGTGGGCGCCGTTGGGGTAAGGCATCTGCCCATTGTAGTTCCCAGGAGTACCAGTCGCGCTCCTCATCCCAGGTGGCGTTGGTGTCTCTCGATGGGGCGTGACACCTGGCCTTGGTCGTCCAGGAATCTGGGCCTGCGGCATCATGGCGGCTTTGGCCTTCATCAATGCGTTCTCGATGGGGCGGACGAGATCAGCGGAAAAGACAGGTCGAGTATCCATGGATCCAGCAACAGGCTGCTTCCAAGTCTTCAGCATCTCTTCCATTCGCTTCCGCGTCGCATTATCAACAACGGTGTATGCCTCCATGAATGTCTTGAAGATGTTCCGACCAAGATATAATGTGTATGGGGTTCCGACATTCTTGACGATCGAGTCAAGCACGTACAGCGCAGGAAGCTTCTTGCTTGGCGCAGTCTACAAGTACGTTAGCACATTAGCCGTTCGACAAATACATACGTGCAATGGTCCGATAATAGCACGTCTTGTGTGAGCCTTACCTTGAGGATGTGTTTCTCTAGAACCTCGGAGATGACCAAGGCATGATCTGTGTTTTCTCGAGCAATCACTGTCAAGTTGCTGATCTCAAATCGTGTGTTGGCGCTCAGATCCTCCAGTGCCAGGCGGTAGTCCTCGGCTACCTCTGCGGCTTCTGCAGACATTTTGATTGGACTATTGATTTGGCGAGACAAGGACAAGAAGAACACGAGTTCTCGGAGAGAGATAGAAGAAGTAGGGCTAGATATGGCAGGAAGAGTGGTGCCTCTAATCTGAAAGGGCAAGGGTAAAAGGGCAGAGGGCCACCAGAGGGAAAGGAAAGAATATCGTTCTCAGCGGCAGCAATAACTAAGGCAAATATGAACCACGAGCGACCACGAATGACACGTTTAACGCGCAGAAATATATTTCCAAGAGCCTTTGTCGTGTTCACCAGGCTTTTCTATGAGTCCACCCAGTAGCAGTATCAATGGAATCCTTGATCATGCCTGAACCGACATCATCTAAATGGCCTTGGATGCAATGTGTATGCCTGGGGATGTGTCGACAAAGAAATCGAGTGTATCAGTCTACGTCAGGTGTTGCGAAGGTAAGAATGTCGCAAAATTGCCCTCGATCGAGATTAGGCAGGGTCGTTATATGCCGGTCGCGGAGAGGAATCGCAAGTCGTCAAGCGCACTGCTATATGGTACAGAACAAAGAACCAAGAATTTTGAAAGGATATCTACCAGGTCGATAGAGCTTAGCCCTCCAGTCAATGGCTGAGGGTGAGGATGGGAAAACAAAGTTGGAAGAATGGCAGGCGAGACTTGAAGCTAAACCCTGCCTCCTCTGGCCAATAGTCGACAGTCACGTGATGTGCCTTCGAACAATGTAGCCGGTCCACTTTTAATGAAGCTTTTCTTCCACCACTCAGATAAAGACAGGTACCTCATCAGTGTGTACTAGGTACCAGTCATGCGCCCCATGTCACACACAAGTCAATGACGAACAATAAGATTGGTGGGTAGGGGTACCTTGATACAGCCGAAAATAGGTGTACCGAAGGCTTTGATCACTCTATTCAAGTATTCGCCTCTACGATTGTTCTAGCATTCAACAATGGCCAATAATTCTCAATTCTCCTATTCCTTGTGAATATTATGAACAATCGTCAATATGACACAATAAAGTTCCCTTAATTACTCCGTCAAAGAAAGCGAAGCAGCACAAATTTTATTGAGAAGTGGCGCCTATACCATCTTGCTCACAAACAGACTCCTTTGGCTCTAATGGATTTCATCAGCCTTTTACTACCTAGGTACTGCTAAGGTTCTACAAGTTATATACTGTTGCTAAGATCTCACAATGCCAAAAAAAAAAAAAAAAAAAAAATTTCAATAACTGTTCAAATTGAAAAAAAGTACCGAACTATCAAGTGTCTTTCGCTTGTGATCTAAGATAGCAAATTAAAGCAAGTAGCGTCATCCATATAATGTATCAAGTTCTGCTCTCCGTTCCCCCATTCCCCTAAAACGCCGAAATTCAAGTAATCCATGGTATCAAGTTAAAGTTTTCACGTTGCTTTCCATTATCCTCCCACTTAGAAGCGGGAGATGTGCGCCTCGGAGTAGTGGCTGCTGGCCCGCAGGTTGTGAATGGGGTGGTAGATCGAGTCAGGGCGCGCAACAGAAGGGTTGATGGGCGACCGAGGCTTGATCTGCTCGGCACCTGCATCATGCTCAACGTCACGGTGAGCGGGCATTGGGGCGCTGATGTTGGGCCTGGGAGCCTCCCGCACGGTCTCGTTGGTGTTGTTCTTGTTTCGCTTCCAGAACATGGAGGCGAATTTGCTGGCTCCCTTCTCCTGTCCAACTGTGGAGGGAGTAGAGCTTGGGGGGTAGTGAAGGGATGCAACCTCGTTACCATCGCCGGCGAGAGAGCCATGAGTGCGGACATCGCGAGCATTGACTCCGTTCTTGCGGTCTGAAAAGACGAAGCTGGCGATCACATTCAGGACGCCGAAAGTCAGGTTGAGGATACCCGCAGCAAGGGTGAGTTGCCAGAAGGACATGCTTCCGAGGGATTCAGCCGATGAGTTGGAGTTGTTGAGCTTGCCGAGAATGTTGCAGGCGACGATGATGATGGCAAAGCCAAGCCACCCAAGACCATGCTGGTCAGAGAAGGCAGGCCAGTTCTTGCGGAAGAATCTCTGGAAGACACCAATCTCAGAGACGATGAGGAAGAGGGCGATGCCACATGTGAAGACCATAGAGGTTGCTTCGAAGACGCAGTATGGGTTTCCGGTATTGACCTTGGCAATCAAGACCGCACAAGCAGTCTCGGCGGCCAGGAGTCCGATGATAGTGAAGACTCGGAGGATCTGGAGAATAATCATGCCAACTCCACGGAAGGACGACATGTCGAAGGATCCAAACATTTTGTTGAACGAAGTAGGGTTTTGTTTTTCCCGTGAGGATATCTTTGGGATCAGATTAGAGATGAACAGGTATGAATGTCAGATGAAGAGAAGACGGGAGGAATTACTTACAAGCAGGGGTGGACGACCTTTTATCAACTGCGTCTTACGCCGCGACCAGGGTGATGTTAAAGTTTTGGAGGCAAAATCGAAGAGATCGCCCGGTCAATAAGATCCTGAGTTCGTAGGTTTTCGGGCGGGAAGGTTAAATGTGACTGGGAAAGAGTTCGCGCGATGGTTGTAATACTGGTTCGTAGGCGAGATGGCAGATGTAGATGTTCGGGAAGAAATGGCAGCCAGCTGTCATGTAGAAAAGTAAAGTGATGAAGAAACAGAAGGAAAGCTCAGATAGGACAAAAGAAAACACTCAAAGACGAGCTACAATCACGATTGTGTGGAGTTGACAATAGGAGCAGGTTGTTGGTGGGATGGAGAGGCGCATTGTTCTTTAATAGAGAACCATGAGCGAGCCACCCGCCTCCCACACCCGCAAGCATCAGTGATTGGAATAGAAGCTAACCCCCAAACATGACGGGCAGAATGAGGTCTGCAAACACGGTGCGCGGCTCAGGGGAAATTCAGGGCACATGCTCTGGATCCAACGAGAGCGCTTGGCTAGTTCACAGTTCCACCACAACCATGCGTTCTCGATGCCGCTGCCTATGATTCGACGTTTCAGCTGTCCATCCAGACGGCCCAGAATTTTTCATCGACCAGACCTCCACCGTCCAGTCCATCCGGTTTCATGGCTGCAGAGGCCGGGCCTTGTGGGCGGCTTCATGCTACATGTGGGTGGTGGACGTTGGGCCGAAACCAGGGCTACACAGGCACGGCATGGATGCGAAGCGAACAGGGGACAGTGCTTGGGATCCTTGGTTCAGATATGCCGTTCGGTTGCATGGACGCTACGCAAATCGCACGGTTGAGATGATCCCAAGGGTTGATTGGATGTGGAAGACTAGAAAGCGTTTCACAGGAGTTTAGCAAAGAGTGCACCCATGTAGCGCGGCTAATAAGTGGGTGGCATCGGGAAGCCAGTCATACTGCATCGGGGAGTCCAAAATGGTGCAACAAGCAAATCATTCTCGACAGGACGGCAGGCAACCACAGGCACTCTTGGCAGAGCTCTACAACCTGCTTTCCCGCGGGGTGAAAGCACTCCCAGGCTCTAGCGGCGGTAAGTCGTATGAAACCTATTATTAGGTCAGTTGCTTCAATATATGTGCACTACCTATGTCGGAACACATAGGTATACAGCACATACAGACATGCAATGCCAATCCAGCTGTCATTCACCCACTAACGTACTTCCGACTAGTAGCAATTAGCCCAGTACCACTCACGCGCATAAGCGAACCACATGTCAATGCATGCGGCAAAGGTGCTTGATTGTCTGCTCGAGCAAATTGTAGTAATTATATCTCAATTGCCACTCTGGTCCTATACACATACACAAATGCCACGGTTTTAAACGTGCCCGCCTCCGATCCAGACCATTTCAACCTGCTTTGGTACGTGAGTCGGTGTAGTTGCATGGTCCCTGTACAGTGCCCTTATCGCATGAATTGGAATGCAAGCACACCCAGATCAGAGACCTCTCGCCTCGCACCACAGCTTGATCAAATGTACTGAGTCAAGCCGTCACTGTCATGGAATTCAATATCATAGAGCAACCCTTTGTGAAAGGGCGATTTCAATGTTCGCTGCCCTTCAATTCACAGTCCCCAAAGCGACCCCTGCCGTATTTCAGTGCCAATCTACTCCCAGAAACAGAAACCGCGATGAATCAGCCCCACCACAGTAGAGGCTAAAAATGATTCGCCCATTGCTGCACAGCCCTTGTATAAGCCTTTCGCTCTCGCCGTGCCTCTCTTTCCTATCCCAAACCTCAACGCTTACGCGCCTGCTCACCGCACACAACATACGACCACCACTCATCTCTCCCGAAACCGACACAGCCATGGCTCGTGGAAACCAGCGCGACAAGGCCCGCGAGGCCAACCTGAAGAAGCAGGCCGCCCAGGTAAGCGACCAAGCCCCAGGTCCGCAGAGGCCATAAGCGCTGATATCCGGCGGCTATAGAAAAAGGGAAACACCATGAGCGGCACCCAGATGCAGAAGGCCAAGGAAGATGCCGCCGAGATTATGCGAAAGAAGCAAGCTGCCGGTGCGTCCACCCCCCTCCGACATACTGACCAGTGCCGCCCTCCGGAGTGACATGTGCTAATGTACCATCAACCCTTCAGCTGAGGCTAAGAAGTCCGGTGAGGCAGCCGCCAAATAAACGAACGTGCCAACGAGATACAGAGCGGCCGGGTCCACCGGTCCGACACGAAACAATGCGGCATGGCACCATGGTACAGGCGCAAGAGCGAGCGAATAAGGTTGTGCTGGGATCGAGGCGCATCAGGAGTCTATCTTTGGGCTGAAATTTAGTCAAAATGCAACCTTGCGGCCTATTCGTATGCATTCCCTGCTGCATGTCCCAACAACTCGCTCGCCCTGAGCCCGGCTCTCTTTACCCATGCTGTTGATGTGTTTCGGGCCTTCTCGGCTCCCAGGCGCTGTGCGATTCTCTCGTGCTTCGACAACCCAATCATAGCCCTCATCGTAGCTCCAGTCTTGGCATCGTGAGACTGCGTGATGTCGTGGCCATGTGGCAAACATGTTCTCCTGGTGGACCAGGTTTCCTGGGAACACCACGACTACCAGCGACTATCTCTGCGAATACATTCTTCCATTATCCGGTAACTTGTCACATCTGTGCAATACATGTATAAAGAAGACAGATCCGGGAAAACGGAAATCACTTGACTCCTGTAGTTGAACGATGCCGGTCGAAAAAACAACCTCCAGTGTATCTACAATTATCAGGGAAATTGACTAAATCTGTCTTAAGTCTTGCTGTGTTCTTCGACCAGCAAAAGAACTACCAGAATCAGAAACCGAACTAACATCTTGCCACATGATAACATGCACATACCATTTCAGTATTAGTGGAATTATATGCAAGATGCCATGAATCCCAAGCGGGCAGACTCATTCAGTCATATTACTTGTCCGTTAACCATCATTTGTAACACATAACTCTCTAGCTCCCAGACTTGGCCTGTTGTTGGCCTTCGTAGAGCCCAGTGTAGTATCCAGCGTAATACCAAGACATTAGGAGTCTCTTCATATTTTCATCTTTCACTATGGCGAGCCATGTTAGTGGATGGTGGGAGCAATGGGAACACACATATAGGGTAGATTGTCAAAACTCACCTGTACCGAGAAGGGCATGGGGAGAAGGTGCCGGTAATCCAGCCACTTGAGGCTTGAGTTCGCTTTTGTCGGTTCCAGCAGATTCATCAACCTTGGATTCTGATTGTTGCTCGTCATTTACTTCCAGAGTCTCTTCCGGGATAGGAGCGCTACCAGTACTATTAGCACACAAAGATTAGTAGAGGAATGCCAAAGAAGTGTAGATAGCCGCCCATACCCAGCCTCAACAGCACGCTCTAAATCCTCAAGAGTTCCTCCCTTAGCATGAATGCTATGATATTTCTAGAAAAATTTCAGGTCAGCTTATTCCAGTCGAACCAAAATGTCCAAATGGAAAAGGCAGTTTACCTTGTACTCGGCCAAGGCATCATTCCAGGATTCGATGAGTGCAGAATCGTCCCAAATCTCGTCGTGAGTTAAGCCTGATGAAGCTTGTGCCATTTTCGAATTGAATCTTTTGTTCAATCCAACCTCGTTTCTAACCTGCGAAATAAGATACCAAAATATCCTGGAAGATACTCCCAAGCTCCTTTTGGCATGAGCGTAGCTTCACTAGAGCAGCGAAACACCAAGCCAATGGTAGAAGCAGCTACACCAACCACAGCGACTCTGCCCCACTACAGTTCCCACGCGATAGGCGATAAGAAACTCTAGAGGCGCCTCACCGCTCACAACTACGGCAGAATCCAGAAATTTTTGGCCATATTGGTCTACGTGAGACGGATTCAGTGAAAAAAACAAAGCACTGATCCAATCATTATCATCAAAGATGGCGCGAGAACTGAGACCCCGAAAAAGTGAGTCGCAATTGATATCGTTACTTGCTTTCACTAATCAATTTCTTCATAGCGGCCGTTGAGAGCCAAAAACCCGAGGGCAAGCCAGCCAAGGCAGCTGAGAAGCCGGTCGCGAAGGGCAAGAGAAAAGCTACCGAGGCCCAGCCCGAGTCTCCCATTCCCCGAAAGCTGCAAAAGTCGACCAAGAAGAGCCCTGCAAAGGAGCCCAAGAAGGAGCCTTCGCCCGAGGGAAATTGGAGGAAGACCAGGCCTTCAGCTTATCTTCCCGAGGAAATCGAGGAGTCTACCGGTAGCGATGTTGAGGAGGAGGAGGAAGTTGAAGCTCTTGCCGCCGAGCTTGATCCCGAGGACGAGGGGGCCACCACTGATGCCGGTCTTTACAAGCCCGGGCAGCCTGTAGGAAAGATTCCTGATGTTTCCCAGGCTGTGCAGAAGGCCGCCAAGGCCGCCAGTGACGGGGAGGCTGGTATTATCTACGTTGGCCGCATCCCCCATGGTTTCTACGAGCACGAGATGAAGCAATATTTCTCCCAGTTCGGAACTGTCACTCAGATCAGACTGTCGAGAAACAAGAAGACAGGCGCTAGCAAGCACTTCGCCTTCATTGAGTTCGCGGAGGCCAGCACGGCCGACATCGTGGCCAAGACAATGGACAACTACCTCCTGTTTGGGCACATACTCAAGTGCAAGGTTCTCCCCAAGGAGCAAGCCCACGACGACATTTTCAAGGGAGCGAACAAGAGGTTCAAGAAGGTGCCCTGGAACAAGATTGCCGGCAAGAACCTGGAGAAGCCGTTGAGCGAGGCCTCGTGGAAGAAGAAGGTCACCAAGGAGCAGAACAAGCGCAACAAGTCCGCAGAGGCGCTCAAGAAGATTGGCTACACGTTCGAGGCACCAGCGATCCAGGCCATCCCACCCCCTGCGCCCAAGGAGCTTGAGAACGCCGAGAGCAAGGCCATTGAGGCTGCGCCAGAGGAGGCCGAAGCACCCGCCGCAGAGAAGATTGTCGAGGACGCCTCAGAAGAGGAGAAGCCTAAGTCGATATCTGCTCCCAAGACCAAGGTCACCAAACCAAAGGCAAAGAAGGCAGCAAAAGGAAAGAAGGTCAAGGCATGAAGCGCGGCCCGTTAGGTAGATAGTTGGCGCGTTGGGTTAATGGCAAAATGTTACATGATTTTCGATAGCTACGAAGAATTATTATTGTGATTAAATGTACGCACATAAGCGAACCCACAGCACCCACAGAAGAGAGCAAGCAGCGGGATTATGAAAGGCGAAATCATCTACTTCGCGCAAGTTTGTGAAAAAGCCACTGTGATAGGTTCTCATTCAATAGTTTGTATGGCGAAGATGATTGTAAGATGAAGAGAGGAGAAACCAAGTTTTCGGTGCCAGGTCCGGGTAGAATTAATACTAGTGGTGCCTTGGGTCCATGGGGCTGCTGACTAACACAGGCCGTTCTTTGCTACCTGCCTCCGGCCGTTGGATGGAAACTACAGAGAGTGCAAAACAGAGTTGCGTTAATGAGACATTTTGAGAAATGTGTGATCATTAATCTGAGTGTCTAAATTTAACCTCGCTGTCTTTTGTAAAACATCAGAGTTTCGTGCCACGATTCTACCTGTCAGAGCCGAGGACGTTAGCACACACCGGACCCGGGAGAGTCTCAAGACGCCAACCAATGAGATCCCCGCTGCGGCCACAGTCCCTGGCTCCCTGCGCTGGCGCTGGACAACCTGGCCTTACTGGTTAGTAGCGGGCCTTACTTAGATGAGGTATCGGATGGATGCGTACTCACGCCAAAACCCGTCAATAGCTGCCCTGGCCACGAACATTGTCCGCTGCGGTTGGTGGGTTGAATCTGCCGCGACACCACCCACCACCGAGTCCATTGGCTTCACGAAACACAGCCATTCAGATGCATCTGGAGTCCTTGTTCGATATTCACGATGAGTTCCACAGCTGCGGCAGATGCGACTCAGGCATCCATCTCTGGTGAGTCCGGCCTTTGGTCTTTCGTGTAAAGATTAATGTTTCAAGATGCTGACGGCTGGTCGATTGCGCAGCCTCGAAGAAGAAGAACAATAAGAAGAAGAAGGGCGCAAACAAGAACAAGGACCTGATAGGAACCGATGACGCCAAGAAGGAGGTCGAGGATGGCGATGACGAACCAGAGACACCAACGCAGGACGTAGGTTCCCGATACTACCCAATTTATTTCAGGAGAGCTTTATTCACAGATCATCTGGCAGACATCACAAGAAGGGCAGGCCGACTCTCAAGACAACGCAGACAATGCCTCTCCGAGCAATGGGCACGTGGTCCCCCCATCCACCACGACAGACGGCGATCGAGGCGGCTCGGATACGACAGCCAAGTTGGAGGTAATGGGCAAGGAGCGAGAGGCCCTCAGGGCCGAGGTGGAGCAGCTACGCAAGCAGCTGGAGAGAATACAAGAACACCACGCCACGGAGATCTCAGAACTCCGCACGGAGGTGGAGGAAAGCAACGCCGCCAAGGAGACGGCCGAGGAGCAGTATCAGAACCTGCTGGGCCGCGTGGGACAGATCAAGGAGACGCTGAGTGGCAGGCTGAAGCGGGACAGGGAGGAACTAGAGGAGGCAAAAGAGCGGATAGAGGAACTAGAAGCACAAAACGAAGAGCTCCGGGGGTCGGCAGAGTCAACGGACGGCAACGTCACCAAGCTGAAGGAAGAACTGGCCGATGCGACGCGAGAGCTTACGACACTGAGGAGCCGCAACAACCTCTCATCGCAAAACTGGCAAAAAGAGCGGGACGAGATGGTCAAGACTGTCCAGAGCCTGAAACAGGAGCTGGACACGACGTCGAACGCCATGGGAGAGTGGGAAGTCATCGCCATGGAGGAGCGCTCAGTGAAGGAGAGTCTGCAAGATAAGATGGCCGATCTCGAGGAGCAGGTCGTGGTTCTCCGCACCAACTATGAAAGCACTGCGGAGGAGCGCGAGAGCCAATCAACCCTGGTAACCAATCTTCAGAATGCCCTGCGTGAAATCCAAGACGCAAGAAAGGCCGAGTTGCGGGACGTCATCGAGTCAACGGATCAGCAGCTTGGGGCACAGAAGAAGCTGCTGCAAGAGGCCGAGAAACGTGCTGCTGAAGCCGTACAGGAGAAGGAGAAGCTTACCGCGGAATTGGAACGAACTGCTCCATACGAGAAGGAGGTCAAGGAAAAGAACCTTCTGATTGGGAAGTTGAGGCACGAAGCGATCGTCCTAAATGATCACTTAACCAAGGCACTTCGCTACCTAAAGAAGACAAAGCCCGAGGACAACGTCGACAGGTACGTATTTGAACTTCAAATCATGCATCCAACCCGTCGTGGTATCAGCTAACGAGAAGTCCCCCAGGCAAATTGTCACCAACCATCTCCTCCATTTCCTCACGCTGGATCGCGGGGATCCGAAGCGCTTCCAAGTGCTCCAGGTCATGGCAGGCTACCTCAACTGGACTGACGAGCAGCGAGAGCAGGCCGGTCTCGCCAGGCCAGGAGCCTCGAGCGGCAGCCTCCGCCTTCCGATGTCACCCTTCCACAGAACACCCAGCTCCCCTTCACTATCTGCAGAGGTGTTCTCCGAACCCTCAGGCTCCAGAGACAAGGAAACCCTAGCGGAGCTGTGGGCCAGTTTCCTCGAACGCAGTGCCCTGGAAGGGAGGGACGCTATGAGCAGCCCGGCCATTGGCAGTCTCAGCAGTCCACACATTGGCAACATCGCCAGTCCAAAAATGGGCAGCATTGCCAGCCCAAACATTGGTAGCATTGCGAGTCCAAATATTGGCAGTATTGCAAGTCCAAACATGGGCATTGGTCACTTCGGCTTCTCACGACCTGATTCCAGGGCGGGAAAGAAGTAGGGCATACAAAAAGGAGATTTGTCTAAATCGGGAGGAAGGGTGTTGCGTTTAACACGAGAGGCTTTCCCATACTATACTAAATGAATATCAAGTGAGGGTCCAGACCATTGTAACAACAACAAACTTGATCACACCAGGAGTTTTTTTGAATAGGAAATGGGGACGGGCCCTAAATCTAGAAAGTTTTTTTTTGGGGGGAAGTTGAACCCTGTATTTGTATTAGGTATTCAGAGACCTAGTATATCTGATTCTACCATTCATCGACCGCTCATAACTCAGCCTCCAGCGGCTGCAGAACATTCTCCGCGTAGGACTCGGCGTCCCTGGAAATCTCCTGTATGTTGATCCTGTTGGACAGCGCGTCATTCACGCCATCGATGACGTCCCTATCCTCCATCACCTCGTTCATAAGACGAACCTCATGGCTCCAGTAGGCGTGGCTGCGGGACCGTAGATCCTCGTCCCGTAGCGCTGTGTTCCTCATGATCCCAAGAGCATTCATCTTACTCTTCGCAGAGAGCAAGGTCCGGTTGACCTTCTCGACTCGCTCAGCAGGCGAGGGGGGTTGCGTGAACGCACGGTTCGTAGCGGACAGGTAGAGCACCCAGCCCAGGATCCCGTCCAGGAGAGCGAGGAAGACAAGCCGGTAGTTCCTCAGGGTCCAGAAGAACATGTCCAAGTCCCCAAGCCGGAGGGCCCGGGCGTTCCCCTGGTAGTTGTACGAGCTGACGATGGAGATCTCGACAACAGCGAGCAGGGCGGCGGCGATGGTGGCCAGGGTGCGCCACTGGATGCCGTATTTGCCTGTCCAGGTGGGGCTCGTGACGACGGCGATGGCGACGAGGTTGGCGAGGTGAGGCCAGAGGATGTCGGGGATGGCGTAGTAGAAGTAGCTCTTGGGCTCGTCCGAGGTGCAGAACGGGCACTCGGCCAGGACGCGGGGGCCGAACTGCAGGTAGAGCAGGCGGCTCTCCAGGTTGACGAACTTGCCCCTCAGGGCGAGGTCCTCCTCCGTCAGGGCATTGTTGGGGCGGGTGGCGGCGATGCGGTTGAACAGCACGTCGACGGGGATCTGGATGCGGCTCTCGGTTTTGGCGAAGAGGTTCTCGGGTGCGAAGTAGGGCAGCGTCTTGATGATGTACGTGCAACAGAGGCCGAACAAGACGGCCAAGGCAATCTGGACGGGTTGGGGGACACGCTGTATCGAAGCTCCGCCACGGCGAGAACTTTGGAATGATCGATACCAGCTGTAGGCCTTGGGTAGCAAGATGGGACCGAAGAAGATGAGTAGCGAACGGATACTAAAGCCCAACTTGTTAATGGGTGTCCTCCAGTCAGAGCTATGATCAGGGCACAGTACTTACTTTTCCCACGAGAGACCCATGATGCCGAATATTGTAGAGTTTGGCGTTGCTCGTGGAAAGGACACGAGATGCGAAACTCAAGATATTCTCATTCAATCCAAGGGAGAGTCAAGTGTTCGCCCTCGTCAAGGCTGAAGCACTGGAGGGTGCAAGGTGGCGTCTGCTGGGCAAGGCTGCGAATGACGGAATGGTGCACAGCAAGGTGGGTCCCGCCCTGGACACTCAGTGTGGGGAAAGTAACGGCGTCTATTTCAAGGAGCCAAAAAATTCCTTTCACATTTACCTTTCTTCCTCAAAAATATCTTCACACTCATCCCTTCTTTCCACAACCGGAGTTGCACTCCTGTAGCCATGAGGCTCTTGATAGCACATTATGAATACACTGTCTGCTTCCTTCTTCGCATTACAGCCCCCTTACTCAACCGTGATGTCCAATGCTTCCAATTGGCGCTTTCGAAGCTTTGGCGATCTTTTTCTCGATGGTCGTCAAAGTCAATAAGCCTGCCTAGAACGATCCCCAAGTACCCTGCCAAGGGTCATTCTCTGTCGTGTTACAAAGTCTCAGCGTGAGCAATGAGGAACTTTGCGTCAAAATTCTAAGAGATACATATCAACGTCAACGTAAAATGTAATTTTTCGATTTTTTTTCTTTACACAACACGTATGATCTATTGGGAACTTCGTAAAGGCATAATCATTCCCCTATGCACCCTCTATTTCTCCTTCTGGCTCTCAACAGGCTTTTCCTTCTTTGCACCCGACTTTTCCTTGGTCGTCGGGGCTGCCTGTGCAGCACTTGTGCTGTACACGAGGCCATAGATGCCCGTAATCAGGTCGCTGATGAGGGTCAGCAAGCCGGTGCAGGCAAGCTGCCACGAGGCGATGCTGACACTCCCGAGGGGCGCGCGAGGGAACGAGATGATCCATTCGGCGTAGTATGGGAACCAGCCATGAGGAAGCCAGAACATGGGCTCCGTGGCATACCAGAACGGAATGATGAACTGTGGCGCCTTTGTCAAGACCAGCCGAAGAGCGCTGAAGACGTTGTCGAACTTGGATCGGGAGCCCTCCAGGCTCTTCTCTGCAAAATTATATAGTCAGTATGATGTCGTTTGGTCCGTCTTCGAATTTTGCCTGCCACGTACTCTTGGCCTCAAGCTGCTCGAGCAACTTGTCGTGCTGTCGACGGAGCTTGGCCCATTTCGCAAACTGATCCTGGCTGCTGGTTGCGTTCAGCTCGGATCGTACTTTGAGGTAGTCGGCTTGTAGTTTCCGTTGCTCGGCCGCGGCCTTGGAGGTGGGAACCGGGAGGTAGTTTATCGCCGTCCAGAGCTGGTGTCCTGTGAGTAAGGTTTCCTAGTAGACCTAGTAGACAGATTGGCAAATGCACGTACGAATTCGTTGATCCTTGCGGCTCCGATGGCATTGATGAGGCGAACCGCCGCCTCGACAACGAAGACGACGAGAAGCAAGGGGGATGGCATGGTGGCGGGAGGTCCTGGCGAGGAAGAGCGTTGCCGTTCTGTAACACCTATGATGGTAATCTAGAAGAGCATGGAGTTGCAACAGATCTGTGCGGGCGATGTCATCATGCCAGCGGAGCCTAAACTGTGTCCCTTGTACGTGGTTACCCTAGACCTTGACAGCTCCATCAACCTAAATTTATTTTACTCAACTCCAATGTCCAGAGCATTGGATAGCAACGTAAAGGAGGCCTTGAAGCATGCTGATCATGGTAAGGTCTTTCGAGATATTGTCTCTGCTGTGAATCAGCGCTTTGAGAGCTTTCTTGAATTTGAGGTGCTGGGTCAGAGTCACCCATTGGAGCCTGGCATCTCTTACCTGCAAGACGAAAATGCAATCGCCATTCCGAAGTTATGCCTCGTGCAGGCATTTATCGTGGCTCGGGCAACACTGAATGGAGGCATCGGGATCGTCAAACCAGAGAATTTCCAGACAATACGAGACTGTACAGCGGTGACACTGCTTCTAGACCCCGAACATCTCACCGCAGCCAACCTCAGGAAGAAGGTGCTCGAGAAAGAGATCAGCACCAACACGGAAGAAGTTCAAAATTTACTGAAGGCTGAGAAGTACTTCGTTGACAGTCTTCTTACAAGCCGCCTACATAGACACACCAAGTCTCCAACCCTTTGGAACCACAGACGATGGATCATCGACCAGGCCAACAGCATAGGCCTACCCGGGGATATTGAGCAGGACCTCAAGGGTGTTGTGTTTGTATCAGGCGTTAGACATCCACGAAATTATTACGCGTGGTGTCATGCCCGGCTTTTGGTTGATATCGGAACTCCTGATAGAGATCTGCTCTCCAGACTGGTGACAGCAGCCGAGTCATGGTGTTTCAGCCACCACGACGACATCTCCGGTTGGGCATTTCTGCATTTCCTACTGGCGAAATGCCCAGAGCTTGCTCCGAAGACTGTGGACAAGACCCTGAAGTTGACGCAGTCATTCCAATGGAGGAATGAGTCCGTATGGTGCTTTCTCCGCGGTGTAGCTACGTTGGGGCCAGCAGACATCACCCAGCAAGTGGTCTCACACGCAGCCACCGGACTTAAGGCAAGCCAACGAGATGGTGACAAGGGGAAAAGTTTGGAGCAAGCTTTGTGGTGGCTACAAGCATATGGAGCGAAAGAATGATTACTCCGAATCTACAACGAATGGCAGGGGCATAGCGGCACCGGTTTTGTTTCTCGATTTGAGATGTCGACTGGTGGCAGAAGACATTGGAAACTAAAACAGCACCAACACCTTGTCTCTCCGGTTCAACCAGACAAGAACCAACAGCTTATATCGCTGGTGTTAGGCCAAATCGATCAGTGTCTGGTATCCTCAACTGTGTTTTCGAAGTTATACTGGGGATTATCTTGGGATCATGGGTAGGATATATTGAAAAATTTGGTGTTCTATGTGCGATTCTCTTGCGTACTCCGGTGCATTCTGTAGTATAATTTGCCATGGCCGAGTCAATCTGACCATCAAGGGACGGGTTTTGATAAGATGGAATGACGGTGCGTTAAAACGTAGCCCTTCCGGACCCTACCCGACTCCTCAATTCCAACACTGTCTTTGCCCCCCTGAATTAGCATATCTACGAGCTGGAGTAACTGATAAATGTCTCACGACGATCGATATGACCCCTGGAGGCTCAAGATTGTTCCTGAATCAAGCGCGAAATTTATGTCCTAGCTCCAGAGGATGAAGTGTGATCTGCAGACTAACACCCAATTAGTAGCTCCACTTGGTGGTGGTAGTTACTTTTTGGGTTCGACTCGCTTTGGAGTTCTGAGCCTGCAATTAAGATAAGTAATGTGATTAACCGCGCCAAAAACGGTCTGAAACGTGATCACCGCATTTTCAGTATGCACATATTTTCGAATTGTGGTACTCGGATACTGATCTACGTAGCTCCGCGCATGCCGAGATGGTCTCGCAGCAGCCCTTCCACAGACGGGAGAAGAAATATGAGGGTTGTCAGAATGTACGGGCGAACTGATTCTGATACAGAATTGGCCAACGACGAGTTTCTCCAAATTGCCACCGTTCTGACCCGTGAGCGCCCAGATAAACGGCGTTGCAGATGGCGTTCTTGATTGGCGATTCGGAAGAAGGTTGGAGGCAGACGTCCGTGCTATCCAGGGGCTGAAATCCATGGAGCTAGACTAAGGCCCTTTGCGAGCATTCCCCATGATCCTACTTTCCCATTAGGGCCAATGGCAGCTGCCCTGGCGCGCAGGGGTGCACGGAATGGTTCTTCTTCGCCATGTTGCGCGTTGGCGCTAGGGCCTTGGAACGAAAACGCACCATGACTGATCTGTAAGATCTCAATTTATGTTTCGACACTAGGAGAGATGAGCGAGCCACGGCATGATGGAGGCTCAAGTCGCTACGGTAATGAGGACGGCTAGCGACCTAGTTCGATATACCGCCGCTGGCGTATATGATGTGCACGGCAATTTCGATCCGCAGCCAAGGCCTGTGTGTGTGTGGTCGCACTCGAGCAGGTGGTCCGGTGACAACGGTAAGTAAGCATGGCCTGTGCGGCAGAAGCAGGTGTCGGTCCAGGGTTGTGCTCGCTGCGGGCGATGGCGGACAGGCCACAAGCAGTCATGTTCTGGCACACGGCCGTCCAGGACTGGCATCGCCGGCATCATATCGGGCGAGAGTATGCACCTTGTAAGATTAATATGCAGATAGCTGGTATGGGCCCTGGAGCTTCCCCTCCTAGACCTTGCAGCTCGGCCCCCTAAACGGCGCGCTACCATGGCCTTGTGCACCCAATTGCCTGCAGCAACAGTCATGATCAGTGGAGCGTGGCCGAGCCTGGTCTGGCGCGGCAGGGTCCTGGTCGCTGGCGCCGCTGTAGCTGCAGCTGTGAAGCCTGGGGAATGGGGGCTAGCAGCAGCTACAGCGTCCGTGGTGGTGCCTCAGATAGGCAGGCTCATCACGTTCTGCTGCTCAGCGGGCGGCTGCGCTTGGCAAATTTGCTCTTGCCCGGGACTAATTTGTCCAGTCGGCTGTCGAGGGAGGCCCAACAAAGCTCGTACCTGCTCCGAATCCCAATTGTGGGTATTGGATCATCGGTCGACATCCTCCAGGCTGTGGGGATGACTTACATACAAATGTACATTTCCGCCACCTCGCTACACCCTCCTCGCTCACCTACCTATTCCAGCCTCCCTTCTCCTCCCTTCCCCTCCCTCTCCTCTTTGTCGGCTTAATATCATCTGCCGCCTTGCCGTCTGGTTCAGTTCAGTTCTTGCTTTCTTTCGTTGCAAGTGCTTCTCTCGATCCATTTTTGATTTGCCCGGGATAGAAGCTGAGATCCAATCCCAATTCGTCTCGTGTATGCCGAGTCTGTCTGTCTGCTTGTTTATTTCGTTATTCTTCGCCAGTGGCGCCTCTCATCGCGATCGTTGTCTTAGATATTCCCCTGCGTCTGTCTTGTGTGTTTTCGACAATTGTCCCATCCAGCATTTGTGTGATTTTTTCCGTCATCAATCGCAATCATCCAATCTCATCGGCTGTGCCCAGAGATGCTCGTTTCATTTTCCTAATATCTAATATTTAATAAGAGCGCGGTACCCGACAATATCAGGTACTCGACTCTGCTCAGCCCATCATGCGCCCAACAATCGTCCTCACCCAGCTGGCATTATGCGCCTCGCCAGCATTAGCTTTCTATCCATGGATGCCGAAATGGCTCGCGGAATTGGAGAGCAAGAGAGGCCTTGATGACTCAAGACCCAATGGTGTAAGCAGCTTAAGGAAGTTTGGCATAAAGCAACGTGGAAAAGGGGTATGTTTATTCATATTGAAAAGTCGTGCTCGACCTCATCCAGGAACTAATTTCTTGCAGATTACAAGCCCAACACCCGAAAGATTATCCCGAGAAGTAACTCGCTTAGCAGAGAAATATGCTGGTCGGCAGGCCGATGGCATGGACGAGGCCTCCTTGGCCTTGAGAACAAACAACTATAACGTTATGGTCGCCAAAGAATCCGGGAAGGACATGACCACGGGGATCGACCAAGATGGTACGGACTACTCTTACTTCATAGGCGCAAACTTCGGATCAGGCGGCAAGGAGCTGTACTTGCTCCTCGATACCGGGGCTGGTTCAAGTTGGGTTATGGGAACCGATTGTACCTCAAAGGCGTGCGCCCTACACAACTCCTTTGGTTCCAAAGACTCTAGCTCTCTCACGGATAGCGGCAAGGACTTTTCGATAACCTATGGTTCCGGAAAAGTCAAGGGAAAGATCGTAACCGACAAAATTAGCGTGGCGAGGATGAACTTGACCTATGAGTTTGGCATTGCCTCAGAAACATCCGACGACTTTGTCAACTTTGCCTTCGACGGAATCCTGGGTCTCTCCAGGAACAACGGTGCCAATCAAAACTTTCTCAGCGCAATCAAGACGTCTGGACAGATTAAGGAATCAATCTTTGGGGTTTCTCTTCACCGCGCGTCCGACGGAGACAACGAGGGCGAAATCAGCTTTGGAGGGCCTGACAGTGACAAGTACACTGGTGACATCACATATACCTCGACGGTCCAAGGAAAAACCGACTGGGCTATTCAGATCGATGCTATGTCTTATGATGGGAAGAAGGCCGGCGTTGGTGGAATTCCTGCTTACATCGATACCGGAACCACTTATATGTTTGGTCCAAAGGACGTGGTCAAGAAGCTTCACGATACGATTCCCGGGTCCGAGTCCTCTGATGGAACGTCATTCAGAGTTCCCTGCGACAGCAAGGACTTGTCGTTTACCTTTTCGGGTGTCGACTATACCGTCTCTGCCAAGGATTGGGTATCCCCTCAAAACAATGCTGGAAAATGCACGAGCAACCTCTATGGCCAAGAGGTTGTCAAGGGGGCCTTCCTGCTCGGTGCATCATTCATAAAGAACGTCTATGTTGTATTTGATGCCGAGAAAGGACAAATTGGTATGTACACATCCTTTGACAGAAAGAAGGCGTTTTACTGACAAAGTTGCAGGTTTAGCTAAAAAATCTTCCGAGAAGTCTGGTAGTCTATCAGTGACTTCTACCGCTACATCATCCTCGGCTACGGCAACAGCCACAAACAACGGCAACAGCCAGGCCACCACCGTCTCAACTGCAACGCAGACCAGCTCAGGATCTGAAGCATCCAGCACAAAGGGTGCTGATGCGGACAGCGCAGCAGACCAACCAGGCTCATCGTCTCGATTTTTCAGCAACGCTGGGCTTACATTGGCTGTCAGTGCCGTGACTTTGTTCACTTTGTTGGTCTAGACATCCTAGGTCGAAGGTGTTTCACAGAATAGCAACGAGAGATGTTGCTACTCATTGTATTAGCTGTTAGTGGGAGTGGAGGACGGAATACGACGAAAATGATACCCGCTTGCTTGATAAATAACATCGAGCAACAATTCATATGCGAAACAAACCGCATTTATTTAGTTTAGATAGTAATACATGATAGACGCCCAAGAGGGCGGCATGAAGTTTCTCACAAAAAAGCCTGCAGTTTTTTGAGAGTTGTCCATGATATATGTTTCGATGACCGGTAAGCCTGAAACTAAAACTTGCACCACGATAGGTCTATGAGTAGTATCTTTTTAGTGTTTTGGCTATTGCCACGATATATCTTTTTGAGAAGCCTTCAATCTGATGTCTAGTACCTTTTCGTCATTGCATAACTCATCTTCCCCCTCCTGGAGAATACGAGCCATGATGCCATGATCAACTGTGGGATGTGGCTCCCTTCAGTGTTGGTTGATTACCTCATGCATGCGAGTTCTCGGGGATTTACTGCTTGCCGATGAGAATATGATTGGCTCAATTCCAACATGGTGAAGGATCAGAATAAAAATCTTTAATATCCACCAGGAAGAAGGGGTATGTTGTCCTTATTTTTGGGGGCCAACTGTATTACGATGTTGGAGCACGGACATCGTAGTCGCGGGAGGTAATATTCATGGATCATACTATGAAATGGTGCCGCCACTAGCCGCCCGAGGCTTACAGCTGTAGCGAAAGTACTTCTTGTGGCATCTTACTTCATTGTAGATGGATGTACCAAGGCATCTCCTCGCAAGCAGTAATTAAGTTAGGTTTCACCTCGAGGCAAATGCACCTGACGTAAATACATGATGTGACGAAATTAGCGGGAGACTCGAGAATAGGAGGCATCTAGGGAGCAGGAAAGATATGTGCCGGCAATGGGCCGTGACCCGCTGGCGCGCTGTCCACTAAAGAGACTGCTGTACCTGTCCCCTACGTGCATGTAATGTAATGGATGGATGCATTTCAGGGCATCTCCACCATTGCTTCAGAACTTCGAACATCACAGCTGTTCGTCTCCCGCGCTTACCCCCGTATCACCACATCTCTCACTACCACGCAACGCATCGCCCCTTTTGACGCCTGGGTGGATACGGGAGACCCAGGCTTTCGAAAATGCTCTGCTCTTCATCTCACTCTCAACCACAATGACCCAGGTCCGAATGGATGGCGAGGCGAACTCCCATGGCGAAGGCAGGGGCCTTTTGGCCGGCGATGACGACTACGATGATCTCGGAACGCACCACGAAGACAAGGCGCCCAACGCCGACGAGCCGCTACCTACCCCGAGATCAGCCAACCGAGTGCGCTTCGATTTGACCCCGGAGGTTGTGGGCTACAGCAATGACTCCAGCGGCAGGCTGTCCATGTCCTCGGAGCGGGAGCGCTTCAGCATGGACGACGATTCCGAGCGGCTGAGCAGCGACTCGCATCACCGCGTGCCGCTGCTGGGCGAGATGGAGGCGCCCAGCGTCACGGTTGCGAACTCGCTGCGCGGAGACCCGGACACGGACGAGTTGCAAGACGAGATGCGGCGCCCCAAATCCTCCCTGCCGTCGGCCTTCATGAACATGGCCAACTCCATCATTGGGGCTGGCATCATCGGCCAGCCTTACGCCATGCGCCAGGCCGGTCTGCTTTCCGGCACGCTGCTGCTCATCGGCCTCTCGGTGCTGATTGACTGGACCATCTGCCTGATCGTCATCAACAGCAAGCTCAGCGGTACGAGCAACTTCCAGGGCACGGTCGAGTACTGTTTCGGGAAGCCTGGACTCATCGCCATCAGTGTCGCCCAGTGGGTCTTCGCCTTTGGCGGCATGGTGGCTTTTGGCGTCATTGTTGGCGACACGATTCCGCATGTTCTGCTTGCCATCTGGCCGAACCTGCCGAGCATCCCAGTGCTTGGTCTGCTGGCGAACCGGAAAGTCGCCATCACTGTGTTCTGTATGGGCATCAGCTTCCCGCTGACCCTCTATCGGGATATTTCCAAGGTAAGAGAAGGGTCCTGGGTTTTATGTGCTATACTTGGCCATTGGCTTGGGTTCTCCGGCGCGAAGGGCATTCTATGGCTGACCGGCTGGCGTAGTTGGCGAAAGCGAGCACACTTGCTCTCATTGGCATGCTCACCATTGTCGTGACTGTCCTCGTTCAAGGGATACTGACACCCAGCTCAGAACGTGGAAAATTCACTCTCCCTGATCTGACTATCAATGGTGGCATCTTCCAAGCCATCGGCGTTATTTCCTTTGGTTGGTAATCCCTATAATTGACTTGCCCGTGCAGAGCTAGTACTGACGTTGCTCCCCCTGTTGATAGCATTCGTATGCCACCATAACTCACTCCTGATCTACGGCTCCCTCAAAACCCCTACGATCGATAGATTCTCTCGAGTAACCCACTACTCGGTCGGCATCTCGACACTCATGTGCCTCGTATTAGCACTGTCAGGATTCCTCGTGTTCGGTGACAAGACGCAAGGAAACGTGTTGAACAATTTCCCGTCAGACAACACAATGGTCAACGTTGCGCGACTGTGCTTTGGACTCAACATGTTGACGACCCTCCCGCTCGAGGCTTTCGTGTGCCGTGAGGTTATGGAGACATATTTCTACCCAAATGCGCCTTTCAGCCTCACTCGTCATGTTGTTTTCAGCACTGGTCTCGTGGCATCCGCCACTTTCTTCAGCTTATTGACTTGTGACCTTGGAGCTGTGTTTGAATTAGTTGGCGCAACGAGCGCTGTGGCCATGGCGTACGTGATGCCTCCCATGTGTTATATCAAGCTCACTCAGAGGAGCTGGAAGACATATTTATCGTATGGCGTTCTTGTTTTTGGAATAGCCGTGATGGTGATCAGCATCATCCAGGCGGTGCACAAAATGTTCGATGGTAAGCTACCCGCCCAGCCCTTCGCTTTGAGAAACAGGATAGTCATACTCACACCTCCCTCTTAGGTCACCATCATGCGGCAAAGTGCCCAAGCTGATGCGTTCATGGCTATCTGTTTTATATTGGCAATATCCGTCGTTCGCCAAACGACTCACACTTGCAATCTTTCGCGGCCGTACTTTACTGCTATTTCTTGCTTATCCTACAGAGAGTTGCTGGCTCACATCTTCCATCTTGGATACATGTTGTATGATATCTGCTTAGACTGGCCGGCGTTTTGCAGCTCACAAAACCTACCTAATTGGTCTGGCTGTACTTGGAGCCGAGGGCATATGAAAAGGCGTTAATGTTTTCTATTACTGACAGAGTAGTACCATATATACTAAGATATATATTATATACGTTACTTGCAGCTGCTATCTGGAGTCCAAGTACGAGTGATATAAACCTATCAGTGTCGGAGACAAGCAGACCACTTATCACTCGGTTGCCAGAGCTGGCTCTGCCCTTTGGCTTCCTTAAACCCTGCTCCGCCTTTGCCCACTACCCACAACTATTCCACTTACTTACCTGGATAGGCCTCAAGACTCCGAACCTCTGAAGCGCGAGAACCTTGTGATTGGCCAGTTGCGCCTGGCATCATCCATACCGACAATCAACAACCCCAAGCGGCGTGGGACACCGCAGAAGATCATGGGCATTGGCGGACATGACGACGTCCAAGACCAATGAGACGAGCTGCCCTCCCCGGCGCTCGAGGCTCCAGCCGGAATGTAACCCACGAGGGCGGCAGGTTGGTCAGTAGGTCACTCCACGCCCATCACTCCACGTCCCCCTCCCCTTCCCACTGTCAGCCTGATCATGACAGAGGTCATGCAGACGGGTGGCTACCCAGAGACACGTCTCGCAAGACTACTCGTAGGGCTGCCATGAAACCGACGACTCCCGGCCCGGTACCTGCTGGAGACCTTCCACACCGTCGGCCGTGAGGCAAGGAACACCCGCGCCCGCCTGATGTTGCTCCCCTGGTGGGAAAACCAAAACTTCACCACTCACGAGGGGAGGGGCATTCGGGGGATGACCTGCTAAGCCCCCGCTTTAAGAGGACCCTGATTTTGTCTATATTTGTCCCTCCTTCCCCCCTCTTCTCTGGCAACTCTCCTCTCCAAAACCCAATCCCATCTCTCATTTTACAAATCAACATCTTACAAAACAGAAAGCCTTCCTCCTCCACAACCCCAAAAACCAAAACACATCCAAAACAATGGGTCACTCTACTTGCCCCAAGTGCAGCTCCGCCATCGCCGGCGAGGAGAAGACCTGCGGCAGCTGCGGCGCTGTGAGTTAGAACCTACATACATACATACATACCTCCCACCTCCCACCACCCCTCTTTTCTGCCCCTCCCCTCCCCTCAACCTGCACCTTTCTCCAGCCCTGTCCGCTTTCTGAGAGGACGGGTATACCGCTTCCGATCTTTTTCTCTTCATGCGAGATTACACTGGTTACTGACCTGATGTGGCTGTTTCGTGCCTTATAGACCTGCCCCAACTAAGAGGCATCTACATGCATCCCACCACCCTTTGGTCTTGGGGGGCAATAAGGAAGATGGACAGAGCGGGGTTTGATTTATCCGAAACGGAGAGGGAGAGAGCATGGTACTTGGACGGAGTGGAAAGCATCGGGATAGCGTTTCGTGCAGGTGTCGGTTCGGCGTGTTAGTCACGTTCTAGACGTCTGGGCTCAGTAGTTTTCGGGGACGGCGTTGCAAATCAGCTACGCGGTTGGAATGAGGATAATCCAAGCCATGTTGAATCCGTCCCCCCCTCCCCTCCCCTTATCAGAGTGACACTAACAGCCCATTTTGTTACTGCTCTTCTGCCTGTCCTACCGCCCTGCGTGAAAGAAGTTCGGAGGGGTTGGTTATTGCCTGGAACCATGAGCAGAGGTCGATCCCGCCTCGTCGATGACGTAGCCTGACTCAGAAGCGGAATATGGCGAGAGCCGCGGTTGGCCAGCGAACTAGCAGCTGGGCAGGGCCACCAAGTCACATGGCTATCTATCACTGGTGCTAGGTCCTAGGTGATTATGGGCGCCTCGTTCGGGGAATATGCAGTCCTATCAACAGATAGACTTTCTTGGGTCCCGAGGGGGAAAGCACGGCCTGTCACTTGGGGGGGGGAAAGGCGCCTATCCGCCTCGCCGTTTCTCCTGAGGTGTGGCATGGGCCCACGAAAGGTATAGGTAGCCCAGGGCGTAGAAGCGTCGATCGCCACCGAGGCTTGATCCGTCTCCTGGCCTGGCCTGAGGGGGGGACGGACGACCAAGGGAACAACTAAATGAACTGGAACAAACTCTACTGTAAGAAACTGTCAGATCATTTGGGAAAGGACTTGTTCGTTGAGGTGCAAGGCAGCCAAGGCGGGTTCTCGCGTATCCAGCCCATTGCACGCTGTATGCCTATTCCGGCTGTAGGTAGTCAATGCTGGACGCCGATCAGGCCGACTGGCACATGCGAGCCATGTGTTATGACACTCACACCGCAACGCTGGTACATTGAGTCTACTGTCTACTCATCTATGACACGGGCTGGGATTTACAGTTGCCGTTCCATCGTGACGGGATGGGACGAGACAAGGCCGTTGTCAAAAAAATAATGAGAGTTAGCTAGATAAGAAAACCCCACACAATATGTGCCCTCTCCATGGTCTACTTAAAAAGAATACGAAGAAACTTAAATCGACGAAATGACAAGTCCAGACTGCGAGAGCACTTGAAAAAATAACAAAACGAGAAAAATTTATCACGGAGCCGACCCCGATCTCTCAAGTCAGGCCAACCTCAAGTGTGGTCATGACACGACCTCAAAACTTCACCAATCTCCCCTGATCCGTTCCACCCTCGCACGAAGAGCAGCAATTTGTCCTAGAAAGCAGGCCCTCTCTCGTTCTCCCCCTTACGCACATCGCAGATACTTTAAAAAACAAGACCCGCTTGCTTGTTGAACTTGTCAAGAAGCCGCAGGCTAGCACTAGAGCTCCCAGTCCCGAACCCCAAAATGATATGTAGATGACGACCCTCGTAGGAGCCGTCGATTAGGTAGCAAATCGCCCTGTCAACCAGAAATAAGAAGAAGCTTGACATGTGCGAAGCGGTGTCCGACCCGAAGTTCCAGAACCCTATGTAAACAGCAGCTCGCGCGAGTAAGGCCGTAACTGGACCCGTGTATTATCTGAACAGTTGTGGCCCAATTCGACGTTGAGATACAAGATAACGGATCAGAGAAGCTAGGTCGAGCCGGGTATTAACAGGCGGCGCGGCTGCTCAAGATGGCTGATGGTGCATTTAGAGAACAAGGCACTTCTTGTGGCTCTTGCCGGGCTTACCGCCACGTGCCATGAGAGCGGCACGGGTGGCGTGCTCGAAGACTTCGCGGACACCATCGTTGCTCTTGGCAGAGCACTCGAGGTACTTGTAGGCCATGATCTTCTTACGGACCTCCTCACCCTGGACAGAAAACACCGTTAGTCACCGGCTGGTACGCGTAGACGATGCATGGTCCGTCCCATGACCTGGATGGATGCTGCATCGGGTCTGTGACTCAAGTGGGATTGGAACTTACCTCCTCGGGGGAGACGGGCTTTTGGCTGGTCTTGCGGAGCTCCTCAATGGTCTTCTGGTCGTATCGCAAATCCTTCTTGCAGCCGACGAGGATGATGGGCAGGCCCTGGCAGAAGTGCAGAACCTCAGAGATCCACTGTGGAATTCAATCATGGTCAGTCAAGAGTGCGTTTCCGAGGCTTGCCAGCCAGTGGCGCGCGGTGGACGTACCTTCTCCTGAACGTTGTCGAGAGAGTCAGGGGAGTCAACAGCGAAGCAGATCAGGATAACGTGAGAATCGGGGTAGGACAGAGGGCGGAGACGGTCGTAATCTTCCTGACCAGCCGTATCCCATAGGGCCAGCTCGACGTGCTTGCCATCAACCTCGACATCGGCTACATAGTTCTCAAAGACGGTGGGGACGTAGACCTGTGATCGATTGTAAGCAAAAGGCTCCCAGCGTGACAAAGTCGGTGGGCATGTGAAAGGCGGAATCGATGGAATCTGATGCCAGCGGCAATCATGAAGCTGGAGGTGGTGCAATTTTTGCCATCAAATCGGCGTGGTGTTCACGTTGTGTCGTGGCACGGGAGAATAGGCGGTGCAGATGGGGATAGGAGTCGGTCGCAAGTGCGTGGCCTGAAAAGGGAGAGTTCAGCGGAGCTTACCTCAGGGAAGGTTCCCTTGGAGAAGACACTTGGAAAAATGTTAGCAAACTGTATTCTGCATGCGAGATGGATTCTGGAGATCGAGCGGGAGTGGTGAAGATGGATTGATGGATGAATGGTTGGATGAACGGATGGCTGGTGAGGCGGGTTGGATAGCAAAACAGGACAGCTTCACTCACATCAACAAGCAGGTTTTGCCGCAGGCACCGTCGCCAACAATGACAAGCTTCCGGCGGATCTCGGCCATGGTGTCTGTGTGTGTGTGATGGATTGGAAAAGGATTTGACAAGCGGATGGCAGTTGAGAGACGGTGGAGATGCAGTTGTTGAGATCTGGAGACCGAATGCAGCGGCAGTGGTGATGACGGGACGGGGAATGAATGGAGGAGGGTTTGGCTCAGAAGGGGGTTTTGAGGAAGAGCCTGGCGCAGGCTGAGAGCTGAGTTGCTGGGTCGCCCGTAGAGGGGGGATGGTGTTTGGTTGGTGGATGGCGGCCTGAAATGGCCTTCTGCCTCCACTGAGGCTCGGCAACCACTCGCCCAAAGGCTCGCTGCTGGCCTCCGCTGCAGTGCTGGGGAACAGGCTGGAGGCAGGGTAAGATGAACCGATGATGACAGCGCAGGCAGGTACCGCTGCTATGCCACCACCACCAAGGGGGTACCTTTACTTCGCCCCAGCGCCATCCGTGGGTCCTAGTGTGTTTTTTCCTTTGCCCGCCTGGCCTCCTGGCTAATGTTGTCATGTGGGGGGGTTTGTACGCCCCTGGCCGCTGGCATCTGCTCTAGGCCTCCGGCGCCAGGCATGATCGCAAGCTTCCTCCCAGTCCTATGGGCATTCCCGTGTGTGACTATTACGCCGAATTACAGGCTTCCGCGGACGAAACCAGTCCTCTCCATGTGCACGAATAAGACGGTAGGAATAGGGACTTGCAGCTTGGTTCCCCACGGCGCCGGGGCCCCATGGCCACTGAAGGCGGCGCAGGTAGCTTATCAGCCATTGCTCTCAATGCACGACCAAGGCCAGCAAGTTATGGCCATCAACCAACTACACAAACCTTGCACAAGCCACCACTGTTTCAGCTCCTCCTTGTCCAGTGCGTTTTATCGCCGTTCACCAGTCACTACGGTTGCATCCGTACTGTTGTCCCCCTCCCAATGACAACCATGTCTGTCCGGAACGAGAGGTTGCCGCTGGATTATGCCACCGCCCAGGTAATTACCATATGAATGAAGGATTGCCAGTTGATTAGTTCTGCACAAGCACCGTAAACCAATCCCGTCACGCCCTCACTATTTATCCTCCCATGGCCCGGAAGTCCCCGTCGAAAGTCCTGCCTTAGTTCCGAAGTGTCTCTCCTCCGACTTCAAGTGCCTGAGCTGAGGTCTGGCTCCCGACAAACCGTCAATGCGAGCGGTGCCAAGATATGGCCAGGAAGAAACAAAGACACGGCAATTGAGGGCGTGGCTGCACGGTTACGCTGAATTCCCTTTTGGCCTTAGATGCGACATGTTTGTGACCGAGATCATACAGGTCACACGACCGTATGCAATCGGCTCGTTTCATTGGACAACTCTCAGGCTTGCACGCTGCGGTTATGCGTCCCTGTCCTGTCGAATGTACTGTGATTTGTGACGTCCCTATGCTTTGGCGGGTAGGACTTTTGTACAAGGTGGCGGTGGTCTAGGACTTGGTCGGATTACGTACGCCTGGCCGTGGCTAATGCGCACCCAGCGACAACGCCAACAACAATCAACGGATACGAGCATCAGCAACTCAAGAAGACCCATGCACCGGCCTAGCAGGTACGTGTGTAACTACAGATCATCATTAGGGGCTTACACGTGGTCGAAATGATTTCTTTGTCAGAATTGCAACAACCTGGCTTCGCATAATGTCGCCCTTCGATATTTGCCGAAGTATCTTGCACGTCCTGCCTGTTATTCAAGGCACCTTACCTCCCAGGGCGATACGGAAACACGTTGCCGTCAAATCTCAGGTCAGTGCAGGTACGCGTCCTCTTAGAGTAGTCTGATCTCGCTCTCGTATCTCCCTAGTCCTCGGCTTCTCCCCATAATTAAATAGGAATATCACAGCCAAGGCCCTACTGATAAGCCCCAATGACGCACGCATACACCCGTCTTTGAGAGCCGTGTTTGTCCTGCAATGTACGTAGACGTTTTAGACGGGATGTGGAGTGTGGCAGCCACACAGTGCATCAGGACAGTATCGGAATCGTTTCCACACTATTCACTGCACCACCAACGATCGTGCGGCATGTTCCGCGTGGAGAATTTTGAGTAGGGAAAATTGGATGTGGAATATCCCAAACCGTCACCGCAACGACCCTCAAACCAACCAGTCATTGGTGCGACTGCCACAGCCTTGCGTCCGGGATAGCGAGGTCAATCGGTCTCAATTGGTTTTCAATTCGGACCCGACGATGCAGAAGCTTCTCAAGAGGACGGCTCAGGCCCAGCGCCAGGCAGGGCGCCGGGCCAAGAAGATAAACAGGAGAGATGAATTCGATACGAGAAGACGAAACAACCAGTACCTGAAGATGGCCAACGACGAGATCCGACAGAACCTGAAAGATTCGCGCCGGGCGAGGAAAGAAGACTGGGAGATGGGTCCCCTGGCCCCGAAACGAGACCTCGGCTTCAATGGCTATGGAACGTTCAGGGAGAACTTGCGGCAGGACTGGACCAACAACGGCATGAATCCTATCGATCCCAAGGTTCTGGAGCAGCGCTGTGCTTGGGCTGGAGGCGTGAAGCAACTCTGTCTCGCTCCTCAAGATCGTGTGGTCATTCTGGAGGGCCCCGACAAGGGCAAGGTGGACCGCATTCAGAGTGTTAACAAGCTGAACGGTTCCGTGACGTTAGAAAACCACCACAAGGTGAGCCGATACGCAGAATAACCTGCAGGTATGGAGCTCTTGCTGACTTGTTCTAGGCCCTCTTTCAAACCTGGCTTGACGGCAAGCATCATGCCCAGGCAATGCCAATATCAGTTGGTTCCATTCGCCTGGTATACCCAATCACCAATCCTAAGACCGGAATTACCAAGGATACGATAATCAACGAAATCAAACCAATTCCCGCAAACATGGAGTCGGACAGCATGTCGCTGGATCGTTGGGAGTATGGAAACAAGTGGGATCGTCTTGTGCTCGGCATCAACGTCTCTATCCCCTGGCCAGAGGTCCAGGCCCCCAAGTTCGACACATACGACATAGACACAACTCGAGACAAGGTCGAGACCCGAACATTCTTTTACAACCTACTCTCACCTCCAATGCCCAACGTAATCATTGACGAGCTCCGAAACAAGTACTCTAAGTTCCGAACTCGCCACGACCCAGAGTACATTGCGATGAAGGAGTTGCAAGAACGGATGAAGAAGGGCAACCCGGCTGTTCTCAAGTCTATGCAGACCCCTCTGGAGGAGTTCCACGAGAAGCAGAGAGAACTCAAGGAGGCCCGAGGCGAGCCTGAGCTTTCTGAACACATGTTGACGAAGCTGGGTGAGATCATTGCCAAGACCAAGGCCACGTCTTTGGAAGATGCGGGCATCACCCCACTTCCTACCGAGCCAGCAGAGAAGACTACCGAGAAGACCGTTGATGCTCCTTGATCGACCCCATAGTGTCTGGTGTAGGACCTAGGGTGATGCTTGGATGAAGCAGATATCGTATAGTGAAGAGCTAAAATGTAATATTAGCATCTGTGCAATAGTGTACATCATACACAGAATGAGTGCCCGAGAAACGCACTTTATTTTGGACATAACGTTTATCATCTTCATGAGGGCAGCTAATGGACGTGGATATGAAGCAATTACGTTTGATTACGACACAGTACAGAAATACGTGCAAGAGACCTGACTTATTACTGAAACCTGTGCGGTCTTGTGTAGGACGTAGCAGAACAATACAGCAGATCCTGACCTACCTCCAGCACGAGTCCACAACGGTGAATTTCCGACATCTCTCACTTTGCTCTTTTCCCTCCGAGCTCTTCACAAGCAGCGGAGCACATCCAACTCACAAGCCAGGGGGAACCTGGATATTCGCTTTCCAGCACCAGGGTTTGCTTTGCGGTGCGCTTGAAGTTCCACCTTGGGCAAGTAGTGATTACGATAACACAGCATTCTGGGGGCTGAAAAAGACAGGGTATATTGGTCTTCCGTCCATGACAAATTGCTGAACACCGCCTAGATTACCCATGCTAAGCAAAGAGAGAAGGCCAGAGTGAGAACTTAGGTGAGCCTCGATCAACCGCTCGCTGACACACGGTGGTAGGCTCCGATGAGCCTCCTACTGCCACGTTTAATAAGCGTCAGCAATATATTCCCAATGAGGTGGTAAGTTTGGCTGAGGGGCGCCTGAGGTAGCATGGGGAAAGGTGCGGACACTCAGGGTAGCTGGGGGCCTGGTCTGGGGTTTGGAAGTGTGGGTGATGGGTATCGGATTGCCCATCCTGGCCGTGGATAGGTCACGCAGGCTCTTCCCTTTTTTTGACGACCGAAGGATCGTAGACAGATCCGGGGAATGGGTTCTCTGGAGCCAATTTGAGTCCTCGGCAAGTATACGAGGAGGGGAAGAGAAGTGGTAGTTTGTTTTACAGTTTGTTGACAGGTTAGTAGCTGGGTGATACAACTCTGCCTACCCCGGGAGAGGTAGATACATTACTGGTATATCGAGCTCCTACCCCCGATATGGTAGTAGACATACGGGGCAGCCTACCGCCGGTCTTCAACCCGAAAGGCGGGTACAGTTGAGCTTGGTTATATGTCTAGCCTTACTCTTGGACCGGGTAGTGGTGTAGTAGGTTGGTCTGGGACCGGGAATAAAGATACCACTGCTTTCTAGATACCTCAATTGACTGCGGATGAGCTTGTTTCTTATCAAATCATGCTTGTTGTCGTAGTCTGCATATTCGGCATCGAACCAACCATCATTGACCCATTCGACTACAGGGTGGTTGGGTGTTTAAGGTGAGTCGGCAGCATGTCGGTCTATGAACTTGCAGTATTGTCAGGGCAGGCCGCAGGTGAGCGATATCTACTGCCAGAATAGGTAGGCCGAAGCTGGCAGTCAAAGAAGAGACTCACCGGGCCTGTCGACGCGCCCAGGCCTACATCGCAGCAGCACTTCAAGGAAGATATCCGGTGGCGGGGGCCTTTCCCGTGGGGTGAAACGTGGTACGGCCAATGGGCCTCTGCCTATTCGCACCGAACGCCGATCTTGGGGTCTTACACGCCTTCTTTCTCGGCGCCATACCCAAGCCAACCCATGCCATGTAACACTGTGATTCTTCTTATCATTCCACACAGTGCAGGATAACAGAACTAGCAGAGAGGTGTTTGGAGAAACCTTCAGGGATGTGAGAATCATGGATCAGATGGCCCATTAGCTTTTCCTGCCAATGAGGACAACAGGGAGAGGTTCCCCTCCTTTGAGGGCGATCACTACAAAAGCATAGGTGCCCCTTCGTACGGTGGGGGGTTCTTCGTCGCTGTTTTATTCTACTTTGCCGACGGCACTATCTTTGGATCAGATCGTCTACGATGGACTCAAAGGACGAGAGGAATCTTCCTGTTATCAAGGACACCGAATTGGGTGGTTCTGAAGAAACAGCCCGAGTGGTAGATCATGTCGCAGAGAGAAAGCTATGTCGAAAGTTTGACGTGCGGTTGATGCCGGTCCTGGCAATCATGTGTAAGTCGCTGATGGAAAGGTCATTCTGCACCTCATGTGCTCACGATTATCACAGATCTCTTCAATGCCCTCGACAAAGGCAACTTGGGCAATGCGGAATCAGCAGGCCTGAGCAAAAGTATGTTAGACCGCCTCTACCCAACGTTTCTCTTAGACACGCTGACATCTCCGAAGACCTCAACTTCGCACCGAACCAGTACAACTTGCTGATCTCGATTTTCTTCGTGCCATATGTTGTCTTCGCTCCGCCGGTCGCCATTCTGGGCAAACGCTTCGGCCCTGCTCGCGTGCTGCCAATCCTCATGTTCATTTTCGGATCCATGACTCTCTTATCCGCAGCAGCCAACAACTTCGGGGGCCTCTTCGCTCTGCGCTTCTTCCTGGGCGCGGCCGAGTCTGGATTCTTTCCATTGGTCATCTACTATCTGACGACGTTTTATCGTCGAGGAGAACTGGCTCGCCGGCTTGCGCTGTTCTACGCAGCCTCCAATATTGCCAACGCTTTTGTAAGTCAGCAGACGAAATAATAACTTTAATTTTTTGCATCTGTCGCATCAGGGTTAACAATAGTGCAGAGTGGTCTCTTGTCCTTCGGCGTTTTCCAGATCAAGTCCAGCCTTCTCCCATGGCGGTACCTCTTCATCATCGAGGGTGCCTGCTCAGTCCTCTTCTCGTTCTTCACATACTGGTATCTCCCCCTCAGCGCCTCAGAGGCCAAGTTCCTCAATGATGAGGAGAAGGCGCTCGCCTTCCACCGTATCCAGGTCGATTCCTCATCCGTCGTGTCTGAAGACTTCAACCTACGGGACTCGCTAAAAATCTTCACCTACCCATCCACATACGGGTTCCTGATGATCGAAATCTGCCTCGGTGTCCCCATCCAGTCCGTGGCACTCTTCATGCCCCAGATCATCTCACGCCTGGGCTACAGCGTCGTCAAGACGAACCTGTACACCGTGGCGCCCAACGTCGGCGGTGCCGTGATGCTCCTCATCCTCGCCTTCAGCTCCGACTTCCTCCGCCTGCGCTTCCCCTTCATCATGCTCGGCTTCACCCTCACCTTCATCGGCTTCATCATCTACGCCGCCATCCAGGACGTCCACGCGCAGCTCCAGCTCGCCTACTACGCCTGCTTCATGATGGTCTGGGGCACCTCGGCGCCCTCCGTCATCCTGTCGACATGGTACAACAACAACGTCGCGCACGAGGGCCGCCGCGTCGTCCTCACGTCCGTCGGCGTGCCCCTCGCCAACGTCATGGGCCTCGTCTCCAGCAACATCTTCCGCGAGAAGGAGAAGCCCAAGTACGAGACGGCCCTCATCACGACGGCCTCCTTTGGGGCGGCGGGGTGCCTGATCGCAGGTTGCCTGGGGGCCTACATGGTCTTCGACAACTATCGGAGGAACCGCAGGGATGGGAAGAAGACGACTGCTGCCGATGTGCCGACGCACCGGTTGAGGGAGGGACCCAGTGCCCCCGAGTTTCGGTGGTTCTTGTAGGTTGGTGGAGATGGCACGAGCTCAGGAGGTTATCTCGTTATGTGGGGATACGCATATATAATCTGGAGTCCGACAACCATTGCCTCGGGAGAAGTTCATTTCTTTCACTGCATATCCTTTAGACCAACAGGAGTTGTTGGTAATAAGGCGAGTAATTTTCGTTTATCTATGTGGAGTAATTGTATGATGAAGTGATAATACGTGTACCTGGTATGAGTTATGGAGCCCCGGTAGCATCCATCATGGGACTCGCAACGAGGAGCACAGTTTGACGCTGGTTTTCCGAGGGGGACTCTGTCATGTAATTACTCACCGAGAAACTAAGTAGAAGCATTAGCGAGGAGACATCTCTTACCGCTGGAAAAGTCATGCACAGCAGGGCTGGGGAAGGGCAACCGGGTTTCCTAATTTGATTCATCTCGTCTACGACGATGATATTCATGACACATCTCCAGGGGTTAGTTCTCGGGAAAACAGAAACCCATGTACCAGCAATTTAGCCATCCAACAACGCAGGGCATTCCCCGCATCCAAAATCATAGGCAGCCCATCCTCGTATCTTCTTGCTCGCCCTTCTCAAGCGCGCGGGCAGGGACGAGTTAGTACGCACTGTGCGGACTGCTACGTTACCTTACCTTCTCCTCTTGTAGAAAGCGAGCCGTCAAGCGCATTATCCCTAGCTCGAGCTGTCAGTGTGGCATCCAATGTCGCATGTCCCGGCCGCCGTCTCACCCCCGCAGCAGCGACAGCTTGCCTGCCTAACTCGGCATCCCATGATTGGAGGTCCGCTGGTCGGCTCGTCGAGGAGAAAGCGAAGATAAGGGAATGATCTGCACTGGGCGAATCTGCCCCGACCGAGTGGAAACCAAGATGGAGCTCGTCTCAGCCCACTACACACAGCTGGGAGCTTTTGGCGTGTGAAAGGGCGCAGAAGCGCTCCCGAGCTCGGCATGTAACCAGATGTGGGCGCCGTTGCTTTTGATACATTTTCATAAACGACGTGCATCCGCCAACATCTACTCACTCCCCCTCTAATTCAGCGAGCTTAAAAAGTATCTACCTTCGGTCTCTGTTCTTGCTTCCCATCTTACTTACCATCTGGTCTTGGTTTACAAGGGGAATTGCAACTACGCCCCATACTACAGCAGCTATGGCCTGGTCGTATTCTCCCCAGGTCGGTGACCGGCTTGAAAGCTTGGATACACCCTCCATGATCGTCGATCTGGATCTCATGGAGGAAAACATTAAAAAACTCATGGACAAGCTCCTACCGACGGGACGCAACATCCGACCCCACCTCAAGACCACCAAAAGTGCCGTTCTGGCTCACAGGCTCAACGCCGCCGGTGCCAAAGGCGGCTGCGTGGCCAAGCTCAGCGAAGCCGAAGCCATCACACAAGCTGGGTTCGAAGACCTCCTCATCACATGCGAGATCATTGGAGCCCCCAAGGTGAAGCGGCTGGTGCAGCTGTACAAGAAGCACAGGAACATTAGGATTGTCATTGACAGCCACGAGGGTGCCACGGCCATTCACGAAGCGCTGTCACAGGAGCCCGATCTTGCCAACGACCCCATCGACGTGCTGGTGGACCTGGACGTCGGACTGCACCGCACAGGCGTCGCCCCCGGCGAGCCTGCGCTGGCATTGGCACGGCACATTGGCAGTCTGAAGAGCCTGCGCCTGATCGGTGTGCAGGGATACGAGGGCCACCTGCAGCACCTCCACGATCGGGAGGACCGAAAGAAGCAGTGCCTGGAGTCGATGAAGACGTTGACGGAGACGGCAGATGCGTTCCGGCAGGCCGGTTTCGACATCCAGGTCGTCACGACGGGCGGCACGGGCACGGCCGAGTTCTGTGCGACGGTCCCGGGGGTGACGGAGCTGCAGCCGGGGTCGTTCATCTTCATGGACACGGACTACCGGAATGCCGTGGGCACATTCTACTCCAACAGCCTGACGATCCTGTCGACGGTGGTGAGTAAGCAGGGCGAGCAGCAGGTCACGATCGACAGCGGGCTCAAGTCGTTGACGACGGACAGCGGGTTGGCAGAGTGCAAGGACCCGCGATACACATACGGGGTCCTCGGTGACGAGCACGGTTCTCTCAATTGGGAGGAGGGCACTCCATCATTGAAGGTCGGCGATCGGGTTGAGATGATCCCAAGCCACATCGACCCCACGATCAACCTGCACGATGTCTACTACGCCCACCGCAAGGGCGTCATCGAGGAGATCTGGAAGGTTGATTCGAGAGGAAAAGTACAATAAGAGGATGGATAGCTTCAAGACTTGGGCAACGCTATCCTCGATGCCGCTTAACCAACACGGCAGCTGGATGGGAAGGATCCACAAGCATGCCGGTTGTGTCGGTTGTTTTCTAGCAGCTCTGGTCCCTCTATCTAATCTAATCGTGGGGAACTGCCAAGGGACCTATCACGCCTAATGCTTTTGATTCTCTGTACGTCACATTTTCTCAGCTATTTCGCGATAGATAAGGTGAGATATGTGCGTGCCTATTACCGGTAGATCCTCCTTCCCACGCAAAAAAAAAGATGTCTCTCCTTGCGTGTGTCTTAGCTTCCTTTCCGTCAGCGTGCCCCTCCTTTGACTCCCCGCACTCTCCTTCACCGACAGGCATCACTTGATCTCCGGCAAGCTCCAGAGCTTCATTGTAGTCAAACAGCATCTGAATAATACCCTCCAACTCAGAAAATACCCATTGGGCTCAACTCATATTTGCAATGTCTCATTCCCATTCTCACGAGGGCGGCGCCTCGCACTCCCATGATAGCAGTGGCTTCAACGCCCAGGAACATGGCCACTCACACGAGATCCTCGACGGCCCCGGCACCTACCTGGGCCGCGAGATGCCCATCATCGAAGGCCGCACCTGGTCAGACCGAGCATTCACCATTGGAATTGGCGGGTTCGTTTCCCCAAGCTAGCCAAGTAGAACCAGTAAACCTAACAGCAAATCCCACAGACCCGTCGGTTCCGGCAAGACGGCTCTCATGCTCGCTCTCTGCCTAGCCCTCCGCTCCAAGTACAACCTCGCCGCTGTGACCAACGACATCTTCACCCGCGAGGACGCCGAGTTCCTCACCCGCAACCGGGCCCTGCCCCCGAACCGCATCCGCGCCATCGAGACGGGCGGCTGCCCCCACGCCGCCGTGCGCGAGGACATCTCCGCCAACCTGGCTGCCCTCGAGGACCTGCACCGCGAGTTCGGCACCGACCTGCTCCTCATCGAGTCCGGCGGCGACAACCTCGCCGCCAACTATAGCCGCGAGCTCGCGGATTTCATCATCTATGTCATTGATGTCAGTGGCGGCGACAAGGTTCCCCGAAAGGGCGGGCCGGGAATCACCCAGAGCGACTTGCTCGTTGTCAACAAGACCGATCTCGCTGAGGCTGTGGGAGCTGATCTGAAGGTCATGGAGCGGGATGCGAGAAAGATGCGTGAGGGTGGCCCGACAGTGTTTGCACAGGTGAAGAAGGGTGTGGGTGTGGACCACATTGTGAATCTTATTACGAGCGCCTGGAAGGCGAGCGGTGCGGAAGAGGAGAGGAAGACCCAGGGAGGGCCCAAGCCCACCGAGGGGATTGAGAACCTGTGAGCGATGAAAAAGGAAAAGATAGTACGACAAGTTCATAAAACTGGCGCGCGGGTTAAAGAAAACAAATAGGTACTAAAAAGGGAATATATTCTATTGTTCTGCCCAGCCTATAAGCCTATCTCGCCGGGACGTTCGTGTCATATGATTGTATATGAAAATGAGAGTCATGATCCTGTATCGTGTCGTAACAAATCGTCTTTTTTTTTTTTTTACCCATCCATCATCGTATCTCCATCCTGGTTCTGTTGCCCGTTGTCCTCGATTTCTAATAACGGCCCCCGCACTGGGGTCGCATTGCGAGGCCAGACCCTCTTGTACATGCTCACACCCACGGAATCTTGAGGGTTGATGTGTCCGTCGAATGTGGCCTTGAAGTATCCGTGGGTTCCCAGGGGCTCCTTGACGAATCCGCTCCTGCCGCGCTTGGTCCAGAGAGGGAGGGCCTTGAACCACTCCACGTCCTCTCGGTTGAAGAACATGTATCGTATCGTGACGATCCTCTTGTGGATGTGGTAGGGATGGCCCGTGAGGATGATGCGCTTGGCGACAACTCTTGACGTTGAAGCTGGCAGGGCAGTTCCCGTACCGACCAGAGTCAGGCCGAGGTTGGCTTCTTCTTGCTCGGTGGAGGCAGCAGCCTCTTCGGGAGATGTCTTCTTGAAGAAGAGCACGGGGACTGGGCCCCACGTCACAGGTCCCAGGAAAGTAGCGATGGCGGATTGGCCCGGGTGCAGGTACCTGCAGTACTTGTGCACATCGTTGGGCGTGTTGCCCGGCTGGGAGAAAAGGGGCTTCACAACCATGCGGCGGGGACCGCATTGGACGATCAGATCCTCCTTGGCCTTGATGGACTTGGAGTAGTCGCTGCTCAAGTTGATGAGATAGTTGACAGAGGTCTTCTTCTGCTCGTGCCGTAACAAGGAAAACAGGGTGACGGGTGAGCTGGGCTTGTAAGTCTTCTCGAGCTCAGGACCGATGCCCCTGATGTAGATGTGAACTCGGGTTCCAGGCTCGACGCCACCGACGAGGGCTTCTCGCGTCGCTCTTGAGCGAGAAGAAGAGTAGTCTGGGATCTGTAGCAGCTTCCTCCAGTCTTCGGGCTCGTGAGCACGGTCCTCATCCTCCTGCCATTCACTCGTTCGCAGACTTTTCAGTCCTCTGTACCGGGCCAACCGCTCTCTGGCAAGAACGTTGGGGTGAAGCTCGATCTCGTCGGGGAATTCCTTGTCATCTTCTGCCTCATCCCGCTTCCTTGAACGGAACTGGAGGAGCTGCTCGGCATTCGCCGCATCATCAAGTTCTTCCATCATCTCAGATTGGGGGTACTCGGAAGGACCAGCTTCCGTGGGCTCTGGGCCAGCGAACCCCTCGATGCCGTCTTCAGGAGCCGCTTCATCCTCCTCTTCCTCGTCGTCCTTCATTTCCAAGTCTTCCAGGTCTGAGCCGGAGTCTGAAAGGTCCTCAAGGTACCAGGCAGACTGGTACTTGGAAGTTCCCTTTGGCACACGCTTCTTGACCCGTTGCTCCTCTTCCTCGCCCTCTGAAAAGTAGTGGTGGTCATCTAACAACACTCCCTTCTTCTGAGAAGTCATGGTCGACATAGCATCATCATCCTCGGCGTCCATCATGACGTCCTCTGGGGCAAGTTCGTTCAGGTCATCCAAGTCCTCGGTAGGCTGCTCGAGGACCTTCTCCTCAGTATCAGCCTCGGCACTGTCATCTCCCTTCTTCTTTCCCTGCTTTGGCAGGGGAGCTGCCACGATCTTCTCAATCTGGAAAGCGCCCCAATCACCAACTTGGACCAGCCGGTCCGCCTTGAGGCCTCTACCCCTCACCACACCGGTGATGATGGTGGGGTCTGAAACGCCGTGTGCAAACTGAACAGACTCCGCCAACATCCAACTTCGCTCATCCCTCCACCTTACGCCCTTGGGGGTAGTGCTGCACAGGGATCGCATGAGGTTGGCGCATTCCTGTCGGTTGTCGAGACTGTAGAGCTTCTCCTGCTCAGGGTGAAAATGAGTGATGAAGGACTTGAGAGAACCCAAGACTCCCGGCCTCTGCTTGGCGGGCTGGACCTTATCGAGATCCTGGACGACAGTGAAGAGAGTGGACATTCCCTGGCTCTCCACGCCTCGCAGGATCAATTCACCCAATTGATCGACCTCGACGGTGGCTGACAGCACAACGAGGACGAAGTCGGCAACTCTCGCAGCATCCAGGCAGGCGCTCAGGTCTCTCTGAAGGGGAACATATTGAATCTTCTGCTTGAAGCGATCGACTGTGACTCGGAAGTTGTTGTCCTGAACATCGGCCTCGATGTCCACACTGGCGTTCAATTGCTTGGCAACAGCCTTTGCGTCGCTGTTGGAGCAGAGAGGCAGAACGGCCACAATTCTGGGTGCGCCGTCGCGTCCTGTGAAGATCTGGGTTTCTTTCAAATGGTCCTTGTGCTTGGTGAGGCGGGCCTGCTTGGCCTGGTTGCGGCGATCGAGTTTGGACATGACTTGTTGGTGGGGGGTTTTTCGTAGACCACGCTCGTTGGGGACTCGACCTAATATGCACATATTCAATTAGAAATTTTCTTCATTGATTGGTACCAAAGAAGCCTTTGCCGACCAACCTTTAGCACGGTCGCGCAGCTCATGCTTGGAAGCCGCCTTGGATTTGAAAGGCTTATGGGTGACCTTGGTCGTGGGCCTATGCGAGTGAGCTACGACGGCAGGCATTTTGCCTTCACCTCCAGCTTTGAAACGGAAAGGTAGAGAAGCCAGTTTTGTTCGAGAAAAAGCCAGAAACAGAGGCGACGTAGTCTTTCCCTAGATCTGTATTTTTGAACCAAAAAATTCTCTCTTTCGACAAACACTTGCGAAAGAGGGTGGCCTGGTGTGAGATAGCCAAAGCGGTGATGGTGGGGTTATGGTTATCTACAAATTTTTGTGTGCGAGCGCTATCGATAACGAAAGTGGATTCTTTCAACAGCCACTCAGCGTCGCTCGATAAGACCGTCATTTGCATGGCTTGGAAATTTTGTCGGCAGGCTGGACGCAGATCAAGTTCTCATAACGACCCTATCGGCTTCACCAAGGCGCATTCCACCATTGCGTAGAGCGCAAGACCTGGATTGGGAACTCACGAAAAGGCACCATGGATGTCAAAATATTAGAAAAGCCCTCGGGCATTTCTCGCATTTTCAACAACGACAGCGCTACAAACAATGGCGCCGTTGTGGTCGCGTCTCGCACCGATCTCGCCTCGAACAAGCAGGAGCGTGAGAGAGTCCGTCGTCTGAGAGAGGCGAATAAGTCTTATGGGCGCGGGAGGAGGGTCAACACCAAAGACATCAAGGACAAGAAGCTGCGGCGGAACCTGAAGACCCTCAATTCTAAGAACGAGAACGCCATTCTCAAAGCCAAGGATGCCGAGATCCTGCTTGAGAATACCGGAGGATTCCTCGAACCCGAGCACGAGCTCGAGCGCACATACAAGGTCCGCCAAGATGAAATCGTAAACGACATAGCCCTCGAGACCGCGAAGAAGCGATTCGAGCTGAAGTTGGATGCGCTGGGCCCCTACGTCTTCGATTACTCGAGGAATGGACGAGAGTTGCTGTTGGGAGGTCGCAAAGGCCATGTTGCCGCTATGGATTGGAGAGAAGGAAAGTTGACCTGTGAGGTACAACTCGGAGAAACAGTTCGGGACGTCAAGTGGCTACACAACAACCAGTACTTTGCGGCTTCTCAGAAGAAGAACGTGTACATCTATGATCGCAATGGTGTTGAGCTGCATTGCTTGAAGAGACACCAGGAAGTCACACACATGGAATTCCTACCCTATCACTTCCTATTGGGTACCATTGTAAGTTTCTTGTGTCTTTCGCGACAGGAGGACACCTCCAACTAACATTTCTAGGGTACCACCGGAGTTCTTAAATACCAAGATGTATCGACAGGTCAGCTTGTGGCCGAAGTGCCTACAAAGCTTGGTCAGCCCGTCTCCCTCGGACAGAATCCATACAACGCCATTCTCAACGTTGGTCACCAGAACGGAGCCGTCACTCTTTGGTCGCCAAACTCTCAAGAGCCCCTGGTAAAGCTGTTAGCTCACAGGGGCCCTGTTAGGTCGTTAGCGATGGACAGAGAAGGACGATACATGGTTTCTACAGGACAAGATATGAAGATGGCCGTCTGGGATATCCGGATGTTCAAGGAGGTCAACAGCTACTTCACACGCCAACCTGCTACATCTGTAGCCATTTCAGATAGCGGGCTAACAGCTGTTGGATGGGGCACTCAAACATCTATATGGAAGGGCCTGTTCGACAAGAACGCCCCGGTCCAGCAGAAGGTGCAGAGCCCCTACATGTCCTGGGGCGGTGAAGGAAACCGCATGGAGCGCGTGAGATGGTGTCCGTTCGAAGATGTCCTAGGTATCGGTCACGAAACCGGCTTCTCCTCGATCATCGTTCCTGGTGCCGGAGAGGCCAACTTCGATGCTCTGGAAATCAACCCATTCGAGAACACCAAGCAGAGACAGGAAGCCGAAGTGAAGGGGCTGCTCAACAAGCTCCAGCCCGAGATGATTGCTCTAGACCCCAACTTCATCGGAAACCTGGACTTGAGGTCCGACAAGGAGAGGAGAGCAGAGAAGGACCTGGACGCGGCCGCGCCGGATATCGAGGAAGAAATCCGAAACCGGGCAAGAGGCAAGAACGGCGCGCTGAAGAAGTACCTGAGAAAGCAGAGGAGGAAGAACATCATCGACGAGAAGAGGCTCAAGATCGACGAGATCTGGAAGGAGCGGCAAAAGATGAACAACAAGAAGCGAGAGGAGCAGGAAGAGGATCTGGGACCGGCGTTGTCGAGATTTGCCAAAAGAGAATAGCAGCAAGTGATCTAGCATTAATGAGAATACCCATAGAGCCAATCCTCATTATAACGGCGTTGGTTTCTTTCTTTTCCTTACACGAAAAAAATGTACTGTATTTTATAGTCCTGCGTTTTGGATATGAAACCCTTGTATCCCATTCAATTTGCGCCGTTCCTGTCTAACCCGTTCTCAGATCAATGCTGCGATCAACGTAAACGCAACCTGTAAATGCCTTCATGTAACCCTCACCCCAAGTGTGTCTATAGCAGTTTAAGATGCCCCGTAATCTTGTCGACAACGCTCCTGGGCGCCGGCCCGACACCAAGCACGGTCATGCTCCCGGCCTCGATCTGCGTCCGCCCCGCGTCCTGGATCACCTCGGCGGTGACGCCCATGTTCCGCGCCGTGCGACGCAGCTCGAGGAGGTCGTCCTGCGACTTGATCTGCACGGCGATCTTGGTCTGGCCGTACCGCTCCCAGCGGGCGAGGGCCTTGCGCTTGGGTGAGTCGGCGGGGGCGCCGACCAGGTTCTTGTAGCAGGCGAGGGTGGCGTGGGAGCACTGCGCGGCGATTTTACCTGGTGGGAGGGAATGGGGATGTCAGCCACAAGAAGTGCGATTTTGTTGATCAGCGATTGGGGAGAGCCTCACCTTTGGTCATCCCGAGATCTGTTCGCACGACCAGGACGAGCTTGCACTCCTCCTTGGAGTCGTATATCGATTTCTCTCCGGAGGGGGCGGTGCTCAGGCCCTGCTTGCGGTCTGCGTTGAGGCCATTGGCCCAGTTGGGTGCGTGGTCGAGGATGGTGTCGGCCTCGTCGACGTCGCTCTCTTCGCTTTCGACTGGGTCGTTGTGGTAGGCGCGGCGCTCGGCGGCGAAGCTGGGAGGGATGAGGTAGCCCTGGATGGTCCAGACACCGAAGAGGAAGCCCGTGGCGAATGTCACCAGGGACGTTGTGAGGACGATGGCGAACTGCTTGCCGTCGTCGGAAGACATGGCGGCGGTGTGTGGGCGGCGGAGAAGGCGAGGAGAGGGATCCAAAAGTTGAATTGGAGGAACTGGCTAGAATGAAGAGAGTGCAAAAGACGGTTCAAATTGAAAGGTACAATCAAGCTCTTGATCTGTGTGCTCAAGCTAGGTTGAAGTTGCTGATTCATCATAAAAATTAGATCTACGTTGGCGCTCTAGGCAGTTAGATGCCGCGCTTGCGTCAGAGCCCAGCGGACTTGTGGAGGGGCTCAGGGCACGTTAGTGGAGGAGGGCATCGCTTATGAACCGATAGGCCTAGAACTCTAGAATGTGTTGATTATCTGATGAGAAGAAACCTCTCTTCTCGTCCTGTTGATTTTAATTTATTCCGATTCCACGTAATCGGTGGATATTCTCGTCATGGCGGCACCCAAGGCTCTGGTTGTCAGTATCTCAGGATGCTCTTCCAGCGGCAAGACAACCCTCGCACGACTTCTCCGTGACATCTTGCCCAGTACCTTCATCTTACACGAGGATGATTTCTACCGCCCTGAGAATGAGTACGACAAAACCTCCCTAGCACTACCCCGCTGATCGTTTAACTAATACGTGATACTCTATAGACTCCCTTCCAAGAATGGCCTTCTAGACTGGGACTGCGCAGGGGCGATAGATATCCCAGCCATGGCAGACTCCCTGGCCTATATCCGACAACATGCAGCTTTTCCCGTATGAAAGACTTCAATTGTGCCTTCCTTATTTTATCTTTCCGAAAATCCTCCTCGCTTACATCATTGTCAATTCCAGCCTACTCTAGATTCCAAGGAAGACCAGAACTCCGTGGGGAAATGCCCTGTCCCTGACTCTCAGGTTGCTGAGCTCAAGTCCAGAGTCGAATCCCACCTACCCTCAACCCATCCCCTCAACACCAAAGCACTTCAGCTATGTCTCTTAGATGGATTTCTGCTCTATCCCCCATCCATGGCACCCATCAAGCCTTTTCTTGACGTGAAGCTCTTCTTGCGCACTGAATACGCAAAGGCCAAGGCTCGTCGAGAAGCTCGGGATGGCTATGTGACCATCGAGGGCTTCTGGGCTGATCCTCCTGGTTACGTTGATGACATCGTGTGGCCCAACTACGTCGAGGAACACGCTTGGATGTTCAAGGATGGTAATGTCGAAGGGGATTACCGCCTAGATATCATCTCCAAGGAGGGTATCAAGGTCCCTACGGAGGCTGGAGTGGATGGAGACATGGGCAAGACACTGGAGTGGGCGGTCGACACGATTCTAAAGGAGCTCGAGAAACTAATCTAGCAGAGCGGATTATTTATTCATAAATCGTTCACTTTTCTTCCAGGTAGATCGCAGATAGACCGAAATGCCAGCTCCCAGCTGCAAACCCTACACTCCTTTTCCCCACCACAACCCAACATAGACCTTCAAAGACGGTCCGCTCCCCCAGATTACGCTATCGCTCCGGCTTCAGTCATAATCGTATCCTCGTCATGAGGCCAAGCCTTGACAGCCTCCGTAGCAGCGGCAGTCTTACTGTGCTCCCTGCTCACCGACCCATCAACTTCCGCCACAAGCCGCCCGCCAACATACAGCTTGCAAGAATACACATTATCGCCGTCTTTGTTTTCTTTAAATGCGGCCTCGTATTTGACCTTTTCCGTTCCAGCAAGCTTGCCAATCAACTCTTTGGGGTGCATAACCTCAACGTTGTCTCTCAGGAAGCGTTCAAGGTAGGTCAAAATTCCCAGCCGCTCCACGACCGCGGTACAGACCTCGATAGACCCAGAATCAACCCAGACGGCACCAATAAGAGCCTCTAAAATATCAGAAAAGAACTTTCGAGGTTGAACCCTGGCAAGCTCGGCCCAGGGATAGCGATCTGCAGTTTTGAAAAGCTGGATAATCTCCTCCCTGGAGTCTCGGTGCCTCTGGGCCACGGCCGCCTGCTCTAGTCCGATAACTGTCGATGAGTGTCTCATGAAATTCCACAGAGGTGTAATTCCCTCCTCGGGAACAAGCTCTAGATCCTCAGTAACCACGGTTTCCTCCTGGCGGATACCGTTCTCCATGGCGATAAAAGCGAGGAAGTCTCCGTTGACGAGTGTCGTTTTGAGTGTGTGCATTCGGTCATGCGGCAGGGGAGGATCTAGCGAAAATAACTTCGTAACGACGATCTTGTCTAAAACAGCATCCCCGAGGAATTCAAGTCTTTCCAAGGATCTCGAGCCATTAGCTATAACGTAGGAGGCATGGGTCATTGCCTCGACTAACAACGATTTCTTTTGGAAAGAGTAGCCCAGTATCTCTTCCAGCGTGGCGAAGGCTGGTATTTCCTTCACTATGTTGGGCTGGCTTTCATACAGCGATCTGCGCGCAACATCAACGGCAGGCCACTTCTCGTCGATAAAAAGGCATATGCACTGGCAGGCCTTGTCGATGCCGCCGTCATGGTATGATGCACCCATCAATGCTTCAACGACATCTGCCAGGACTTTGGTAGACAGAGTTCGTCCTTGGCTTTGATTCGCGACTTCGTCCTGGAGGAAGTCGGAACGATACAACGGGCGCCATTTTTGCCCGGTGAACGACTCCGTTAGGACGAATTTCGGGAGACCTTTTTGAAGTGCGGCTTTAGACAGCCTTGAGTTAGACACCAGTCGGTCTTTGAAAGCGGAAAGATAACCTTCTGGCCAGTCGGGATCTAGATGACTGGCGGTTAGTTGGTTCGTGACTTGGAGTACAATTCGTTTCCACTTACGAAGTGCGGAGACCTGGACCGCTGCACAGTATTTTAGAATCGAATCCCCGAGGAATTCCAGACGTTCATAATGAAGGGGTTCAAGAGCCGCCTTCGAGCTGATGGCTTCTCTGATCAAGTCAAGGTTTGAAAAAGCTAATGGTTTAAGCAGTGTGGCGGCCAAATGCTTGGTTGTCAATTGAACTTCAATCTCATGAATGATGGTGGGCAAAAGCATGCCGAATGTCGCATATTTTACCGGTATGGAGTCTACCGTCGCGCTGGGGTATGGAAGAACCCAAGGGTAGGGTTTCGTGGGTTCAGGGGCGTCCGACAGTAAGGGGTGAAGGAAATCCGCTCGCTTTGTCCAGCGGTCGAGAACCAAATATGGCACATCGGTCTCGGCCTCTTCGAATCCCTTAAATCTATGTTGGACTTCCTCTGTGGGCGGTTTCGAGGGAAGAGTAGAAAGGTAAAAAAACGGCATGCCTCCGGGATCTCGGATCAAGAACTCATGGTCCTTGATGGCCTTCCAATGGTCCTCAAGGTTTTCGGACCCAATCTGGTCGAGTTTGATGTCCATCTCTTTGACTACTGTCTTGATCACATTTGGTTCATCTCTAACTTCCCAACGATGTGCAAAGTTGAGGCTCAACAAGGTTGTCGTATGATCCGGCATCGAGGCCGCTTCCTCGTCTGAGATGAATCTCCCGGGCCTGGAATGAATCGTCCAAATTGCATTATAGGCGCGATAAATTCGGATCGGTCTGATTTGACTGAGCTGGACTGGCAGGATGATATCGTATTCTCCAAGGGAGTCGCCCTTGTCTGTGACACATGTGAAGGTATACGCCCACTTTCCCCCACATGCCTCCCAGGCACGAGCAACTTCCTTCCATGGGGTGAAGGAGGATTCAACATCCGCATGCGCGGCCCTTGTCTCAACACCAGGAATCTGCTCTCGGCTAAAGGGCAACAGATGTTCGCTTAGAAGACCAGCCTTGTATATAGCCAGATACGCTTCAAAAGCTGCGTCTTTTGTAGCGTTCTTCTCGGACTTCCAAGCGTTCTTGCTATGAGCAGTTCGTAAATCTGCAGGAAGGAACGGTGGAAGTAAAACCGTGGCGGTGAGGTCGCATCCCAACTCCTCGGAGCTGCGGTGCACGATGTAATCAGGCCGCGCATCAACGAACTCGCCTCTCGATAGGTTTCGGCAGAAGTGCTCCAAGTGCTGCTTCGCATTGTCGAAATCGAGCCGTGCATTGGTCGACTTAACGATGAAACACCCTTTATTCGACTCTTCTTGCGATTCAATCGTCTTCACTCTCTTGACTTGTCTTTCCTCATCCTGGCATTGGCGCTTCATTTCTTCCTCCGCATCCTCCCATTTAGTCACCACTTTGCTCGACTTTTCAAGAAAGAGAGTCAGGCGAGACTCTCGCATCCTTGCTCGTCCTCGACGTTGTATAAAGGATTTTATTGTGTCCAGTTGGTCGAAACAGATGACTAGGTTGCAGGCTGGCACGTCGATGCCTTCTTCTAAGACGCTTGTTGCGATAAGAAGATTGATTTTCCCCGAACGAAACTTTTGAAGAACTGAAAGGTCAATCTCGCTAAAGAAATCGTAGATGGTTCGCTTTTTATTCTGGTAACTGGAAGTTCCAACCACAGTTCCTATGCGATATTTGTGCGTAATATCTGCGTAGGTTCCGAGTAAGTCGCAAAGAATGGAAACAGTCGCTCTTTCCTTCACAAAAATAATGCCCACAGGCGATTCCTCTATTGAAAGAAGTTCCTTTACGAGCTTCTTGACCTTGACCGAAATATCTTCTGGTCTCGGTTGTTCACTAGGAGGTGCTACTTGGACTTTACCAAGTAGTTCCGTGATGTATTTTTTTTCTTCTTGGAGCCAGTCGTCGAAGTAATCATGAGATTCCTTGGCCTTAACTGTGTACTCTGCGATGACTCTGGAAAGGTAGTGGTCGGCTGCCCAGGGCCCAAGCTGAAGAGCAATTTCCAAGCTCCTGGCCAACAGTCTCCTGAACTGAGTTTGGGAATTGGTGTTGTTTTTCATCACGGCGTCTTCGAGCAACCGACGGTTCCTGTCAGTAGGGTTTGCAGCCAGCATTCTAACCCGAGGGTCCTCTTTGATATTCATTTGGGCGTACACATCCATCAAAGAGGCTATTGCGGACGTGTACACTTCCTCAACAGGCAAAGTATACTCGATATGAGAAATCTTTGGCCTGTTTACCCATTTTAGAAGCTCTTCTCGATGGATTGTTGGGGTGACACATCGAGAGTCCAGCGTCTCCTCAAGAAGTTCAAAGCCTTTTGTCTTTTTCGAGACAGCAGGGCTTGCTGTAAGCCCGAGAATTGACGGTATGGATTTCTTTTTGTCTTTTTGAGGGTGGTAGAAGTCTTTCATGATCTTCCCACCCGCACTATTACCTGAGCAATTGTGTGCTGAAAAAGTGGTTAGCCGGTTATCTTGACTGCATAATATCTGGAACAAGACCTGATACCAACCTTCGTCAAAAATAATCAGAGAAAGCCTGCTGATATCAAGATAGGCGTGCGAGAGAGCGTCGTAGAGGATCTGCGGAGTTGATACAACGACCCGGAAACTTTTCAAGACGCTTTTCCAGATCTTGGGAGACCATGCGTCTACATTATCCTGGCTTGTCAACATTTTCGTTGGATAAGAGGGAAACCGGAGTCGAATTATGTCGCATTGCTGCCCGCAGAGCAAAACAGTAGGGGCCAGAAACCATATAAGCTAGAACACTGTCAGCTTAAACGTCCTTTCAAGTTGTTACTCTCAGTGCTACTTTTTTCTGAGGCCCTCTTTCTAATTCGGCATTAATCCTTAGTAAAGCCCTGCCAATAGAATAATGTCAGCCAGGTTTTACTTGGGGTATAAAACCGTCAAGAGGTCAATCTTACACCTGTGTTTTCCCGCTTCCTGTATCCATCTATATCATGTTAGCAAGGCTCCAAAATATACCGCCATGGGCAACACTTACAGCAACAATGACATTCTCTTTCAAACTCCTCTGGAACATTTCTAACTGGTACGCTCTGGAGTCCATATTCTCGGTCGTATCCTCCTCGGCGTCGCCTTCTGGCTCTGGGCTGACCTCAAGCAGAGCTCCATTGTCGAAGCTCCGGTCCGAGGAATCATCATTTAAAGAGCCTTCTTCTGAGCCGGCCGAGGTGCTCGGACTGTACTTTGGGAGAGCCATTTGAGCAGTCCGAGAGGTGGATAGCGATGGCGTGTCGTCTGAGTCAGGCGCCATCTTCTTGACGTACGCACGTACACACCGAAATTGACTGCATGCGATCGTCGAAATCCTTGTTTGTGGGCGGGCAAGGCTTGCCAGCATTCAATATTGGCCGGTCCGACCACAAGGCTTGGACCGCAAAGTACCAAACACTAGTGGAAGGAGGAAAGCGTGCATTTCACCGGGACAAGTGGTCAATTGACGAAGAACTTGTCAACACTTGCGTGGAAGGCTCCAATACCCGTAGCCATGGTTTTATGGGGGTCTCGAGAGCTGCATGTGCGTAAGATACATTACACCGATGCAACCTGCAGGAGGGCGTCGCTAGATTTTAGTGTATGCACGGCACCTGTAGGGGGTAAACCACACTGATAGTTTGGTGAGTAATAGGCACACAAGAATTATTTGGAGGCAACCACAGCGCTTGACAACCATGAGTGAGAAAATGGAACCTAGAAATGAGTAAACTAGGAAATAACTCTATAGATAGTCCAATAAACATAATCCAACAAAAGCCAAAGTACCACCTTGCTTGGTAAAACTTGATTTAGTGGAAAGCAAGAACTGGTTAGGTTCAGGGTAGGGGACCTTTGGCGCGTATTAACCTTGCACTCATTCAACAGCCTTGTCTTTGGCAACATCCGATAAAAATCGTTGATTGCTGTTGGGTGGCAGATGACGGAGAATTCACCACATCTCTTGCATCAAAACTCGCCAACACGCCTTCTCCACATTTAGGCACCTGAAGAGAGAGAAGAGTGCAAAACCCCGGGACCGCCGCCCGGCTTACAAGTAGAGGAAGAATGAAAGTTTACGCAGCTGGCTTCAACGCATGGAACCAGCTGGAACTCGAAAGGGAACCCAGTACAGCGGAGCCAGAAGACATTTACACATTTAAAGAGATTATTGAAGGGAATGTCATCGAAACTCCGGTGAGCCGGTTAACATACACAATTGGTTCGTAACAGAGGCCCATCACCAAAGAGCACAGATAGCATCACGTTGCTTGGATTGTGTAAACAAATAACTGATTCTGTGTGTCAGTACGAATTGATGGCCGTTTTGTTGTAGCCGGACACGGGTTGCCCAACACTGCAGAAGATATTGGACTCGTCTACACCACGGCGGTCAACAGTATAGGCGAGATCCTTAGGGCCGAGCCAAGTCATAATAATGACAAGGAAGATCACACCGAGAGCTTCAGGTTTAGCCTTGTCAAGTACCGGTCCCTGGAGGCCTGTAAGGCTCACGACCCTGTCCAGTCTTGGCCATGCCGGCAGCCTGTGAAGCAAGTAGCTGCATTTGATGTCGGATTTGTCATTCTATACGCCGATGGCTCGGTTGCAACACTTGGAGACCCACGATATGAAGATTGTCTAGGCCGCGAGGTGGATGACGAAAAGTTAGTGCCCAATAATTTACTCGGAAGGTTGTCCCTTGATGTTGTTGTTGGAAGTGCTGACCGGGTACTAGTCCCGCTGACGCACCTTGCGGTGTTTCTGAACTGAATGATCTCGGCGAGCCAGTCCGGAAGGTTGCAGCTGGTGGGTACATGGTGACTGCATTAAGCACCTCCGGAGGACTATATGTCTGGGGTATGGCATCTGTCGGAGACCAAAACCAGTCCCGAGCCATCCCTGACATATGTGGTATCCCAAACTACGTTGAAGTGGATGGTGACGCCGACATCGAAGATGTTGCCGTTGGCACATCTCACGTAATTATATTGACAGGTGATGCAAGATTATTTGTCATAGGCGACAATAGGAATGGGCAACTTGGTTTAGGCATGGATGACGCAGCTTGCGTACAGTCGTGGACGAGACTTCACTTTAGTTCCCCTGACCTCTATTCTCCAGTCGGCGTGGCTGCTGGGCCAAGATCATCCTTCGTCGTAATGAGCGATCAAAGCAGGCGGGAGAGCTTGCCACAAGAAAAATGAGTTTGAGTTGTCAAAGTTGGCCCATTGAGTCGTTTATCACCCTCTATTTTACAAGATGACGGTTTGCTAACTAATTACCAGTGGGTTCCCATTCATCCATCAAATCATAGACTCGTTAGGTAGTCCTCAATTTCCTGAGGCGTCAGCTTTCTGAACCGGGGTCCCTGAGCCCCTTCAACACCCTCAATTCCCAGAAGATGGTCGGCAGGAGCGCCCACGATACCTGCAGATAGAAGATTAGCACTGCTCAGATCAGATAGAAAGGTGGAGGTGGTGGTTGGACAACATACCGATTTCGATCGAATCGCCGTTCATCTCACCCTCAATGTTGTCCTTTAGAGTGAGAAGAGCGATGTGAATGGCATCCTCAAGCTCCAACTCTTCCGAGTATCTCTTCTCCAGGAAAGTCTTAGCCTTGGTAGCGCTCTTGCCAATAGCAGTAGCCTTCCAAGGATAGTAGCTTCCTGATGGATCAACCTGGTACAACATAGGGCCTCCCTTGTGAATACCACCAGTCTTGCTGGACTTCTTTGTTCCGGAATCCTCAGTATCTTGGACCTCGCCCTCAACATCGGGCTCAATACCCTCATCCCAGCCAGCAACCAATAGACTGACACCGTATGGTCGAACACCCGCAGATTGGGTGGCCTCCTGCATGACCTTGGCTACATCCTGGACCAATATGCGGGTGGGAGGGTACTCGTTGTAGATTCGCTTGTAGCCGGTGTGGGAGACTTTGCGTGCGCGGTCAACCAATACTCGATAGTCAGGGCCCATGCCAGAGTAGACCATGCCGATGTTGGGCGTGATGCTGCTAATCTTCGACACTGTCTTTTGGTCGGCTAGAGGGGAGGATGACTTCTTCTCTGTGGCGAGCACGATGCCGTTGGTAGCTTGACGATGTTAGCTTGGAGGGCAGATCGCGGGGCTGCATGGGCCGCCTTACCTTTGATACCCAGAGCTGTGATACCCTGATTGACTGCATTCAAAGCATATTCTGGAAAGCAGCGTGTTAAATGATGATGCTTAAAAACAACCGCTAGACTCGAGCGCCGAGAAGTAAGAGGAATCCCTACCAATTTGCACCAGTTTACCACTGTGATATCATTAGCGTTTGAACTTCATCTACACCCGAAGGAACAAGCTGCTTACCTGGGCGAGAAAGTAGTCAGGGAGAAAGAATAGCGGTCCGCCATGTTGGGCCCTGTGATTCGAGCGTTCTGGTTGAGGTTGCTTGGGAGGGTTGGGCGGTTTCGCAGATGGTCGAGCTAGCTTCCGTCTCTGGAGTTTCGCCAACAGCTCGAGCTGTAGTAATACCTGCCGCACTTCACTGGGCAGGCACCCTTGGAGCTTCGCGTCACAGAACAGAGGGCGGTAGGTCGGCGCGGCATATAGATTATCCGAAGCCCGCACCTCCATGCCAGTCCCACATCTCACCAAGCTTTCCACCCAACTTTCCTTGGCTACTCGAAGCTTCCTCGCCATTACCCGATTAGCCCTGTTGGGACACATCACTTGGCTCCCACGGTGTCCTTTTCTAACCTCTACATCTCAAGGTACTCTTATCTGTAGGCGATCTCCCCCAGCACTTTCGTGCATACGATGTAGTGCCTATCTACTGGGCCCATGTAGGCGAGGTTTCATCACTTTAGGATTCCCCAGAAGCCGCCGGCTTCCACCAGCCCATCAGATTTTACCATCCCAAGCAAGCCTAGACACGCGCGTGCTCGACAACGTTGAGCTTCCAGCCTCTTCCATTATGGACGAACAACCCACTTGGGACTGGTCCTCGCTTCGAGATAGGGCTACCGCATGGACATCAGGTACCGATTCTGGTGCTGAAAGCGCGAACCAGACCGGACCATCGGGTTCACAAAGCCAATCCTCTCAACAGCCTCGCGATAACCCCAATGCGCGAAGATATGGCCCACGTTCATGTCGCATATGTCTAGACACGGAACAGCCAAAGTTTCCAACGGATACTACGACTACATTTGGCATCTCGCCAACTTCGTCTCGTCCAACATATGTCTCTGATGACCCCGAGTTAGGAAGACTCCTTTCCCCTTGCAAGTGCAAGGGCTCGCAGAAGTATGTTCACGAAGGATGCCTCAATGCCTGGCGATTGGCAAATCCAACCGCTACACGCAACTACTGGCAATGCCCCACGTGCAAATTTACGTACCGCATGTCCCGTTTGCACTGGGCCGCGATATTGAGTAGCAGGGTGGCCCAGATTGCCCTCACACTGTTCATTCTGGTTGTGAGCATCTTCATTCTAGGATTCATTGCTGATCCTCTTTTCGATTTGTGGTATGATCCTTTTGGCACCCTCACGGACACTGTTGCCGGCGTCATAAACGACATCGAAGCTCGGAATGAGCCGGCCTGGGAGCCGCCCGTCACTTGGGGCGAGCACTTTGCGAAGGGCTTCTTCTCGCTTGGTCTGGTGGGCTTCTTCAAGACCATGTTCGCCATGACACCATGGCAATGGTTTAACCTCCGCAATACCGGAGTGTTGGGGGGCACGGGGCGACGTCAGGGCACAGGCCGAGGTCGAGTTGAGAACATGAGTTGGTTTCTCATTCTCGTCGGAGCCATTACATTCCTCATGGGCATTTGGAAATTTGTGAAGCTGCTGAGTGCTCGAGTACTCAAAAATTTCAGTGACAAGGTTCTTGATATTAATAGTGATGATGACGATGGTGAGGACGAGGAGCCCGTCGCCAATGACCATCAGGGGGGCAAGACAGAGTAACGGCTCAATTCGAACCATACATGTTATAGTCCTTTTGGTTGAGTTTTCTTCGGATGCGTGCTTTGTTTGCCTTGCACACTCTTAAGTTGTCTCGAACTCGCTCTTCCGTGTCGAGCTAACTAGTCTGTGTGCATATATCAAAACTCTGCTCATGCCTTGAACTCTGACCGTTTTGGTCGGTTGTTCGCTGGAAGAGCACGAGGTTGTCAGTAATGTATTTGACCGGCTTGTCTTTCTGACGTGCTGTGTTTTCTTTGCTTCTTCTCAGTGCTCCCGAAGCCATTTTGATGAGCAGGCAGCTGTCTTATTCGCTGATACATAACACCTATAAACTCTTGTAGACATATGTATAAATCAAGCAATACAGAATTATAAATCGCTTTAGGAATCCTAGTCTCAGCTAATTCTCTTGTTAATATTTGCCCAAGACATTTCTCGCTGCTCAGCACTGAGGAATGTGTTGTTCGGGAATAGGTACTTACACATACACCAAAACTGTGGTGCCGAACCAGGTACCGACCGGAAGGATCTCTATCTCCACCCATCAAGAGCCGCCAAAATAAAAGGGCCAAGACCCACTATAGGTGCTGCCAAAGTGTTGCATTGGACGCTTTTGGTGCTGAGCTCATCATAGTACATCATTATATGGAAGCGACACTGTTAGCTTTCTCCTTTCCAGCTTCAGGTCTTGGGGACGGCCGCTGAAACTGTTCTGTGTGGGGGTTTATCACATAATTGCTTGCTCTCTGGAAGGCACAAACTTTGTTCAACTCATTGGGATCGCTTATTGCCAGCTGGTATCAAGGGCAACTTGGTGCGACTCTCCCCAGACAAACCGCCGAAACCTGCACCCTCGTCCGCGCAGCGCCTTTCGTCGCATCCTCGTCGCATACGGACAATCGAAGACTATTAGGCGGAGAATACTTAGCGACCAGTATTGTCTTCGAAGACGGCGCTGATTGCCCTAGCGGTCCAGCAAGATGCATTTCGCCTACCCCCCTCGCAAAAGCTCGAATCCCCCTCCCTTCAGACTACGGCCGTCGAATCTGCCGCTACGACGGCGACCCCGACTACGCACGGTGATAATTGTATTATTCACGTTTCTCTTCGGCATATTCCTCTTATCGCGGCGTGGAGGCGGACCAGACCCTTACCATGAGCATGAACCGACGGGAAACCCACCAGTGGTCATTGTGACGGTGGTTGATCCCTCGAAATTCAGTGGATCATACATAAAGTCCATAAAGGAGAATCGAGAACAATACGCCAGGAAGCATGGTACGAAAATGCGAACGCGGATTGCTCCTGGGCTGTAATGCTGACATACAATCCAGGTTACGAGACTCATATTCCAAACGTCGATGATTATGACTTGGTTAGCCATCACAAATCATGGTCCAAGATTATGGCAATGCGTCATGCGTTGACCAAATACCCCGATTGCAAGTTCATCTGGTATCTAGACCAGGATGCGTACATCATGGACCCAACCAAGTCTCTGACAAGCGACCTGCTGGACAGCAAGACCCTTGGGGGCCTGATGATCAAGGACTATCCCATTGTGCCACCCGATAGCATAATCAAGTCGTTCGCTCACCTCAAGAGCGATGACGCTCGTCTGGTTGTTAGCCAGGACAGGGATGGCTTAGTATCAAACAGCATTTTCCTCCGAAATGGCGACTGGGCCAAGTTCTTGACCGAGACCTGGCTGGATCCCCTCTATAGGTCGTATAATTTCCAAAAGGCCGAAAGGCACGCACTGGTAGGTCGCCTCTCCCCATTACGCACTCTGGAGCGGAAAACTAAGTGAATTGCCATAAAGGAACATATGGTTCAGTGGCACCCGACGATTCTATCCAAGATTGCTCTTATCCCACAACGACTTATAGCATCGTATACACGAGCCAATCTCGGCGCTGAATATAGGGAAGGCGACTTTGTCGTCATGTTCTACGGATGTACGGTAGACGGCGAGCGAAGTTGCGACAGTGAATCACAGCTGTACCGGCAGAAGTGGCAAACGGCATTCCAGGCATCATGATCATTTTCGGCGGATCCGGATACTTGACTACGATATTCGAAAAACAAAAGATGGAAACGGGTTCCTTATTTCTTACTTGGTTCTTTCTCCCCTGGACTGGCGTTTGATTGGTGTTGGTTGATAACACCCTACTGGTTGCGTGTAATAGATGCGGATCGACCCATTAGGCGGGTGCGAAGCGTGATGATATGATGAAAAAGGGACCACTACAGAAGCGGAGCTTTGGCATTTCATCGGGAATCTTGAACCACCCACAAGGTGTCAGTAGCTATACCCCCGGCCACTTACCGTTTTTAGGTGGATTTCCTAATACGGACTATTCGCGGGCTCTGTATTAGAAACTGGCGTTTGCTCCATAGATCGAGTTGACGGTGAGGTGGTGGTGGCTTTTGCGAGATACAAACAAATGTATGATGACTATATGTGGTTGAGCTTTGTTGGTGTGGATAGGCCTTTGAATATCATATTGTTTAATGCCTCACAAATCGCGATTGAACGGTTTCCCCTGGTCTGCTCTGTTGTCTTTGTCCAGGCTTCCCCAGATAACGTTTCATGGGGATCATGCGCCTGGCTCCTTCGCGGTTGACATTGGCTGGCTATTCAGAGCCAGGTGAGGGCTAGGACCTTTTGGAATACGTAACCAGTCTCATCCTATCCAGCGAGATGGGCAATTGAGTGTGTCAATCAAACTTAAGATGATTTGCCAAATACGAGTCGTCAGGAGCCCCCGTCTGGCTACTGACTGGGGTAGGTGGCCAATCCTCGGCTCCCCTTCAATTGGCAGGCGGCCGGATGCTCGCATGTGATGTGTGTTGATGGCTCGGACTCCGTACCGTAAATAATTGATTTGTCCCGAGTCACTGCTTTTTTGGTATTAGACCCGGCAATAATCAATAGTTGTCTGCATGTACCGACGTCAAGCAGCATCGAGGTCGCCGATTGCAGGCTCCACTGACACACGCTGCTGGAACAGCCCAAATCTCCAACTAGAGGCGGTCCCCCACCACCTAAATACCAGCACTGAGATCCTGCCTTGTCACCGCAGGCTTGCAACCGACAAGCACGAGAGCTTCACGCAACCACGCAACCATGCCGGGCAGCTCGCGGATGCCCATCAGCTTGCGGGCCAGCTTGGAGTCGGTGAAGAAGAGGAAGCCCAAGCTGACCCTGGATATGATCAATTTGGACCTGTGAGTATCCAATGCCGTCGCCGCTTGCGTTCGCTACATGGAGCTGCAGGCGGTCCCTATCGATGATGCATTGATGCAGCCATAGCTAACCACAGCAATCGTCGCAGGCTGCGCAACGTTGTGTTCATCTACTTCGCCCTGCGATGGATTCGAAAGGGCTACTGGAAGCTCAAGGGCCGCGGCATCATTGGCGCCATCCTCGAATTGTACTATAACACCCAACGCATCGCATACGGCATCTTCCTCCGCGCCCCCGGTGTGCGCGGAAAGGTACAGAAGCAAGTCAAGGAGTCGCTCGACAAGCTCTCCGACAAGCTCATCAAGGTGGACACGACGCGGCACCTGGTCCTCCCCAAGGAGGGCATCCCCCAGGACGTGATCCGCGTCGAACTGCAGGCGATGGCCGACATGGACCACACGAGATGGGAGGACGGATACGTCTCGGGTGCCGTCTACCACGGCGAGGACGAGCTGCTGAAGTTGCAGACGGAGGCGTACGGCAAGTTCACAGTTGCCAACCCGATCCACCCGGATGTCTTCCCGGGCGTGCGCAAGATGGAGGCCGAGGTCGTCAGCATGGTTCTCAACCTGTTCCATGCGCCCCCGGGAGCGGCGGGTGTGTCGACATCGGGAGGCACCGAGAGTATTCTCATGGCCTGCCTGGCAGCTCGACAGAAGGCGTACGTGGAGCGGGGAGTGACGGAGCCAGAGATGTAAGAGTTAACTGACACATGACGCTGCCATGACACGAGCGTTGATACTGTTCATCAACATATGCTGATCCATATGATTTTTTTTCTAGGATTATCCCTGAGACTGCACACACGGCGTTCCACAAAGCCAGCGAGTACTTCAAGATCAAGCTGCATCTGGTTGCGTGCCCAGCGCCAGCCTACCAAGTCGACGTCCGAGCTGTCTCGAGCCTAATCAACAGCAACACAGTCCTGCTCGTTGGGTCGGCGCCCAACTTCCCCCACGGCATCATCGACGACATCTCCGGCCTCTCCAGGCTTGCGCTGAGGAAGAAGCTCTGCCTGCACGTGGACTGCTGCCTTGGCTCTTTCCTCGTCCCCTTCCTTGAAAAAGCCGGCTTTGAGTCGGAATCGTTCGACTTCCGCCTGAAGGGGGTCACGAGCATCAGCTGCGACACCCACAAGTATGGATTCGCTCCCAAGGGCAACTCGACAGTTCTGTATCGCACCTCGCAGCTCAGGACGTACCAGTATTTCGTGTCACCAGACTGGTCAGGCGGTGTCTACGCCTCTCCCGGAATTGCTGGTTCGCGACCCGGTGCTCTTATCGCCGGTTGCTGGGCAAGTCTCATGTCGGTCGGCGAGGCTGGTTACATGGACGCCTGTGTCAAAATCGTCGGGACCGCCAAGAAGATTGCCGACGCTATCCGCGACACACCGGCGTTGGGCAGCGAGCTGGAGATTGTCGGCAAGCCCCTCGTGTCCGTCGTGTCCTTCACCGCTAGGAACCTAAACATCTACGACATCGCGGATGCCATGACAAACAAGGGCTGGCACTTGAACGCCCTGCAGAACCCACCGGCGATCCACGTCGCAGTTACCATGCCCATTGTCAAGGTCTGGGAGAAGCTGGTGTCGGACCTGGAGAGTGTCGTCGAGGCCGAGAGGGAGAAGGAGCGCGTCCGCCTTGTAGAGGGCAAGGGGCCCAAGGGCAAGGCCATGGGTGATTCTGCGGCTCTGTACGGCGTTGCAGGTTCATTGCCAAACAAGAGCGTTGTTGTGGACCTAGCCAACGGTTTCTTGGACATCCTGTACAAGGCATAAGCCTAACAACTAAGGTGGTACAAGGACGCCGTATGGTGTCAGCTCTGCACACCCTTCAGCTCCTCATCGCCTTGTCTGCTTAATCGTTGTTTCACCTGGGTCAAAATCATACGTCAATCCATTTTTCCGCGTACTACATTTTATTTTATAGTTATCGTTAAGCACCACCACGTCACAAGCATGATACAGGAATCACGGCTGCAAAGTAAGAGAGAAGGGCCGGGCGTTGAACAAGACAAGCACATGGGATAATGCCCCTCCTCCCCCCTATTGATTTTCCATCTTCACTCATTCTCATATAGCAAGACGAGGAGCCGTCGAGTTCTTAAGTTCTTTGATGAAACAGTTTAAGCGATTCAAATGGTTGTAAATTGGGACAATCCATACCATACATACATACTTACCTACCTCCCCATGAGACTTTTACGCCTCGACTCACTGCTGTGCTAATTAGCTTGTTGATTTCTGACCACTCCCCTCCCACCTGCATTCAAATACTCCTGCGACAGATGATCCATCAACGCCAACTCACACAGAACGATACCTTGTTACAGCCTCAACCTCCCCCTCCCCCTCCCCGTGTTGCCCTCCCTCGTGTCTAGTACTCAGCGCACATTTCTCCTAAGCCGAACACAACACATGCAACGGCGATGCTGTGCCACAAACCCAGCACACGCCCCTCCCTCCCTCCCTCCCTCTTGTGCCCACCATAAACCCAGCCCAGCTCTGCCGTGCGCTTCGACGGACTCATCCCGATTGACCCCTCACCCAGCTGCCAGGCGGACGCGTCCGTGAGAATTGAACCCCGCCCTCAACTCCCCGCGCTGGGGTTTGACCGCTTTTTATTCTTTGTTGCAGTTTTCACAAAACCGTCCTAGCTCGATGTATCTGATGTCATCTCCTCAGCCGGGATGGTGTGGCTCGATATACCCAGGAACTTTGGTTCTAGAGCCAGGCGGATTTTTGTCTAATCGAAGGATCGGTCTGGGTGTGGCTTGCTGTAGAGGGTGGCCTGTTTATCTCAAGGTGCTTTTCTCGCCACTTGTTCTGAGAAGCCAGTCAAGTTGGAGATTGGGGTTTCTCAAACTCAATGGATGAGGGGTGATAGAACATAGAAACGCATGATGGGCTCAGAAACCTTTCGACTTTCAAACTTTTTTTTTTTGACTCGATGGAAACCCACACCTTTTCGGAGTTCTCCATCCAGACGGCGTGGAGGAAAAGCGGTTCGTGCTACCCCGCGATTCGGCCTGCTGCGGTCATTCATGTTGGTGGTGGTCTGCTGCGTGCATATGCAAGGCCAGCGAGAGGAATTCATGGCAAGATGCCGGTCGCCGAGCGGTGGCATCGAGATTGGGGCCGAGGGCGTTCTTGATTCGTCCGAGCTAGGGGGGGTTCTTTTGGAACTTGGTTGTTTCTGTGAAGAAGGTAACCATATCTGAAGATGCCAGCATTTGGTCTCTTCAGGAATTATCCGCGTTGAGTTGATAGATAGTCTTACAGAAGCGTCTTTGGTTGGGGAGGGTGGGTACCCTATAGCTGTATCTCATACATGAACTGGCGGCGATTGGCTCTGAGATTGCTTAGATGGGATATTACTTTCGAGAATATCTCCCGAGTCATGATTGGTTTGTCGTTTTCGTATTTGGTGTTTGTCGTGGCAGGCGTCGTTGTCTCTTAGTTGCCTACAACACGGTCTCACAAGTTTCCATTTTATCAAAGCAGGTCTCAAATTGATTCATGCTGTACAAACTAGCATTTGTCACTGGTGCGTGAGATGCACATTACTCAGAATAGAACTGCACCCAGGGGAGTATCCCGATGCATCAAGGCATAATGACTCGTCGTGATATTCTGGTGTCGACTCGGACCTCCCGGTGATAGACACGGCGATTCCCTGGCTAATCGATCACTGCTACCCATCTATCGCAACCAACGCCGCTTGCAGCGGGAGTCTTGTTATCTCGGAGGCTGAGTAGAATATAGCCGCCATTATGCTTAAGAGCTATGGGTCTTACATTTGGGCTCCGTGATAGTCGAGGGGAAGAGTGGAGTGGGGTTGTCTCTAGAGTAGTCTTTCACAGTCGAATCCTGACTAACCGAGTGCAACCGGCACCATGCTTTGTCTTCATGGGTTGCATTAGGTCGGCCCTGCGGTCTCCAACGTGGAGCGAGACGGAGCCGCCGGAACACTTCCAATTCATGCCGCGTGTTCTTTACGCGCAGAGGTCGGATTCACTCCAAAACAGAGGCTCGTGGCTAAGCCCCAAGAGGCCTCCTTGGATTAAATTAAACATCTACATGGACACTGCTTAATCGTGATGATGTAAAGGCCTGGCTACACACCCCTCAATTAGCTGCAGGCGACGGACCCTCCCCTGCCTGTGTTGACTGAGGGGGAGGCCATGTTCGCCACCCGCGCTGAGTCCATGTTTTAATATAGAGTGCTCGCATGCGGTTGGTGGATCGCTGCGACAGCCTGCAGCTGTGGAGTTGCAGCGAGGACTGTCGGGGGTGTGGTGTGTATGTGTGTGTCGCTGGCTTTGCTTGGGCTGGGAGGACGTGAGACTGGGAAAAAGGCTGCCTCCACTTCTTCGGGACGGGCCTTTGGCTCTAGAGACTAAGGCAAACCATTTCTGCGTTTCAGCGCTGTGGAGGACCCCCAGGCCCAGGACTAGAAGGGACCCGTCGTTCGTTGCTTTAATTAGGTAGAGTGATTTCGCTACGGCAAGAAAAGGGGGCCACCCCCCGATGAAATCAATCGCGCAGGGTCCTTGAGCGGGTGCTGGTTTACGATCCGAGACGGAGCCAAACCTAATCATGTCCCCCTCCCATCAGCAATGCTGGAAATACCCATATTACCTGGCTCAGGGGTGGAGAGACTGCAATACAACGTCAATGGGCAAACCGACAGGTGATTTGTGTGGGTAAAATCGGGAAGGGGATCAAGATTGATTCCGCCAGGGGGGGTTGCCTGTAAGCTATCCGTTGCAGTCGACGTGCATGGAAGCAAGTCATATCTGCTGGAGCAAGCCGGGGTGGCCCGGAGAAAACAAGCTACCATCGTGCATGAATGCCACAGGGAGGTGAGCAGAGTCATCTATCATGATCCAAAATTGATGCCCAGTTTAGAAAGGCTTGATCTTACTTGCTTGTTCTAGTCCACCGTGGCGCGCGCACGCATGTGCGAGGTATTTCCATTTGCCAATGCGTTCCCGCCAGAAGTGCATTGCCCATCCAGCACGAGAGATATACCGGGTTGTGCACAGATGTGCTCTACGGACACGCAATCAGCTTCCGCTCCCAGTTCCCGCTCGGGATGATCTCTCTCCGTATCGACGCTTATACGGAGACGTGGCAAGTCGATAGGATCGGGCTGGGCGGATTGTCTGCGTCAATATGCAACTGTGAGTATATGCTGCATTGCAATGAGAGGCCATACTGTAATATACTGTACCAAGTGTGTCTGGATTCGCAGAGAATACTGGAGCTGCCATCCACCGAGTGACCGCAAAGAGACTGAATCACGTATCTCTGCAGTCCAAAGGACCATGCCGTGTCTGCACACTGCATATCGACGGCGTGTACGATGATTGTTCGAGTTGTCTCACAGCTGAGGCATCAATCGCCTCTTTCCAGACTCCGCTCAGTTGCTCTTTTCTCCTCTCACCGCATCGAGGCATCCCACACACACCATTCCTCATGCTTTCAGGCAGGACAAGACAGCCGCAGTTGGCTTACCGAGCAAGCCTCCGAAGCTGTGCTCCCCTCCCCGATCATGGCGTTGCTCATCGCAGCTCCCCACTCGCTGCCCCCTCGCGCCACCACCCTTTCCGGCTCCCCACCTCTCCTCGCGTTCGTCTGCCTGATTCTCCCCTCCATCTTGGCTCCCCAATCAAGGATCAGCTGGCGAGAGGCACAAACTCTCGTTTTGATCATCGCCCAACTGGCGTGAGGATGATGGAGTGATAGTTGCCTTTGTGACACCCAAAATGCAGCCGTGCTAGAGCACGGCAGGCTCTCCATTGACGCCCAACGTAAATGAGAATCCTCCAGCCATCACGAGCAGGTTTTAGCCGTAGCTGGGAATAAGAAAGAGGGGGGATGAGATCCGTTTCCGGGCTAGATCGCTGGATGGCTGCGCAATTGTGTATTCCCACAGCAAGTGTCACAGCACGCATGCCCTCTCCAGCTGGGCTAAACACAACTGCAAGCCATGGACTGTTGGCGTGGGAACAAGGCTGGTTGTATGTTAGTTCGTCGGTCCGTCGCAGCCTGATGACAACCTGATTACCAAGGAACGACGTATGAGGTGCATGTCCCACTGGGTCTGGCCGTGCAATAGGAAGGAAACAAATCAGCAGCCAGCGAGAGTGTTCAGAAAGTGAGGCTGTGATCCAGCATCATCCTTGTTTCAAGCAGACCTCCAATTGCCAAGTTAAAGCAACGCATATGCCGATCATTGTTTGGCATATCTATAGGGTACCTAATCTGTTAGATCTGTCCTGGTTGGGCAATAGGGCAATTGTGAAATGTGTTGTTTGCTTACGTAGCCCAGACTGGAATGACGGATAGTGGGTGCATTTTATGGGGTTGAAGGATCCACAATTGACCAATCTGGCTGCTACGATAACACCCACAGACGAGTCCAGCGCACGCCGATTACACAGATGCAAGGCCATCCCAGCCGCGGTACAGTCACGACCTGAAGCAGCTCCAGGCCAATGCGCGCACTCAATCAATGCGTTCAAGGACTGAGCAACATGTAACACGCAAATTGGCTAGACGGCTGCCCTGTGTGAAGGGTCGCACTGTCAGCGGGCTTGTCCATCCAAACCATTGTGCAATAAATCCGTCCGCCCACGGCAGCGCGAGGACGGCACAGAGCCCGCTGCGTTCCCGCCGGGTTCCCTCCCAGGCCCTGTGAGTCTCGCCCGGCTCATAGTGCTGGGCTTGGCCTTGAACAGCTCTGTCGAAATAGGCAGCGTACGCAGCGTAACATAGCCCGGAGACCATGGACTACTGCACGCAATTCTCCCTGTTGGGCCCCCCTCCAACTTCTCTGATTGGGGGCCCCGTGGGCGAAAGGGAGCTCCCATTGCTCATCCACCACCAAGCCTGTCGTGCCCCCCCAAGCACACCAGCTGGATGAGCCACACGCCCTTGGATGCTGCAAGTCACGTCCAGCTAGCAAACCGGTCGCCGATCACCGAAAATTTTCAAGAGACAATGGCAACACGGCATGCAAATAAACAAACTGCTCATACTGACATTTCTCCTGTGTACGGGCCCTGCCGTGTGATTCGTCTCTTCTCGGCGTGCACAAGGCGTCGAGAGCCACAGCCAGCACTTACACTCCCTCCACCCCCCACAGCCATCCCCTCCGACAGGGTTGTCAGTCTGGAACTGAGGGTCAAGAGCCCTTCTTTTGGGGTGTTTTGGCCACAGGAGGAGGCAACCGACCCTGCATCGTGCTGCAACCTTGCTGACGGGGCGCACCCGAGCAAGGGCGCCTGTCTACCTAGTCTATCCTCCTCGCATAGTACCGCCCGGATGGTATCCACGCACCCAGTATCGCCCTCACTCTGCTATACGTAGCGCAGCGGGTATATATCAGACCCAGCTTCCTCCTCTCCCTGCCCCCAGACCTTCTTGTTTTTAAAAATCAATCTAATCAAAGTCTTGTCTGGCACTTGACTAGCAGAAACTACCATCGCCATCTATCTGCCAGTTCCATCATGGCTGTTGCAGAGATCACTTCACATGACACAATGAGCAAGCCCATTATCACCTTGATGGAGGATGCCCCCCGGCGCTCCAGCGATGACGTCGATGCGTCGCCCGTTTATACTTGTGCGTTCGCTCCCTCTCCCTCCCCGTGCCTGTTCCAATGACTCCCACAAATAAAACCCATCCTCTTGCGTGCTTAATTTTTCTAACATCCTCCCTCCAGCCCACAACCTCGACGACGACCTGGTGTCGCGCATCGAGAAGCAGGGACAGGGCTCCACTGACGCTTCGGAGGGCCGCGCTGTGACCAAGCGTGTCCCCCGAAAACTAAAATTCCAGGCTACCGTCGAGGATGTTTCAACCCCGTTGTTATCCGCTTCCGCCTTTCCCAAACCAGCCCCAGAGTCAGCACCACTCTCTGCGACGACTGAGGTCATCCCGCCTGAGGCCGCCCCGTCGCCACGCGGAAGAGGCTCGAAACCTCAATCTCAGCCTTCCGATGATGCCCCGCGATCTAGTTCGCCCTTGGCCCATCGCTCTGACATTGATCCCGTCATCAAGGACAAGGTCCCTTCTTCCCGCTCCAGAGACGTACCCCGAGTCCACTTCCAGGACCGCTCGGCCCCAAGCCCAACCGTCGCCACCACCAAGGTGCACCACAACGCGCGCCAAAATAGCTCCCGCCCGCGTGCACCCAAGGAGACTGACCTGTCCCCTGTTGACCTGAAATGGGGCCGCTTGGTTGATGACCATGGCCAGCCCACCAAGAGACTGGAGAACATCCTGCACGGCGTCGCCGACTACATGGTATGAATACATCATCTCCTTGGCTCGGTCCCTTTGGTAAGATGTGGTAACTAATACGTGGAACTATGTAGATTACTGAATATGAGCCCGTCAATTCAATTGTCATCACACCAGAGAAGCTCCTCAGACTGTACAAGTCATACAACTGCAAGCAGGAGCTGCTTCCCTTCGACTGTAAGTACAACCATATCACCTATCCTACTTGGCATGGCCTGTTCCCATGCTGACTGGTCTCATCTAGGTCTTTTTGATTGCTATGACATTGAAGAATACCGTGATCTTCAATGTGTATACACTGCCCTGAGATGTGAGCACTTTCTGGTGTCATCGCAGCCAGGTTCTCCCCCAGACATCCCTGCCCTCACCCCAGCCGGCTTCGCTAAATGGATGTCAATGTTCATCCTGGCCACTCCTGACCAAGAGGCATATCGCCTGGATAGTATTGTAGAGAGACTTCCCATCCAGTGCAAGGGTGCTGCTGGAGAGATTGAAAGACTCCCCAAGCAGCTGTCTCGACATCTGCTTCCTGAGAAGCACGATGAGGAGTCGCGAGTTCTTGTTCTCAGTGCCTACAACAGGGCATTCCAACGCAGCGCCATGCGCCATGCCGAGATTGAGTCCTCGCTGGTCTCATCCTCGCGCCGCTCGTCGCGTTCCACAGTGTATGCGAATGATCGCCAGCGCCGTGCTCGCAGAGATGACTCTACACCCCGCTACAGCCGGGAGAAGAGGATGAGGGAGCCCGACAGCCCCGAGCGCTCAAAGAGAGATCGGAGCAGGCGTGCACAGAGCAGGCGACGCAAGTCGGAGTACGGTGACAATGAGAGCACCACCACCACCCATCGCCGCCGTCACCACCACAGCCCAGGTCGGAGCCCGCAACGGAGCCCCGAGCGGAGCTCAAGGCGACGCCGGACAGATTCATCCCCGTCTCATCACCACCGCACCTACAGCCCATTTTCAACATCATCGCGCCGCCACTCTGGCTCCGGCGATGATGCTCCTAGGCAGTCCAGCCCATCCTCAAGGTGGACGATGCCTCTCTTCCGCGGGCGTAGTAGCATCGGCGGCTCAGATGACCACCGCCGGCGGAGCAGAGATCTGACCCCCGAGGATACTCGTCAGTCAAGAAGAGATTCTGACTACGTCATGTCATCTTCACGTTATCCTGGGGAGTCCCGACGCAGCAGCGCGGAGACGTCGCCAAGAAGTGGCTTCGAGGAAGAACCTCGCAGAAGTGAGCGTAGACGCCAAGCTTCTGTGAGCGTCTACTAATCCATCAACCTGTCTTTCTTTTCTCTAAAATCTCAAAAAATAGAAAACAGAGCTGACAGATCAATTCTAACACCAAAAAAAAAACATATCCGGCCAAGAGACAAGAGGAAGCTTAGTATAGGCCCTTTGTATTTTCACACTTTGTATACGGGAAGGGGCAGGATTTCCTTTTTCCTTTATTTTTTTTTTCCTTTTTCATTTTCTCCTTTGGACTCGAGCCAAATTGGTTTACACTGGGATACACGGTTAGGGTATGGGAAACAATAATACCCAGGAGTATCGGGTTCACGGGATCATTAATCGGCAAGGCAGGCACCCAAGGTTTCAGGGGCTGGGCCCATAAGGATTTGTTCTCATTTTTCATTCTGTTTTTTTTTTTCTTTTCTTTTCCTTTCTTTTCTTTTGCAAAGGGTTTGGTATACACTGCCGGTGACCACAAAAATGGAAGCGCGGTCCGGTCCGGTACAGGCGGCGATTAATGGGTTGGGTTCATTAGGTAGCGATAGGTAACTTGTCTTTTTTCCTCGGCCTGGATTTTTTATAAAGAATGTCATTTCTCCCTTTATTTTGAATTTGATAATCGTGCCTTTTCAGCTAGTGAAATACATGTTTCGCAAGCACCGCGACCTACTGACTTTTCGCATCTGGTATCTGGTATTATAATACAAAAGAGACTAAACCATGCAAAAGATAAACTCGGAGGGATGCGCGTGCGTAGGAGAAATGACCATATATATAAAATCAGGTGGGTATGTCCACTTTCCATAACCATTAGTCGGGCTTAGCATAGTCCCCTATTCTAGTGCCATGCAATCGTCAAATAACATTGCTTCAACAATTCGTACGCGGGAAAAAAAGCCGCAAGAGGGCAGCTCGCTCGAGGCCCGGGGCTGGAGGCGGGGTAAAATAAAACAAAGAAAAAAGAGAATCAAAGGATGAACGTTGTGAGCAGATTTTGAACAAAGAGGGAAGTTGCTAATAATTCGCAAGCCTTCGCTGCAATCTTGGCCGAGGCTGTTGGTCTGATATCGTCATGTCGTGAAAAAAAAACTATAAGAGATCATGTTTTCGTCGCAGTGTTCCACCATGACGACTCCTTTCGTCCTGCTACCTGGGCGAGGAGTGGAAGTCGACCTGGGATGTGTCGTAGTTTGAGAAGCTGGAGACGCTGCTCCTGATGGCGCGCTTCTTCTTCAGCGCCCTGTAGTCGTCCTTGAAGGCGGTGATGCAGCGCTGAAGCTCCCTGTCGGGATGGGGTGGCATCTGGATCTCGACTGCTTTGAGACAAATGCGGAGATGCTGGAGCTCTTCATCATTGTCTTGCAGTTCTTTCTCACTACGTGGGCATCAGTATTGCAGCTATTTCAGCGCTCAGCTTGAGTTCAACTTACAGATATCCGATGCGATTTTGAAGGAAAATAATTCGCTGGGCAGCCCGCTCAGCCCGCTCAATCAAAAGGTCTTGAATATGCTAGACGTGAAAATGTTAGAAACATGACGAGATACCGGGATGGAATTGAACGCACGTTGGCCTCCTCTTGACGGGCTGTGAGGTTGTGCACAATGGTCGTGAGCTCCTCATTTAATTTGCCGGCCTCGGCGATAATTTTATTTGCTTGGGCGATGGTGAGGCTTTCCTGGTGCAACTCCCTGGTTTCATCCCCCTCCTCATCCTCGTGAGCGGGTTCCGGGACCCTGTACAGCGACGACGAGACGTCAGAAAAGCGGGAGCGCATGAATGAAGAAGCCGGGGAGCTCGGTAACGAGCTGGCAAAGTCGCTGAAGCTGCGCATATCTAAGCTGTGCGGCCGACGATGCTTGGTCGCTGAGAATGGTGATGGCGACGGGGAGCCGCTTGCCAAGACCTTCTCCATCTGGTCGAGCTGGGTCTCGAGGGCAAGCTCATCAACCTCACCATCGTGAGTGAGCTCCCGCGCTAGGTTGCTCAGGCGCCTAGCCAAATCAATCCTGCCGGGTGAGGTTGGGATGATGTCGTGCTCATCATGAAGCATGGCTTTCCTGAGAGGCCTGACGGAGCTCGAGTAGCTCAGCCGCGAGCCAGAGCTGGGGGTGGGCAGCATCGGTGGCGGTGAGCGATCCGCATCGCGCTCATCGTCGCGACTGCTAAAACTACTGCCATAGCTAACGGGACTGGCCACGGATCTCCTAGACGAGTGACGGCGAAAGGCGGGAGTGCGTGCAGGCGTCTGGTAGAGCTGCGAGTCGATTGAATCTCGGTTGGCCGCCATGGCTGGGAGCTGACTGGTCACCTGGTTTCCCCTGCAGTGCTCAGGCGATGTATGTAGGTCCGAAAGCTAAGGATGGTAGCGAGCCACTCAGTTGGCCGTTTTGCGCACGCCTCCCAAGTCCCAAGTCCCAGCCGGTGGATTACGCAACCATTCAGAGAGGGGGCGGTGGGATCGAATAGAAGAGAACAAAGAAAGGAACAGGGTGACGAGTGAAGACGCACGCTCCAGGCGACGTCGGAGTCGGTGAGGGTGAAAAAAGAGTCGAAGAAGAATGAATGGATCAGCAATCAACGGCGGCCCCTTGATGACAAGGAAGAATGAAAGGGACGGTGCAAAGCTTCGGTGGAGCTGGCAGTTTGGTTCTCTCCATCTGCCTCGACTCCATTGGCCTTGACGCTTATTTCAGCCAGTCAGGTGCTGGGGCCTGTCGCTTCGCTGCAGTAGTGCGCTCAACCGCTGCAAACTGGACGCGGGTGGCTGGGTCCCCTAAAAAATGGTGCCCTAGGTACCTGACACAGGGGGTTAGGTACCTAACAACTGCCCAGTTTGGACGGCGGATGTTGGCTCGGGCAGCTGTACCTACAGGACTTATAGCTGGCATGCGAACAGCATGCAGATGCAGCCAAGTAGATAGATGAGCCGATGAGATAATTACGCAATTCCCGCTGGAACATGCTGGGCCATGTCCAAATTCAGCTTCTGCCCCTACTCTGGGTTCCCCTAACCCGTGAATCATCTGATCTATCTTGCGAGTTGAAGGGGTCTAATTACCTCCTAACTCCTGGCCGTGCGATGCCTGTTCTTTGTTCCAGTTGCCGCCAGGTACCTCGGCCATTGGATGACATAAAGCGCAGCTCATCATGGCCGGCGACGGTATATTCCGACACCTATTAAAACAACAAACACATGTAGAATATGAGAACACAAAGACAATGCATAAAATAAGAATGATGTTTTGTTGATTTGATGGTGATTTGCTATGAACCAAAGAGCTCTGCCTCCATAGTCCATGGATCAGAAGCCGAGCGAAGCGCTGGTGTGCCACGTTTTATGTCGGCCCCTTGTTCAGGTACCAGCAGATGTACCTGATCTTGATTACCTAATGGCGCCTAGCTCCTCCCCAGTATCCACTGCCACCTCATTCATATAAGCTTCTAGTGCATCTGCCCACCGCCTCCAGCCACCGCTTTTCATCATGAACATGCCCGTTCATTGGCATCAATCTTGATTCACATGCAAGACGGGCCCGGAGCAGATCATCTGGCCCACAGAACTAATGGATCGATCTCTCCATCTCATCAGATCAGGGCATTATGCTGTCTTGCACCTTGAGCCCTGGATCCATATGCTTTGAGTCGGGGAATTGGATAGTACTGGTCCGTTCCAGACTAACTGAGAGCGTGTGTTATCGGTATCATCTATCTTAGCCTTCTAATTCAACGCTACATAAGTATCACAGTAATGTGTTCTGCACAAGCAATAAATGTCCCAGAAATTTATTAGGCCCCGTGAGCACGAAGTTCATTTACAGACCAAACCCAGAACTTTTCTCCGTTCCCAGTTCCGCCTTCCGATATTCCTATGCCAGCTTCTCGGATATCCTTTCGTACCGGGGCCAATCGCCCCCAGGGAATAACTATGAATTGTCAATATGGGCAGCTGATAGATTGACGACGGACATTGCTTACCCCAGCAGCCGGAATTCTGAACGGTAATATCAGGAGAGAACGCCGAGTAAAGCTCCGTATAGGCCCCGTAGATTGGCTCCCAGCTCATTGAATGGAAGATTCTTGTCACTATCCCTGGAACGTGTCGCTGCAACTCTGACTTCAAATTCCCTGGGTTCATAGCCTGGACCATATCACATAGGTTTAGCAGTCGACACATATTTCCGAGCCTGGTGTGGGAGATCTTACCACACTAATGATCCCATCTTCGCGGTGACGTTTAGCATACTCTTGCGCCAAAAGCACCATGCCAGCCTTGCTAACAGCATATCGAACATGATTCGACTGCGGCTTTTGGAAGTTCAGGTTGTCTAGATCAACACCGCCAGTGGGAGAAAAGAGCTCCGCGGCAGAGGACGAGACCCAGAGAACCCGCACCGAGCCAGTTTCTGCCCCTTTGGCCGTCTCTTTCATGATCGGAGTTAGAAGTTGAGTGAAAAGAAACGGGGCAAGACAATTAACACCCAGTTGCATATCGTATCCCTGCTTGGTCTTCGACCCGGACGGTGGTATCATCACACCTGCGTTATTCCAAAGCATATCCAGCCTCTTTTCCTTTCGCAAGAACGATTGGGCGGCTTGCTTCACACTTTCAAGGTCCTCAAGATCGATCTGAAGAAATTCTAGTTGCCCCTTGGAGTCGCGATTCTCTGTCTGGATGTCTGATATTGCCTGCCGTACTTTTGATTCGGAGCGGCTGGCGAGGTAGACCTTGGCGTTGAGGGCGAAAACGAGTCGAGCCAGCTCTTTGCCGACGCCCGAGGATGCGCCTGTGATGATGAAGACCTAGATCAAATATAAGCTATGAGAATTGAGGGATCAGATGAGGGCGTCAAGTGTTGGCACCTTTCCACTCTGATCAGGTACATCTCGCTCTGTGAACTTTGGCGCTGGTGGCCACACTTGGGAGAGCGTTGAACCCATTTTACCGTTTAAGATATATCAAATTCCGGAGAATATAACTATCAATGTGATCCTGGGCGATTCTACTTGTTGATTTTAGTTTGCTGCTGGTCGTTTCGCTGGCGCTTATATGGGCGACGCCGTCGGCCGACTCGGCCGAGGAGGCAACATTCATTTCGTCACGGCCAGCATTCGCGCAACGGCGGCCGAGAGTCCTGCAGAGAAAATGAATAGACAGAAGTTTCCTTTTCGTGCAGGGTTTCCTTTCTTTATCCTCGATCCTTATTCTGAAAAACGACACCGAAATGGTCAAAGTTCTTCTCACCGGCGCCACAGGCAGCATTGGTGGTGCTGTGCTAGAACAATGCCTCGCCCATCCTGATATCAGCACTGTGGTTGCATTTGCGAGACGAAAGCTGCCCGATAAATTTACTTCAGATCCAAAGCTACATGTCGAAATAATGAAGGATTTCTCAATTTGGTCAGAAGAGCTCCTTGGTCCTCATAGAGATGCTGCGGCGATGATCTGGTAAGCTTCCGTTCTGCCGCTCAGACAAGATGTATCTGACGTCCTGGCCATGGCAGGGCTATGGGGGATTATGTAGGAAGTGAAAATGTCACTCTCCAGTATCCCCTTGCCTTCCAAAATGCGTTTATCAATATTCGCACTCAGTCCTCCAGCGGGGAGAAACTCCCGTTTATCCATGTTCATCTTAGTGGGAAATTGTCGGTGCAGGACCAGTCTCAAAGCCTATACTTTATGCAAAACTCAAGGAAACTAAAGGTCTGGAAGACTGTCTACAACTATGAAGAACGAAGTCACTGATACTCGTTCTGGCAGGGGCTCCATGAGACACGTGCAATAGAGCTTGCAGAGAGGTACAGGCCTTGGTTTCATTTGTATGTTGTACGGCCGGGCGGTGTGCTTCGCGACAAAGGATGGACTGCAAGTCTACAGGAGCTCGTAATGGGAAGATCCTGGAGTGTGCGGGCCAGGGAACTCAGTGCATACATGGTTTATCTTGCACTAGGAGGAGAAGAGTCGGGCGCTGTGATCATGAACGAACGGATCGTCGAGAAGGGCAGAGAGCTGGTGGGACTCTACGCCTGGGCATAGATCCTGTCGAGTGGCTATCAAGTCACCACCGTCAGCGTTTCTTCGTCGCTTAAGAGAAAATCGAGAAGATTGGCCTCGGCAATGGGAAACGGCGGCTCAGCTTTCTTCTGATTGAGTGCTTGGTCAATGAGGTCGATGGCATCTGGACTGTGTGCCAAGTATTTGCGAAATAATCTGGACAGCAATTCCCGAGCACCATCATGTCTATCAGTTGGTGGATACAGCTCGTTTGATTGCCCACCGTTTGCGATCGAGGATGCATCGCCTTCTTCGTGACCCCCTTTGGAACCGGCAGCCAGGAGCGCCCGGAGAGCGTCAGAGCCTTGCTTAGCGACCTTTTCCCTTGGACAGTCTTGGCTGGTTGCAGTGAATGAATCAGCAGTACCTTCTGCAAGTATCATATCAGAGCCTTGCCGTCTGTTAGGCCACGATGAGGTGGCATGGGCTAGAATAATGGTAGCCGCAGCAATGAAGCTAGCTGTGTCCAACACGCGACAATGGAGCTGGGTATTCCCAGCGCGGTGAACAAGCTGCTCGTGTCGGTGAAGAATGATCCTCGCCGCCTCTAGTGCAAGCTCTTTGAAGGCGCCCTTTCTCGTATTCGAATCCGTCTCATTGATGAAAGGGAGATTTGTTAGGAGCCTTAGCAAGAGGAACCACACTTGGCAAGTCAGGCGCTCATAGTCTCTAGCTGCTTCAATAGATCGAGAGTAAGGCATTTTTGGCGCTTTCCACCACGAGGAAGGCATTGAGCTTTCTAGTTTTTCAAGCTCCGGGTTGAGAATCGAGGTATCACGGAGCTTGCCATCGATACCAATACGATCGGAGCCCGTAAGTTGGATGGAGAGGATGCATAGCCGGTGGTAGATGATATCCTCCCCTGCTGAATCGCTGAAGGTCATATCCGCGAACGGTTTGGCGCCGCTCGCAGTTTCAAACCCGAGAAGCATGCTGCAGTAGCAGTCTCCCATAACTGCAGAAAGCCAGAGATGCTGTTGTGTCGCAAGGTCTAGTGAGTGATCCTGGTTTGAAGGAGAGTAACTTGAATGGAATCCTAGGAGACGCAAAAGGTCGAGAGCTCGCCTGAATATTGACCAAGCCTTTCCAATGTGGAACTCATTGATATGTATCATCCCTAGCAGAGAAAGGCATTCAACTCCTTGAACAGAGCAAGCCAACTCGTCATTCGCCAATACTACACGAGTCACTGCCTGGATGTAAGACTGGGCTGTCTCCTCTGGGTTTCCAATATCCAAATCGGCGCTATCAAAGTCTGGAGGAAGCTGTTGCAGACAGAGGGCAAAATATAGTAGCATCTGTGCAACAATCAAAATATGGGAGCCCAACACCGTGTGCGGTAGTCTGATCGGAATTGGTTCCTTGGGCCGCCAAAAAGCACCCGGTGGTCTGCCATTGATTTAGAAAGAAGATTCGGATATGATTTGGTTCAAAACTTACTGGGCAAAATCCATGACCCACGCCATAGTATGCGTGCAGATCAAGACCGCATCTCGCTGACTTGGGATGAGACTGATTAACTCTTGCTCAGCTTGGCTGTACTTAAAGAAGCCCGTTGATCCAATGGCATGATTCATTGTCGACACCAGTGATTCATCTCCGAGTGATAATCCTGGGGTAATAGTCATCGATGTAGGCCCGGTGATGGGGACTTCATCTGCAGTAAGTGACATATCTAGAAATGAAGGCTGGTTGGCTGTGCTCTGATGCCGCTCTTGCACTTGGTCGGCCAACAGCTGCTGCTGGACCTCTAGAACCCTTTGGAGTATGTTCTCGATACGTTCAAGCCGCATAGAATGCTCTGGTAGAGCTGTCGTCGAATCGCTCTGGTGATGCAGCTCTGGACTTGCCGCCTGGTCTTGTGGAGGCTCGAGGGAGCAGGTCGCGCCAGTCTTGACGCATTGTGAGCAGACATCGACGGCTTCTGTGGTTAGCTGGCACTTGACCTTGCGCCGCCGGCCTGTATAGTATAAGTATCATAGTCCAGTCGTATCACTCATTGGATGAATCGGGGGCTGTCTAACATTCGAAGCATCTCCGGGTATCCCGCCGAAGGCGTCTCAATGAGCGCCCGGATTGCTGCATTACGAGAGGAAGGGGGAACAACGAGACCTTCCTCAATTCAAGCGATTGTTTCCTTCAGCCCATGAGAGCCAAGATTTTGTATGTAGATGAGGAAAGATGACATGGAATCTATGCATCGTTAGCATTCGAATACGGCTTAGCTACAATATGAGCATCGAAATGCACATCACGTGACGACAGCCGTACTTCACACATAAATGTTAATTTTCCTCAAGGCATGTATTTATCAGGCAGAGGTGCTTATGTGATTAAAGTAGACATAGCGAGGTTTCGCGGGAGTAACGTTCAGTGAGGATGTGCGCATTGCGCCTGTTTTGGGAGCGGTTGGTAAGGATGCCTTTCAAGCTGCCTTACCACCCTTACCACCCTAAATACATTGCATTAGACCATCAGCTTTCATAACCACGCATTACCTGCTTACTTGTTGGATAAATTATTGGAACAAATGGCAATCATCCAGTAAAGAGCATGTTTGGAAGGTATTGATAATAGAATAAGGTAGCTTTAGCTCATAGGCACTTGCCTATGTACTGTAGTCACCTGCAGTATCGATGGCTTAATGCCACCTGGCTACTAAATAGCTATTTATTACGACCAAATAATTCCTATATATGGACTTGTATCTGCCTATAACCCCTAGACACTGCTGTAAACACAAATTTGATGTTTAACAAGGCTGTGTGCAACTTTTACACACCGTGTACGAAACATAGTCCTATGAAGAAGTTGTCTTTGGTAATACTATACTTACCTCCCTGGCTAATCTTGAAGTTTAGCTTATACATCCAGGTTCAAGTTACAAATAAATGTTTCAGTTTTCTGGAGCTAGAAAAGTCGACCTGTTTTCATTTTAGCATCCTTCTCTTGAAAGATTATTCTTTGCGTGCTAATTCAGCTCCACCCGGAATTTTATTGCTCAGAAAATTTGGTAATCTAGGTATTTAGTCAAATGATATAAAGATGATAAGTTAAGCTCTTATTTTTGTGATTGTTGAGTAGCTTGTTTACTGATGGTTGGCAGTTCCCATTTCTTCTCCTGCATATCGCTGTCCTGCTGTGGTTTACCACTCAAATTCTCAAAACTGGTACAATCAAGTCCAGAAAACAGAAAGCTCAGGTGATTCTAGGGTTTAATGTGGAGTCACGAAGTACTATAGAAGGTTGGATTCCGCCCTAGAGTTGCCCAATTCATGGGCTTAAAAGCCTTAATGAATTTCGGGTTGTAGATGCCAGCTGACTGACAACTTGTCAATTCAATGACGAAGCCACGGTCCTACTCCTACTACGAAATTGGCTGAAGGCGTGAGTTACATGTTCATTTTTATTTTCTTAATCCGAGGCGAGGTGATACTACTCTGTGCTGACTTGGTTGTCATTCAATTATTCCCCGAAAGGGGTTGATGGGCCGAAGTTGCAATGTGCCTTGGCTTGGCATCCCCAGAACTGGCCATGCACTGCCGCCTTGAACTTACGATTTCCAAAATGTTCATTATTATACAACAATTTCGATATGCCAGTTAATGTTAAGTAGACGGTTACTCACGACTTTATGTACTTTCTTTCTTCAAAGCTTATGAACACACACCGTCATCCTAGATAAACAGTGAGCCTGTGTCTACAGCATTCATCCTGTCTTAGAGCAGAGGATAAGAGCTTGGTTTTGTCAGTACGACGAAACACCCAGAATGCCAACCACAAAGATAGATGTGGGCCCTAAGCTGGACATCTTTCTGGCCACTTCGCCGCCGCATCGCTACGTGGCTACGGATACAATATTCGGCGAGGTCCAGAGAATTCAGCATCTCGTCTCTGCAGATGCTAAAGTTACGATAAAGCTACGCGGCAGAGCCAAGACGAAGATCACAAGCAAGGTCAACGTCTCTTACGTCAATGTCAATGTCTGGAACTGCGATCGCGACGACATTATTGAGATCGAACAGACCATCTACAGCGGCCCTGTGCATATCCCCGAGGATAGCCAGGAGGCGCAAGGTTGGCCATTCAGCATCGACATACCGCAAGTCTACACGTCAGCGGCTGGGTTGACGGCACTGCTCCCCAATAGCTTTAACGTATTCCACAAGGATGATGAGGGCAAGGTCGAGGCCTTCATAGAATATGCCCTCTTCGCAGAGCTCACGGCGACTGTGAGCGGCTCCCTGAAGAAGTTTGAGGCGACTCTGCCGATTCACATCCGCCAGCTGACGCCCATTCTCACAACGTTGGATACCTCGGATCTTCTCGACAAAGCACATGTTGTCAAGTCGCGACAACTCATGCCGGGTTCGGGAGATGCTGAACGCTCCAGCTCCAAAAAGCTGAAGAGTCTGTTCAAATCGTCGCCGACACCTGCGTTTGCCTTCGATATCCAGGTTACTTTGCCTGATATCATTCAACTTGAGGGCCCCAATCCTCTCCCCTTGAAAGTACGAGTCATCCCTGACTGGTCCAAAACTTCGCAGGAAATCGTCAATGTGCCGCAAAAGATAACTCTCACGTGGGTCAGCGCAAACATTGTCTCCCTTACGGTTGCAACTCACAATAGGATGATAAAACACGTCGAACAGCGATCGAACTTTAAGATATGGGAGATGGTGAGGGCACTAGGAAAAACAAATATTGAGATTCCCTGGTCCAAAGAGCCCGAGGATATTGACGTTGGGGAGCTGGTTAATCTTCGATTTGGAGCGGATAGGGTAGTCCCCTCCGTAAAGAGGCCAAACGGACTTCCAATGACTGTTCCTTGCGAGTTCCCCCTGTTCCCTGATCACGAGACTAACAATATCAAGCATGCGAATTTTTTGGAATGGGAGATCATTGGTAGGATTGGGGGCGAGAAGTTCACTACCAAGGGGGTGAGGCCCGTTTCCGTGGTGTGCTTGGGAGAGAAAGACGCATATCAGCCTCGACCAATTACTAGGGAAAGAAGGCATTAGCAACTTTCAAGTGCTGTCGTTGTTCTACCATATTGTAATGAGACAAGCAAGGTGTGGTAATGAGATGAAGATGACTTGTGAGGACGACAGCCTCCCACATTAGCCTTATTTATTCTATGAAACTTATTAGATAATTCCTGCTGAAGATTCCCGTAGGCTCTGAATAAAAATTATTCATATCCTGGCTTGAGAGCAGGGTGTCAAGCATCGCCTTTGAACGTGCTGTTTATGTTTACATTGTCAACCACTCGGGTTCGGGGACAGAAGAAATGTGACATCAATTTGAAGGGCATTTATCAGCAGAGCGCTCGCTGTTGCTACTAGAGTGAGATGAGAACTAAAGAGAATGATAATGAGTAACTTAAAGAGTATAATTTATTGATCATATATTGTTAGCTCACAATAGCATGATAATTCTAACCATAGACGCGACAATAAATAGGATATTGCTCGAGTGTATGAGTTTTAATGTCACCCAGTTGCTAGCGTACCTAAACGCCAAATACTGATTACTTAATACTGTTTAGGCCTAAACATTAGTAGTGTATGACGATCAATTTGCGACCAATTTGCGATCCATGCTCTATGCACTTGCATCTGCTCACCGTCTCTAGCCATTGCGTGAAGCATCGTTCTATCGCTCGAGTAGGACATCATATAATATGTACTTGGTCCATTGACCTTTCTGTGCTTTAATTATTACTTACCTCCAATCACTGCGGCTAATGTTACGCGCATCATTCCATCCCAGGCTGTGACAATGTCGCTGCCTCAGCAACCCTTTGAGGATCATGAGATCGAACTTCCTGATATTCAACACGGCGATTCATTCCGCCAGGTGGTGAGGAAGCTTTCTCTGTAAGCGATGCATTAGATTGACCCCGGAATGATAAATTGGCATTTCAAGGACCACGAAGCTAATGGAATTCGTCACTTTCCGCGATATAGCTACTTTGGTGAAGCTATCGAGCTGCCAAGCACCTACGAGCAGCTCAGAACAACTTCAGCTGGAAGCTGTCTCCGCGTCCTAGTAGACCACCTTGCGTACAGCCGGTCCCCGAACCCAGCAGTTGTAAACGCCCTCCTGTGAGTTCGGGCTGTGAATCGTCCCTTAGTATGAGTAGACCCTCTGACCAGCTTGGCAGAGCCCTAAAGTGGCACTATGCCTCCGAAGACGAGCAACAAGGCGTCGACCTATCTCGCTCGCATGCATGTGAAATAGTCGCGTGGCGTTTCCTATCCAGAGTGCCCGAGCGGGATGTGTTCAGTTATTGTCTCTACGAGATCCCAGCGGTCCAGGATGCCGAAATGGCTCAGTCGGAAACCGACACTGCTGGTCACTATGGTGAGACCTCACCACTATTGGCACGGTTCGGCACCCACGAGAGCGAAGACGGTGTGTACAGGCCTCCCGGAAGCTCCGGCAAAAGAGTACAGCTCCTCGGGTCGCTTTCGTTTTTGAGCCGGAACCAGGACGAGAGCTCTGTGGATTTCAACGACCCTGCCGTGGCCTTCAAAGGACTAAACGCTCTTGAAATAGCGGCGATTGCAGACGCCAAGCGGTTCATGAGCCAGCACGTTGTTCAGAAGATAATCACTGGTATTTGGAACGGTCATATCGTCTACTGGGATTCGCTTTCAACCAAATCCACCAAGCAGCCTCGTTTCTACGACCCGCAGACGACCGATCCCTTTTCGCGCCTGCGAGTGCCCAAGTACATGAAGTACTACGAAGTCGCCTTCTTCGCCATTTTCCTATGCCTTTACTATGCTGTTCTCATACGTGGGAAGACAAGTCGGATGACGGGCGCAGAAGTCGCCCTGCTGGCTTGGTTTCTGTCCTTCTTCTCCGCCGAGTTGAATGAGTGGTACGATGCTGGTTCCATATTCTATGCGACAGATTTCTGGAACCTTTTCGATGTCGCTATGATCCTGATTGGGTTCATCTTTGCTGTGCTAAGTAAGTTGATGCCATATTCCTCAGAGCCCACACTAACCCTAATGTCTAGGGATAACTGGCTTGTGCCTCGAAGATTCGAACCTCAGCGGCTGGGCATTCGACATTCTCGCCCTCGAAGCCCTCTTCATGGTCCCACGCATCTGCTCCATCCTGAGCCTCAGTCCCTACTGGGGCACCCTGATCCCATGCCTAAAGGAGATGGGGAAAGACTTCGTCAAGTTCATGGTCCTCGTCGTCATCTGCTACATGGGGTTTCTGACCACCTTCTCCCTGCTGGGGAGGAAGGTATTCACCTTCGCCCAGATGGCCATGATCCTGACCAAGATCTTCTTCGGGTCGAGCTACATCGGCTTCGAGATGATGAGCGAGATCGACCCCCTCTTCGGCCCCCCCCTCGTCATCCTCTTCGTCACGCTCACCAACTTCCTCCTCCTCGGCTCCCTGACGGGTATGCTCTCCAACAGCTTCATGAAGGTCACGAGCCGCGCCCGCGAGGAGTACCTCTACGTCTACTCCGTGTACGTCCTGGAGGCGTCGACGAGCAACCGCCTGGTGCACTTCTACCCGCCGTTCAACCTGCTGGCCTTGCTCATCTTCCGCCCCTGGGCCCTTCTCGTCGGCAAGTCACGCGCGATTCGGAAGGGTCGAATCGTTCTGCTGAGGATCACCCACCTGCCGCTCGTCGGCGTGATCAAGCTATATGAGCTTTTCCGACACGACGTGTTCGAGAGCGAGCTCGCAAGGTTGAAAGACAGCAGCTCGCATGCCGGGCAGAATGGACGGTCGAACAACGCGGTCATACGCCCCCGTTCTGCTCGCCGTCAGTCCACGTATGCGGAGTCGTCTACCGGGAAGGACAGGGTGAGGAAGCGCAGCCTCATGCTGGAAGACGAGGTTGGCGACGAGTCGGCCGTGGAAGCGCAGCTCGGCGAGCTCCATCGGAAGATAGACCAGCTCACGCAGATCGTCATCGCCCTGCAAGAGAATCAGTCTACGGCGCCAACCAGGTTAGAAGTACCAAAGCAATAGGTTCCAATCGAATATAGGAGATTTTGACATCGCCTCGAGGCTAAGCTTGCCCTGGGCTGCTGCAGTTGTCCACTGATACGAGCGCTTGCGAGTTGTAAAGGAGCAGGGTCCGGCTGTTTATTGCGCCCTCAAGATCAAGAACCGGCGTGGAGAGCTAATATTCATCAGGCAGGTCATGTCCTCTCGGTGAGTCTTTTCCCAGGCATTGACCCGGCGCCCGTCGTATGCCTCTCTCCCCGAATTGCGGGCATGATTGGCGCGCCTGGTGCGTGGTGGAATCGCGACCAGGCAGAATCGGCCCTTCGCGATAGAAGTGCCCGGCAATTGGGTCCTGTGACGTCAAAATCCGCTGTCAAAGTGTTTGCAGTTGGCCTTGTTGGGGATGGACCGAGAGAAGCTGGCTCCATAGAAGGTTGATTTACCCGCCCTTCTCCACACAATGACCTCCTCGCCCTTGGGGGAGTTGCGGGGAAACTCAATTGAGCCTGGGCCGGGACCCTGGGAAAGTTGGAGCTTCAGGCACACCGACCGCTGTCATGCGGCATGTATAAGTATGGCCAGCTCCGATGCAGTCTCGCCAGCTGAGCGGCCGGCACGCGAAGAAGACGTTCGTCCGGGACGTGTACTATCCCCTAATTCTCCTCCAACCTCAATTCTAGGAAACAAGATGGTGTGGCTCTCGGGATTGGCCCTGGCAGCGCTGGCTGTATTCCTTGGCCATGGATCGGCTGCTCCCAACGGGAACTGTCCAAGAGACTGGCCATACGCGCCCTTCAAAACTGAAGGCAGAGATATCGTGAACGCGAAGGGAGACAAGGTGAAATTTGCGGGAGTCAATTGGCCCATGTCTGGTTCGTATTGCCCCAGGGTTGACATTGGGCTATTTAGCAAAAATCTAACCTGGCCATAGGTGAAAGTATGATTCCTGAAGGCCTCGAGAAGAAATCTGCGTCGGACATCCTAGACGATGTCGCAGGTCTGGGCATGAACTTCCTTCGAATGGGCTACTCTGCCCAGATGGTCGATGAAATATACCAGGCAGGAGGAGAGGATGTGTCCCTCGAGAAGGCCATCATTGCAGCGATGGGAGAGCAGAACGGCACATCAGTCGTGGAGAACATGATCAAGCACAACCCAAAGTGGACTCGCGAGACAGGCCGCTTCGAGATATGGAGCGACATTGTCAAGCTTGCTGCTGAGCGCCACATCTACGTCCACCCGGACATGCACATTGCCAAGGCGGGCTGGTGCTGCGGCCACGCCGATGGAAGCGCCTGGTTCGGCGACGAGGATTTCTCCGTGGCCAACTGGACAAGGGCGCTGAGCTACGTGGCCGACTGGGCTGCCGAGCATGACAATATCGTGTCCATGGCGCTGGTGAATGAGCTGCGCCAGCCTTGGGTCGAGAACTACCCCAAGTTTGGATACAACTGGATGACCCTGGTCGGAAACATGACTCTTGGGTCTGATGCCATCCATAAGGCAAACCAAGACCTGCTCATCTCTTGGTCCGGCTTGCAGTTTGACGAAGATCTTTCTGCACTTACCAGTGGGACAAACCTGCTCTCCTCGCCTTGCTACATGTGTGTATCCAACCGACAAGCGCCTACAACGGATCCAGTGGTGTTCAACTTGGCGGACCACGCGTGGGGAGACAAGGTATTCTACGAGCTGCATCTGTACACCATGACGGAGGACCTCGACATGGGAAGCTGCGGCATCATCAAGGCGCAGCTGTATCGCGCAGGCTTCAATGCTCTCGGAATGGATCCTCCGGAGGACTGCGCCCTGCTGGAGAATCACTGGCTCGGGCCATGCCGACCAGCATCACGACTGACGCCCGTTGCCATGACTGAGTTTGGCACCGCGCAGGATGCAAGTCTGCTGAGCAGCGCGTACATCCAGTGCCTGCGGGAGTTTACCACGGAGAATGACGTGAGCTGGGCCGTGTGGGCTCTCGCAGGGAGCTATCGCGTGAGGTCAGGCAAGCAGGAGGTGGACGATACCTGGGCGCTGTTTGACTTTAATTGGGATAACTGGAGGTTCCAGGAGGGCATTGACACGGTCTGGAAGCCGTGGGTGAAGGCGACAATCGGGTAGGTAGGCCATAATATCCGAGAATGTGAATCCGAGTGGGCTAGACTGAACTGAATCATGCATGTTCCCTGTTTTGCCCTGTCTCATGTGGGAGGAATAATGCGCCGCATTATGACTTGTGAACGAACCACTGCCCACACGCACCGAGTCGGCTGCAGTGATCGCCCACGAGGCCCCGTTCCGGCTGTTACCTGCAGCGTTCAGGGATGATAGAAGCTGGCCAGTGCTTCGCGGGGGCGCTACAGGTACCTACATGGAACCTACCTAACAGGCGGTATTGTAGTAACGGGGTGAGACGCCCGCCACAACTTGAACACAAGACAACAGTGAGCAGGAGAATCCTCGCCCGACAGAAAATAAGCACCCCCGCCATTAACAGAAGCATTAAGATATCGTTCCTTCAGCACCCGCACGGTTGCAGCGGCGACGGGGCCGAGGTCTCCCCTGGTCGTCTTACGCCGACGATAGGCGACGATCTGGTGGCCCGGCGGCTTCCGATCTCGGGGCTACTGCACGCTGTAATTCTCCAGCGAACTGCACCTCTCCACTTTGGGCTGAGGTCTCACCTCGACGGCACGTCTCATTAGCTTCAATCCATCGTCGTTGCAGTTAGCTTTACCGGGCTGGGCCACAACGGCTCCGGCTCGTGGTCCGTAGTTGTCCGTTCTTCCCTGACCTCTCGCTCTCCCTGGCCTCGCCTTATGCCCAATGATCTTCCTCTTATTACGACCCTTCCCCTCGAGTTGCCATTGCGACCCAATGCCGAGCCTGTTTGCTTTGATGTAACCGCACTCCTTCTCTGATGTCTTCTATTGCACTTTGATCTGGTTTATGCCATTAATAACCCCCCCCCCGGCTTTGACGTAATCAGCCAGCCCGACCATGAAGAACGAGCCGGTCTCATCTGGCGATCTCGTCAGTGACATCACAGCCCCTCGTGCTTCAACGACCGCCTCTCCTACAACCGCCGCGATGGAATCGACGCGGCGGAGTTGGAATACCAAGAACCTGGGTGCTCGCATAGGTTCCGATCTCGTCAGCGCCAGCTGCGCAGGAGCTCTCATCGCGCCTATCGTAGCCATCATCGATAGGTAAGAAGCCAAAAACCAAACCCCAATCCCCCCTCCAGAACGACCAATACTGACTCCCCCCAGATCCATCATGGAGAACACCTCCGGCCGCAACACCCTCTCCAACTCCCTCAAAACCTCCCTCTCCAACCTCCTCCTCCGCCCCCACACCATCCTCCTCACGAAGCCGACCGCCCTCCTCTTCCTCCTCTACGGCGCAACCTACGCCTCCGCCAACACCCTCGACACCCTCTCCTCCACCGCCCACAACAAGCCCGCCTCCCTCGTCACGGCAGGCACCCCCAAATTCGCCGCCTCCTCCTCCGTCAACGTCGCCCTCTGCATCTACAAGGACCAGGTCTTCGCCCGCATGTTCGGCCCCCCCGGCTCCCCGCCCCGGCCCGTCACCCTCCCCTCCTACGCCCTCTTCGCCGCCCGCGACTCCATGACCATCTTCGCCAGCTTCATCCTCCCGCCCCTCCTCGGCCCCCGCCTCGACGACCACCTCTCTGCCTCTCTGCGCCGGCACGTCTCCGGCGCCACGGCCGCGCAGTTCCTCGCCCCCGCCGCCGTACAGCTCCTCTCCACCCCGCTGCACCTCCTCGGGCTCGACGTCTACAACAGGCCGCCGCGGGGAGCGGGAGGCGGCGCGTCGTGGGGCCAGAGGTGGGAGCTCATACGGCGCATGTGGCTCCCCAGCGCCGCCGCGCGCGTGTGTCGCATCGTCCCTGCTTTTGGTGTTGGTGGGGTCGTGAACACCAAGTTGCGGAGGAGCATGACGGTGAAGCTTGAGTGAGTT